GAGAATAGTTAGAAACTGGCTGGACGAAAATTATCCAGAAAGATGGATCGGCCGTGGAGGACCAGTAGCCTGGCCTCCACCATCCTGACCTAAATCCATTAGATTTCTTTGTGTGGGGATTTCTAAAAGAAAAAGTGTACCAGACTCCCGTAACCACAAGAGATATGCTAATAGACAGAATCAGGAATGCATGTGATGAAATAAGGCCTTATTTGAATAATGCTATATCACGTTCGATCATTCGTAGATGTGAATTGTGTATTGAACAATTGGGTTTACATTTCGAGCAACTACTTTAGATTTTGTATGTTTGTCCTAACTATCCAATAGCATTTTAGTTGTAAATAATTAATTTAATTTGTTAAAAATAATATTGGAAAATTAAGCAAATTAATATTCTGTTTTCTTTGTGTTTATTTGGAGTTAGGAATTATTGCTGTGTTTAAAAACACAATCTAAATGATCGTCTTAATTACTTGTAACGCCCAAATCGAAAATGTAAAAAAAATATTATTTTCCCATAAATAATTAAAAATGCATCGAACCTTAAAAATCGAAATATCTCAAAAACGGCTAACTATAACGAAAATTCACAAGAGAGCTTTTTTAGGTTGAAAAGTGCGAGGAATCAGTTTTTTTATTCAAAAATCAAAAAATTGCACTAAGGAAAAAATTTCGGTCATTTTAATACACTACAGGTACAGCAGAGAGCGCCCTCTAGCGGCTACAGTAAAACTATGCCCATGGTTCGTTTTGTCGTACCAAAAAACCCTTGTATACCAATGTTCACTGTTATACATCAAATATTGTTCGAAATATTTAAAAAAAACTATTTTAGAAAGTAAATTTAAACACCGTGTATTTCGGAAACCACGCATTTTTCGACCCATGTTTATATAGACTTTATGCATTCATTTTAAAAGTTCTATCGAATCTTAAAGTTATGCAACAATAAACTGAAACACCCTGTATACACTTTCGACGTTGAAGAAATTATTTTACTACTGATGTTTTTGATACCAACTGACACAACGAATGTCTAGATTCAGTAAATAGTAGGTTTAGTAGCGCGTAGTTCTCATGTTTAATTGCAGAAATAATTTTTATACATCCTGCGCTCTTTCACATCGTTTAGAAAACGGCTTTGCCTCTCCCATGCCTGAGATGGAAAACAAGCGGTCTCTAAATATTACGTATTATACTAAAATCACAAATATCGTATTTTCTTTAAAAATTTTGTCCACTGTAAGCATATACCAGGAAAGACAAATTTCACTCTCTGGCCGCTGAACCATTTGTTTCAGCTCGCAGTTTCTGACAATAAATTGCGCTGTTTGTTGTTTACGTGCTTCCCGTTCCGTTAGAACATCGGCCGGTAGCACTGAGAAACTATCGGAGAGAGCTTATATTTTCAATTTTGGCTAACACTTTTGCCATTCTAACTTACCAACTTATGATTATGAATGTCGCCATCACGTTTCGTTCCATATTCAAGCGTATGACTTGCTAAATAACTTTGTTTTGTCGAGGTTGTTGTTATAAAAACACTGGTTTTATTTTGATCATCATAAGATTACCTCCCCTCCGCCTATTTCATATTTTTTATGTGAAACTCTATTTCTATCTTACATGGATTATGACTATATATCTGTGAGGTTTTAATATGCGTCAATGTAGCACTTGAATCGTATCCTGTGGTTTTCATGCTTCATGTTTGTCTGGTCGTAAAATGAATCCACTTAATTATGTTTGAATTACCAGGGGCCACTACAAAAGAAATCTACATAGCCATGAAAAAACAATTGAAACACTCAAATAGTGACATGTGTTCTAACCTTGCAAAGTTTCAGTTAATTTGGATAATCAGTTTCCAATTTGCAAATAGAATTGTAAGTAAAGATGAGTAACCTAAATGAGAGTATCACAGCATCATGAAACGTCTGACAACAATTGTTGAGAGAATGGTTGCCGTGTATAGGGATGATGCACCATCATATTACACAATAGAATTTTGGTCGATGGGGGTGTAAGTCCAAAGAAGGCGATCCCAAAAGTGGAAGACCCAAAACCCAAATGATGAATTGACTCAAAAAGTCGAAGATCGTCGTGTGAAGATCTCCACCACTAGTATGGCATTGAATATATCGGAACCCAGCGTAATAACCACCTTGCAGTACAATTTGAGCATGAGAAAGGTGTCAGCCAGGGGTGGGTTTCACAACTGTTGACACCTGAACAAATAATGCGCAGGCTGGAAATTTCAGAAACTGATTTGGAAACTTTGACCCACGATTCTGAGTCCTTGGCACAAATTGTGACGGGCGACAAGACTTAGGTGCATCATTGCGGTCCTGAGTCAAAAACAGAATTAAAGCAGTGGGTTCATTAAGGGTCTACATCCCTCAAAAAGGCACGAACGCAAACCTCTGCTGGAAAATTGATGACAATAGTTTTATAGGTGCATCCTTCTCATTGAGTATACGAGGGATGTCTTTTAAGTTTTGCATATAGAAACATAGTAGGCCGCGCGGATCGAACGTCAGTACTGAATCTTAACCTCACTCATTAGTAAACTTAAATTCAAAGTTTCACAACAATACTCACTACAGTGAATTTTTAAGTGTCACCAAGTCATTAGAAAAATGTAACTCTGAAGGGCCCTGTAACATACTGAGATTTCGAGAAGCCACCATTGCAATTTTAAGATGGCACCACATACAACCAGCAAATCCTAGGACCCCCTGGGTTAGGCATTCCCGCTCCCAAAAGGACACTCAACCTCCCAAAACAACGAGAATGGGGTTGTCTGTCGATTTTTAATGTGACGGACACTTCGCCCTCGTCCATCGTCCCAAAAATTCCTAAAGTCCGAAAACGTGAAAACTCACCCAGAAGTGTAACTCAGACGTGTATGGTTTCATTTGACAGCCATATGAACATGCAGGATTATCTTATTTTTTTCTTAATTCTTTTGATGCTCGACGAAGAGAGTTGTTTTGTTATGCATCGTTTCGTTCGTTCTCCCATTTGGTTGTCAAGAAGCTTTTTTTAGAATATCGTCACTAGTTATTCACTACTTGACTTGGCTTGACTTGAATATTAGCAATATGAATCAGTCAAGTACTTTTTACGTCAAGTACCTGAATATTCAAATAATCTTGATATTACTTGATAATTTTTGTAATTTAAATACGAATATACAGCGGAAAGATTTTGTAACAATTTACAGAGAAAAGAATACATATTGAACAAAATAATTTCGTATCTTATAAAAAATAAACGAACGGTAAAATTGTAAACTCAAATAGAAAAAAGGCAATTCTTCATCAGCTGGAAAATTCTGAGTCAATTTTTCCTTAGCTAACCACGAGCACATGATTTATCGCTTAATATGTTGCGGGGTTCCATAACGGTCAGTGCACTCTTAGAAAATTTCCTTTCAATGGACGCTGATGTTGCAGGTGTCGATAACAAATCTCTTGCCATTAAAACTAGTTTTGTGAATACCTCGCGTAATTGTTTGCATTACAATACATCGGTTGTACAAATAAATATAACTGAAGTTCTTTAGTAGAACAAAAATATAATTTCCCATCAAGTATCAAGTAGTTTGAAAATGCTTGACCTCAAGTCAACTAGAACAATATAAAAATCAAGTCAAGCATCAACGTTTCAAGTAATTTTATTGCCAAGTAGTGTCTAAAAATATCAAACTACTTGACATGATGAATTTCTAATCGTCCGTATTAAAATTTTATTTTATTATTATAACGACAAAAACACCTGATACGCTTGAAATATAATATAGAAACTAGGATTCTAAACTTTTTCATTGTACATCGCCAACGCAAAACTAACATGCAAAAATTACTCTTGGACAGTAACAATAGACAGCCGTAGCTTAGAGTTGGTTTTGTTTTGTTTTAGGACAGATAGTGCTAACACTAACACAAACAGAAAAATGCCCTCTTCTGGAATCGCTGAAGAGGCAGCCCTCTTGGGGTAAGCACCTGAAACACTAGCTTGTATGATTAGTTCTTTATTGATTTCTGAGCTTGTTGGTTGCTAATTGAACTAGATTTAATAGCTAATTATTCATTTTTAGTTACGGTAGTTAGATATTAGTTTTTCATGTATATTTTATATAGTTTTTCATCAACACTGGCTTAATGATAGATAGTAAATCGGAATAGCATTATTTTGAAAATTGTTGAGGGTTGGAAAAATTGATGGATCCAAAAAAAATATACTGAATAGTTTTTGGCTAGTCTATTAATATTTATGCTTGAATCAAGAAAAAGTTACGATAAGGTATACGAGGTCTGTAAATTTAGTGATGAAACTGAATTTTTTTATTCAAATATAATTACAATTTTAAGTACATTTTTAGAACACAATAGAAAAAACCGTTTCACAAAATTAGATCGGTACGGGCAATCAAATGACTCGAGCGAGTTCAAACTTGTACCAAAGGCGGATCACATGATTCCCTGTCTCCCCTCCCATCCAGTGTTGCCAGATCGAACGCTACGTTGCCAGTCCTATCACTTAATTTACAGACCTCCGAATTTAATCTTTCTATATGAGCGCATGGTAACAACACAAGCTGCTTCAAATCTATAATGAAACACATTAAGAACCAGAACCTAAACATATAAAAATTAAAGTGTTGTTCCATTCAGTTTAAAATAAAGAAAAAAGTTGAATACACAATTATAATGAGACCTCAACTCTTGTCTTTAATGTGAGCGTAGTGGAGAAACACTTATATTTTTATATATGTTTTGTGTCTTAATGTGTTATCTACCAAGCACACTAATTTGCCGCTGGCGAGGGGAACGACTAAATTTGAACGTTAGTAGAATGTAACCTTTACATCTTTGCCCCATGATGTAAAGATAGGAGACCAAACTCTTAGCCGCTCCGCTAGCTAGTAGACCAGCAGCTATAACAGGCGACTTTCTCTCCTCTCTCACGTTTAGTACTATGCCTTGCGACAGCATGGATGACATCGAATTGAAGAACATCCAGTTGCAGTTCCCGTCAGTGAGGTCGCTCTCCAGAGATGACTCTTCCTCGCAAGAGGAGGTCGTTGAAACTGACCGCGGGAACATCGTGGTTGCCGTGCAGGGAGCGAGGAATAAGCCCGCCATTTTGACCTACCATGACTTGGGATTAAACTGTAAGTTAAAAAAGAAAATAGTAATAGGAAAACAATAATAATTAACGTATTTTTATTTGTAACATAAATTCTACGACCCAACCCCCACAAAACTAGATATATGAAATCGAAAAATTTGTTAAAAATGTATATCTTTATATGAAAATGACTGTAATAAAGCATAATTAATGTAAAGGCATAAAGAAAACATAAGGTCACCTAACAGTTATTGGTTACAAAAGATTTTGCTGCCCATCAAGTAGAGTCTCTTTCATTTTTATTTCTTGAATTTGAGTTTAGTTTTTCTTAAATTACGTTCTAATGAATTATATAATTTGATTGCATTGTAAATATACAGGGTGTCTGCAAAGTTGGTGTTTTTCAGAAATAACTCCGCTTGATATAACAAGGCTAATGTGTGGTGAAACGTGAACGAACAAGTAAAATAAAATAAATGGAAAAATACTCACTGTTCAGTTGAATTGAAATTCCAAGTACGGCTCTGTCATAAAATCCGTGTTTACATCGTAGTCGTACGTCGTATAACTGTACACTGGCGCTGTGGGCGTGGTCGAGGGATAGGACAGGACCGGCTTCGGCTTAGTTCAGGTTTGATTGAGTTTGTGGATCCCAATATCTCGGTTCTCTTAAGACATTGGTGTATGTGCTACTAAGAAAATCCACTTATTGTCTCAAGATCTACATGTCCTGTAAAGGAAAAACCCAACTTTGCGGACACCCTATATTCCTTTATCAATTTTAAAAAGGAATACTCACACAATTGCTTTCTCGCTGTTTTATGTGCAGCCTTTGACAATAGCGTAGCGCTGGGCAATTAGATGGTTTTGGTGTTCAACAAATTTCAAATCATACCTAGGTTCTTAAGATGATCCACAGGAATAATTGTTTTATTACATTCTAGATTTTTGTTTACGTCATTTTCTGAAGCAATCCGTATTTTCTGTTTTATTTGAGTATACTGACTCATTTATATTTGAAGGGTTCAAACGGAGATAATGACTACTATTAAACCCTTCAATTTGGGCAAGATTTTAATTAATGCTATTATTTGCTGGTTCCACATGATTACTTCTGAATAAATAGAAAATCTTAATATCGTCGGCAAAGAAGGTGTATGCTGCATGATTTTACGTATGTTTCTAAATCTGAGATATATGATGAAAGTAACAGGAGTCCCAAGACACATCCCTGTGGCACACCAGAACATTTTCTTTTTTGCGGTAGAGTAAGTACTGTTCATGTAGATTGTAGACGAACATTTTGGAACCGATTTTTAAGATAGGTTTGAATAAACGAAAAAGGTTTTTCAGAAAATGCATAATTGCATTTAGACACAAATGAATTATGTTTATTTGTGATTCTTATTTCTTGGTTAGATCTGAACATATTTGTTTAATTGGTTTGCTTTGAGGATACCAACCGTACTCAGAAATAAATTAGTAATACAGTTTTAATTTGCAAAAGAATAGTAAATTTTCAATAAAAATAAACTTACATCGGTCTAATTAATTTCAGTCACATTGATAACAATTAAGACTACTCAATTAGGAACTTAACAAGTTTTGCAAAAAAGTTCGGTCGATTTATTTTTTTTCCTTTGTACCCCAGGATACGGTTCTAGCTTCCATTTAAATGCTGCAGTAACTCAATACTGATGAAGTTACGAGACACTATTTTTTTTTGGCTGTACAGGGTATGATAGTCACCTCCCGGACAGGCATTTCTCTCTCATACATTTTCTGTTGGAAAGTACCTTCTGTAATGTAAATAAAAAAAGGAATATCCATTTGTAAAAATAAAATCATAGATAAAACTCCTGCCTGCGAGAATTAATTAAAATATTTTTTGCCCGGCTAACTGTGAATGTTTAAAATCCATACCATATTTTCATCTAAAAATATATCGTGCTGCGCATTCCAGATTAATTGTTAACATGCAAAAAATATTTGTTCTCAGATATTTCAAGCTTCCAAGCTTTCTTCAACTACATTGACATGCGAGCGCTGTTAGAAAACTTCTGCGTTTACCATGTGAATGCTCCTGGGCAAGAGGAAGGTGCTCAGACACTTCCTGAAGAGTAAGTATAGATTTTCACTTTTAAAAAAAAAAATCACAGATTGAAACGCTTTCTCAAAGTTATAATGATTTTCCACGGTTTTTTTCACGTTTTCAAAAACTACGAACAGCGTTGCGGAAAACCACCACCGTGCCCGCGTTAAGCTACATCGCAAAAAAATTAGGAATGATTTGTATTTTCTACTTGACATAATAATAATAATAATAATAATAAGTTTATTGCAAAAGAAAAAGTATAGCAGTAGTAGATGAAAGACAATATTATGCAATAAACGAATAGACCCAAAACAGTTTTGCAGAAACTTGTGCTTGGGCATGAGCTCATGTATAAATTACTTAAGACTAAAAAAAAAAAACAAAAAATATATGTATATAAAATTCATTAGACAAGTCCTGGTAAAATTTTTAAAAAGACACAATCGGGACGGAGACGCAAAATCGGAACGTAGACGCAATCGAGATAGAGACAATATTGAAACAAAAGGCAATATTAGGTGAATAGACAAGAACAAAAATTGGTAAAAATAAGTCATAAAATGCAGTAATTCAGGGGGTAAGAATTCAAACAGTTTGATTTATACATTTTTTTTTTCATTTTGAACTTTCAAATATCTAGAGAGATTTCCGCTTTCAGTAGTAGTAGATATTTTTGATATCAATCGCTTGATGAATCTTGAGCCTGTGCTGGTCCAAAATCCACAGTCGTAGATGCCTTTTCATAACCTTTGTATTTTTAATATCTTTTATCTGATGGGGGATTAAGTTATATATTTTTGGTCCTAGGAAAGTGAAACTCCTCTGACCTATGGTCTTTTTAGGCTTTGGTATGCGTACTGAATGATCTTTGGATCTGGTGTGATGGTCATGTGGGAGGAAATTTAATAAATGCTTATGTTTTGTAATATATGTGAACACACACTCAAAATAGAGTTGCCTACAATCACATATCTTGGATACCTTATATATCATATCGGTTGGATATGTGTTAGTTTTGCGGAACATGATTTTAAGAATCCATTTCTGAGTTATTTCTAGTTTCCTGTAGTATTTATTCAACACCGGTCCCCATGCCAAAATTCCATAAGTTAACAACGGTTGTACTAACGTTTTGTATATGGTGCATAAGTCTTTATCAGAAAGAATTTCCCTAAAAAATTTAAATTTTGGTATAAGACATCTTAATCTCTTCGTTAAGCTTTCTATTTGTTTGTCCCATTTTAGGTGGCTGTCTATTATGATTCCTAGGTATTTTATATGATTTGCTGGCTTTAGGACCACTACTTCATCTATGGGTGGTAATTTGATGTGTATGTTAGTGAATGTGGGACTGTTCCTATCATCACATGAAAAAGTCAGATATAAAGTTTTTTCATAATTGATTGTTAATATTTTATTATTGAAGAAGCTTATAATGACTCTGAAATCCTCTTCAATAAGAGTCTTTAAGATATCCCAAGATTTTTCGCTATAAAAAACAGCCGTATCATCTGCGAACCCGATAATTTTGCCGTGTGTGTGTAGGTTAAAAAGATCATTTACATATAGGTTGAACAGGATAGGTCCTAATACTGTACCTTGTGGGATACCGTATGTTACATGATGCAAGTCGCTGATGGAATTATTAACTTTTACACATTGATTCCTATCTGAAAGGTAGCTTTTGAGTAAAGTATGTGTTTTGCCACGAAATCCTAGATTCTCCAAAGTAGTTAGTAATTCTTTGTGTTCAACTGTATCAAATGCCTTCTTTAAATCTATAAAGACACACGCCGATGGGTTTCCTAAGTCTAGACTGGTATACACGTTTTCCATCAAAACTGCAATTGCATCTTGTGTGGATTTTCCTTCTTGGAAACCATATTGCTGCTTAGATAGAAGTCTATATTTAGCAATAAAATTAGTAAAACGGGCCTTCAAAACTTTTTCAAAAATCTTTGAGAAAATGCTTAGTAGTGAGATTGGTCTATAATTGGAAATTTGTGTCTTTTCTCCAGATTTGTGTAGTGGCTTTACTAGTGCTGTTTTTAGTGCATCAGGGAATATAGCTTTGTCTATGCAAGTATTGATGAGGTACGATAAGACACTTAAAATGTTGTTACAGATTTGTTTGAGCGTGTATGATGTTATACCATCAAGGCCTGGCGATTTATTTAGCTTTAGTTGGCAAATAATATTATTTACCTCAAGCGGATCAGTTGGTGCCAGATAAATTGAATTTTGTATTCGCGTTCTTTCAAATTTTTCATGATGCGTCATATTTTTTGCCAGTATTTCCCCTACTTCTGAAAAATACCTACAAAATTCATTCGCTGTATCTTTATCATTTATTGTGAGTTTATGTGTCGTCTGACTTTCTACAAGATGTATATGTACTGGCTTTATTTTATTGTATTTGTTTACGAACTGCCACATTTTTGTTGGGCTGTCTTTGTTTTTGTATATATTGTTTTTGAGAAAGTTTGTTTTTGCCATGTTAATGACTTTGGTTAGCTTATTGCGATACGTTTTAAAGTCGTTTAGTAACTGAGCGTTTTCAGGATGATTTTTTGTAGCCTTATACAGTTGGTTTTTTTTATTAATTGAATTTACAATCCCATTAGTAATCCATGGCTGTCTCTTTATCTTGTTACGATTTATTTCAATTGTTTTGGAGTTACTGTCTATGTATTTTCCTAGAAGTTTTACAAAAACATTAAATGCTTTGCCTGGATGCTCTTCATTGTACACATCATACCAGTTTTCGGTACTTAAGGCTTCATTCAGCTTTTTGTAGTTTATATATGTCCTGTATTTTTTCGTTGTTTTTTGTTTAAATTCTTTATTGTCTTTTATAGACAATTTTAGTATTATGGGAAAATGGTCTGTAATGCTATAATGCAATATAGCCGAAGAAATACAGTCAGATGATAAAAAAGGTGAATTTACGAAAATATGATCCAGGCATGTTGCACTACTCCTCTCCACTCGTGTGTAGCCGTTTATAGCTGACAAATAGTTATGTTCGGCCATAATGTTAAGGTACTCATAGGAGTGTGGATTATTTTCGTCCATAATGTCTATGTTCAAGTCTCCGATCAATAAATTGACATCAACTGTTTCATTTGATTGCAGAAAATCGTTCAGTCTACTATTGAATAACGGTATCTCAATGGATGGTGATTTGTATATACCTATTATTTGTACTTTTCTGTTCCTGAATTCGACAATTACTTTCAAAGCTTTTGTTTCATGGATGTCAATTATTTCAAAATATGTGCTATAACATTTCTTAGTATATATAAGTTTTATATAAAATGCAAATGAATTCAAATCAGCTGTTAGTTGCAATATATGTCACCAACCAGTGATTTTCTTTTTTATCTCTGTTTTTTTAAATTCAGCAAATTCAGCCAAAATTATAAATGTTATCCATTAGGTATACTCGTAATGTATGAAACTTTGCCTGTATTTTGCTTTCTCTCTCATTATGAAATAGACTAGTCCAGGTAGCCGCTATACAGGGTTATCCAAATTAAGTGTCCACCATTAGTAACTTTGTTATTAGTGAAAATACAAAGTTGTTTGAATTAGCAAACTAGTAGCATTTTTAACGCTGGTAAAAATGAGAAATAAAAAAAAACAATTGAGAGTCGTTATTTTGATTTTTTTCAGTAAAATAACATTTTTTTAAATGGAAACCCCTGTATATTATATTTTTTTCTGTTAAAGCATCAAATTTTAAACAAAAAAGTTCATAATGACTTTTCCGCTAAAGTCAAAAATAAAGTCAAAATAACGATAAATATTTTTAATTATTTGCAGTATTATAATATTAAGACGGCTATGAAAACAACATGGCGTTCGCGATTTGACAGCATTAAGATAAGCGACAAATTGTTAAACTGGACATACTCGCAACTAGAAGGCTTTGGAAAACAATGATAAAATCAAATAATGTCAAACATTAGTGTAAATACTTGTTTATAAGCTTTATTGTGTCATTAATTTAAAGAAAAATGTTCTCCCATGAAGAAAAGTGTGATATGTTAGAATGCTATTTAGTGTGCAGAAAATCCTCCTTGAGAGCAAGAGAATACTACAGTGAATTATATCCCGCTCGCATTCAACCGTATGAACGATATTTTCTGAGACTTTATCGAAAATGTTTTTGCTAAAACAAGGGCAAAAAAAGAATTCATAATAAGCGAGGCCACGGAAATTGCAGTTATTGGATATTTTGAAGCTTATCGTGAGAATTCAATAGCAGATATTCTCAAGGACTCTAATTTCAGTTATGGTACTGTTCAAAGGATTTTAAAAAAATACAAATTTATTCCGTATAAGTACCGACCAGTTCAAACGCTTTTGGCAGGGGATCCAGAGAGAAGACTTGTTTTTTGCCATTGGTATCTTAGCTTCTGTCGCCAAAATGTAAATAACTTTCGTTACCTTTTATGGACAGATGAATCAAATTTTTCAAATTCTGGAATGTTTAATAGAAAAAACCACCATTATTGGTCAAGAGAAAATCTTTTGTTAGTACATCCAAGAGGCCCACAAGTCCGTTTCAGTTTCAACGTTTGGTGCGGTATAATTGGTTCAAAAATTGTTGGCCCGTTCTTTTATGAGGGAACCCTAACTGGTGAAAGATATGTGGAATTTATGTCAGAAATTCTGACTAATTTCTTAGACGAATTGGATCTTATAAGTAGACATCATCTGCATTTTCAGCAAGATGGCGCACCGGCCCACAACTCCAGAGGTACTTATCATTTTCTAAGTACTACTTTTAATGATCAGTGGATAGGAACAAATGGCCCAATACAGTGGCCTCCCAGATCACCAGATCTAAACCCACTTGATTACTTCTTGTGGGGTTACTTAAAGAACCAAATTTACAAGCGAAGGTACGATAACCTTGACGCGTTAAAGACTGCAGTTAGTGAAAAGATAACCCAGATAGATGGTAGGACCATACTTAAGACAGTTCGAGCAGTTGAAAAACGTGCCCAAAAATGTATTGAAGAACAAGGTGGTGTTTTCGAGCATCTTCTTTAAAAAAAATTGTTATTGTATTTTGTAAGATTATAAGTTGATGTTGAAAATAAAGTTTGTCGATACAATTTAATTGTTTCAGATTGGAGGCCATAACTTCAACAATTTGTAACCTAGGAGAAAAGTTATTGTAAGCTTTTTTGTTTAAAATTTGATGCTTTAACAGAAAAAAATATAATATACAGGGGTTTCCTTTTAAAAAAATGTTATTTTACTGAAAATAACGACTCTCAATTGTTTTTTTTTATTTCTCATTTTTACCAGCGTTAAAAATGCTACTAGTTTGCTAATTCAAACAACTTTGTATTTTCACTAATAACAAAGTTACTAATGGTGGACACTTAATTTGGATAACCCTGTAGTGTCACTAGTTCATTTCACGTCTACTACTAATGAAGTAAATGTCAGCTAGTTCAAAGGTGACATTTTATAGGAAGACCTACATAATGCCAAAAAAAAAACTATATAATGTCATAGAGATTCGATATATGTAATGCCAATTTTTAAATTACATAATACAATAATTTTTGAAAATTTCCACTTCTTTAAACTTTCAAGTTTATCAATGCAAAATTTCGATTTCATCAATAGATTTTCGCCTAGACCTATGACTGAGATTTTCTCCAATAGTAGCCTTCAAATTATCGTATCACATGTCAACGAATTCCTACTTAGTACCCTGATTTAAAATATGACTATCAAAAAAAGTATCGAAAAACCAAAGACTGCCTTTAGAGTCATGATCTACGCATCCGATTTACTGACACACAATATTTCGGGGAAGATGCAGATATGCGAAAATTCAAAGTTTCTCAATGCAAAATTTCCATTTTTACCCGGCGAGTGAAACTTTATTACATGGAGGTAAATTGGGGCGCTGATTCAAAAATGGCCATTAAATAATGGTGAAGCCTTATTTGGACAAGGGAATGAAACTGTGTGGTATCCCCGTGATCTCAGCGAAAACCTGGTTATGGATAACTCTAGATTTTGTTTAAAAACTTCAACAGTATGCCTTCAAACTTAAAGTTCATGACTAAAATAACGTACTCTGTAAAAACATATCTGGTGAATAATTTAGTCCAAATAAGTTAATGGTCACACTGACCTTGCATAACGTATCCCAATTGGACACGATTTTGTTCAGTTCAATCCGGATATCATTGAATCAAATTTAGGTAATTAAATCGTACTGATTTTTCTGACGATCGCTCTGCACCTTCTAGATGGTATCAATGCGACACCAATTATCGCATTCGGAGTTGATAATTATGAAACTATTTGTAGACGCATGCCGGTTGTTTGATGCGGTTTGAACTAGTACCACTTAATCTTACAGGATTTTACAGTAAACCGTTGTATAAGCAGCAATGATATTTCATTACATTTCCGAATTTTTTCGAACTGCCGTTTGAAATATTTTTTATTGGAGTCTAGATAAAAATGACGCACCGTTTTTTGTGAAGAAGCAACTGCAAATAAAGGGCCTAAGTACCGAGTAATACGATTGCCTTACAGAGGTTATATTAGTTCATTTTAATACCAGTTTTGAAATGGCTAATGTTAGTGGAACTTGGCAAAACTCATTCTGGAAGATTGTTCCTCATTGTCGAGAAAGAGAAACCAGGAGCTCACTTGTCATCTGAAGAATAATAATATTATCAATTGCATCATTTTATGACTGTTAACATATTATCACTAAAGTCAGTACCAGTGCTAGTCTTGTGGATAAATCAGAATCGTATATTCCGAATCCCATGGACGTTATATTGACGCTAGGTCCTACGAGGGTTCCAAGCGACCAAATTTTTGCTTAAAATTCGGCCTCGCGATGCTTGATATTTGAGTTTTGCGACCCAAATTATATAATAATAAGTTTCATTCGCAAAATGCCATCAAGTAGATTATACACATACAAAGACATCAAATATGCAAGAATTTACTACCGTTCACCGCGTACAGCTTTCAACCTACAATTTTCAGGCACTCCAAACAAGGTAAAAAAATGAGCTGAAATCTCTGAAACGTTGTAACACTATTCAGCGATTTTATTTTCGCTGCCTCTGAATAAATTTTCAAAGTCTACGACTCCCTAAACGACGGAAGTATTAAACCCGCTATAATATTCGGTTCACAAGTTTCTGTTGCTTAAAGATATTCGCATCGCACTAGTCCGTGTTTCACATTTAAGTTGGTTCGTCAGACCGTGTCTGTTGTATATCATTGCGTCATAAGTACTGAGTCAGTCAGACGTTCATTTGTTTTTTTTCCTTTTGTAACCATACAGTGTGTTGTGGCAACAGCCTGGAAGGAAAACTGCTCAACCCTTTGTTTCTATTTATTTCCAGCTACATCTACCCGACTATGGACGAGCTCGCCAATCAGCTGAGCTTTGTTCTAACGCACTTCGGCCTAAAGCAGTTCATCGGTTTCGGCGTGGGCGCCGGGGCCAACGTGCTCTGCAGATACGCCTTGAACAACCCGGAAAGGGTATCCGCCCTTTGTCTGGTCAACTGCATCAGCACGCAGGCAGGCTGGATAGAGTGGGGGTACCAGAAGCTGAACGCGCGCCATCTAAGATCCAAAGGCATGACGCAGGGCGTGCTGGATTATCTCATGTGGCACCACTTCGGCAGGGTAAGAACTAAAGAGGGTTTTGTTTCCCTCTTTCCTTAACGGTCATCACCCAAGCTCCTGTTAAAACTATGTCCGCAAGATGGCAGCAGAAGCTCTATTTTGAGGTTGGGCTGTTACAAATATCGATTTACATCAAATTGTCCATGATTTTTATTTTTAACATGTGTTTTATCAGCCTGAAATTTCTCGTAATTCAAAAAGAAAACATAACATCACAATAGGAGAGCGCTGACGCTGACACAGAACTGTAGCAATCTAATACCCGAGAATGACAGGAGCAAAACACAAGACGACGACACGAGACCTAGACCATACTTGCATATTATGGATTCCAATAAGCTACTTGACTCGTATCTGATTTTATAAAATAAATAAACGAAAAATATCGTTTTCAATTTTTAAAAGCGCAAGATGGATAGATAAGTCGAATTTAAATGAATATATTTTTTATTTTTAATATGAAACGGTGAAAACACTATCGGCCATGGTGTGACGTCATACAAATTGTAAACAAAGAAACGTCATCCGTATGCCGCTCGTGGTCTTCTTTAAGTATTTCCCAGGAACTCCTAATCAACGTAAAAAGTTATCGGTTACTCGTTTTATTGAAAAAAAAATCATGGACCTTGGATACGAAAAAGCAGAAAGCACGAATTTGCCGAAAATGTACACTTTGATGGTTGGTAATTTTTTTGCCTTCAATTCAGATTTCTGCTCTGCTGAGCTAAGGAACACCTGATGTAATATAAATTATATAGTAGAAGTCATGTTTATAAGCTTAACATTTTGATGCTACGGTCAGCTGCAGTTTACAAATGGTATGACATCAGAGCAAAACATGGCGGACAGCATGTTCGCCTATCTAAGAAAAATATTTTTCTAAATTGAATTTTTACGGTCGCTTAGGTTTAAAAAAATATTGTGTTCATTTGTTTGGTCTGATAGAACAAATATTAACTATTTAAGACCTACTTAAGACTGATTTTCTTGGGGTAGTGATGGAATTGCATCGTTTCAATCATTTTCATCAAGAGCCCCAGAATAAGAACTATATCTCTGCGGTGTGTTATATGAAGCTTAAAAGTGCCATCGACAACGTAATACTAAGGCGTTTGCTATAGACAGTCTGTATAACAAATACGATGACACAGTCATGGTCGCCACACTTAGCTCCCTGTACGGATTCCTTCATAAACTTAATGTTTGATCAAATATTCTATCAGTTCAAAATTGGCTGAGTCCGCATTGACGGTTCGAGATGAAGCACCGTTTAACGAGCTGTTTCTTTTTGCCCTGCCATAGAAAATATTGTCCATATTTCCAGCAAACTGAAGAGAGAAACCACGACCTGGTCCAAGTGTACAAAAGCTATTTTGAGCGCAACGTGAACCCGACGAATCTCAGCATGTTCATCGATAGCTACATCCGTAGGACAGACCTGAACATCCACAGGGAGATGGATCCCAACAAGAAGAAGAACGCCACGCTCTCTATGCCAGTCATCAACATCACAGGGTCACTGAGCCCACACATGGACGATACTGTCACGTTCAATGGACGATTGGATCCGACGAACTCCTCTTGGATGAAGGTAATGCTCATTTATTCTGAGCTGTTTGGATGTGCCCGCGAAAATATACGTACTAATAGTAAACTCATTTACTGTATCATTTTTTCTTCGGCAAAGCCAGACGTATACAAATTAAAAGTAAATAATTCGTTGATTGGTTGTATCTCTATTCAAAATACAGTTGCAACATCTATGGTCGATGTACAGGCAATGCCTCCTAAGGGCGGTTACTTCATATTTATTTACTCATTCGTTGTATTCTGTTTGAAGAGTAAATAAATATTATTATTATTATTATTATTATTATTATTATTATATCCAAGAAATCGACGTCAAACCGGAAATGGGGGATAAACCAAGTCATCATTATCAGAAAAATAAAAAAATCTAAGTCGTGTACTTTGCAAATTATAGGCTTTAACAAAATCGGAAAAATCTGCACCCTGTGATGGTCTTTTAGATCCTTTTTAAATTTGGTGGCACTAAAAAATCATGAACTAATAAAAGTGGCGTTACTGCCACTACGTAGAAGGACACTGCACAGAAAAGAAATGAAATTTGTACTGATTGGAACTAAAAGATCATCACAGGGTGTAGATTTTTTCGATCTTCTTAACGCCTATAATTTGAAAAATACACGACTTAATTTTGTTTATATTGTTTCTTTCAGTCTATGATATTCCTGCTCCTCAAATCTTCCATAACAGCATCCTTCCACCTGCTAGGTGTCTTTTTTTTCTTCTTGGCATCCGGAACTCTCCATGCCAGGGTGAAAGTTCACATTTCAAAACGTTGGATCGGAGCGCAACGTGCTTTTGCTGTCGAGGCTTACTTTAAGAGTGGTGAAAAAATGTATTAAGAGGTTCTACTCATTGTCAACCCATTCCTGACCCCACACCTACTATACCAAGCGAAGAAAATGTGCGTCGCATAAGTGATTCGGTCATTGCAAATCCTCGGCGTTCTGTACGGAAGCATTCCGCTGCTTTGGGAATCCCTAGGTCAACACTCATTGTTTTTAGTGGCGAGGCCCATTTTCAATTAGACGGTTATGTGAACAAGCAAAATTGCAGATATTGGGCACCAACGATCCCAGAAGAGAAACATCAACAACAGCTACATAGTCCAAAGGTGACTTGGTGCGCCATATCCTCTAGCGGTATTTCTTCGAAGATGAAAACGGTCATGCATTGACAGTCAATTCCGAGCGATACAAGGACATAATTGACACTTTTTTGCTGCTATTGTAAGAACAGAACGTCGACTTAACAGAAACACATCGTTTCAACAGGATGGGGCTGCCCATACTTCCAGAGAATCGATGGACACGGTGAAAGCACTTTTTCCTGAAAAAGTTATAACGACATTCACTGGCCTCCTAGGTCATCCGACCTCATGCCATGCGATTATTTTTTGTGGAGTCTGCAATCAAGTTTACATGGGTACGATAGGTGCTCCTCAAAAATTTAAAGCAGATCTATTTTCCTCCACTGTTCGAGAAATGCCCAGAAAAGTCTCAAAAAGTCGATTTACCTCCATTATTTTCAGTTAAGGGGAGGCTGCATATACTCTATTTCACGAGTATCTATCACGGTAGAATGACAGTTAGTTATCTAGTAATACGAAAGAATACTACGTAATACTTCAAAATTCCCCGTATCGGCACAGGACACATAAGTCTGACATCTATCAAAGAACGATTTTTTCAGAACATCAGCTGATCGCTTGGAATCTATCATAGCTGCCACAATAGTTGACCATAACCTCAAATACCTAACATTTTACCACTCTACCGTTCCTCATGTGAAGGATGGTACAAGTCACAAAACTAATTTTGTTAGCATTTAATTTCAAGTGTTGACAGCCGTATTTGATAAATACTTTTCAAACTGTCCTTGAAAGCAATTTACCAATGCGAAGGATGTCAAGCAAACACCCTAGCAACGATAAAAATTCACAAGCGACTTATCGAAATCCATTTACAGTTAGGAACTTTTATCTTACAGACTAAATAGATTAGCATTTCATTCGAAAATCCTTGAGCAAGTAAAATCGGTCTCCATTCATCCTTGTTAATATAGTGTAGCAGCTTGAGGTGACCTACATGCAAACGCAATAGATCTAATCAATAAGAGATTTACATAATCCAATTTATCCTTCGCATAAAGTGGATGTTTCCAGTTTAACTTCTTGATTATATGGGTTTGGAATACAGTAAGTTCTCCTCAAGCCTAAACTCGAAGAAATTATCTTCTAATGGCTTTCGAATATCGCTGCTGCAAAGTTGAGTATGACTGACGAGGTTGCATTAGCGCTTAGAGGTTTCTGATGTTGGGGAAAGAGCGGATACGTTTATTTTCGCGTGATGCTTTTTATTCAATATGTACGCAAAAATTGCCTCAAATATCGCACTTTAAGCGATCTAAAATCGACAGGCAGTTGATTTTCTCTTTCCCAAAAAAAATTATAAACTACTCACCGTTCATCGAAAGGAAATTTCAAGTACAGCTCTCTTGCTTATATGTATTGTTCAAAGTTGCCTGCGATAGTTTCAAAGACACATGTACATATGTGGTCGTTGTAGCCAAGCATCAATGTAGACATTTCAGTCCGCTCCATACAAAAAAAAATAAACACGAAAACGATCTACAGGCCCGCGAAGCCTGGGTATAATTTCGAAGACACTGACCGTAAATTAAAATAATACGGGCAACTCCGATATTGCTGTATGAGTATGCCGTTTTAGTTTTGTTTTTTAGAACCGATGTGTAAAGGTTTTGTTTACCAACGCGGGCAGCGCCTGGAGTACTGATGGGTATGGCAGATGTTCAGGTTTGATCTGATGGAGGTGCAGGACCGGATTAGGTTTTGTTTAGGTTTGATTTATTTTGTGGAGCCTAACATCTCGGCAATCTTAATAGTTTGGTGTATATGTTACTAGAAAAAATTATTATTCGACGTGTAAAGTCCTAACTTTGAGTACACCCTGTATTTATACACTTACAGGCCCGATAATTCTACGCACCTATTAGACATATGCCACTCATACTTTTGCCCATAGATTTGTCATTAAGAGGGAATCACAGTAATATTTTCAATATCCGCGTCGAGCGCAATGAAAATACCCATTAAACCTGTCGCGAACTAGCCACTGGCAGAGCTTACTCATCTCCACTTTGATTGTATACCCAACGTTGACGCATGATCGGTAAGGCAGACAACTGTCTAGATCGTACAGTTGTGAAATGGCTGGGGACGAATTTTGCGCGTCTATTTGACTGACTCGATCAATTCCTTTGTTTTGCGTACTCCTAGTTAACTGTTTTCTAACTTGAGCTGATCATAGTCTCCTATGAACAGACACATTGGAGATGCAGTCAACCTACTTGACGCCATTTTGCAATGACGTTTTTATGCTCATGTGTTGAAAAAACATATTTGGAATTCGTGGATTGAAAGAAAACTTAATTCCGAATACTAACAGGACGTGATAATTTATGTAAAACTGTCAATGTTAGGGAATGAGGGTTGTTTCCCTCTTATCTACCTTCGCGGTGGAGGTAGTATGGATCCTAAGGACATGGCCTGAAAAACCTATTACTATGTGTAGATTATTCAATGGCAAGTAGACCTCATCTACTTTACACCCACAATCGTCAGCCATCTAGCGGTAAAATGGTGACTGGGCTATTTACGGCGAACTTTGACCTTTGCAGTTTCAAAAAAATAGCATCTATGCGCTCTCTTTACGCTGTCGTACTTCGATAAACCGTACCTCCGGGATAGAGGATAGTTGCGATGATTTCCTTCGCTGATGAGTAGCCAAGAAGCACGAAACAGCAGTCACGTTTTAGCTTTGGGTTTCGCTACTTCTCATTTGTAGAAAAAAGTGAAAACAGACATGATATACTTTTTGGGGGAAATAGAAATATTTAGTGTAAATGGAATTTTTGGAAAATACGCCATAGCGATTCAATCTCCGTGACTTTTTTTTCAGATATCGGACTGCGGGATGGTGTTAGAAGAGCAACCAGGCAAAGTCAGCGAAGCATTCAGATTATTCCTGCAAGGAGAAGGCTATGGTAAGTGAACCTTTTCACAAACTAAACCTCTTCTTTAAACACTAAAAATAGTGATATCAAGACTTGCACTAAGAACAATAATTTATCTGTTACGTTCAACATTTTCCCAAAAGTTTCAAACTGAGAAGTTGGTAATGTTGAGAGTATTTCAAATATATTGGATATGGCTTTCTGTTGCCACCGACACACTGCTAAGGACACTGCTTTGCGATTTACTTTAGATTTGGTGGCAAATTCTTTTTATGGAACAGTTTCATCGACAATTCTGGAAACGTGCTTATGAGCGAGACGAAAATCTTGCATTCTTGGGAAAATTTTTCCAACTCATTTTGTTTTCGGCGTGAACCAAGGGGTTGTCGGGCGGTAGATCGCAACCCTAGTATATGAAATCCTCGCTAAAACGTCAATTTTGCTCGTTTTTACAAAATTTTTTCTAGATTACTCATTTTCCTCATTTTTTTCGAGGAGACCTGATGACCATACTTAATGTGTTTCTGGCCTTAAACCGCATATAACGCGAAAGCGGTCAACTTCAGAGAAAAATGTATACTTAATTAATTTACAATTTGTTAAACAAAATTGTTACAACAAATTTGCCTCGGGCTTCCGCCCGGCAATGTGATGATTCGTGCTAAGGAGTATCCAGAAAAAGTGACGTTGGGAAAAAGTGTTGGAAAATTTCTCCCATGTATGCGATCTCTATACAGGGCGATTCACAAGTCGTGACTAGAAATGAAACATCGTACACAGGATCGCATCTTAAGGGTGGTCTTCTATGTAACGATGAACTTTAAAAATAAAAAACTTTTTTTTAATATATTCAAAATCGTCAACTGGAATGAAGTAAAATTTGGTTTGTGGATTTTCCTACGGATATTCCACATTCAAAAGTATTTACTTAAAATCAACGTGCACCAGTGGCGGAGATACGGTGGCATTATTTTTTCAAATAAAAATAGTATGCCACTGTTTTTTTTAGAAAGGCGCAATTTATCGAATTTTACCTTCAATTTGTTACAAATAATTACTCTTGTTTTTTCCTATAGTGCACTGTTTTCGTAGAAATAAAAATAAAACTAACTAGAGCAGTCATGAAGAGCCGAGATACAAGTAGTTTCAAAATACAATAGAAGGCCTTGATACCAACTTGACTGTATCTCCGCCACTGGTGCACGTTAATTTCAAGTAAATAATGTTGAATGTTGGCGATACTTAGGTAAATTGACATAACAAATTTTAGTTCATTTCAGTTGACGGTTTCGAATATACTATTTTTTTTTTTATTTTCAACACCTTTTTAATGAAGCCCTTGGGGATGAAATGTTAGATAGAAGCCCCCTTAAAATTTTTGGTCACTGCTTGTGAATCACCCTGTATACACCGCCAAAGTTAAAACAGTGGTTTACAAGAAATATATCCATAACAGAAGTAGTTGGTAATTAATAAGAAAGTAGAATAGTATTTATTTTTCTTGAGGTTCAGCTAGCAGACAATATTCATGAAATATCTGAATTAAAAAAAATATTCTAGAACTCGATTTGCCGTCTCTTGATTCTAGTAACTACAGAAAATCTAGTACTATACCACGATGTAGTTGCGATTAGTAGTAGTTCGTAAGAAGAGTTTGCTCCTACTGTCGTTTTTAAGTCAACGACCAAGTAGAAATGTTACACAAATACACTGAGTTTATTTTGTTTTACAATGATTGCGTTGGTTGGATATGCGCGAATGGTATGTATTTTTCAAATGTAATTTTACGTTCACATTACATTTCTCACATTAAAACTGCTAAATTACATTTTTTTTATTTTTTTCTGTTTTGTTGTGATTTCACAGCAAGTTCAGTGAAGCTGTGCCCTAAAATAGAACCGGTCTTAGAAAAATATTAAGCTGTTAATTAGGCAATGCTATATTGATATGGCTTTTGTACAATCATAGCTATAATTTGTTGCGTCCTTTTGGTATACCTTCAATCGGGACATTCAGATCTACAAATTGAATAGGGTATTATCTAAATGGATAAAATTGTATTCTTTAGAATGGAAATAGATTTCTCCATGATGATACAGTTTGTCGGTTTTTCGCCTAGAAACTTTTTTCTAATCAACTGTATTTCCCGCCAATAGGATGAAACGTGACCATTTATGTTAAGTCAAACTGTGAACGTCAGAGAATAAAGATTATTTTTTCCACATCTGACGGAACCTTCTATATCTATTCATAGTGGTCATATTATAAGGTCAGGGAGAGGAATAGTACATCACATATCTAGGTTGAGAAGTGGCCATTACCGGGCGAGCACTTTTATAAATCCTACGAAACCAAAAATGGCCTTCTCAAACGAGGTATGTATAGAATTGTTTTCACTACTAACTCTAAATATCACAAAATATTCGATTTTACATCACGGTCTTGAAAAACATATTACATCACGCCTTTGGCGCTAAATTTACGCTTGAATTTTGGAGGCAAGTTTTGTCACTCTAGTTCATACACGAAAATACTCAGAATAATATCGTAATGCCACAGGTGGCAGGTCTGAGGTCAGATTTGAGGTATATCACTACATCGTGATAACGATTTCAATATACTATATGAATAGAAATTTATTATCACAACCTTATTGCCAACGGTAGATATGGAATTAACTGAAATCTATCTTTGTTCGTATATATTGTAGTAACGGTGGACAAAAATATGTTTAATAAAAGGGTTTTATGATATTCCGTATACCATGCACCCATCCAGCTGGTGGAAACGTAATTCACACATTGTATTTCTATCAGCTTACTATAGCACCAACTAACATATTTAGTAACATCAATATTTGCCTTTATATGGTGTGGAGCCTTCTAGTTTTCTGATTTTTCTCTTCTGCATTTTCAACATTTTTCATGCCACGATAATTATTTTAGAATAATGCTTTTACGAGTCAAGTAGTCAGACGCTTTCCTTAAGTTTATTGATCCCTGAAACCTGTACACAGGGTGATTGACAAGTCGTGACCAAAAATGAAACATCATACACAGGACGGCATTTTAAGGGGGGTCTTCTATGTAACGTTTTGTCCTTGAGGGCTTCATTCATCAAATACGTTTTTCTGTATTAAAAAGATACATTACATTTATTGAAATAAAGATTTGATTATCGATTTTGTTTTTTACGAAAACAATGCACTCCAGGAAATAAAACACAAGAGTTTAGAAAAAACAGTGGCGTACTATTTTTATTTGGAAAAATAATGCAGCTAATCCCCTGTATCTGCGCCACTGGTGCACGTTAGTTTTAAGTAAAGACTTTTGAATGTGGACAATACTTAGGTAAATCCGCATACCAAATTTCAGTTCATTTCAGTTGGCGGTTTTGAAGATTTTAAAAATAATTGTTTTTTATTTTTAAACTTCAACATCCCGTATCTTTTTAATGAAGCCCTTTAGGAAAAAATGTTATATAGCCTTGAAATGCGGTCCTGTGGATGATGTTTCATTTTTAGTCACGACTTGTGAATCACCCTGTATATTTATTAAAATTTCGTGATCTAGCTTTCAAGTTATGCTTGTGTCATTATCGTTAAAAAATTACGACTTTTTGTTATTTTTTGTCTTAATAATGGTGTAATCTTGTATTTCCTTTGAAGTTAGATTTCCATACTACCGAGTAATGCGACTATAAGAAACGAAAAAGTACAATCGGTGCCAAATTAAGGTTACGTTTCCTCCACAAATAATGTCCAAAACACAAAGCGTTTTTGAGTAAAAGACAGACACTGCCTTATATAACTCAACAGCCTTAAGTGTTTTACTCATATTACAAATAATTACCTTAAAGTAGATGAATATCTGATATTGTTGAAGTATTGTTCAAACAATGTGCATTTATGAAATGAATAAAATATAATATCTACAACCGACTTTTCTTGTAGAACCGTTTATTGTTCCATCAAACATGACCAAAGTTTGAGTACTTTTGCGTCTGTGAGCATTTAAAATCCTCGCAAATATTTTACCTGAATTTTTACTATTTTGATTTATCTATTTTACGGCACTGCTTCCAAAATACTTGAGCTTGATATTGATTTTATGCTTTCGTCAACCTAGCACATACTATTCGTCCGCAGACTCACCAGTGAGCGTTTTTAATTTCAATTTATTTTTATTTTTCAGCTATACATTTCAAGCGTCCTAGTTCACAACAACGAATATTGCCATCTAAATGAACAAATACCATCTCTTCCTAAACATTCCATGACGTTTAGATTCATTTAAATGTAATGAACTAACATCACGCACAAATTCAACGTGATAATGACATGTGCCTCCAGACAGTATGATTGTTTAACTAATAAGATGAATTAAGAGTGATACTTGTTTCCCACATATGGTCTTATATCTATGGTGGAGAAACTAAATAGTTAGCACACACAGTTTTGTATAATAAAATGTGTGAACCTGTCTCATCTGCCCAACAGTTGTGGAAAGTTTCAAATTCACAATATAGTCAAGTTGCTACATAGCGCTTCAATTTAAATATGGCAACTTGAAGAAAACATTTGAAAAAATTTCAATGAGAATATTTTTTTGTTTTGTATAACCATTGATTAACGTACTCTACCTGAAGAAAGCAACCTAATACCAAAGAGTGGTTATATCAAGAGGAGACAGATAGACAATGCGAACGAACGCGAGAGAGAGAGAGATAAAAAATATAACCCAAAACTAAACAGCTGATAGCACATGCTGTTCTGATTTGCTCAGAGATAAATGCGATGTTGCCAATTTTTTGTTTCTCCGGGAGCAATAGGTATTTCGAGGTAATCAAATCCAATAGTTTAAGAATAGACCCATTGAATTCTTGCCCTATGTTTGAAAAACTTCCTGTACATGACTAAATTACAGTTTTTATCGTATTTCTGTCCAAATATCTGAATTTCCAATTAACTACCTTAATCACAGAACACATGAGGCTCAATTTCCAATAATACACGAACGGAACAGTGCGAACAAGCCGAAAAATGCAGAATCATTTTATTTATATTTGCGTCAAGCTCAACGTATAGTCAACCGGACTTACACAACCATGTCCACGTCATCATCGATGCGCTTACAAATTGGTCGGCGTTGCCAGGTGTGGTGATTTTTCACCTAACCTGGTGATTTTCCACCCGTTTGTATCCATTGCAAAAAGCATTATATTAGATTCATCAAAGAGATTCGAAAGTCATAAATATTAGTGATCAAACTAGATTCGCCATGACCCTACGCCCCTAGATCCGGCATTTCATCTCAAATAATTTTTTAGACGCGGGAATATAGTATTAGGTTGGCTATCTTCAGGTAGAATGCATTAATCAATGGTATAACTATCTGCTCTCTGTCCTTGTTATGTCTATTTCCAAAATCCTGATTCTGACTTACCAACTGTTCTACTATTATTCTCACTCATCCAACTGTTCTGCTGTTTTTTAAAACAGCTTTTAAGCTACTGCTGGCAATTAGCTGGAAAATATGACAATCATAGCACACTATGCGTTGGAATCTCAACGCAATGCACAGAATATTCGTTGTAAGTGGGCTGGTGGCCACCACATCTCTCACTAGTTTTGGCAGACGTAGTCAAGGCCTGTGTCATGTTGTTTTAGCCATACAAGTGGGCAGACGGCGCTCCAGCTGTCTATCAGTAGAAGGTAAATCCTAATGATCAGAGAGTGTGAGTGCCAAGACATATGAACATCTGTGTTTAGTGCGTAGGGTAAATCACCTGCTCCCAAACTCTCCTCTCTAGTTTTTTATGTAAGTTTTTTTTTTGTGTTATGGGTTACTTCTTGCACTAACCCGAGTATGAGTTTGTTCTACTAACGACTGATATGCATTTTGGACTGCAGTTGTGATGCTGGTTTAAGGCCTTGAGTGGTTTGCTACTGGACTGAGTTTACTGATGTGGTAGAGTTTATTGAAGCATTTATTTGTATAATATACAAGATGATTCAGAGTCAAACCTACGCGATTATTTTTTTCATGGACGTGTGATTTGTGCTTACCCATATTGATCTTCGAAATAAAACATAGTGCCTAAAGATACAACTACAATATCGATAGTGTATATTAAAAAGCATTTTTAGGAAGTGAGTTGAAACAACAGTCCTCTATCACCCAATTTGCGTGTGTGTGCAAGAGCGAGTAGCAGCTGCGTTACGAATCGGCTTGCGCAACGCACATGGCGTCATCGATCAAAAAGTTCATTGATTTCGTATGGCATTATGACTTAACCGAAAAAAACCGTGAAAAGAACTTTAGAAGCTTGGAGCAACGTTGTGTCTGACATAGTATTCAATTACTTCAAATTTGATCGCGCTGATCCACTTGGAGGTGGTGCAAATGGTTCTATCGAAAACCTGACGAAAATAATGTTTTGAGGATCAGTTAAAAGCGGTGGGTGCATCGATTGCGATTGTCGTCCTAAAGAATGCCATTGTTCCGCTATTTTCGCTTCAATCTCTATTACATTGACTAATATGTCTGTTGAAACAGAGGATTCGTACTGTTCATATTGTCATTCTTTATTTCTCCTATGATCAGTTAACACAAGTGATCAAGCATGACCATTTTTATGTAGGAGATCGTCTATGATCAATGATTTTGAAGGATGAATTGGTAATTTTAGGTGAATTTCGCTTCTTATGCCTTAGTTTCTTATTATTGCATGTGTTGGATTATATATTTATTTGCTTTACAATTTACACACTAGACTAAGTAGCTAGGTATTAAGGAGTACTGATATAGAAAATATAGATAGCCTTGATTAGTATTTATTGAACACTTACACAGGGAAGGAGACACACTGAACGGATTTAAGGTGATTATCGTTCACTCCACATCTTCTGTTGAAATCATTAACAATTTTCAATCCATTTAATAATACGTGAGATTATGATGAGAAAGTTAAAAAATACAGTAACTTGAGTCAAAAAATGATATAATAACTTACTTCCAAAACGTTACATCCTTCGAATGATGTATAATTGCAGTGGCCACATCGTAAAATTTCCCATTCCATGAAATAGTCGCATTTCATGTAATTTATTATTATCCACTGTCCTCAACATGGTGTGTGTTGACGAGATCAGTTATAACAAATCGTTTATGAATATGGTCAACTTAGCGCTACTTCATGATAAGTCCGACCTCATTTGATCAAATCTTGAAATAATTTACATTAATTACTGATAGAGGCGCTGGGAGCGCTTTGATTACATAACATGGCGGCCGTTGGTTACAAATTTCTTTATCGAAGTAAAAATTTTAATAAATAATTTGTTACTAAATTGGAAAGAAACTGGGATCAAAAGAGTTAAAAATATAATCGACGACTAAGCGGGTATGGACACAGATTTTACTATATAGTCAATCGTGGATGACCGAATCGTTAAACGTTGACGCTTTAATGATATGGTCAAACTTAGTTAATCATTTTATGGAATGCGACCATTTCATGAAATGACGTTGTGACGTAACTGCCTTGATTCAGTGCACAAACTATATCTGTAAAAGGACAAAAAATATCTCCACTTGACGTCGTTAGGGTATCCATGAGACCCAATTTTTGTTAACTCTACTACATATAGTCTGTTTCACGAGTATCCATTACGGTAGGATGACAGCTCATTATCTAGTAATATATCAAAATTCCCCATATCGGCATAGGACACATAATTCTGATGGATCCGTCAATGCCAGGTTGACAGAGCCATATTTTGTTTTGATTTTTTGTACGCTACAGATTCATTTTGTACTTGCTACAGGCTCTTTTATTCAGAAAAGTTCATTTACATCCAAAAAAACAAACGCTAAGTTTTACTAGAATTCCATTATTGCAAACGTTGCAGATTACCACAAAAATGTCACTTGCTGATCAGCTGTTCACCTCAGTAGACGTCAAAGCGTGATGGATACTCGTGAAATTGGGTACAGTCGGCTAAATAGAGACTGTACCAATCCCAAGTACCGAATATTTAAACGTTAAGTTCAGAGTTCTTTTGATATTCAGGCGCTTGATTCTTACGTGTGACAAATGTCATGGTTGACGTTAACGATTGCTTATGCTGTATTCGGGATTGCCAAAACTCTATACTTTGAACAACGTCCTAGGTTATCCGGCCTCTGAAGGAATCTGGATTGCAGCTTTTTGACACAGACTAGGGTCTACAGAAATGTCTCGAAAAAAAAAGACTAATTGGGTCAAGTCGAACGACCTTGGTGCTCAATTCACGTCACTTTTGCGAAAGATAAATAACATATACCTCAGACTGTTCATGCAGAATTTCGTAGCTCTATGATAAATCCAATGTCCTCAAAGAGAAGTTAGGCCGAGTCTATGCGGCAGTTACATAAATTTGGACATATCAGTTCTGAGCCTAGACTAGTACTTGAACAATATCATACTTCATTCATATGCCTTTCAAATAAAAATAATTTCTGCAATATCTCACACACAGTTTGTTTTATTCCATTTTCCATTCAACTCATTCTTATTGATAAACTGTAACTATATACTAAATTTGCTTCGAAAATATTCCTACAAGTTTTTTTTTATGTTACAGTCGCCCCTCTATCTCCTACAAAGATGGCCATGTTCCGCAAGGCTTCAATGGAGGAATTGTTGCTCAGAGGCAAATATTCTAATGGCGGTCATCAGCAGTGGCCGACAAACATCATCCGCATTACTGAAAATCCCATATCTGCCGTCGTCTGTTAAAAAGATCGTACAAGCTGTATTGAAATTTATATTCGACTGATGACTTGTGGGACGATGTATTGATCTAAGAGAGTATACATTCGCAGGATGTGTAAAATTAGATCTGTAAAGGTGGGATTCCACTGAGACAACATTGAACGACATGAGGCATGCTACTTGTTTCCTAGTGTTGCCAAATTTTATTAATGCCTCATGCGGATTTTGTTCGTCTTCACGATTCAATTCAGGCAACTTCAGTTTAGTACGTCATTGCGTTACAAACAGCCGCGGCGGTTGCTGCTTATTTAGTAATTTCTTTGGAACGGAAAAAAAGAAAAACACCACAATAGAGGAGAAGAAATATATACCCCCTTCTTGCAGGCGATGTTCCACTCTTTTCTTCACGTAATTTTTTTCGTTCCTGATGGAACGCCGAACTCAAATTCTAATTTTTTTAATGTCCAATATCGAACAGTTATATTTTCCTATTTACATAAATTAACCATTAATAAATAAGCCAACTATTTTTGCCTCATGATCGTACAAGACCTGCCATAATTATATTTACCTGACAATTCTCGTAATGTAGCCTGCTTTAGTCGTGCATCTTTATATCTTTCCGATTTGTTGTTCCATAATTCACCCGAATTATGGTAACCTTCAATTAAACAAGATGTTTTCTCATTGGTCCATTCCATTTTGTCGCCTGCTCCAAGCCGCACCGATCCGACCGAGTTTGGATAGCCGGCGACAGTGATCAACACGTGGATTCATGTCGCCCTCGAGAGGCAAGAACAGGATATTTGTGGCATGCGACAAGGAGACATATTTTTTGTCGTTGTGTGTTGCCGCTATCGAACGACAGTGTGCCGCATGCGTCAAAGCTGTATACTACACGTTGCCCAAAAGTTGCCTCAGTAGAATCGCGCGAATTTAAAAATAATTTGCTCTTCGATAAAGCTAGTAGAGGAAACATTGATGTGTCAATACAATTTTTCGGATATTTTACGAGACGAGCGTGATTTATCAGATATGATTACTCTTGAAGGAAACTCGAGTTCACTTAGATAACATTTTATTTTTGATAGCTGGAACATATTGCTACGTCCATATTTCAAGGATGCTGCAGTTTTTCTTAGTTTCTCTGCTCATGGTTACTTATATTGCAATTCGTTCATTTAGAAAGAACAGCGGAATACGTTAAAAAATAAAAGAACTCATTTAAATCCTTATTATTTCCCTCTGAAGAATAGTGATTGATTTGTTTTTCATCAAAATTAAAAAATAATCTTCCGCCTGGAAAACCTAAGAAGTATAACATCACAGCTTGAACACGAAAATTTTCGTTTGAACTTTGGTGTGCAAACTATCGGCATTGCGTTGAGAAAAAGTTTTAAAAAATTCCACATTAAGGCATTCTTTCGCAGTTTTCTTGCTCATATATTACACGAAAAATTGTATACAATATACGTACCACATATACTAAGTTTTTTGTGATACCTTTCCACATCTTCTGTTTTGTACATCCTGTGAACATATTTTAACATAGCGTAGATAGATAATCCGTTTTAAATTAACAATAATGTTGCCGATTTTTTTTGCTGTGTTCTTGTTATGCATTAATCAGTATTTTATTTATAAGTGATCGACTATATACAGAGAGAGGGAGGATTATAAAGGCTATAGCCTTTGCTATTGCCTATCTGACTAGACTATAACTCATAACTATAACTAGATACAGAGATGGGATATAAATTACTTCAATATTTACTCAATATAGTAAGAATTGTTCGTGGAGATTGTTTGAAGGTGTGGATTCAACGAACAATGTTTTCATTGATTTGTATCAAAAAAAGGATTTTGTATAACAAATATAGGTACAGCTCTGAAATTGTGTGCGAATATTTCTTTTTTATGGAAAGAATGTAAACGAGTGATTATTTTTGTTCTTATTACTTTTCCTTTTCGAAAAATCTTTGCTTTTCTTGAAAACTCAACTTGCTGCGAGACGTATGTATTGTTTTTACATAGTGTTAAGCTTACATGTAATATTTATTCCACCTTTGTATGCTATAAATTGTACGGACATATTGCATCATTATATGATTGCTATTGCGATGATATATTACACTGTGTGACCGCAAAATATAAAAAAAGCTCTACTAATCACTTATATTTATTGCTTAATCTATATATTCTTGTATTTATCGAATGCCTCGACTTGAAGCTCTCGACCTCCCTCTCGTATTTATTGCGTATATACGTACATTTAGATTCTAAAATTAAGTTTTCTTTGAATTATGTTTGTGCTGTTACATTATCGGTAACGTTTTCGAAACAGGGATGAAAAATTCGATGGAACATTAGTGTATAGATAAAATATATGTATAGCTCAAAGCAAAATGTTACTGTGAAGAGACAAGAAAAATTATTTTATAATAGTTATATCTTATACTATATAAAAATGACAACTGTAAGAACATAGAATGGTTTTGGAAGTATAACGTAGCCGGAATAGCAATGCTTATAGGGCCGAAGGCATAACCGCTCTTTAAGGCCTCCTTATTCTAATGACGCCTTTTTGTCACTTGGTAGTAATAGTCTCATATCTAAGAAAATGTTTTTTTTTATATAATACCTTTTTCTTATCTCTAGATATCAATTATTGACAAGTAATGTGTGATTCATTTATAGGTACTTTTTTCAGCAACAAAATAGAATAACAAAATTCTTTTTTCTTGTCTAATCTTTTTTATTAAAGAAAAGAACTATTTTTGATATTTATTTTTTAAATATTATTTCTTTCAAATGTTGGCCCTGACTGCGGGTGAGATGGTCCATTCTAAAGTTTCGATGACACTTTGGAGCATTTCGACTGGAATTTGGCGAACGACCTGCGTAATGTTGGCTTCTAATTCCTCAATCGTATTGGGCTTATCAATGTAGACTTTGGACTTAACGTAGCCCCAAAGGAAAAAAAGTCTATAGGTGTGATATCACATGATCTAGGTGGCCAATTCACTGGTCCAAATCGTGAAATTAAGTGTTCATCGAAATGTTCTCGCAATAAAGCCATGGTTGCACGGGCTGTGTGGCAAGTGGCGCCGTATTGTTGGAACCAAATGTCATCGAGATTACGGGCTTCAATTTCAGACAGCAAATAATCCGTTATCATGGCGCGGTAACGAGCACCATTCACAGTTACGATCTGACCGGCCTTATTTTTAAAAAAATAGGGACCGATGATTCCACCGACCCATAAACCACACCAAACCGTTGTTTTCGCTGGATGTAATGGCAGCTCTTGAACCACTTCGGGTTGTTCTTCACCCCAAATACGACAGTTTTGTTTATTAACGTAGCCGTTAAGCCAAAAATGGGCCTCATCGCTAAACAAAATTTTGCTCGAAAACATCGGATCTTCTTCAAGCCGTGCAAGAGCCCAAAGACTGAAACGATGACGCTTTGGAAGGTCGGCCGGCTTCAATTCTTGAACGAGTTGAATTTTATATGGTTTCAAATTAAGATTCTTACGTAAAATACGCCAAGTTCTTGAATACGCCAAGCCAAGCTGTTGAGCCCGGCGCCGAATCGATTCTTCGCGGTCCTCACGTATACTCTCAGCTACCGTAGCTATATTTTCTTCACTGCGTGCTGGATGTGGTCTATTTGGTCGGGTATTATCCAATAATGAAAATTGGGTTTCAAATTTTTCGACCGTACGGCGAAGTGTGCGTTCGGTGGGCCGATTATGTACACCATAAGTTGCTCTAAGTGCACGAAACACACTTCTCGCAGAACGTTGATTTTCGTAGTACAGCTGAATTATTTGTAGACGCTGTGCTGGACAAGTCTTTCCATGATGAAATGTCGAACGATACTGAAACAGAAAATGTCAAATTAGTTGTCATGACGCATGCGCCATAAGCAATTACAGCCACACCAAAAAAGTACCTCTAAATGAATCACCCGTTATTTTATCCGTTTTCATTAATGCATAAAAACCGAAATGGTAGGGCCTAGCATTTCTTGAAGAAAATAGTGAATTAAAGAAGCCTTAGATCGAACAAGGCCGCCTTTTTTCTTGATAAAGGTAATTGACAACTCTCCTATCACCGACAAGTGTAAAAATTGTCAAAACAAATGAGGCGTTTGCATAAATAATGATGTTTTAATCGACGACTGTATGCGTTTTACCCATGGAAACTATATACCAGGACAAACTACGGCAATGCTGTTCGTGCTATAAAAACGGCCATGGAACTTGACGCCTCGAGTGCTAGGGTTGCCATGTTGGGGGATTTTCCCCGCATGCGCAGTAGTGGTACTCGCTTCAATCACTGCGCCCTCAGTCAGGTGTCAAGTTTAGGGGTCGTTTTTTTTTCTCGTCGGTTCGTTTGGTATATAGGCTCCAGGGTTTGAACCCAGATAGGATTTTGGCAAAAACAATTTTTTGTTGTCAAATGCCGAAATGACTGTCCCGGTTACGCTCATGCGTCTAAAACCAGCATGAGACAGAGAACTAAGTTGCGAGTGTGATACTTTAAGTTCGATTGTGATAAATTTCAATACAGAGGAAGTTTGTTGGCCACTGCCAGTGAAATATAAAAATGCACATATCTTTAGTTTAGATTATCGAAAATTCGGACGTACCGTTGCAACGAATATCAACATCACCAGCAATATCGAAATGAGAAGCCTAGCGACAACATATGTAACGATGACTTTAGGTCCGCTTTTAGATGATTTTTTTATACTCTGATGGAAGCTTTATCAGGAAGATCTACAAAAAATAAAGTTGGGTTATAACAATTGGAAATAATACACCAAATTGCGAGAATTCATAAATAATTTAACTTACAAATTAGTTTTCTTTTCTTTTTCAAATTCACATCCTCAATTTCTTTTGTTGTTGATTTATGATATATCGTATCTTTCACAGAGCAGATATATGTTGATTGTAAATATAATCTTCAAAAATAGATAAATCAGGTAAACAGTTTGTACCTTTCCTGATAGATCTTTTATTCCCTAATCACCTAATCTATCAACTACATAACAATTTTAGGTCTTAGTCTTACGCTTTACCTGTTCATAGAAAGCCAAAGAATAAATTCTTTAAGGCAAAAATGTGTAAATCATTGAATTTTTGCTGTTGTATATGTTTCTATTTTGTATCTTTATTTATAAGACAATGAAAAAATGCATCTTGTGCCTCGATCTGTTATGTTGAGCAGTATTTGGTTATAATAAAGGTTGTTCATAAACTACACGTCTCTATTATTATCTATAGAATTTTAAGAATAGTTTTATTCAAAAAAATCGTCTGCAGATAAATTCGCACGGTTTTAAGGCGTTGATATCGTATTTCTATCTGAAAATTATAAAACGAGAGGTGCCGCGACTTTTCAAACGATTTTGGGCCAGTCCGGCCCTATTGCAGGAACTTGCGACCCGTTGCGTGGTGTGTGCAAGGTCTTATGCACTTTTCGGGGTTGGTCTGTTGGCAGCACTGCGCAAACGCCATCTTGAAATGCTCGTTGTTTTGACAACAGGCGAAGCGGGACAGTGTCACAGTGACGTATTTGGCATTATTTGATGTTTACGAAAACTGTGCCCATAAATGACCTAATTTACACAAAACTAGTACTCAGATATGTGAAAAAACATTTCGCAATCGATTTCTAAGCTACCACACACGAAATGATCTCTTCGCCGGCTGCATAATACAACTGTGATCATGTCTAGTAACACCTCTTCCAGCAAAATTCGGGGCCCCGGTCGGCCCCCGAAGAAGATAATCTCTTGTACGTGGTGCAACGAGACCAAGCTACCCCTCAAGTACGTTTATCCTACCACAAACGGCAAGAAAGAATTTTGTTCAGAAAACTGTTTAGCTGAATTCAGGAAAGCATATATCAAAGGGGCCTGCATACAGTGTGATAATGTTATAAGGGGCTTTAACAGCCCTTCGAAGGGGTATTGTTCCACGTATTGTATGAATAAGCACCAGAAGAAGGAAATGCCTTCAAGGGTAGCAGCTGTGGCTCCTACAATGCCGTTGGAAGGCTCACCTGGACCATTTCAGGTAAAGTCAGACTCCATATCGCTCCCATACCTAATTAGACATTTTTGCTGTTAGTATTTTGGATTTTAAACATGAAACTCTTAGATTTTATTCAAAAAACTTTCCACTCAGGGTTAGACAACTTATTCTTAAAGATTGTGTAAATTCTTCGCCATAACCTAAAATGCACAAACTAGATCACTATAAATTGCTTTCTCTTTAATATGCAGGATATCTGTTGATTCTACTTAAATTAAAATGTTATCTAGATTCTTGCTCATAATTATATTTAAAGTTACCCTCAATAAAAGAAATCAATATGGTTTAGATCTGGTAGTCTTGGTGGCCAAGCAATTATGTATCCAAACGTTGGTACGTATATGGATTGAGATCGCTTAGTAACCTGTTTTGGAGATCCTTAACCATATCTTGGCCATTTTTTTAAGGAATAACTGGCAATGTTTCTTTGTTATAGTATGAAACATATCAGCCGTTTGATTGGGAAGAGTATCTCCGTGAAACCAACAGCTCTCCAGCACCCCACAGTTGTTTCAAGCAAGCTAGCAGTCCCCCTTTGAATGATTTCAAGGTTGGAATGAAATTAGAAGCCTTAGACCCTCGTAATCTAACCTCTACATGTATAGCAACTGTTATCAGTATTCTGGGTCCTAGGCTGAGGCTAAGACTTGATGGTAGTGATAATAAGAATGATTTTTGGAGGTTAGTTGACTCAAGTGAGATACATCCTATTGGCCATTGTGAGAAGAACGGAGGGATGTTGCAACCTCCATTAGGTAAGTACAATTTTTATATGATGGTCTTGTACATAATAAATGACAATCAGGGCAAGCTTCAGAGTTTTGTGTGCCCTGAGGCAATAAAATATTAAGTGAGAATTGTGTGCTCCCCATGACACTGCATCTCTTGCTTAGTGTCTGCAGCCAACCCTCATGACAATAGTGACAGTTGTATTCTACCCTTAACACAAATTGTGAAAAATTTGTTGATTCTAGTTTCTGACTGATAAGCCTGTAAGATATGGTATTTAGAAAGGAACTTTAATTTATGTGACGATAAGATATATCAATATGATCATCCATATAGATATAGCAGATATAAGAGTGGCCCAAGAATAGAGCCCTGTTGAACACCATATACAGCCATTTTACCTTAAGTAAAATATGGAAGCAAATAATCTGAAGTTTACAAAAATTAACAAGAATATCAGCTTCTTTACAAAATCAACATTGTCTTTCCTAGCTCAGATCTAAGTTATGTTCATATTTTCAGAAAATACTTGCCCCCTGTATTGTATAGATGCATAAGTACTACTTTTTAAAAAGACGGAGTATTAGGACTTGTCCAGTATGGGGTATATGGCTCACTATTTGGTGAATTGAGTTTTTGAACGGTCTGTTTCTCAAAATGATTTATAAGAAACAAAACACAAAGAAGGGTAGTATGACGACATACTGAAGCTTAACAAAACCATAGGTAGGAGGAGTTTCACTCTCCTAGGGCCAAAAATACATAACTTATTCCTCCCTCGGATAGAAGATATTAGAGGTACCAAGGTTATGAAAACTCACCCAAGATTGTGGATTTAGGACCAGCCTAGGCTCAAGATTCATCAAGCGATTGATAGCAAAAATATCTACTACAACTGAAAGCGAAAATCTCTCAAAATTATTGAGATTTCAAAATGAAAAAAAGATTGATAATGTACAAATCAAATTGTTCTGAATTCTTATCTCCTGAATTATTGCATTTTGTTACGTATTTTTACCAATTTTGATCTTCTATTGGCCTAATATTGTTTTTTGTTTCAATTCTCTATCCCGATTGCCGTCCCGGTCGTCTTTTAAAAATTACATGGGCCTTGTCTAATAAAGTTTATATTTTATTTTTTTTTTGCTTCAAGTTATTTATACATGAGCTCATGCCCCAGCACAAGTTTCTATGAAACTTTTTTGGGTCCATTCCTTTATTTTATACCATTGTGTTTTATCTACTGCTACTATTCTTTTTTTATTTTAGCAATAAACATTATTATTATTCTTATTATTACCTAGATGCTAATTATCGTAATGCAATATTGTGTTTATTTAATTTTTTTTCCCATACCGAATCAGCTCGCAGGCAGAAGCCTAAATGCCGGGATTAAATAAATAAAAATTCAGGGTCCTGCTACTGCTAGATGTATGGCTACTCACATAAAATTTAAGACACTGGAATTCGGCAGCAGCAATATTGAATTGAAATTGTAACCATAATTTGACTCTTGATTTTTGAAACATTTTGATTGTGATACTCTTCAATCTTTCCCATTCTGGAAGAAGCACATTTTTAAAACAATAGGAAAGTAATTTGCAGGATAATTTTAGACTTGTGGAACTGAAGTTTTAATCATAAATGGAAGAGGGTATATGCTTGACCTTTAAAAACATTTAAAACCTACATCCTTGTTGAGAGCAGGCATCAGGCCCAATGCTGCCCTAATTACAATATAATACATATTAAAATCGTCATTATATCATGGCCTCCACGGAGAAGCACAAATTAAAACTACCTAATGTCATGAGAGGACCAATCAGATTTGGTAAGAACTAAATCTAAATTATCCTCTCCTATGAGTAAAGAGTTTGCGGAAAACTTACCTCACCTCGCTTTTCGAATTTTTCTTTTTTAGTATATCAGCTGGTCGTTTTTATTATTTTTGGGTTCATTTTAAAAAGCTACATACTTTAGCTACTCCATTGGCATACACAAAAAGTATGGAATAGTAACTTCTTGTATATAAAAAAAGCACAAATACCATCAACGCACTACTGGAGGAGACGAGAGAGTCTATATTTACCTAAAAATCGTCCAAATCAAACAACAAAAATATGCTGTAACCTTGGTTATTTTTTGATGGTGCGTTAATTTTTTGCAAAACTAACCAGTACTCGGTAAAATATGCCAAGTAGAGGATACCAAACGAGTATTTCGTGTATCACTACTGTATTGTAACCTAATAATAATAATAGCAGTTTATTGTCCAACAGACACAGTCCCTTTACATAGCAAAATACAACAATTTTACGAAAATTTCGCCTAATTAATATGAGATAAAGAAATTAGAAGGAAACAAATTAAGAGAAAAACGGTACAATATTTTTACCGAAAATGAATGTATATTAGAGAACAGATCAACAGGGCATGAAATATCATTAAACAAACTACACATTACATTCTTCAGCGATATTGCAATAAAAAGTTACACAGTGCCGTGAATTGGACTGAGGAACATCAACACTTATATTACCTAATAAGTCAGAGCAATCAATTATGCTATAACATAGCTTCTAGCTTTCAATATCAAAAGAATTCAATAACAATTCAATATTTTGTTCGGGGAAGACACGTATATTTTAAATAGTAAGTATTTCAAATTCAAATACTTGTTTTGAACAGTCTCCAACCTTTTGATGATATCAATAATATGGATTTCAAATCATAGAACAGTATTCTTAGTTTGATCTTACATACGAAAGAAACAAACACTTTAAAGCCAAGTTGTTATTGTACTTTCTACAGTTTCTCACAAAAAAAACATCATTGTTGTAAGCTTCAGACTCTATTCAATTGGTAATGTTGAATGTTGCTTATTTTCGGATAAACAAAGCTCCCAAGTTGACGACTTTGTATTGACGTTTTAATTTTACTCCTTGGATGCTGTAATCAAAAGAAAACATTTTTTTATGGAAGATGCTATCTTCTTAAACTTTGCTATATTTAAAAAAAGCGGGTTGGTCTTGCACCATATATACTAAGTGACATATAAATCCGAACACCCAGTTTAAATGGTTTTATTTTAATAAAATTTTGTATAAGTACTTAATGAAGCATAATAAGTAAATGATAAAAATTTCAAAGTGATTGCACTGCTTTGAAGCCCTTTGACCTTTAATAATGTGTGGATGCACCCTGATGTGCTACGCATCCTCCAACGCGCCTGGGCATGCTTCTGATCAGGTGGTCAATGTCCTCCTGTGGTGTCATTCCAGGCAACCACCAACTCCTCTCGAAGTGCTTCTAGAGTCTGAGGAGGACGTTGCAAATTGAGCAATCTCCTACCCATCATATCCCACACGTGCTCAATTGGGGATAAGTCGGGAGATCTTGGTGGCGATGGTAACAATGTGACATCATTATGTTGAAAGAAGTCTATTGTGACTCTTGCAACATGTGGTCGGGCATTATCTTGTTGGAAAGTTAGATCTGCCAGGGTGTCAAGATAGGGCAAAAGATTGGGTTCTAGAACTTCGTGGATATAACGCTGCGCGTTCATGTTACCTCTGATGAAGATTAAAGGTGACCTGGAACCATAAGCTATAGCACCCCAAACCATAACTCCAACAGTGTGATGAACATGTCTTTCAACAAAAAAACTGTGGATTCCTCCTTTCACCACGTCGCCTTCTAACCCTGGCACGACCATCATGCATGCCTAAACAAAATCGAGACTCGTCACTAAAGACAATACTGTTCCATTCCTGATCCCAGAGTGACCGTTGTCTGCACCACTCAAGGCGATTACGTCGGTGTTCTCGAGTTAAAGGGAGGACCCAGTGTGGCCGGTATGAAAACAAGCCAAAACTTCTCATTCGTCGGTAAACACTTCGCATGCCAATAGGTCTTCCGTGTTCTGCAAACCATTCATTTGCAATGGACCTGGTAGTGGAGAAACGGTCCCTTAAGGCCAATAATCTTAGGGGCGATCTTCACGGTCTGTTGTTCTACGGCGGCGTCCAGTGCCCCTTGCTCTTTGCGTACGGCCTTCTCGAAGCCATGCCTGACAACACCTAACCACAGTGTCTACACTTTTTTGCACTCTAACTGCAATTGCCCGAAAAGAAAGTCCAGCTTCCCGAAGTCCCACTATACGGCCCCTATCAAACTCACTAAGTTGACGAAATCGTACAGGTCTCCGTACTCTAGACATCGTAACCGATCGTAAAGGATGTCAAGAACCAAAATCCGCCAACGTTGATTCTTTACTGCTGCTGAAATATTCATTTTTAGAGCGTTAGTGAATTAAAAAAAAGCAGTTTAAAAACCGGAATGTCCAACTGATAAGGCTGGAAATTTTTTCACTTGTTATTTACAGTAAGATAAATACATTCACCAACTTTTATTAAAATAAAACCATTTAAACTGGGTGTTCGGATTTATATGTCACTTAATATATTTACATTATATAGGAAGTAAAACACAATCAGACTAAGTATTGACAACAATACATTTTTTTCATCAGCATAAAATAATATACTTGAACTCAATATGTAATCTAAGATGTTAATGAAGAGTGTAAATAGTGGGCTAAGATTTGATCCTTGGGGAACACCTGAAGTTGCTACATAAAACTGTTACACACAAACCCATTATAATGTACAAGTTGTAATCTATTTCCTAAATATAAAGTAAAAAACTGTATCAATTCAAGATAGAATCCAAAATAATTTAGTTTAGATGCCATGATCTAGTATGTCAAAGTCTTTTGAAAAGCCCATATATCCTGCCTATTTAATGCTATAATCAGGACATTCAGATTTAGAAATCCTTTATGAATAAAAGCTACCTATGCCACTGGAATATGCCCACCAGTTTGTACAGACCTGAACGAAAAAGTAGTACAGCTAGGAAAGAAAGAATAGATCACTTTATAAAATTTCTAATTCTTCTGTTTCTCAAATTGTATCTCCTGGGTGTTTTTCATCCGATTCAAAGTTTATATTATAACTTCTTTCCTGATATAAAAGTTAATTTATCTGAGCTAAAAAACAACACATATGTTCAAACATTTTTTGTCAGATATTAATGCTGTTGCCACTACCTCAGGTAAGTGAACAAACAATGGCAATGGTTCAAAACGTCAATAGTAAAATTTGATTCGTACACTAGATTTGGAAAACAGAGCCTTAAGTATATTATGTTTTGTTGCAGGTTTCCGGATGAATGCAAGTTCTTGGCCAATGTTCCTATTGAAAACTTTGAATGGTGCAGAAATGGCTCCAGCTAAGATATTCCAGAAAGAACCTGCGGGTCCTAAAGTAAACTACTTCCAGGTAATGCATAGTGATTTTGAAGACTTGTTTTTTCTGAATGAAATAGTCTTTTTATCTATGATTTTTCTTGGATGTCCCACTAAGATCCCAGTATACAATAACAATAACAGTAATCTTTATTTACGAATACAAATGCTATACAACAGCTGTAAACCACTTGTGATAAAAAAGCATATTATTAAAAACTGTCTTGAAAAAGTATTCGATTGTATGTGGCTCTAGATTTAGTAATATTTTATATAATTATTTTATACGTATAAATGCACTTAGTTCTACAATCTTTTTCACAACTGCTGGTGAATGGTTAAAAAGTCTTAGAGGGTTATAAAAAGGTCCTTTTCCAAATATCGCTAATCTATGCTTATGGTACATACATGTTAAAAACTGTAGTATGGTTAGGATTAACTCTGAACAATCACTTATTTTTAAATAGATCTATGCGTCACTCTTGAATAAACACTTGAATTTCTTGAATTCAACTTCAAATTGATATACATATTTCTCAATATTCTCTTTTCTATTACAAAAATTCTATCCAAAGTCACTGCAGTTTCCGAAAAACATAATTCCATACCTTAATCTAGATTCAAAATTTGAGTTATATACAGCTTTCAAAGTTTTAATGTCCAAATATTTAGCAATAATTCTTATACAATAACATATATAATAATATTCTGCATAAATGCCTTTAATATAACCGTGTTGAGTTTCATTTATCAGGTCATTTACAGTAAAAAAAATTAATATTCTGTTATTTATTATCATCTCAAATATTTTTGGAAAAACTGATAACAATCTTATGAGTCTGAAACTATCGAAAGATGAGAAATCGAAATTCTTGTAAACTGGAGTGACAAGTGCTGTTTTTAATTGATCAGAGTGCATTCATAAACAGTACTTTGGTTGCGAGTTAAGTTCTCAATTTATTCCGCCAAGAATGTGTTGTCTTTATCTGCTGCGAGATCCAAATCGAGCTCCGATTCTATTTAATTCAGAATAATACAGAATGTTACTTAATGATGGGCCGTGATTACAAGGGCGCATTCCTTAATGTGTCCTAAAAAGGCTAACCTTCAAAATACAGAATATCAAACTTCTATGAAAATATTGATTTTATGTTGTCCAAGATCCTTGTGTCTATTGTGTTGAATTTTAGCAATAAGACGCTAAGATATCACTAGCTAGAAGATAATTATGAATTCCTGTGGCGTCTTGGGGGGCAGTCTCATGAATAATACTGACAAAAAATGTATGCCACTGACTTCTCAAAAAACTATATGTTTTTCGTATTAAGTGGCTAATGATACAACTTTTTTGTCTCGTGGTATTACTTTTTGTTTTACTTCGTTTTCGAGGAATAAAAAAAACAAGTTCAATACACGTCGAAAAACTATTAAAATGTGTGAGCAGAAGCCTGCTCAGGTAGATACAGGTATGTGGTAATTTTCCAACATTTTCTGTAAATATTTTGTCACTTTGTTGTTACTTTCCGTTTCTTACATTTTAAAAATGACAAATAAATATTTTGCATTGATCAAATTAACTTGATGTTGTTTTAACATTTTTTTAAATGTAATGAAACCGGTTTTATATTTTCCTTAAAACGAAGTAAGGGATACCAAGAGGCAAAAATGTTATTAAAGTATTTTTATCTGCTTAAATGCAGAAAAAATATTTTCAGTGTTTTACATTTTTTTTGTCAATCTTAATCATGGACCACTTACTCCCCGAGACGCCACTGGAATTCATAATTACCATCTAGTTACTGCTAACTTAGTACCTTATTGTAATTAATATTATTAATATTGAGATATTAATGAAAAAATAACACTTTTTTAAACTTTGACACACTGTATCTTGGAAACCAGACTTATAACGACACATGTTTATATCAACTCTACTTAAATTTGGTTCAGAAATGTAATTACGGCCTATCAAAAAAACATAATATCTTAATTTTGAAAAATTTCGCGATTACATACTTCCCCATCAGTAGTCGTGGAAATAAAACGAAGGGCTGTCCGCAAAACGAGAAATCAACAGTTGAGAGTTGACGGTACTGACAGTATCAACCGTTGTTTAACGATGGCCGCAAGAAATCGTTAATAGCCACATTAACGACAAGGATAACGAAATTGACGTTTGAAGCTGCTGACCAATAACCTCCAATGAAAACTCTGCTATTCGCAGAAGCAGTGACGTTTGCTCCTATTCCTAAATAAATTATCAGACTGCTTTTGAGTTTTTTGAAAATGGCTATACTTAACATGGGAGATAGCATTATTTTCATTCACTTCCTGAAAATACTCCAACAGCGTTTTGTTTTTTGTATACAAATGAACTTTTCTAAATAAAAGAGGTGTTAGCAAGTAAAAAATGAATCTGTATACAAAAAACCAAAACAAAATGTCCTGTGCCGATATGTGGAATTTTGAGATATTACTAGGTAAGCAGCTGTCATTCAACAAGGGTGGATACTCGTGAAATAGGGTATACTTGGTGTAGCGTGGTGAGCGCCGAGACCTATTAGACGCGACCCAGCTGAAAAATGCATGCAGTAGTGTCCTAAAGAGTAACTTCTGGTTATGACTATTCTGTGCTGAGATCTTGTCTGTTTCAAGAGTAAGTATCATTTCTATACATCTATATCTATAGGTTGGTCAGAAACTGGAAGCGGTAGACAAGAAAAACCCTCAACTGATCTGTTGTGCAACAGTAGGAGCTGTCAAGAACGACCAGATTCATGTAACCTTCGATGGTTGGAGGGGTGCTTTTGACTATTGGTGTAGATACGACAGCAGAGACATCTTTCCTGTGGGGTGGTGCGGCAAATCAGGACATCCCATGCAACCTCCTGGGCAGAAGAACAATTCTGGGGCGAACAGGTGAGGCTTATATACAGTCAAAAGCTTTGGAAAAGTTGCAAAAAAGAGCTATTGCAATTTGTTTATACTTTAAATTTGAGTGTAACCGTTGGAGTAATGCGAAAACAGCATCCATATTTTTTTGTTTTATTAGTTGTCACTTATAACTTTGTTAGTTTTTAAAAAGTCTGTTAATCTAAATTGAACTATTTTTTTATTAGTTTTGCTATATATGTTCTGAGCAAAGTAAAACGCGTTACGACTTCTCCTGTTTCCTGTGAAACGTTGTACAACACAAACATTATTCCTTTTCAGATTCCGTTTTCGCCCCTCCCTGATAGCCTCAATGCCTCTCGCACCAGCGGCTACGGCCCCCGCATCCAGTAGCTCCGCCCCCGCCGCGAGCGCGGCTCCAATCAAACGCGAGCCATCCCCGCCACCCGCAGAGGCGGACACTTCGGCGCCGCCTCCGCCCCCTGTCACGGTCCGCTTCCGCAGACAATGCGCGCTGGCGGCGTTCGCGTTGCTGGATCCAACCAGGGTACCGGAACAAGGGGTGGAAGACTCGCAACCGAGGCAGTTGGCGAAGAAGGTGGTGCAAGCCGTGTTGGCGGCTAGTAGGAAGCCGGATACGGTGTTGGCGAGGTGAGTGAATAATAATAATGACTTGTATCTAGGTCAGCCTCGCGGATATGAAACGTCAAAATACACGTTACAGAAATATATTACAATACATTACATACATTACAAGTTTATGAACAAAGGTACTCAAAATTAAAAAAAAAATACATTTAAAACATGAATGAATAACATTATTACAGGCAATATGAATGACAGTAAAATTGACAAACAAATATATATCTAAAAATTACGGCTTAATTTGCAAAAATAAACGTTATTGCTTAAGTACCGTATATGTTTGCTTGAAACTAAGTGTCAAACACATCCTACATCCTTTTAACAGGAGACTTGTCTGACATGTTGGACCCCTGTAAAAAGCTACATTAGAGCGAGTTGATCTCTTTGGCACCACAAAATTGATTTTAGACATTAATACCGGGCTCAAGTTTATGACTAATCAAACTATGAAGCACTGTAATACTCAGGACTTCTACTATAATTGCTTAGATATAGATAAAAGAGCGCTGACGCTGATACGGAACAGTAGAAATTTAGAATTACCACAGCCTTTCTGAAGGTGAGAAAAGACTATGAAAATCAAGGAGGCCAAAAATGCGTCCTACAATTGAGGAACGACTGACGACACGGCCCTAAGGTATGAATATGTGTTTTTGTTTCAGACTGGGTACCATAAGAGGCGAAGAATCCGCCATAACTCATGATGGCAATACATATACCATCAAACTACCTCAACTGGTAAAGGCTAGTGATTTGTTGCAGCTCTTCCAGATTCTTGCTCAAACCCTGGGATGCTGTCAGAATATGTTTGGTAAGCAAAATATCAACATTTAGACCAAAAGAAAGAATGTTAATATCCCTAAATAGGTGGAATCTAAAACATCCTTGACGAATTTTGCTATCGGAACTTACGATTTTTTCGCGATAAACATGCTGATCATAATTTTCAAGCGCAGTCTCTGAAATAATGAAATTTTGTAGGACTGGAGCAGCCAGCGAAGGACTGCCCGCAGTGCGACCCACGTCCCCGTCCATCAGCGGCAGTCTCCGCCTCCTCATCGTCCCCGCCACCTGCTAAGCGCCGCCCACCCGCCGAACAAGAAGCGGCCACGTCGACAACGCCCTGTGAGAAAGACACGCCCACATCGGGGGTGGGAATGGGGACGGTGGTTGTGGCCACGGCTGTCGCAGCAGGGGCTGAGGTCAGCAGGCAACCGCCGAACGAATGGGGCATCGAGGAGGTCATACGTTTCATCGAGGCGACTGATCCGTGTTTGGGGGTGCATGCGGATCTGTTCCGGAAGCATGTAAGTAATTTTTTATTATGTAAATGGTAATGTTGCAATAGTGATGAGGCAAGTTTGGCATGGAAGTTTCGGCGGCTGTCTACTAATCGCCGAACAGGGGGTGGCCACTTCGACCACGGCGACATCAGGGGGCGGATGCCAGACGAACGAAGAGGTGATTCGTTTCATCGAGGCGACGATTACGTGTTTGGGGGTGCATGCGTATATTTTAGGGAACATGTAAAGGACTACTCTTGGCGTTGGCATATCCGTTTTTAGTTAGTTGCTAAACGCTTAAAAACCTCAATCCAACCATTTGGTGCTTAAACAATGCCTGAAAAGTATTGAAGTTCAAAAGAGCTTGTGTCATTATAGATTTCGAATTTTAATTTGTTCCTGTTGGTAAAAATAGTGATCGAAAAAATGTTTATATAAAATCTTTTCTGGTGAGTTTTCCCGCGCTCGTTCGCCGAAACTTTTCAGAACTTTCCAAGTGGTTTAAGTTCGTAAAAAATAATTATTTTCGGACTCGAGCTCTTGGGCAATTTTTGAGCCAAATTGAAGAAATTCACACTACTAGTTTTAACTGTAACAGATTGTTTCTATCAATTTGTTTTGGCAAGTTAAATAACCCTTTCTTTGTCAGTTGTATTTGCTCGCCATTGGACTGCGATACTAGCATTGTAAGGTGTTCTAATTGCAGTGTATAATTTCCAAACAAATTTTACGATTTTTTTTTATTTCGTTTCAGGAAATTGACGGTAAAGCGTTCCTCCTTCTAAACTCGGACATGATGATGAAGTACATGGGACTGAAACTGGGGCCGGCGTTGAAAATTTGCAATCTAGTATCTAAACTGAAAGGTAGAAGGCATGCACTATAAGCTTACACTTTACTTTATTGGATATTGTTGACGCATTATATTTTTATTATATTACTCTTTTTTGTTAGAAATTTATTGATTGAGATAACTTTTTTGGGCAGTATATTTACTGATAATAAAATATGAGCATGAATTTGGATTTAGCTTGTCAATTATTTAAAAACAAATGTTTATGTTTTGGCTTTTATCAGTTTTTTAGGTATGTTAAGAATTCTAATCAGAAACTTTTATTTTATTATAACTTTCTATCGAAGTTGATCATTTGAAAGCTTCCCACCACAGATTTATCGAAATACCACTGATTAAAATAAAAAACCCCGAGACACGGCAAAAGATTTGTCAAGGGGGACAACTTTCTAACCAAAAACTACTTCACCCTCCGCCCCCAGGGTCATCCCCTTAAACATTTTGAATGACAAGGGGTATCGAGTAATACCTTGTTTGAAAGGTCTTCCGAATTCCTTTATTTTGACGTTTTTGTAAAATCGGTCGATTTGTTTTCAAGAAAATTCGAAAAACCTTTATTTATCGTAATTTGTTGAGATAGAAAACAAAAACACACGAAAATATCACTTTTTATTTGAAGGGCTTATTGTAATAACGCGATAAGCCACAAAAGCATAATAAGGAGTTATTTGACTTTTAAGTTTTGGAAAAATGTGAAAAATCAACGTTTATCATAATTAAACTTGAATAATTTTTTTTGAGGCTTTTAAATCCGTATCTGTTGAATTTGTCGAGGAAGAGTGAAAAAAAGACAACTGATATCCCAAAAAAAATTTTTTTACAAAAACAATGTGGCTTGTCATATTATTGCCTATAAAAAAAATACAGTAATATTTTTATAAGGAAATGAGGATTAAACTCTACCGCACTTTTCTGCTATACGATTTCAACATCTTCTTCATCACTTTCTCTGGAGGTTAGTCCATTGAAGAAGGGTAGATGTATTGGGGGTATATATGGAAAAAGAGATTGTACATTTTTAAGTTTCTTCTTTGAAATTTTTATAGGTTCCATGTACTTATTTTTCAGCTGACATAAGGGTGTATTCACAGGCCTACCCTTTTTTGTAATATTCACTTCGTTATACTCACCGTTTACAGAGTGCTTAACAAAAAAAGATTTTGTATTTTCTGTTTTAAAATGGAAGGTATATACACCAGAGAAGTCTAAATTTTCCTTGTTACTCATGCGAGTACTCTTTTGAACATTGGCCAACAATAGTTCAAATTTGAGGAAATCTTCTTGCTGCATAACTGTGACCTTGAAAGGATTCTTGTTGTTAGCATCTTTGATGATTTTGTGCCAACCTTCTGGGGAATACACTTCAGGAGCATATTTTCTATGCCGTTTTTCAATCAACGCGAAGTCCCGGTCCGACGGCAATTGGGTATGTCCAGTAACAAGAAAATGATGTGTTATTGTTTTAAACCATTTCTCTTTAACTAACTGCAACCAAAATGCCATAAATTGCCAATTTTTGTTTTGACCAGGACAGTTATCCGTGAATACAACAAGGTGATCTACATCCTTTTTATCTTTAAGAAATTTAAAAAGTACAGAAGCAACTTCATCCGCTCCACGTTTGGCTTGATTTTCTGTCCACAAAAACATGTGACCCTGTTCAGCAGTACAATCGTGTACTCCAAGGTTATAGAGCCAAACTTTTCTGCAATAAAATGCTGGGCCTGTTGTAAGCTTGGGTATAGGCATTGCCTGCTGTAAGTCAAAACTGATAACACATACGTTTGTTGTACTTTTTGATCGGTCTGTCTCTAATTTCAGCAAATTTTGCATTGCTTTAGCTCTATTTTGGTGTAAAGTCAAGGAAGTAGTTAGCCTTTGTTCCTCTTTGTCATCGTTGTTTGATTTGACAATATCAAGTTTGATCTTTGACTCGTCACATATTTTACATGTGTCAGACTTGGGCAGCTTGAAACCGATATTGTATTCAGTGCAAAATATTTTAAGGTAAGCACTTTGTTTCACTGGAATAATGTTTTGTTGTTGACACCACGGAACATAATAATCCTTATGCAAGCTTGCTATGGACATATCGCAGTTAAGATACATTTTGTTGATGTTATTTGCTCTGCTATAGTGGCTCTGATATTTTGGTATAGCATCTATATGATTTCTGACAGATTGTTTTTGGTCAGCGCTTAGTGCATTTGGTCTATTTTTATGTTTACCACGTCCGTCTTTTATAGGGACAACAGCTCCGGTTGTCTTCATTTTGACAATATGGTCGATTCTGCCTCGACAATTTTGCAGTCCATGGACACTCATAAATTCGACCTTACATACCCTGACATCCCTACCATCAACATTAACAATATATTGAGCTGTAAACTGTCGACTAGATTCTTGACGTTTTTGTTGTTTCTTGTAAGATCTTTTCTTTTTTAGAACTCGAATAGCACCAAAAAGGTAACTGTTCTGAAGATCATAGGAACCTAGATCCCAGAATTTTGTGAAGATATTTTCATGGCTATTACTGAGCTTGTCTCGGCAGTTCTTCTGGCATCTACATGGTGAACCCAATTCTCGAGGTTTAACAAGTTTCTTGCTCTTTACTGTTGAATATTCTTGTCCTAAATTGCGTCTTCTCTTCCTTTTCACCTGTTCATAGTTCTCGTCCCTTCTTTGTCTCCAACGAGTTTGCGGAGTTTTTTCGGGTGTAGTTTAGATAATTTAGTAGGTACAGGTGAGTCGCCTTCCTGAAATTAAATATTCTTAATAGCAACAACATGATAAGCCACGTTCAAATTCGCGATAGTCTTGTTTTGGTAAAACATGATAAGCCACAAAAACAACAATAATACATACCTCACTTGTATCTGAACTTTCGTCATCATTTGATGGTACGAAATTCTTATCAACCACACTATCATCACTTGATTCATAAAATTCACTGCTTGAACTGCAAATATCGCTTGAAATAGGATTATTATCGAGAGGTGCATACGAACCGGTCGCCATTTTGACGTGGCTTATCACGTTTTAACGTGAAGATTGTAGAGAGCCGCCGTGGCTCCATCTATCGGACAATAGTCACAACTTTTCTACTGTGGCTTATCATATTCATGCTTAACTAAATTGAGGAATAAAACAGATTTTTGTCGTTGTGTGGCTTATCATGTTATTACAATAAGCCCTTCATTTCAATAAGTGTTCAAAATGTTGCCCGTTGTTGGCCAAACAATGATATAGGTGATGTTCAAATTCCTGATGGACATTTCATGGCAGCTTTCGATTATGGGTTGACGAACTTCATCCAAACTTTCAGGTTGAGGAGTAAACACAATAGATTTCAAATGGCCCCATAGAAAAAAGTCTAATGGCTTCAAATCAGGAGATCTATCTCATTCTACAGGGTTATCCAAATTAAGTGTCCACCATTAGTAACTTTGTTATTAGTGAAAATACAAAGTTGTTTGAATTAGCAAACTAGTAGCATTTTTAACGCTGGTAAAAATGAGAAATAAAAAAAAACAATTGAGAGTCGTTATTTTGATTTTTTTCAGTAAAATAATATTTTTTTAAATGGAAACCCCTGTATATTATATTTTTTTCTGTTAAAGCATCAAATTTTAAACAAAAAAGCTTACAATAACTTTTCTCCTAGGTTACAAATTGTTGAAGTTATGGCCTCCAATCTGAAACAATTAAATTGTATCGACAAACTTTATTTTCAACATCAACTTATAATCTTACAAAATACAATAACAATTTTTTTTAAAGAAGATGCTCGAAAACACCACCTTGTTCTTCAATACATTTTTGGGCACGTTTTTCAACTGCTCGAACTGTCTTAAGTATGGTCCTACCATCTATCTGGGTTATCTTTTCCCTAACTGCAGTCTTTAACGCGTCAAGGTTATCGTACCTTCGCTTGTAAATTTGGTTCTTTAAGTAACCCCACAAGAAGTAATCAAGTGGGTTTAGATCTGGTGATCTGGGAGGCCACTGTATCGGGCCATTTGTTCCTATCCACTGATCATTAAAAGTAGTACTTAGAAAATGATAAGTACCTCTGGAGTTGTGGGCAGGTGCGCCATCTTGCTGAAAATGCAGATGATGTCTACTTATAAGATCCAATTCGTCTAAGAAATTAGTCAGAATTTCTAACATAAATTCCACATATCTTTCACCAGTTAGGTTTCCCTCATAAAAGAACGGGCCAACAATTTTTGAACCAATTATACCGCACCAAACGTTGAAACTGAAACGGACTTGTGGGCCTCTTGGATGTACAAACAAAAGATTTTCTCTTGACCAATAATGGTGGTTTTTTTCTATTAAACATTCCAGAATTTGAAAAATTTGATTCATCTGTCCATAAAAGGTAACGAAAGTTATTTACATTTTGGCGACAGAAGCTAAGATACCAATGGCAAAAAACAAGTCTTCTCTCTGGATCCCCTGCCAAAAGCGTTTGAACTGGTCGGTACTTATACGGAATAAATTTGTATTTTTTTAAAATCCTTTGAACAATACCATAACTGAAATTAGAGTCCTTGAGAATATCTGCTATTGAATTCTCACGATAAGCTTCAAAATATCCAATAACTGCAATTTCCGTGGCCTCGCTTATTATGAATTCTTTTTTGCCTTTGTTTTAGCAAAAACATTTTCGTTGCCCCTAAATTTTCGATAAAGTCTCAGAAAATATCGTTCATACGGTTGAATGCGAGCGGGATATAATTCACTGTAGTATTCTCTTGCTCTCAAGGAGGATTTTCTGCACACTAAATAGCATTCTAACATATCACACTTTTCTTCATGGGAGAACATTTTTCTTTAAATTAATGACACAATAAAGCTTATAAACAAGTATTTACACTAATGTTTGACATTATTTGATTTTATCATTGTTTTCCAAAGCCTTCTAGTTGCGAGTATGTCCAGTTTAACAATTTGTCGCTTATCTTAATGCTGTCAAATCGCGAACGCCATGTTGTTTTCATAGCCGTCTTAATATTATAATACTGCAAATAATTAAAAATATTTATCGTTATTTTGACTTTATTTTTGACTTTAGCGGAAAAGTCATTATGAACTTTTTTGTTTAAAATTTGATGCTTTAACAGAAAAAAATATAATATACAGGGGTTTCCATTTAAAAAAATGTTATTTTACTGAAAAAAATCAAAATAACGACTCTCAATTGTTTTTTTTATTTCTCATTTTTACCAGCGTTAAAAATGCTACTAGTTTGCTAATTCAAACAACTTTGTATTTTCACTAATAACAAAGTTACTAATGGTGGACACTTAATTTGGATAACCCTGTATAGGCCCTCTTCACCCTATCCATTTATCTGTAAACTAGCCATTGCCGAACCGGAAGAACACAGTGAGTGCTGGAAATATATTTCAGCCTCATCAAGTATAGGGTTTCCATCCTCTTCGATTTGGTTTTCAATGGTTTCAGTGATAAGCAGTATGATGGTATTTTCCAGCATATCCAAATAAACGTCTCCATTCAAATTTCCATTAATAAATAATGGCCAAATCACTTTGTTCCCTAAAATGCCTGACCATACATTAATTTTTTGGGGAAACTGGGCATGCACTTCAACAAAAGCATGAGGATTTTCATTGCTCCAATACCTGTAGTTATGCTTATTAACAAATCCATTTAGATGAAATGTGCATTCATCACTGAAGCAGATATTCTTTACATGAATGGTATTATCATTAATCGCTGCAGTCATTTGTTCACAAAACTCATCTTCGGTTAACTCTCGCAATATTTTTATTTTGAATGGATGAAATTTACAGTTTGAGTAAATTTAGTAACAAGGTCCAAAATATACCTATGCGAAGTTATCTTCCCTGGATGTCTGGCGTTAAACGTGCCCGCAGTTTGGGCACCATAAATTAGAATCATTTCCACTATTTCGGCTAGTGGGTAAACCAGTTTGAAAGTAAAAAACGGAATCAATAAATTAATTTTCACTATCCCAAGATTGTCACAAAGGTAACTGACAGTAAATTGAATTCTTTCTTTTCCTTAGCAATAAATAACTATACAGGTATAACAATAAATACAGTTCGCAAAGGATGTCTCTGTTGATGAAAAAAATGCGGAAAAAATTCGGGTTGTTATTTGGTTGTTGCCACGTCTAATCTTCCGAATCTCTGTTTATTGTTGATTGTTTCCATTTTAAATCATGAGCGGCTTGTAGATTTGGAAATGCCTAATGGGCAACATTTAGATTTTAAAAAATCAATCGTCAAAATAGAGGACTTCGAAAGACCTGTCAAACAAGCTATTCTTATCCCCCTTGACAAACCTTTCGACGTGTCTGTAATCAGTGGTTTTCGATCAATCCGTGGTGTGGAGTTTTCAAATGAACTGTATATTGGAAAGCTGAATCCAACATTTGTCTTGAGCATCTCAACTTGTCAGCCATCTTGAAACCAAAATTGTGTGATTTGTGAAGATCGTGTGGATTTTTTAAATGTAGTTTAGGATTAAAACAATGTTCTGGTTGAGATGTTTAGATTGTATTATTTTACACTTGATTTCAGGGTATTTTTATTTTATTAAGTATACATATTAAATAAACATACGTAACATTCAACAATCTTAGTTGAGACAAATTTAATGGTCATAACAAGACTTTGAATGAATAAAGTTCCTGATTGAACGTAATATTCAAAGTTTCAGAGAAACATGTTTTACAAAAGATCTACAATAAAAATACTGCTTTAGTTGCTTTTTATTTATATTATAAAAAAAAGTTTGTGATATAACTGTACAGGTCAGAGCGCGTATGTTGGATGTCTGAGAGTGTGCATTGTAAAATGAATTCTTTTTTGGAAAATAATGAGAATCGCTATATTTTGGATATTTTCGGATAGTCTAGTGTACATAGTACATGAGATAACTAGTTAGTTTAAATTGTAGGCTTACAGATGTAGTTTATCACTCTTGTGTTAAGTATAGTGATCGTTACAATCATATGGAATGAATTTTGTGAAAAACTGACAACCAAAATGTAGATTTTTCAAGTTCAATAGTTTATAGGACCGAATGTATACGTTGCTTGATATCATCTTATTGTGAGAATGCCTTATTTGCTTGTCATTTTAGGAGTGACAGGTTGTTACCTCTGGTTATCAGTTATTAAATTTGACCCCTGATGCGGAATCTTTTCTATAAGAACTGAGTAGGTACAAATGATCCTTGAGGAAAGTAGTGAATTAAGGAAGCCTTAATACAGGGTGACCGATATGTAACTGGTTTGTATCTTGAATATTTGTGAAATGAAATGCTTCCATTTTTTTTGTTCATCTTAATGTTTTATTGAAACTTAGAAATTATGTATGAAAAATAATTTCTGTCTCTAAAAGCCGCACAAACCTGAGCCCTCTCGACATGTTCCATCACTTTTTTTTTGTAGGTTTCGGGAGGGATATTTTCAATCGCTTCCGTAATATTGTTCTTTAGCTGATCTATAGTATTTGGTTTGTTGTCATAAACCCAATTTTTCAAAAATCCCCATAAAAAAGTCAGGAACCGTTAAATCCGGTGACATTGGTGGCCAGTTGACATCACCAAATCGAGAAATTAAACGTCCCCGAAATATGGTCCTTGTAGCTGTGTGACAACATGCTCCGTCCTGCTGGAACCACATGTTTTGCAGGTTAAATTGTTGGATTTGAGGAGCCAGAAAGTTTTGCACCACCGGGTATTTTCGACAATTCAAGCCCAGGATCGTGTTTGCAGTTATGATGACATGGATTTGGTAGTATCTAAACAATCCTTTCCTAAATATAATTCCAGTTTATCACAAAATTCGCTCAAGTTTAAAGTACCAGCCACAAAACTTATGGGGTTTGACCACAGGTCAATTTTAAAGAGAATCCCAAAAATTACTTCTAATGGAGATATAGGGTGTGAATTTTGGTGTACGCGTATCTGCACAATTTTATGAAAACTAACTCGTCTTTAACATACTCAAGGATCTTAACGGTATAAAAAACACGTGAACACTTACAATACGTACAAGGTGTCCCAGCGAAAATGGAAAGGTGTTTAATACAAAAACTTAGATATATTTTGTGCAACTGGATTGAGATCTTATAGGAGCATACCTCTAAAATATTTGAACATATAGATGGTATGCGGTACAACAAACTTGTTGTATGTACACTGTAAAATTTTAATAATTTGCTTAATTATTTTATTATTTGCCTGAAGAAATACCCATCCTAGAAGGCATTTACTTCTGCTATTTTGCGTAATTTTTACCGAATTTCAGAAAGAGGATAAAAAAGTACGCCTTCATCAGTTTGCTGCAAAACGATGTTTTTCCAAAATTTGTAAATGGTACCATCCCATATATTTTTAAACCATTAGATTCGCTTTTTATAAGTTTCTTCTTATATCTAGTTTAATTCTGCTTTATTAGAACATTTATCCGATTATACATAATAAAGTTTCATTAAAACAAAAACGCTGTACCACGTAATTGTGCAACAGCTTGTGTATCTCCAAATAATTTAGAAATACTTATGTCAATCTTGATGCGCAAATCGTTTTATCTCATATAATAAAAAATATTAATAAAAACACCCTGAATCTCCAACAGAAAGCATTGAAACATTTGGTCAGCACAACATGAACTATCACTATATGAATTTTCATTAAAATCGACCGGTGGTCAAATCCCATACGTATTGTGCCCGGTATTTTCGTGATTTTCTTTTACGCCCAACAAAATTTCGCACTCTCATCTGATAATGTAAATTTGATCTCGAATAACACTGTCGTAGATAAAACTGGCTACCTACTTTGGTAGCCATTCAGTAAAATTCTCTTTGTACTATAGTACACATTATGGTGACGCATTGTGGTTCATGATTTTTTATGAAAGCTTGTCTGGTGAGTGTCACCACATTGGCGATGACCAACGAGTCAGAGTAAGATCAACTTTAACGTACCTCAGACGTCATATTGATCATATGAGAGTGCCTTGTTTAAATTACATAGTTTATACAGCTTGCGTATTTTACTGATGTATATTGTACAAAATTAGAAAATAAATGTCTCACAGGATGCGTTATGTTTTTATTGAAGTCCTTTGACGAAATTGAGATTTTCTGCTAACTAAACTCTATACAGACGTCATTGACGCTACATCAAAACAAACATCTTTAGAGTATTTGGCTGGACTGTATTATGCGGGCTGGTTCGAGAAATGACCTATACCTACTGTTATAATAACAATTGCTCAAACAAATTTGTGCACAGCTTATCAGTGGCAGATTTAGAGGGGGGCGCGCGCCCCTCCCTAGACGTGTGACACTTACTTTTGTAGTCTAACACTATTGTGTTGCTTTCTGGCACATCATGGCGACAGAGGCATACTAACTATAAGTTATAGCTATAGGAACTGAGCATTGCGATTTTTGCTTTTGAGCTAATACGGCAGTTTAGATTATTATTTGGGCGTCTATGCCTCTGGCGTAAGTAAGTATGTATACTCAGTGACACACCCAGAAAAAATCAGATCTTCCACTTGTATTTTTGGCAATATAATGACTATATTTAAAGCATGCTGTGGCAATGTCATATCTTTGTTTTTGATTTCCTTTGTTAAAATGTTATCTCTTAGGCCCGTATCGTCAGTCGTCCCTACAATTGTAGGGCGCGTTTATGGCCTCCTTGATTGTCATACTCCTTTCTCTCCTTCAAAAATTTCTAGATTGCACCTGTCCCGTGTAAGCGTCAGCGCTCTCCTATTGTGAAGATATGTTTTCTTTTTAAATTGTAGGAAATTTCAGGCTGATATAACTCAAAAGCAAGCACAATTTGATGCAAATAGATGTTTGGGACATAACCTCAACATAGAGCGCTGACACGGAGAAGTAGAAAACTATGACAATCAAGGAGGCCATAAAGGTGCCCTACAATTGTAGGGACGACTGACGATATGGGCCTTAGTTTTTCTGAAGTAAGCCGTTCATTAATCTATCTGGGCCTCAGTGCTCGATAAGGAAAGGATAGCACTGTAACATACTTTTAGCAGACCCATCAACAGATGATATCAAATGCGAGAATTTCTATATATGTGATATATGGTTGTTATGAATTAAAGCATAAAACACATCAATAAATAACATGAAGGATTTATATCACCTTAAGCATTATCAGGTTTAGTTCAGGTAGTTTTACTCTGGGTGGAACATCGGATATTTCCTGAGAGACATTCGAAAGAAGTTGCGTCTGGTAGAGCAGAATGAGCATCTCCACATAATTTGATAGTTAAGTATTGAGTTGTAATTTATGATAACTAGTTGGTGTTTAAATAAATTACGTAAAAAAAAACGATAAATATTTTGTGCCAAAACTTTTAGGACATATGTACGTTATGGATGCGTGATGTCGCCTACGTGATCCGGTATTCCTGCTCCCTATTCTTTGCGTAGCGGTGATATATACCCTATTTTACGAGTACCCATAGCGGTAGAATGACAGCTGATTATCTAGTGATATCTCAAAATTCCCCATATCGGCACAGGGCACATCATTTTGATGGATCCGTCAACGACAGGTAATCAGAGCCATTTTTGTTGTGCTAACAGCTCTTTTATTTAGAAAAGTTCATTTGCATACAAAAAACAAAACGCTACAAATGAGTTTTACCAGATTTATACCCGATTTATTATTGCCAACGTTGCAGAGTAACACAACAATTTCACTTGCTGATCAGCTGTTCACCTCAGTAGACGTCAAAGCGCGATGGATACTCGTGAAATAGGTTATAAGATCCATCGGCGTGCAGAAAGCGATAGAACAAGCGGGGGTACACTTAAGGGATAGCGGATAGATCTCACTTGCGGCTGCTGAGGTTAGCCAGTAACTCTGTTACTTTGAATTATTGTCCTAGCGGCGCATATGCTCGGGGTAAGTAAGCGACAACTCATATTCGCAATAAGTGAAGAATGAGGTTCCCGTGTTTCTATTTGCCCATTAATGGTACGCTGGCTAATAGGAGCTCAAGAATTTGAACATCCGCGCTAGTGTGTGTTATGGCGAAGCATAAATGAGATTTCAATAAAATGTGGATACAATGAAAAACGAGATAAAATAGATTATTTTTATTTTATTATAAAACACGAAACGGAGCAGTAAATGTTTAAAACATGAATCATTTCACAATTTTTGATTAAAACAAAAGCCCAGTTGCCATCCTACCATAACATTAATTTCAAAGTTAGCTCACTTGACATTCCATTTTCCAGTAATGAATCTAGCAGTCGTCCAATGGAATTTAGTTGTCACATTTTTATCCATTTCAATTTTACTTTCATCATTGTTTCACCTTGGGCTTTACGTAACAATTGTTTTAGAACGTATTGCATAAGCTGACATTGATAAAATTAAACCACCAGATTAGTGGAATTCGTCAGAATAAAAAATCCAAGAAGTCTGGATAGATTTACGATTCACATGATTTTCTTTTTATTAATGGATCAAGTAAACCACTTTTTAAGCTCTAAATGCAAGCTGCTGAATTAAATCATCAATCACCTATTTTGGAGATGTAAATGTATATTTCACAACTATACCATTACTGAATATTCAATAAAAGTAACTTTCAAATGATATATTTCCAATTACAAATGGAGAGGTTTTAACTCCTACTCCAAATTCAGGGATGTTTTTTATGCAATGGATAGTAATTTGGAAACCGGAATTAATGGGCTGCAAAGTTTTCTTAATGATAAAAATAACAGATCCATTCCATTTGTCTGTACGCTTTTGAGTCTGCACAAGTCTGAATATTGAATTTTACTTCAAACAACTTCACAGACTGGTTGAAGGCTGGATGAACTCAATATCTCATTTTTTGTACAATACCTAATAATATAAAAAATAAAACATTTACAGTTGATATAATTAAATAGTACATACATACAATAGTCTTACTACCCAGTCAAATTCACATAAAAATAAATTTTATCTTATAACCTAAGATATATGTTACATAAATTGTAAGAATTATTTTGTACTGTAGATACTGCTCAATTATTTGTATGTTGATAACTGAAAGAATGAAAATGGAACAAAAAGTTAGATCATTTTGAACAAATCCTGCTTACTGTGGAACTATTGCTTTCCAGGATCAGTAATCCTCAAATCAATGGCCAACTGCATATCCCTCGGCATCACTGTAACCCTTTTAGCATGATGGGCACATTTATTAGAATCATCGAATAACTGAACAAGGTACATCTCAGCAGCTTCTTGAAGGGCTTGTAATGCTGTGCGTTGTATACAGGTTGCATTATCAGAAAATTGCATCAGAATTTCTCTTATTAGCCTGTAACAAATTTAGTAGATACAGATACAATATTACATTGCAATCAGTCTGTCCCTATTGATCTAAATGACTTGATTGGACACTATCATGTGAAACCCCAACTAGATACTAAGCAACCACGATTTTGTCAAAACTTCATTCAAATGTTATATGAGAAAAAGTGATTTTCAGTAGCCTTATTTAGGGCATGAGCACCCATTTAGCAAAATTCAGAGGAGGCAGATTATGCTGACAGGCCTTGTTAACCAGTTTGAAGCAGGGTTTTTGTTTAAAGTGCCAGATGATTCCTTTGTAGCACTATTTTGAGGAATAAAAAAACATGTCACTCATCCTAGGAATGGGAAATTGGAACAAAAATATTTTACTCCTCAAAGGTAGCCATGACGGCATATAGCGGTCCATGTTTTAGGGGCCTATAACTCCATAATGGAGGAATTTTTCATAAGAACGTGTGGCTTTATTTTGTGTTCTACATCTACATGAATACGAAAGCTTCACGTGTTATTATAGGACATACTATACTATACACGGAAATATATGTGGAAACACCGTCAACTCACCTACAAAACGGCATCCTTGGGATACAGTGCTGAACACTTTTTTGAAGCTTTCTAATTGAGTTTAATGTTGCTTTATATATAGCACGCTTTCTATTAAATAAAGTATATATTTGTTTAGATCTACGTTTACGAGGACTTGCTTTAGAAGAAACGTTCATCATACTTCCGCCTGCTGATGTATTCTTCTTTGGTATTGTGTTCTTCTTTCTAGCCATTTTATGCAATTTCACCTTTCATAAACGGCTGTTAAAAACTGTGTCAGGTCATTCGTTTGTAGCATAAAATGATGTGAAGCCAGCCAGAAATGTACCCTTTACAAAAACATAAACATATAAATCAGAAAGCATATAGACGAAGCTCGTTACCGTAAACGACCCTTTTCAAACATTCAAACAATAGTTGAGGTTAGGTCAGTTGTTTGGGATCGCCTTTTAGCGCGTTTTTTACACCAGCGCCATCTCTATAATCAAATCCAAGTGAATAACCAAAATTTCTGTATTATGTACCGCGGTTATAATATGGTTTAAGATGACACAGGGGTTGATGACGTCAGTCACTCGAAACGCTTGAACGCGTTGGTTTTAACCACGGTTTTGCTGCATGTTACTTATTTTAGAAAAGCGCGTATATAATTTTAGATTATTTTTATTATCACTTAATAATCGGTGCTTTTTCGTCTAGAACAGTGCATGGAGGTTTATAAAATAAACCTTTCATAATAATAATGGGAGAATGTTTTTTTTCAGAAAAATTTAATGATGGAACCATGGCTTTGTAGCTATAGTAACCTTCAATTCTTTAAACTTGTCCGCATGTTAAAGAAAACATTTATTGATTTAGTAGAAATGATAGGGAAAAGAGATGAAAAAAGATATTAGCAAAACCGTATACAGGTGGACATTATCCAGTGAGTTTATATGGCCATATTTTAATATTCTTGTGGTATATGACTACACATGATACTTTGTTAAGCATATGGACTAGATTTAAAGTGTCCCCAACAACAGTAATGAGTATATCTAATAAGGTGCTCTACTTTATGCTAGAACTGAAGTCAGCCTGTATCAAGTTTCTCAAAAATGAAGCTGAAGTACAACAAAAATATCCAGCACCCGCCAAAATTCTAACTTGTCACATTTCAAATCATAACCAGAAATATAAAACTACTCCGGAGTTGGGTAAATACCACAATTTTACGGTGATAACTGTGACATATAACAGCTGATTCATGACGTTACGGATCTTATAAGCAAAGTAATAACCACAGTCGCTTGAACGGATCGGTAAATATCAATCCAAAATGGTAAGTACCATTTTCATTTGGTTATTCGCTTGAATTTGATTTATCTCTCTTGTACACCAAAATTGTTTATAAACTATATAGACAAGTTTGGTGTACAACCGGTCGCTCAGACGGAAATTAAAAGAAGTAAAATTGGTTAATTGGTTGTACCGCTGGCTCAACCGGTGAATTAAAGAATACGCCTAGGCATTAACAGTTGACAGCTGACATTAACCTTCGCTAATTTTCTAACTGGAAAATTTTGTTTACATTTCTCATATTTCATTCATTTCTATTTTCCCATTACATTACATTTGACTGTTCGTAATGGCTCTGAACAGCTTTTTGGATTTTTTTCAAAAAGGCAGGGTGAGTGAACCATTATACATTGGCGCATAAGAATCATTAATAATGTCGATTCTATATTTAGACCTTCAGACCAAAAAAGAAGTTTGCTCATGGTACAATCCGCTATAGTTTATACAAACAAGCTCAAGCGAGCTTAAACTCTGGAATTAACCTAAGGGGTGCAGTAAAGTTACCACAAGGTGAAGATCTCAACGACTGGATAGCAGTACATGGTAAGATTAAATTTTCATCTCCAGAGTAGTTTTTAATAAGAAAATATATATTTGCTCTGAACCTTAGACAGCTTCCTTTGCTTAATATCTATAGAGTGACAGATTACATACAGATGTGACAACCACTGAGAGTCCCTTTGACCTACTTAACAACTATCCAACTGCTTACCAGGGAATTTTTTTCTAAATAACAAATATGTAGTTGTGCTCCAAAACAAATTTACCTACCCAGATTAATGATATGATACACTATTTACTAAATAAATTACCTTTGATGATGAAGGAAAAGAGCCTCAATATACACCACACACACATTTGTGTGACCTACATTTTAGAAATTGTTGCATGTGTCACAGTGACAGAGATGGAAATCTTAATCAAAAGCATCATATATAGTCAAAATCACGAAAGATGATTATTACGTCATACCATAACTTGTACTGAAGTAATCAATGGACATACATCGATGATAAAATCACGATGTCAGGAGCATAATGACAACAAATTTATATTATGATCATGCGAAGTTAGGTTATTTCACTTTTTTATTATCATTTTATTACATGGCTTTGAGTGATACCTTAATAATAATTTTAGTGGGGAGTTTTGTTTTTGAAAAAAGCTGTTACGAGTAGAAGACAGGAACACCAAAGACCAAAGTATTTTTCGAAAAAACCTAACCTGCTTTAGCTTAACCTAACAAATTCATCTTTCAAATATGATCGATCATGCAACATGAAAACAGCGTCTGTCTTTGTCGGATTCATGCAAATTAGCAATACAGCTTGTTTAGACAATAAAATTCTGTTTGTCTCTGTCTAACATATCTGAAACTTCATAAAAAATATCCACAAATCGCTGTCGTTTGTCTTTACTAGAGAATAAAATGATGACGTTTTTTTTTTATTTTCCAACTACCACGAAGGCCTAAGGCCTAAGCACCCATTGGGTACCGTGGGGCTATGGGGGATACATGAGAAAGGGGGGACTCCACACAGACTCTGGCGAGGGAACACGTGTGCATGCACACATTCTGGCTCCGCCTACGAGAACCGCCGGGTGGTACCTCCGCGTTCGACAGTCAGAGACCATCTACTACCTAGGGACAATCACAATATCCATAGCCAAGAGAAAAATTTCTCCTGGGACGGGACTCGAACCCGCACAGCGCCTGATCAGGAGACCGAACAGTCTACTACTGCGGCCACCAGTGCTGCCTAGGTAATAGTCATCTTTCATGATTTCGACTATACCTAATTTCTCACAGGTTATGAACTCACATAGTCCTATATAGGGTGTTCCCAAATATCTGGAAACCCTAGAAAACAGTGTTATAGATAAAAAGCAAAAACATACATTTTACATGCTACTTTCTGAAATAATATGCTTAATTCTTTGGGTTTCTATGATAATATTTGCATGGTATGTTTTATATAGTCTATTTACAGTGGATATGATGTATGTGATGCTCAGTAATTATAAGGCCTTAAAGAATACTTGTCCCTTCTGTTAATTAAAATAAAGGTGGCTGTGGGTTTTGTGTCTACATGAGAAGCTAAATTTCCAACCTTCAACTCCTGTCTTAAAAATATTATTTTTGTGTCTGTAGGTATCAATAAAGATTTTTTGGTGTTTTTATAAATGTTTCATTAAAAAATGGAGATCCAGCATGTTACATTCATTTCCAGTTGTGGATTTCTTCAATAGAATTAATCTGATTTATGGAACAATATGCGAGTATTGTACAGAGCAGACCTGCCCCACAATGTCAGGTGGGCCAAGATTTGAGTATCTATGGGCCGATGGGCAGAAATTCAAGAAGCCCACTCCATTACCTGCCAGGGAATACATCAGCCATCTGATGGACTGGATTGAAATGCAGATTAATAACCAGGACCTGTTTCCATGTACAAGTGATCGACCATTTCCAAGAAACTTTCCAAATCTCTGCAGTAAAATACTGGCAAGATTGCACAGGGTGTTTGTACATGTTTATATACATCACTTCCAGAATATTGTGACTATTGCAGCAGTAAGTATATATTGTTATATAAAAATAATTTAATAAGTATTGCAATTGCTTGTTCTCTTACGTATTCACCACACCAAATTACTGAAATGAACAGTTTCATTTCTTTGTAATTAGAGGGAATGTAAATTAGAATTTTGTTCAACCAGGTCTTGAATTATGAGAGAATTTTTGAAAAAAACTTTTAATATTTGGGATGTTAATAATAATTTGATTTCAGGAGGCTCATGTGAACACCTGTTACAAGCACTTCTACTACTTTGTAACAGAATTCCAATTAGTAAGCCAAAAAGAGTTGGAACCACTTGGCGAGATGGCTGCAAGGATATGTAAGGATCCTTCCACTTAGATCAATTTCAGGATATCTGTTTTCCAAATTAACCAGAGTGATAATATTTATATATTGTATAGATAAGGCTATCTACTTGATTTTTTGGAAAAGTATTGTGTCATTTTGGAAACTTGTTGTTTTTTCATGTTTTTTGGAAGTAGGGGCTGGCTCCTTTACAGCCAATATTCAGAAATGGAGTTACCTGGAGGAGTAGGTATAAAAATGTCATCAATATAGTTGTCATAGACACTTAACTATTATGTTTTATTCATCAAACAAAAATGACAATGTTGTCATGGTATCACATCACAGAGTACATTCACAAAACAATAATACTGAAGTGCTTGATGTCAGTGTCCATTCAATATAAAATTTGGCTCAAATGGATACTGACAAAAAACAAATTTGATATAAACGGGACAATGATATGTTGAAGTACTGTTGTTTCCTAACTGTGCTTAATGTCATTTTTATCTGATGCTTGTTCCAGAAGTTAAAATTAATTTATAATTGTAAATTGATATATAGAATAAAATATTGCAAGAATGATTTCCAAAAGTAACATATATTGCCAGTATATGTTACATATACACATGTATGCTTCCTGATATTTTTTATTGAGATATCTTTATTGGACCCAAACTTCAACTACACCTAGGCCAGTTCCATTTACTAAACTACCAGTGTATCAGTACAATTTATACTTTGTGCACACTATGATTAATCATATTTATACATCACAAAAATACAAATGTTATTTACAACAATTCTGTTAAACTTTATTTTTTTATTATTGTTAACATGTGTACGTACTAATTTATTCACATACCAAATATTAACTTTAAGTCTCTGATCATTTTTGTTTAGAATGTCATAAACATCAAGTAAATAAAGAATATAATTCAACTGCTGTTCTTTTTTTCTCCAATGCTAGGTAACTTGATGGGAATGTTCTGTAAAAGGTTGCCCATATTTTTGAAAATATCAAAACCCTTAAAAAATGTACTTGCTGGAAATATCAACCCTTGATTTGCGACCAAAAATACTTTTACATCATCAAGGGGGTTTCTGTTTGGTGAAAAGAGTTGCGAAAATAGGTTGGAACCATTGCTGATAAAATTTTGTACTCCTGATAATGGGGACTCATTGGCTCTACCTAAAATTAAAATGAGTGAAACACTTTTCTGAAAAAAGTGCAATATTCAACTTACTTTCTCCAACATTATAAATATTTGAGGGAGTATAGTTACTTTGCCCAACTAAAATAATATTGAAATATAATCCTATGCCATGTGTTTCTATAAATCTTACCTTCTGTCGATTCTTGTACACTATTTTCTTTCTTGTAAGTTTGGTCAATAACTGGGTAGCAGTTTACAAATGCTAAAACTCGAAAAACAGTGTATTCAAACAGAGATATTTTCAGTAATATTCATTTCCTTACTAGATAATAAACCAAATATTGGCATTTTATAATAGGTCAGGCATGTATAGCACATTACCGATTGTGTAAAAATATCACTGACATTTTTATACGATATTTATCAAGTAATTTACATGTATTTTGCCATTCAAATTTTCTTGTATACTAGATACTGTAAATTTTAGAGCAAAGTAGGTAGGTTTTTGCATATGCAAAATTAAGTAGATAAAGTTTTGGTAAACAATTATATTGAACTGAGTTACATACTTGTCTTCTGCACAAAAATGTACAATATACTAAAAATGAATTATTGCTAGTCTTATTTATTTATACTACTGTAATATTCTTCTTCAAGATCATACAAATCTGCTGCCATATCATCTCTTAGTGACATCAGTTTTTGATCACATTCTGCTTGTTTTGTCCTGAAAATATTGATTCCAATAAGAACAGCTTACAAATTGCTTTCCAAGAAGGACATAAACAACAGCATGAAAGTGTTTTAATTGCACAAGCTAAATGATGCTTTTCATAAGTAATTCAAACTTGGAGCTTCTGAGTAATCTAATGATTTCTTATGTAGTTTTTTTTATATTTTGCTTTAAATGTCCAATACTCAAAAAATCACAAGAACTGAATCTCAGAAACTATGGATTTTTGACCATACATATATGGGGTGAAAATAAAAGGAATGATGTGAAATTACCAGCAACCCTGTATATTGCTACAGAGGTATAATAAAGTAAGTACCTGAATAACTTTGAATTCTGTGTAATGGCTTCATTGACTGATGGGAAATCGTTGAGTATCAAGTATTGTTTAATATCGGACACCAATTTCATAAGAGATTCCCCTGCTCTAACAATATTTGCAGCTCTGACGTGCATTTCGTATGTGTCTTGTTCACACTGCGTCATTCTAGAGAGCTGTGTATCGTGATCACCTTTAGCCAATTTAACAATCTCTGAAAGAAAAACAATCATCGACTCTCTACAAAAACTAAACTCAAAATCACCACCTTCAAAGTTTTCTAGCATGCTCTTAACATCATCTTTCAATCTCGTTCTGTACGATTTCAGTAACGCTTCCTTGCTTTGTGGTAATGATCTGGATAAAGACATCGTCAAAATCCAGCCAAAATATGATCTTAGAAGTAAAAAGTTGCTGAAAAAACTCGACTTCTCATACACAAATAATAAGGTTATGTTGTTGTTTGGACCACGGACCACAAAACTTATCAATCAAATCCAAGCGAATAACCAAAATTTCTGTGTTATGTGCCGCGGTTATAATATGGTCCAAGATGACACACGGGTTGATGACGTCAGTTACACGAATCGCTTGAACGCGTTGGTTTTAACCGCGGTTTTGTTGCAAGTTGTTTATTTTAGAAAAGCGCGTATATAATCTCTGATTATTTTTATTATCATTTAATAATCGGTGCTTTTTCGTCTACAACTGTATATGGAAAGTTTAAATAAGAAACCTGTCATAATATTCATGAGAGAAATGTTTTTTCAGATTTTTTTTTAATGATGGAGCCATGGCTTTGTAGCTATGATAACTTTCAATTCTCTAAATTTTTCCGCATGTCAAAGAAAACATTTATTGATTCAGCAGAAATGATAAAAAAAGAAATTAGCAAAACCGTATACAGGTGGATATCATCTAGTGAGTTTATATGGCCATATTTTAATATTCTTGTGGTATATGGCTACACAGGATACTTTGTTAAGCATAGGAACTACATTTAAAGTGTCCCCAACAACCGTAATGAGTATAACTAATAAGGTGCTCCACTTTATGGTAAAACTGAAGTCAGCCTGTATCATTTTTCTCAAAAATGAAGCTGAAGTACAATAACAATATCCAATACCCGGCAAAATTCTAACTTGTCACATTTCAAATAATAACCAGAAATATAAAACTACTCTTGAGTTGGGTAAATACCACAATTTCGCGGTGATGACTATGACATATAACAGCTGATTCGTGACGTCACGGATCTTATAACCAAACTGATAACTACACTCGCTTGAACGGATTGGTAAATACCAACCCAAAATGGTAGATACCATTTCCATTTGGTTATCCGCTTGAATTTGATTATCGAGTTTCTAAGAGTTGTCATGAATCAAATCCAAGCGCATAACCAAAATTTCTATGTTATGTGCCGCGGTTATAATATGGTTCAAGATGACACACTGGTTGATGAGGTCAGTTACACGAATCGCTTGAACGCGTTGGTTTTAACCGCGGTTTTGTTGCAAGTTGTTTATTTTAGAAAAGCGCGTATATAATCTGTGATTATTTTTATTATCACTTAATGATCGGTGCCTTTTCGTCTACAACTGTATATGGAAAGTTTAAATAAGAAACCTTTCATAATATTCATGGGAGAAATGTTTTTTCAGATTTTGGCTTTGTAGCTATGATAACTTTCAATTCTCTCAATTTTTCCGCATGTCAAAGAAAACATTTATTGATTCAGCAGAAAAAAGAAATTAGCAAAACCGTATACAGGTGGATATCATCTAGTAAGCTTATATGGCCATATTTTAATATTCTTGTGGAATATGGCTACACAGGATACTTTGTTAAGCATAGCAACTACATTTAAAGTGTCCCCAACAACCGTAATGACTATAACTAATAAGGTGCTCCACTTTATGGTAAAACTGAAGTACAATAACAATATCCAATACCCGACAAAATTCTAACTTGTCACATTTCAAATAATAACCAGAAATATAAAACTACTCTTGAGTTGGGTAAATACCACAATTTTGCGGTGATAACTATGACATATAACAACTGATTCGTGACGTCACGGATCTTATAACCAAACTGATAACTACACTCGCTTGAACGGATCGGTAAATACCAATCCAGAATGGTAAATACCGTTTCCATTTGGTTATTCGCTTGAATTTGATTATGTAAAATTGACAGCTTGACACAACCATTTACTCGTTACGTAACGAAGATAATTGGTTCATTACAAAATTTATGATTTTATCTCTTTTTTGTTAGATTAGATTCCGTTTTATTTTCTGATTTGGCGACTGTGTAAAGACAGAAAATCTAACGCCGAGCAAACGAATGCAAGCACATGTGATGTTGACGTTTGTTGTTGGAAAGTATTGGAATGCGCTCGTCTACACCTAAATTCAGTTTCAAGTTGGACCGCTAATGTCGAGCAACGAATCTCCTCCCATCCAATGCAGACAAACGAAGCGCAGCAAATCCTATCGGCCAAATCAAACCTCCCTTGATGTACCGATCAAGGAGCGAACGCCAACGGCTACCTTGGCAAGCGTTGGCTCGTACCGTACACACCTATTCGAACACCTCCAAATCTGTAGCCACATGTGCCTTGGTTTGCGTTTTAATCTCGGTCTGTACGCGGCTTTATTTTGATGTTCTGCAAATCGGTGCCGTCTATACAAGGTATGTTCAATATTTTTTGTTTGTATAGGTAACAGGTCAAGGGAATGGTAGAAGAAATATCTGTATAATTCGTATATTGATTGACGTATTCATGTTATGTAACAATAAATTAATAACACTAAAATATACGAAATAAAAGATATCAATGTATACATTACACAATATACACATTCATAAATATAAGCAAAAAAAGCCCTAATTAAAGATAAATATTACGTCTTCGTCTGTTCCAAAGCTTCTTCTTGCATTTTCTAAATTTAATATTGGCATCATACATACATCTGCAACAAACATTTAGAACAAAAAGTTGACATACTACTACATACATTTTATTTTATCTACGGCACGGTTGTAACGAGTTCTTTACAGCCCATGGACTTCATACCTGATAATTTTTGCTCGTGTGAACTTTCAGCCATACGAGTTTTTGTTTGTTGACACTGTCGACACACTGTTTTTTTAATTTATTATTGAAGTCGGTATATGCTGTTCGAACTAACAGCCGTGAGCTTCTAGTTGATTCTGGACAACGACCCTGTACTCAATATGTTATAGTACTGACAGTTTACTAGCCTTTTATGTCCGTTCAAAAAATTTTTTGTCGCCATATACCCGGTCGGAGATAAAATTTTGTATTTATCTCCTTAGACTCTAATCGCACGCCATGGGGTGCCCAGAACGGCAGTTTAACACCCTAGATACATAAATAAGCATAAATCATGTATTTTTTCATACTCCAACTACCACGAAGGCCTAAGGCCTAAACACCCATTGAGTACCGTGGGGCTATGGGGGATACAGGGGAAAGGGGGAACGCCACACGGACTCTGGCGAGGGAACACGTGTGCATGCAACATGCACACATTCTGGCTCCGCCTACGACATCCGCCGGGTGGTACCTCCACTTTCGACAGTCAGAGACCGTCTACCACCTACGGACAATCACAACATCCATAGCCAAGAGAAAAATTTCTCCTGGGACGGGACTCGAACCCGCACAGCGCACGGCGACTGATCAGGAGAACGAAGAGTCTACTACTACGGCCACCGCTGCTGCCTAGTATGAATCGCGTTCAAATTTCGAAACGAGAATAATATGCCAAAACAGACTGTGTGACCACGTCCTTTTAAATGATAATAAAGCAATTGTCGCACTTACGATCTCCAAATGAAGGGTTCCTATAGAACACCTTACGAGTATGAATATCATACCCACAAAGGACAACGTAATGTCCTTGATAACTGGTCGGCCATGGAATGCATTTTCTCAACTCCGTAGAAATTTTATTAAACTTGCACACATCACAGCTAAGCATTTTTGCGTTTGTCAGTATTATTATTGGACCATTTACTAAATGACCTAAAATGTCATCCATCGTCAGAGAGGCTTTTTGTACAAAAATTCCTTTGGCTTTCGCATTTTTGAAACGCGTGTTGATCCTATTTTCATCCTGAAATAAATAGAAAATATGTCATAGGCCATATAGACTCTCAGAGGTCGAGACTTTTCACTAAAACCGCCAGCACTGATTAACTTGAAGATAGTAGTGGATTACGAAAATGAATTTAGATATCTACTTTGAAATGAGTTAGAGTATTTGGATCTGATACTGTTTCATAGGTGGCGCTAGGTTCTTCAAGACCTTTTTGACGTCTCTCTCTCTCTCTCTCTCTAATGCATTTTTCATTGGGTATCTTCATGTGTTGATGAGGGTATTCTGCCATGAAGATACCCAATTGAAATTCTCCAGATCGATGGATCGCCCTTAGGGAACCCTAACCCGAAAAACGTGTTTTTTCAAAAATATTTTTTACTGACGCAATTTTGTTAAAAAAATGAAAATTCACTAAAGCTGTATTATTACAGTCTAGATAAATAGTGTGATTTTTGTATAGATTTGTAATACTTATAATTAGACAATTTTTGTTATTCGAATTTTTGATTGGGTAATGAAAATTTCGAAAACCCGTTCGTCTCAGATCCTCTAACAAAATTACAAATTTTTGCCCGGAAAATCGTCAAAAATCGGAAAAACCGCTTTTTCCTCGATTTTTGACATTTTAAAAGTAGTATGTAGTAATAGTATACAGGGTGGCGCATCTAAAACGAAACAGACGCATTTACTGGCAGCTTAGTTTTTTTTTTGGCTAAACGCTCAGACCCGTCGATTTTATTTCTTCAAGAAAGATAAGGAAATATCTTGTACTTATTTTAAATATGAATTTAGTACATAGTTTGCGATTGATTTGACCAAACTTTGCTGCTAAAATAACTTGTAACGCTTTATTACATAAATTAACCATGGTATATTCCACCGCAGAAAGAGTTGAAATTATCGAAATATTTTTCGGAAATAATCAGTGCGTTAATAGAACAGCAGAAATATTTAATGAGCGACATGAGAACAGTAACGTGCATCGAAAATATGTTCTAGAACTTGTAGCTAAATTTCGGGAAACTGGGTCAGTCGCCAATAAAAAAGGCAACATTGAAAATCCCATAAGGAACGAAGCAATAGAAGTGGGGGTTTTAGGGCAAATTTATGTAGATCCTACGTTAAGTACCCGCAAATTGGAGACTGTGTGTGGTGTTAGTCGACGTACTGTCCAACGGATTCTAAAGGCCCATAGTTTTCATCCGTATAAAATTCACCTGGTACAAGAACTTCATGAAGACGATTAAACGTTTGGGCTGGAATTTTTGGCGATCATTTAGTTGGTCCTTTTTTCTTACCTGGAAATTTGACCGGTGAAATGTATTTGGAATTACTGGAAGACGCCATAGATCCTGCATTAACAGCCATAATTGAAAATCAGAATGATCGGCGGTAAATTGCAAATAGGTTGATGTTCCAACAGGATGGTGCCCCACCACATTACGCATTACGTGTTCGACAATATTTAGATCAGACGTTTCCAGATCGATGGATTGGTAGAAGAGGTGCCACTGAATGGCCCCCAAGATCGCCAGATTTATCACCTTTGGGTTTCTTTATGTGGGGTCATTTAAAAAGCAAATTCTATGCTACTCAGCCAACATCATTAGAAGACCTGCGACAAAGAATTGTGAATGAGTGCCTTCAAATTACTCCTCAAATATTGCAAAATGTGCGGCAACGTTTTGAGCAAAATCTTTATTATTGCATGGAGAGTCATGGTGGCCATTTTCAACATTTACTTGCCTAACGGGTCAGTTCATTCTTCATTTTTAAATTACTTTGCTGCCAAATGTATTGATCTCCACTAATGATGATGTATTAGTTTTATTTAAGCTTTAAATCAATAAATTTTCAAAACTACTGAACTGAAGTACATTAGTTTTATAGCATTATAAAGAGAATTGAAAGACCTCTAAAATAAGGTATCACTCGACCCCCCTTTCCATTTAAGATTTTGGGGGTGGTGTCACCCCCGCTTAGGGGGCTGCACGTGCTAACGTGATTTTTTGCCAAACTTGTGTCGCTCTTGAAAACAAAATCGACGGGTCTGAGCGTTTTTCAAAAAAAAACTGAGCTGCCAGTAAATGCGTCTGTTTCGTTTTCGATGCGCCACCCTGTATAAAAAGTGGGCTAACTCGAAAACTCAAGAGAAAATAGAAAAAAAACGGATTTTCGCATGTTTTCTTCAATTTTTGAGGTTTTGTCAGGAAAGGAATACTTGGCTAACAGAGTAACCCGTTGGACATAAGCCTTTTTCTGTGTTCTTTCCAATTCCGTTGTTAGAATCGTGATTTCTTGTCCGAAAAATCGAAATAAATCTGAAAAACCGCATTTTCACCGATTTTTCCAATTTTTAACTTGGCTAACTCAAAAACTTAACGTCGAATCAACTCCGGAAAATTATGGCTTTCGGCGACTTTTTAGGGAAATAACTATAACTTTGAGGCCTTTTTATTATATGGATATCGGCCAATTCGTATTATCGGCAAACTAAGCCGATATGCACAAATATACATCGGTATCGGATGGTATCTGCCAATCCCTAAAAACAGTTTGGTATTACCTTCGTCAGTATGTGATTGTAGAAACTGTTCCATCTATATCCTTCATGGACACCCAGAGTGGTTGTGTAAAAAATGTGCCGTACGTTAAACTTCCTCAGTAGATAGCAGAGATCTATCGTCCAAGTACTAAAAATAATAATTGGTCTGATAGTTTATAAAGCTTTTCAAAACAAGTAGTAATCGTAAATCAGTGCGTGCCATATAATACACCATATGAAATTTTAACTTCAGCTTTTTTCTGGATGTTTGGAAAATCGTAGATTGTTCTAGTTAAAATCTAGATAAAACACGAAATTCTATGTACCTTTTGTTAAAACCTTCGCTTTTACAAATTTCCGTGAAGTGATTCAAAAACGTTTGTCTTTGGTGTTTCTGTAGTACCATAAGTACACAGGAGATACCACAGTCCCAATTGTATCTTTGAGTAGCATGATTGAGTTGGATCTGCATTCTTTCTGGCTGACCTACAAAAACAATATATTGGTGAAATTTAACACGAAAGAAAAAATAAATAAAACGATGGTAAGCGACGTCACTTGTTAATAAATCTTATGCCGTCGAAATAAGTAAAAAACCGACATAAGATTTATGATCTACGCACCCAATTTGCCTAAGAAACAGGTTTTGATCTTGATTGGCAGATGGAATTTTTGAATTTCTGCTTCCTACGCCACTGAGGTGGAAGTATATGTTAACAGCAAAAGATTTCCGATACTGTTTTCTTGGTTTTATATGACATCTACATCACGAAAAAACGTCACTCATTTCCGTCGATGTATCTGTCCTCTAATCTTTGGCACGCCTATAACTTGGACAACCACCCCTCGGATTTTGATAACATGTTCAGATAAGACTATACCACGGACGAAAAAGAGAAGAGAAGAATAACAGAGTCGTATTTCGATTAGCGATCTAGCCTGTAAATCCTTTCCTATTTTGGTACGCATTTAGTATTTTTCTCCCCTTGTTACTGTTCGTCGATATTGTGTTGTTGAATCGTTTTGCTGTACTCTTGATGGTGTGATTGTTCTTGAGTGCCTTTTTTTAACAAGGTTGATAATGGACAATAAAAGGTCATATGCGACCATTTCAATTACGAATGCAGTGAGTTTAATTCATGATGAGGTCAACAATAGTGTGGAGCAGTTCAACTCTATAATCGCAAAATACATTGGGGAGTAAGCGAATAAATTATTGCAAGAAGAGGTCATACCATGGAAGATGTGCTGCAGCTGTAGTCAGCCACAATACCCAGCGGCCTGTCTATGTGGTCCAAATACATTTGCGTTCTAAGCTTAGTCCAACCTCGCTTATCGCTAAGATGGAACAAAGACTCAAACGCAAGAATCAAACTCAGGCCAAAAAAAGCTGATATAAAAATAACTAACAATTCGGATAGCAATTCCAAAGAAAATGAATAGTTTTATATCGAATTCTGTCAAAAACCTGACATGAACGACATTGATTTGGAGGTTGCTAAGCAAGAATTTTTAGGGAAACTTAAAAAAAGTGACGACGAGACCAAATCACAGGACTGTACTTTGTGGCGCCTTCATCGGAGGATAAGGTCGACAGCGTCTCGATTTGGTGAAGTTTGTAGAAGAAAGCAGACAACAAGCTGTAAAGTTCTAGTAAACTCCACCATATACTCAACAGAGTTTTTTAGTAAGGTAATAAAAAAGGCAATACAAAAATCATTGGACACCGCAGTTCAATCTTGTGGTTTGTTTATTGATCGCACACGTCCATTTCTGGCAGCATCGCCTCAATCTACCTATTACAGTAGACAAGATATCCAGTTATAAGCACACCTGTTTATTGCTCTGCAAAAACTACCTAACTGTTTCCTCTTATTTTGACGGCATAAGATATTTTTATGACCCTCGTTCAATTGTTACCATGTACCAGATGACCTTTGTAAACATAATTGTGTTTATTGACATGAATAAACGAATTTGAATTTGAGTTCTTGAATTTATTTTACTATAACAAATTATTTGAATACATTTTTTCTTAGTCGGAACGCACCGTCGCGTCGCTTGGACTGGCAGGACGAAACAGTAGACGAATTTCGCCCAAAAACAGATTTGCACTTCACAGCTTTGACGTTTCATTTTTTATTATTTCCAAATGAAACTCTTGCAGCGTGCTAAAAATAAAGTCGACAGGATGCTAACGATCCACTTTTTCGATTTTATCCACTAGGATCTTTTCAAAATATCAAGAAGTTGAGCACAAATAGTAAGCATACCAACCCACCATAATTCTTGCACAAAGACAGAATTTTGTAAAAAGCTCTGATAGCACCTTAAGCAATTATGTCCTGCTTATATCCAGAAAAACATCACAAACTGCAGAACAAAAATTGAAGGTAACAGGGAAATGGGTACATTTCACGGGTCGTGAAATTCAAATGAAAATGCAGGTATAAACTCTACCAAATTATCGTTCTATAAACATATTTCCTTGACATATCGATAATTTTAAAGTTCCACGCTAAATTCCCCTATACTTGACTGGTGTGATATCCGAATTCATTCTTCCCTACTGTCGGCAGTTGCAGATAGATCTGTTGGCTTTTGGTGTCAAACCTATAGAGCAGGTACCGATTTTTTCAAATCGTGAGCACATTATTCGTCGGATTTTCGTTACTTAAATTTCCTGTAATCACTGGGACCAGAAGCTTCTTAATAGTAGAACGTATTTCACTGATATCAAAGATGCAACGTTTAGAATCACCTTCCCCCAACCCCCACTTTTTAAGCAGTACAATTTTTTTATGTCAATGATAAGCAACCCCTGTAACGTCAAAAACGGAGTTTCAGCTATTGTTACTTTTTCTGTTTTGCCTATAGCACCGTTGCCACTGGACCAAAACTACAAAGCTTTGGCATACTGGTAAGCCCGTGCGGAAATTTCACAAAGTTAATGATGAGTGATATAGTTTTTCGTGATGTAGATGTCATATGACTTAAAAAAAACATAAAATCTCATTTTAGAAATTTTTCGCGATTACAATACTTCCTCGCCACTGGCATGGGAAGTAAAACGGCTTTAAAATCGAGAAGTATCAGCGAATGCGATTATCAGTACCTATTTGCATAACGACTTATTCATGCGATATTATATGAAATAGGGCCACCAAATTATCTGAATACGTCCTTTCTTAGTCCCTACATTGCGCCGCAACGCTTGGGTTGACGCTTTATTTTTTGATATTTTTGAATGCAATTTTCATAGTGTGCTGAAAACAAAACCCCACAGGGTGCTGTCGAGCCACTTTTTCATTTTTTTCACTAAATTCATTTAAAAAAAAACAGCGAAGTTGAACAGAAAAAGTGAACACTTCAACCCATCATAAAACTTGTGCAAAAACAAAATTTCAAAAAGTGCTCCTATAGCACCCTGGGCAATTATCTTCTAAACATACTGTATGTATTTCATTCAAAAATATTGAAAAATGGAGTGTCAGTTTCGAAGCAGCTGAACCCTTGTAAATGGCTTGAAACTCACTGCGTCGGAGCCGCCTTAATACTGTTGACTAAGACGACACAATTGTAGAAGGCAGAGTTTTTGAAGTATGAGGATGAATGCCTCGGAATGAGTTTTATGTTGACGTTTCGGGTATTATAATGATGATTTTGTGGCAGGTCAGGAAATAGATTATCATTTCCTCTTAAAAAAGTAACACATATGAGAAATTAAACTGCACAAAGTGTGCCAATGTTGCTTTTCTTAAAAATCTCGCTGCAGACTTTATGTTAAATATTTACTCTCATCGTCTGAAATTCTTCGACAGAATACATACCTGGACCTAAAGATGGGCACGTATTATACCTTCTCATATTCACCGATGACTGTCTAGCACATGTGAACCGTTTTTCTATTGTTTTCAATTCCCTGATGACACATATAAGATTAAATTTTCACAAAAAACCAGTAAAATCATTGTCATGATACGCAGAGATAACAAAAGTAACGATAAAATGCGATAGATTCTTCGCAACAGATTAGCTTCATACCGTTGTGACCCGTTTAGATAAACGTGTATTCTTATCTCTGGTGAGTAAAACAGTAAAACGGTGTCGTGTACAGTTGGCCGCAAATACTTTATGCATTCTTGGAAGAATATATTGCTTAACAATAATAGGAATATATCGCTGCAACGTTATAAATGAGCTTCAACCAGTATTCAACTGGAATGAACGATTTAAGTGTCAATCAGATGAATAATAGGTCGTATTATTGAATACCGGAAAAAGAGACAATATACAATCATTTGGTATAATATACATTGTATCTCACAGTCGATGAATCGGAGGGGAGCAATAATAGCAGCGTCTCAGTGGGAAAGGATATTTGGTTGTTCGGAATTTTCCTTGATCAGGATCATAGGCGCAGTTTTTCCAAGGAGTTTTTTGTGACAATATTCTTTTAGCGATAATGTGCCAAAACCAATCAAGGAGCTAAGACTGGCGTCATAGTTTTGTTGAAATATGTTATACGATGTCTCTCTCCATGAGGGGGGGGTGCATGCTTCAGTGCTTAGCAACACCTCTGAAAGAAATGCCCTTGTATCATGTTGAAAAGGAGGGGGCTCTATCTAGGGGGCGCATGTGTGACAATTCATGCCTGGCAAGGAAGCAATATATACCATTTTTCTAAGAATGGCAGATTTGGGGTCTTGGGGGTGTGGAGCCCTCGCCCCCTCTAAATGCGCCACTGATCGATAATCAAAAATATCTCTTGAAGTTACCACAGAATTGAGAAAAAGTGGGAAATAATTTCAAACACATTCACTAATCAAGTTTTCTAGCGTGATTACATCTTATAGAAGTGTTTAGATTATGACATCGACCAATGAAGTCACATTCTCACAGATACTGGATACCATCCAAAGCTGAACTGCCGAACGTTTTAAGCAAAAGTTGTGTGTATGTGTTAATTAATACTGGACTGTTTAGGTATGTGTCTAGGCTTTAGGGATGTTTCCCAATACATATCGTTATCTGCCAGAAGGTTATAGATTACTTGATATTCAAGCAGGGAAAAACATTGCTGTTGTGATCCCCTTATGGTATCACTAAATTCGCTTTACTTTGAGTAAAAGCAGCTAATTTTTATAGTAAGGTACATCACATATGACCTTTATATTTGAACCTTCACACAGAGCATAAATCTGGTGACACATGAAAATGCAATTGGTGAAGCTTTAAGAAGGAAAGAGGACACAAAAGCATGATTAAATTCGTAAACTATGTAAAACGTTTGTCACGCATACAAGCACGTAACTTGTTCCGAAATAGAGATTTTAGCTAGGCTTAGCGATTTGCTACGAAAGTTAAACACATGGATCCAAAACATTCTCATCCTGATGCTTTGAATAGTGGGCTTGACTCTTACACATATGTTGAAATTGTACGAGGATTTTTGAAAAAGTAAGTTGAACATGAAAACAGGGCAAATTTACCGCTATGCGTGAGTAATAGCATAAAATTTACGTCAAATTCTGATTATACACACCAGATTAGGCCAAGAAACGAGTTCTCGCGTCCAGATTAAAGACGTGTTGAGGTTTTTTGAAAACTTTTCTTAGGATATCTCCAAATTCTGTGGTCGATATAGATCAAAATATCAATTTTGATTAGCCGTTGTTACAAGCAAATGGAACTTGGGGCGCTGAGTTCAATAAGACCGTCAAACAGTTGTGAAGAATCGTGGGATCAAAATAGGCGTAGATCCGAACTACCCGTAGGTCTTATAACCAAATTAACGCAATTTTCATGTTTAAGCCTCTTTGAAATAAAGAGCAGCACGCGACGTTCAGATTCGCGCGTTCCTATTGGTCAGTGGATCATAAATGCCTTGGTAAGCAGCGACAAACGAATAGTAGCTACGATCTAGTGCTCATGTGTATCTTGACGCGGAGTAAATGAGATGCGAGTAGATTAGAGAACGTGGTCTCGTTAAGGCCCGTATCGTCAGTCGTCCCTACAATTGTAGGGTGCGTTTATGGCCTCCTTGATTGTCATACTCTTTTCTCTCCTTCCAAACATTTCTAGATTACACTTGTCCCGTGTCAGCGTCAGCGCTCTCCTATTGTGAAGATATGTTTTTCTTTTAAGTTGTAGGAAATTTCAGGCTGATAAAACATGATATAACTCAAGAGCAAGCACAATTTGATGCAAATAGATGTTTGTGACATAACATCAAAATAGAGCTCTGACACGGAGAAGTAGAAAACTATGACAATCAAGGAGGCCATAAACGCGCCCTACAATAATTATTGTAGGGACGACTGACGATACGGGCCTTAGATACAGATACTACGAGTTATTAAATTAAGCAACTTCAACATATTATATATGACACTATACTGGTGGTAAAATTTTCATCTTCATCCTCTAGTGTTTCCAGCGAACGAAACTTGGTATACATGGGTTATTTGGGACGCTGAATTCAAATATGACTGTCAAAAGTCATTAGGTGGTATCCCTTTATTGAATAAATGATGTCAATACGTTTCTAGTTAAAAAATATACAAAGCATAGTAGTCCGTAGAATTTCTGCTAATAGTGCATAGCTGGTTGCCAATGCCAGCCTGGTTTTATTGGTAGATTAACATCACAGGTGAAAGCAACACACTTGATTAATTTATGTAATAAGCCAGGGTATGAATGAGATTATTTTTATCATAAAATATGTAAACAACTATGCATGTGTGTAGCTTAAAGGTCAGTTTATTTGTTAAACTTATCGCTGTTACCGAAAATGAAAGTACTCTCAGTTTAATCACAGTGGTCCTGATACTCTGTTGCTATCGACAGACACTGTTTATACATAATAATAAATGTAAGTATAATGAAACATAAATGTGTGAGAGCGAAATCATATATAATTAAGGATATGATAGCAATAAACCTACATATTAAACTTACCATTGTGTATAAAATCAGCTGTGTCAGACATAATCCTAAAAAATCAATACCACTGCAAGTGGTTGTGGTTAGTCACCCCCACTGCATATCTACACATATTTTACTAATGTTTGAATGAAATTGAAAACTGGCCTTTGGTTGTGTTCTTGACCATGTTTGCACCATGAAACAAATGCTGTATTAGGTTAACAAGCGCGACCTTGGCACGTATTTACAAAAATGATTTGGTGTTAATATATGCATGAAGTTATCCGTTTCATTGTTATTTGTTTTCACAGAAATTAAAGAGGATTTGCACGAGTGTTTAAATATTACTCCTGAGCACTATCCTGGAACTAGATTGTTTCAATACTTCACAAGATGTGCATTTTGTTTGTTCACGTGGACCCAGATCCAAAAGAAGGCCAATATAGGCTGGTTGTGGCTACAAATAGGGATGAATATTATCGACGTCCCGCTAAGTCGGCGTACAAAGATGAAGAGACCAATATCATAGGAGGTACATGGTAATTTGTTTTTACTTTATATATAAAAAAACGGCGTCGAGTAAGCTGACTCTGCACTTCCTTCGCAACCGCGTCATCAGTTCATAAAGGACTTTCTGAGAAAAAATTACACTAAGAAAACGTAGGAATTTTTCCATTATCCGTAATAAAATTTCAAAATTATTAGGTTTAATTAAACTGAATTTTCTGGCACCAGTACAATTGAAAGTAACTTGCTTGAATATAGCAAACCATGTACCTGTTTTTATTAATATGGGTAATTTAGTTTATGTAGAAATGGTACATTTAAAACAAATAGTAGTTAAACTGGTTATTTGAATCGCGGACTCGGCCCGCTATCATTCGTAAGTAAGTCATCGGTAGTATGCGACATACGCAGTGCCCGTGACAAACATCGAACATTTCAGTTTCATTTGTGATTTTTGCGAATGTTGCCATTGTTGGTGTAGTAGGTATGAGGTCGGTCAATTATGGTGATCAACCAAAATACACGAGCATTAGGCGCTTAGTGACCCATAACCATGACTAGAATAATTCATTAAATCTAGGCAAATACTTTTACCTGTACTAATTAAACAAATATAATAAATATAATTAAATTGTTTTACTTGGAGCAGGTAAATTAATTTTTATAGTTCACTAATTTTAAGTAAATTGGTATACTTAATCTAAGTAAACGGGTTAATAAACTTAATTAAACTAGCTTCATAGTTTCAAGTGATTGAAATAATTAAACGTGCTGTCACATATTTAAAAGACTTTTTTTATTGGCTCAATAACAATTGTAATTGGTTTTATTTATTTTTTTCTCAGTGCAGTAAAAAAGTGGGACATTGCACACTGCACAAATGAATGTTGGTTTTAGGTGTGGATATGCAAGAAGGAAGAGAAGGAGGCATGTGGCTGGGATTTAGGACGAAAGGAATTGAAGAGGGCAAAGAAAAAAAGCATTGTGTGGCAATACTTTTGAACCTTGCAGGAGAGGCGTTAGAAAACTCACACGGTAGAGGGTTCATTGTCAAAGATTATCTTTTGAGCTCAATGAAGCCTCCAGATTATATAAAAGAAATAGAAAAGGATCATAATTATAGTGGCTATACTTTTGTTGCCGTCGAGTTGAGGTTTGTGAGAATCATAAAAATTACCTATTTTCAACAAAAACTAGCGTCACCCTGCGTTTTTAATGTTTTCCAATAAAAAGACATACATACGTTTAGTCAAAATCGTGGAAAATAATTGTTTTACTTCAATGTCAAATGTTTTACCATAAGTATGTTATCGAATTATAAGTGTTCTGAATCATGAAAGTTTACGCCAGGAACCTACGAAGATCTTAGGGTCACATTTATAGAAGTATCTTGAGGATTGAGTACTATTTGAAGAATGATCTTTTTGAATTTAAACAAATAAAAATTCGTTCAGAAGCGGTCAAGGGAGAATTAATGTTAGCATTCTACAGTAGTCTGTAATAGTTGTCACCACAGGTTTTCAAAAAAATAGCAAAATTTTTGATATGAAAAAATGTTCCGAAATTTTTAATTCTGCATATTTTTCATTTTCAAAATTTTGTGAAATGCACGATTTTCAGTTTTCGGGATATCGAAAATTTTTAAAATGTTCACCTCGTTTCAAAATAATTTTGACAATGTTGATCATTTCGAAAATTCAGATTTTCTCTCGATTCTTTTAACTATATACTATGTCATTTTTTGACCACTATTTTATCATCTATCCGAGTGACGTCACAGTATCAACGTAGTCATCAATTGAATAGAAACAGTGGTTAAGCAATGCTTTTTTAACAAACTTTGATAAGCAGCGATGAGATATATTTTCAAAATAATCTTTTTTATTTGAATTGTCGAATAAATTATATAATTTTTTGTTAGGTCTATTATTTTTAGACATATTCAATTGTGATTATGTATTCCTGAGTTTATTAACATTACATGGTGCACGGGTGTGCATTTCTGCAGATGTTTGATATTTGTTGAGATTTCGATAATACAGGGTGCGGCAGAGAGGATGGACGGTTTTAAAAAAATCATAAAATAGTTAATTTTTACTCGAAAACAAATTTATTGATGGAATCAGGTTCACAAGGAAATGGCATTTGAGACAGTCAAGTTGGAAAATCACATCAGGCATGTGGTGGCCGAAATCGTTGATGCAGTGCTGGAGGCGTTCTTGGAAGATCGCGTAGACTCTCTCCAACATCGCTCTCTCAACTTGGGCGACTTCCACGCGAATTTCGCCCTTCAATTCGTCCAGAGTTCGGGGCTTGTTCGCGTATACTCTAGCCTTGAGGTGTTCCCATAAGAAAAAATCGCATATGGATAAATCTGGGGACCGAGGAGGCCAATGAACATCGCAAAACCTGGAAATAAGGCGACCAGGAAAGAGAGGGCGAATAACGTCCATGGATGCTCGGGCTGTGTGGGCGGTCGCCCCATCCTGCTGGAATCACACACGTCGGATTGCAACACGTCGCCGTCGTAATTCAGGGAGAAAGAACCATTACCGTCTTCGAAGAAGTAAGGGCCAATGATGCAAGTTTGCGATACAGCGCACGAAACCGTTACTTTTGGGCTGTGCAGCGGTCTTTCGTGTAACTGTTGCGGATTTTCATTAGCCCAATAACGACAATGCTGCTGGTTAACCATGCTGTTTAGGTGAAAGTGGGCTTCGTCACTCATAAACAAATTGAGTTTGATCGATCAGTGCTTCCATCTCAGTCTCAAGTTCATTCGTTGTGCATAATCTCCGGGCTGTAACTGTTGCACAATGGCCAATTTGTAGTGGTGAAAGCGGAGATCCATATGAAAAATTCGCCTTACCGAACGATCACTAAGGCGAAGTGCAGCAGCATGTTTCCGGGCAGATCGAGTCGGACTGCGAAGAAAGACCTGTCGAACGCGTTCAACATTTTCAGGAGTTCGAACTGTTCGCGGCGCTCGTCTTGGTCTTCTGTTGATCAGTTCACCACGCCTACGAAGTGATTCAACACAACGAAGGATGGTGTTTCGAACAGCTCTATTCCGATGAATGTTAAAGTGACGACAAAACTCAGGCTGTACGACGATGACTGACTCATTATTTTGGACGAAACAATCATAGGCGAAAACGCGGTGCTCCACCGTCCAAGGCTCCATAACGACAACTGGTAAAATAATGATAGGATCTCACGAGTCAAACGGCACCCTCCTCACCTCTCTCATAGACGGAGGCGGAGAGTACTACCCATCCCAAAAACGTCCGTCCTCTCTGCCGCACCCTGTATATAGAATTTCATTCAAATAAAATCATTTTTACTGGGTGTTCTGTTTTTTGTCTCTGAGTATAATTATACGTGCATTCTAGAGAGAAGTAGAAAATCGCGGGTTTTTGAAATTCAATCATATTGATGTAAGATTTTCAACAAAAGTTTATTGGATATGCGTAACTAGCAAGATTAACATTAATTGTGAGTATTGCAATTTTTAGTCAGAATGAAGCTGTAACTTATCACCATGGCAACAGGCCTCCCGTAGATTCGATATACACTGGTGAACACACATTAGGTTTTGGAAATAGCCCTCCATACTGTCCTTACGCAAAAGTATGTAAGGGTAGGTACAAAATGCTAGAAATTCTAGAATCTGGCAAACAAGGCGACGAATTGGTGCAAGAGCTGTTGAATCTGTTGAAAGATCGAACAAAGTAAGAAAATGAAAGGGTAAATATATATCGATTTAATATTTAAAGCATCTAATAATTTCTAGAAAAGAAAAAACGAAGTTTCTGCAATTTTATTTTTTCCAGTTTTTTACCTTAGCTTCGCCGCCACTGGACCGATTTTCAAAAACTACACTTTTTGGTCCTTGGCATAGTAGAAATCCTGTGTCAAAATTTCATCAGATAGACTGACGGAAATGAGCGACATGGTTTTTAATAATAATAGTAATTTATTTATATTGAGACAAAAAGTGTTTTTTCATATTACATCCATAAAACATGTCTCATTTTCGGAAGGACACTACACAGAACATATGGAAAATGGGTCCAGTTGATTTGTCTAAAAATGCAGTACGATATACAGGGTGACGGGAAAATAGATGCGGAGCCGGTGGGGAGAGATAGTACAAGCCAATCTGAGTCGATTTTACTATAGGAACTACTGTCCGAAAATTGGCCGTTTTCGAATTATAATAATTTTTAAGAGTCATAAAACTTGAAAATTGGGTGTTTCATTTGATATTTTTTTTGATTTGTCAATGAAAATATTCTAAAATACGAAAATTGACATTCACCATTTTGTTTTCTTCCAAACTTCATCACCCTATTTCTCAAAAACTAATGGTCCCATGAAAATTTGTCTTCAGGAAAGCGAGAAATACAGGGTGGCCGATATGTAACTGACTGGTTTGCATCATGAATATTTGTGAAATGAAATAAAATACGTCCATTTTTTTCATCTTAATCTTTTATTGAAACTTAGAAATTATGTATGAAAAATAATATTACACGATATATAAACCGCGCAAACCTGAGCCTTCTTGATCTCGACGAGGATGTAGTGGTCGTTGATGGATGACACGAGGGTTGTCTAATGCCCAGTTACGACAATTCTGCTTGTTAACAAATCCGTTCGTATCGAAGTGGGCCTCATCGCTCTTTATCAGTTCTTGGTAAAAATCGTTATTTTGGGTATTAAGCTGCAATATTGCATGACTGTATTGTAAACGATTATCACGGTTACTAGGCTGTAGTTATTGGGTTAACTTTTGTATGGCCGCAAAGTCTTTTATTTAAAATAGTGCATAGTGACATGCGACGAATACCCAGTTTTTGAGAACGATGTCTGGTAGACGTCTCAGGGCGCTCCACTACACTTTCACGAACTCTCGATTTTTTCCGTAGTACAGTTCGAACACAGCCCGACCTTGGAAAGTCTTTAACTTAACCTGTTTGTTCAAATTTCCGCACCAATTGACGAATGGGTACATTATTTAGACCGAAAGATTGTCGTAGCTTCCGAATCGTTACAACAATCGACTCATTATTTAAGTAAAACGTTTCAACAATACGGACGCGTTGTGGGATCGTGTAGCGCTCCATAATGAATTGGACACGTGCTTCAAACAACTACTACGGCGCCACCTACTGAAATGCCTGTATCAAAATTAGCGCGCAATTTAAATCAGTCAGTTATATTGGCCACCCTGTATAACATACTCAATTTTTAGTCGGGGACCAATTTTCCATATGTTTTTGGGGGGTCCTTTTTCTATTATTATATTTTCTATTAAAAATGCATATTTTCCAATTCGAGGCACTTACCTGATGAAGAGCTCCAAAGAAGATCCCCTGCAGCACTTGAATGTTTAAGTTCCACATATGTGGATATGTCAGAGTATGGCTACGGCACCAGGTAATTTGATAATCAAGTTCGGGTACTTAATATTTCTTTCATTTGTTTCCGTCTGGCTCTTGGGTTACTAGACTTTGTATTTTGAAAATGCACTATTTTTTCTCTCGGATCAAAACAGTCCTTTTTGTGGTAGAATTTATATGTTTAATGTAATTTGAAAATTTAATACTTCTGGCAACAGCGATTTGCGTTATATATATTTTTTTTCTTTTAGGACTCACACTGTGATAACTATAGATCACGACTGGAATATGGAATTTGTAGAGCATACTATGAAAGCCCCTATTGACCCAAAAAATCCAGACTGGGAAGTAACAAAAATCAAAGCAAGATTATGATCAAAGTTACGCTTATAAGATACTAAAGTGTTCAAGATGTTGATACAATACTTTTTAAAAAGGATCAATTTTATTTTTAAAAAAAACGTGTTTTTGCTCAAATAAATTGTACATCGTTAACAATAGTTTAAATTGTTTATTACAAAAATATTTATATGCAATATAGCCAAAACTGGATTGGCCCTCTGCATAGTCAGTGTTTCGGGGACATCCGTTAATTATGTGAGGTTTTTTTGACGGTTTTATGACATCCCAGTTGTTCGCCTCAGTAGACGTCAAAACGTAGTGGATACTTATAAAAAATAGAATATCTCCCTAAAAACATTTAAAGTGACATATGTATGTTCCTGCAACTGATCTCATGCAACTAGTTGCGTAAATGGGCGAGTAGCATTAACTTTTATATAAGGTCATTAAAAGTCGAGGCGAATAAATAAATGTATATTTAGAAAGCAAATATTCTGTGTAAACAAATTTAAAAAATTGCAACAAATTAATGATTAAAAAATTACTAAAAACAGCTTATCCAAAATATTTCTCTTTACAAAAAAATTACTGGCTTTAGACACTGTTCCGAATGATCTGATAACTAAACATTCTCATTTGTTTGAATCACATTATTGCGACCAAACTTCCAATTTACCTATTTATTTTTACAAAAAGACGAAGAAATAAAAAAATAACCAAAACGCAAAAACAACAAAATAAACAACAACTATTTTACAAATTAGATATGAGTTATATAATCAAGGCATTTTTCAAATAAGATAAACGCTGGTAATATGCAATTACATGGAAAATTGAGATACCTATCTTACCCTGTTCTCACACTTTCAAAAAATTGAATACTGGAGATTAGATGCCTGTCCAGAAACCGAGGATACAAATAAGAGTTAGATCTTTAACAGAGTAAAATTTGTTATAAGATATAGGATTTATCAAAATAATAATAATGAAAAAGCAAGTGACTTGCAAGATAGAGTACAATATTTTGCCACTATAGTAATGCAGACAAAAAAATATGGAAGCGATATTATCGGTCCGTTTTTTATGGAGTTCGGCGAGTGTTTATGCCATTCAAATTGTGACTAAGAAATTTTGGCAATCTTGGTAAACAAATACCTACCGGAAGCTAAAATTGTATCACCATTTTTGATGAATACTACATACTTTTGGAAGATTCCATTTCTGTAAAAAAATAATTTGTCTTCAAAATATACATATATCTATTTAATTATTGCAAAGTTGATTTTGATTCCCATTCAGGAGGAATCTCCACAGATAGCATTTTGATCACCGTTCAGAAAATAAAAGCGTTACAGAATCGCTATACAATATTTACTTCAGGAACTTGTTCTTCCAGTATTCAACAAATATTGCATAACATCAGAAGATTATGTTAAGGATGTATAGTGTAAGTGTAGAAAACGAGGAGATATAGGGTTCAAATGGAAAATCTAGACAAAAGAATGGAAGAAGACGGTAAGTTGTTCAAATTTTCTAAGCTGTTTAAATATACTCCAAGCATTTTCCTCACACTTGAATAAAGCTTTACCTCATCTGTATAATCAATATTTTGGTACCCTTCTCAAACATTTTCTAAACTTCTGACTGTCATTGAATAAGCACAGTCATGATCACGACTTCTGTAATAAAAACTATTAACAACAGTTCTTGAAAAAACAATATTCAGCAAACTATAATATCTATCGATAATCAAGAAGCAAAAAAACTGATATCTGAATTTCTCAACGTATGAACCATTTTAGTTGAAGACCATTAGGTGTCTTGAAAAGATCAAGCTTGTAGATTATTTTTGATTTTGCAGTTATAAAGAGCTAGAACTTTGGCATTTGTTGAAGTCAGGTCTAAAATGTATTTTTTAGACTATCAATTATAATCAATCAAGATTTTTTAATCCAGGCATACTAACAGTTTCACCTCGAAATGAGAGATAATAAGTTGTAAACCCGTAGAAAGCAGTCTTAAGATATCAAATCCAAAAATCGTTTTTTTGCAAAGATCGAATATTGTAGAGAATGAAATTCTATACAACTTTTGTTTCAAACATTTTTTCATGCAATTCACCGTTTCTGCGATAGAGAGCCGAGATCGCGAAGCGCTTAGCTATTTACGAAATTAATTCCTGAAGCGATTACGACAAAGTTACCACCAGCTCATGATGCATTACTGAATACAATATTTTGCAACTGCATGAATGATTATGACTCATGCTGTGAATGCAGAAAATCGGGGTTGAAATGTTCTTTAGCTTATGGCTAGTTTAATAGGCAAACTTCAATGCTTCACCATATCAGAGCAGTCCCGATGAAGTTATCACTTTTGACCTCGAAATACTTCTGGAGACAAAAAATATGTTTTCATGCTTTTGTCGTCTCATTTTCGGTCATAAAATGAAGGTATTTTAATGCTAGTCTGTAGTACCACAGCAAACACAAATTGCCATTTGTGTCCTCAAGACTGTAAGCACACTATATGAGAACAAAAATAGTTCTCAATAATAAAGAATAAGAAATCAGTACACTTTTTGAAAATTACTAAGAATGTTTCAAAACTTTTGTCCGCTACTGTATCCTTGATGACGAAAACGATAATGAATTGGAAGTTTTTAAGCGACCGGAAGAAGAATTAGAAGATTAGGATTGATATAACTACATATTTCTCGATTATAGACTTATTTATCGGGACTAACGGTTGACCTTAGATTCATGCTGTAAATAGTTGAGCGCCCTCTATATCAAAAACTGGTAATTGTATGGAAAAATGTTCAAGACAGAAGTTTTTCATAATTTCATGCTCTACAACATTAACAGCGAATGCAAATAACATCAAGCTCATAGGAAGCGACATCTTTGCAAAAACCGATTTTTACGACATTTGCCAACTTAAGACGCGCACACGAGGTTGATGAGAGTATTGCGAGAACTTTTAGAATGACAAAATAATGGTTTCTACAAGTTTTCAGCTCTCTCCCATTCCTAGGTTCACCCTCCTTTCAGGCTTATATAATTCGACTATGTATTTATATAACAGGAACAAGTAAAACAGGACGAAAATCTATAGGAAAAGACATTTTCTAAAACTTGCAAATATTTTTTACTATTTTCCTTGAACCTAACCTATGCTTTTCAAAAACGTTGTTGAATTACGGTAATAAATGTATCACATAATCTCTTTAAATTAAGCATCTCAATTTTCTCCTACGGTCAAAAATTATAGATTGTGCCTTGATTAGCTATCAAATGAAATAACAATTGTATCAGTATTAACAATTTTATAATTTGAAAAACAAAAATACTTGTATATATAAAATCTAGAGGAATACCCTCCTAGATCTGTCTAAATTTTCAAAAATAACTATTTTAGACATTATCATTTAAAAAACTAAAAAATGACTTAGTTTTTTTTATTATTACAACTATTTTACATTATACATGTTGGATGGCATAGACCAGTCAAAACTATCAACGAATTTTGGAATATCCTTCACAACTAAGCCTAATACGTGTTATTCAAAATACTTTCAAATCTGCGTATTCTCACTTTCATCAGAGGCCAACTGTTGGTGAAAATACTAAACAGTATGTTACTAGATGCATTACACGTGGATCATCATAGGAAGTATAAATTGCAACAACAGTTGTGTTGTACAATCTGTAATAATACCTTTTTCCTCATTTAGAACGGTAGCAGTGATCCTGTGTTGCCACTCGCACTATCACTCACTATGCAATTGTGTGATACATATAATAACATGTTGGAGAGAAACAGAATTATTATCTCAAGATTCTAGTTCAAATATGAAAGAGAACACATGGAAGTAGCTATAAAATACATTAATTTGACTGGTCCATTGGTTACAGTTATCACAATTTGAAAAATCAAACTGCCCAACTGCAAGTACAGATGTTAATTAGCATTCTCAATAAATAAACATAGTTAAAGACTAACTTTAACACGATATCTATATGTATGCTCGAAATCAAGCATCCCAGCACATACTCAAAATATTAGTCCTTATCACTTTTCATTACTTTTAGTACACTGATATAAGAATTACAATAAAAACTGTTGCACAACTGTCCTTCGAGGTATTTAAAAATTAGCTATAAGGCTTTCTTGAGGCCTCCTTAATGTGAGGACGTTTTATTTACCTTTTCATTTAGAGGTGAAAGAAATGTCGCCAAATATCAATGGTCACCTTTACGATCTGAGGTTCCTTATCATCGGGCTTTCCACTAGGGACTTGACAACTTTGAACTTTCACTGTGAACGCACCTTTAAATCAATTACAGAACTGTCAATGTCAAAACATTCAGTAAATAAAACATTTTCATCATGGTGAAAGAACAACGCTTACAAATAAAATTTACAACCGAAATTCCGAGTCGGTGACTGCAACTGCAAAGAGAATTAACGCTAGTTTTTGGTCGTAATTCTCGACCCAGTAGACAAGAAATTCATAGTCTAGTAAAAAAAGTTGAGTCCACATATTGTTTTATTTAAAAAGAAAGTTGTCAAAGCCTTAATGGAAAACCCTTTATCTCTGGTTATAAATCATTAATTTGACACGTCCCTCAAGTAGTGAAATACGAAGCTTTACAGTTGACTCTTCAAGGCAATTAGTTCGAATAAAATGCCGCTAATTTGACGTCTTAACTCTCATTCCCACTCAAGACAGTCATGGCAAATAAAGCATCCTCATTTTAAGAAAATCTCTCATCTAACAGTCAGTTGTTAATATTTAGACCATGTAGAATTTGAATAGGAAATAAATGTATTAGCTTTCCAATATAAAAAAAAGTTGCAACAAAAATTCAGATGCATGGTGAATTGCCAATGGCTCTAGCAATCTACCTTTGTTTTGATTTTTTGTTTGAATACAATTAATCATGATCGATTTTTAATTAATGTTACGCATTATAACAGGATTTTTTTATTGCTCAGAAGCATTTGTCTGCTGCAGACAAATTTTGGCACCATTTACACTTGCACCCAAAATGAAAAGTGATCAGGACTTCTCACTTGGAAAGTTCCCAAATCTTTTCGACATCTGTCCATATATAAAAAAACATGATGGTGATTCTCATTCACAATTTGAGGTTGAGAATAAAGAAACTTGTTACTGGTTCTTAATAAATTCTTACCACCAGTTCGCGCAGTATACGGGAAGACGAAAATCAAATATAGAATCAACGAATACATGCTGTAAAATGGTATACATCATTTTTGAGATCAAAACTAAAAATGGATGATATGTTTGTTAATTCTATTAAAAAGAAAAAATCAGCTGCGTAAAGATGCGAAAGGGGAAGATAAGGTTTATATACTCGTAAAGTTGTAGAATACAACTCTTGGAAAGTGCTCCAGTTCAATAGAGCCTGCAACCTTTGGAATGTTTTAATTTCTAGTTAATATTTTTATGAAATACAACATTTATATCCAGAACGATTAGAAGAAGCTATACAACAGCTCCTCTATACAACGAATTTGACAACAATGGGTGCTCTGTCACTAAACGAGGTCAAAAAGATACATCCCAAAGTCAAACATTTGACGCTATCGAGCAAATCGGGTGCACAAATGTGCTCAAAGTTTATGCTTTTTTTCACTTATTTTTTGAGTTTCAATTCTAATGAATCTAAAAAACTGTGACCAACAAGTTGACAAAAGAATTCACTATATTTTGAAACTAATGTCAAAAAGATTCGTACTTCCATATTGCAAACGCTAGTTTTCAATAAGAGTAAACTTATAATAGCATCAGCAGTATTCCAAAAAAGCATACAATCAACGTTACATACATATATATTTTGCTATTGACAATTTTTACATATTTATAAGTTTTCAAAAAATCGTATTCATAAACAAAAAAAATATATTATTCTAGTTAAACGTCAAAAAATAATTATTCATTCAACAACTAAAAACTAAATCCGAGCTCGATACCGTTTTTTACTTAGCATAAAATGGGAAATAAAAACTTTATATTAATAATTCTTCAATTTGAAAAAATTGTTACAGAAAAATATACAATTTTTCATTCCCATTTTACCAAAAATATATTTAAAAGCAAAACGTCCAATAAAAATCATTTCCAACTTTAAATAACTGTAAAAGTTAAATAACATTTTTTCGCGTAGACAACTGAGATCAATAAACAGAAAAGAAGGATTACATGTGCATAAAGCTTTTATTTTCCCTCATACTTCAGTCACTATAGCTTAATATATATATGCAAATGATAAATATAAGCAATTTCACAAAAAAATATAATTTTTGTTTTTGTAAAATGAGTTTGAACTAATGAATAGCTTTGTCAAAAGTAATTCAACTTACAAAATGCTGTATCGTTTACAATTTGGTTTTTAACCCAATAACTATCACATGACACGTACTTTTTTCTTTTTTATTCCTATGTACAATTGAATAACATTTGTCACGCATTTTAGTTTCCATTGCATGCAATACCTAAGTTTCGGCAAAAAATTAAAACTTAACAAACATTCAGGATAACCTTATAAAAAAATGAGCTGATTCCCATCTTAATTCACTCATTTTGTAATTGAAGTTACACAAAAAACAGTTCTTTCAATAGCAATAATTTTGCAGATTTGCATTTCTGACCGTTGACATCAAGTTATAAATGCTTGGGATTCTGTCAACTTAAGAACATTTAATGAAAATACGACGTTTCGATGACCTTAAGCTTCATATTCAGGTACCTGTAAGTTTCTACAACATTTGGTAAAAATAAGTACACTTCTGCCCTGGGCAGAAATGTTATTAGAAGTAGTAGAAGAAACACATGTATCTGAAAGGTTTAAAATTACCGAAACGTCGTATTTTTAATAAATGAATTTATAACATGAACAGTAATACCATATTCACTTGGTGACAGAAAACTAATTGTTGTAAGTAAGCTAAGCATGCTCCACGTTTGATACAGAATATAGCTCTGTATACTTGTCAAAAAACTTGTATGAAAAGCTAATATAACCATAAAAAAATTGATGCAAATTTTATTATATCTGATCATTATTGGTTTAGTTGTTTAGTAGAACCTCCACATCAACAAGATTTTGTACAGGTTCAGTTACTATTTTATGATTATGGAAAAGTATTTCGTTGTGGTATTATAGAACAATTTCAAATATACGAGTATATGGTTTCATTGACAAACATGGGAGATTATCAGCATGAAAACCAAAGATGTTACATAATGCTCATGCTGATCGGTCATCCTATAGTTAGACAAGGCATGTTTTCTTTATTTTAATACGATGCCAAGTGTTTTGGGCGATAAAATATAATTGTATTATGTTTAATATTGCTTGAAGTTGATATTCGAGACAATGGAGAAGTAGCACATCTCAAAAATGCTAGATGCTACAAAGTTTTGAGACCATCGGATTAAAAGACAGCTCTTGTGAGTGTTAGTGCCATATACCTTGAAAATGAGTGCCCGACTTTTAACTAACACGCTAACCTACATGTTAAAACGTTATAATTTTTTTAGTAATTTTTTGATAGTGGTAACACTACAGAAAACAGTAATATCAGGACGTTCTGCAGAAACGTATTATACAGAGAAGATCCCAGGGCATTGTTTATATGCACTTTCACAGCCTGCATACCTCCTAAGTTGGGAAGAAAACCGATTTCCTGATACCAGGTGAGAAAGGTTGAGTAAAAAATAAAACTATACCCAAAAGCTTAAGGCTGATTTTTATATAAAGTAATATTTACTTATACCAGATTTTAGACGTTCAATGAGCATCATAAGCAATAAACACAGAGTTTTCCGGCCCAAACTAAACCGTGGACGTAGAAACTGGGGTACGGGGTCCCCTAATACGAAATATATTCTACGCCACTGGCATTTTCGGAGAAGAAAGTGCATTTGATAAAATTTCATCCAACTGTTACATAGATTTTGTCTCTTAATGAATTTTTTTCAGATCACTTTTTTGGAGATAATTTGGTTTGAACATTTGAGGTGAAATCCTAAAACATTCATATGAAAAGGTTTAGCTTCCCCTATTTTGAAAACACTGTGATGCTCGATGTTGTAAACACTATACGGCATGTGAAGGAAGCTATGGAACCTCATTACATCATTTGAGTAATATGCTTGTCATATCCTCGGTTAGTAGCATATAATTTCAGAAGTAAAACTATAAGAATTTTACTCAAATACTAGTTGTAATTTTAGATAAACAGAAGAATCTAACATGGATAATACCAGAGGTATACCATGCAAACCAGTGACGTGCATAGACAAGGTTTAATTAATGGTGAGTTTCTAGAAAGAACATAAAACGCTTGTCTTTGAGAAAATAAGCAACGTCTGGAAGCACTGAGAACTTGGACAAACAGTCTTTTCCGATCCAGCATTTTCTCGATCTTCATAGTATAATTTTCATGCTTATAGTGACTGAAGTATTGGTGCTAAGTTAGGCATGCTCCGACGAAAAATAGTTATTTGTGTTGACGTTTTAGCGTGCTTACGTTCAGCTGTTTAGATCATAAGTAACGATTATTTATTCCAGGCCCCGAAATGTGTAGACATTCCGGGGCCACGATTGTTAACTGTCTCGCAGTATTGCTGGTAAAGAAAATGACGAGTACATCAGGATACTTCGAGGCTCCCAACTAAACATCTTTATTTATCCGTTTTGTTCCCGACAATTTAGCCTGTGCCAGCTAAATTTTAGAAAATTCGCACTTGAGATAAATACAGTCTATCTGTTAATACTTCACGCCACAATGGTCCATATCGCAATTTGTTACATAAATACACTATTCAAGTCTTCAATTCTATATACGCCTGCTTTCTCGCAAACAGCAGCTCAGTGTTTTCTGACTAGTATTTATACTACACTATCACTATTAAATATTAGGACTCTTCTTTGTAGTACTGTACTTTTCCATTTGATTGGTTGACTATTGCTTCCCAGGCTAAAAACATACACAATTAAGATATAAGTATGACGTAATTCTCACAACATATCCATAAAACGCATTATTAACCTGCTCATACACATTGTAGGGTTTCAAAAGAATATGACTTTTTAACAGCTAAGCAACTTGTTATGTCCCTTAAGATATATGATATAGACTCTGAAAGCAAGGTCATATCCAACCCATTTTAAAGAATAATTTTTTTCTTACCTGATCCGATAAAGTTGACGATCTTATCGTGGTTATGCGAATGGAAGGTGTACGTCTCGGGCGCCACCCATCTGGCGACAAAACTTTCGCATGCGCTCTCGTGCAACAGCTGTTCATTTATATCGAAACCGAACACCAAATCGGGCACCTCTTTGTTGCCGGAGGCGGCGCCACTGCTCATTATCACCACAGGCGGACGGTTGTCCATGCCACCACAGCTACTGCTACCGTCTTCGCTTTCCGCCGACGAATTGCTCCCTGATAAATTAAAAAAATGTTTAATACGGAATATGCATGTGATTCAAATATCGTTTAATTATTTTTATTTACAGTACTGTAACGGAAACACCGTCTTTACTATTTATCTCGAATCGTCGAATTCGAGAATCCTTCCCCCGCTCTCTAGCTAGAACTACAGACCTCATTGCTTCATCCAGTCTTATAGATGGCGGTCGATGTTTCCCGATGCGTGATGAGCGTTTGCGACGTGCATAATTCTGGTTGTCTAAGCGCCGATGTACGAGGATGTTTCATTAATATGTAAAGTTATAGTTACGTGAGCTTTACAGTCTATATTTTTACAGAATGACACCTACTATTTTATACTTAAGAGTTATAAAATTACAAGTATTCATAGAAGCAACACAGAACAATATGAATTCTTTTTTGGTGATATTGTATACAGGGTTATCCAAATTAAGTGTCCACCATTAGTAACTTTGTTATTAGTGAAAATACAAAGTTGTTTGAATTAGCAAACTAGTAGCATTTTTAACGCTGGTAAAAATGAGAAATAAAAAAAACAATTGACAGTCGTTATTTTGATTTTTTTCAGTAAAATAACATTTTTTTAAATGGAAACCCCTGTATATTATATTTTTTTCTGTTAAAGCATCAAATTTTAAATCAAAAAAGTCAAAATAACGATAAATATTTTTAATTATTTGCAGTATTATAATATTAAGACGGCTATGAAAACAACATGGCGTTCGCGATTTGACAGCATTAAGATAAGCGACAAATTGTTAAACTGGACATACTCGCAACTAGAAGGCTTTGGAAAACAATGATAAAATCAAATAATGTCAAACATTAGTGTAAATACTTGTTTATAAGCTTTATTGTGTCATTAATTTAAAGAAAAATGTTCTCCCATGAAGAAAAGTGTGATATGTTAGAATGCTATTTAGTGTGCAGAAAATCCTCCTTGAGAGCAAGAGAATACTACAGTGAATTATATCCCGCTCGCATTCAACCGTATGAACGATATTTTCTGAGACTTTATCGAAAATTTAGGGGCAACGAAAATGTTTTTGCTAAAACAAGGGCAAAAAAGGAATTCATAATAAGCGAGGCCACGGAAATTGCAGTTATTGGATATTTTTAAGCTTATCGTGAGAATTCAATAGCAGATATTCTCAAGGACTCTAATTTCAGTTATGGTACTGTTCAAAGGATTTTAAAAAAATACAAATTTATTCCGTATAAGTACCGACCAGTACAAACGCTTTTGGCAGGGGATCCAGAGAGAAGACTTGTTTTTTGCCATTGGTATCTTAGCTTCTGTCGCCAAAATGTAAATAACTTTCGTTACCTTTTATGGACAGATGAATCAAATTTATCAAATTCTGGAATGTTTAATAGAAAAAACCACCATTATTGGTCAAGAGAAAATCTTTTGTTAGTACATCCAAGAGGCCCACAAGTCCGTTTCAGTTTCAACGTTTGGTGCGGTATAATTGGTTCAAAAATTGTTGGCCCGTTCTTTTATGAGGGAACCCTAACTGGTGAAAGATATGTGGAATTTATGTCAGAAATTCTGACTAATTTCTTAGACGAATTGGATCTTATAAGTAGACATCATCTGCATTTTCAGCAAGATGGCGCACCTGCCCACAACTCCAGAGGTACTTATCATTTTCTAAGTACTACTTTTAATGATCAGTGGATAGGAACAAATGGCCCAATACAGTGGCCTCTCAGATCACCAGATCTAAACCCACTTGATTACTTCTTGTGGGGTTACTTAAAGAACCAAATTTACAAGCGAAGGTACGATAACCTTGACGCGTTAAAGACACTGCAGTTAGGGAAAAGATAACCCAGATAGATGGTAGGACCATACTTAAGACAGTTCGAGCAGTTGAAAAACGTGCCCAAAAATGTATTGAAGAACAAGGTGGTGTTTTCGAGCATCTTCTTTAAAAAAAATTGTTATTGTATTTTGTAAGATTATAAGTTGATGTTGAAAATAAAGTTTGTCGATACAATTTAATTGTTTCAGATTGGAGGCCATAACTTCAACAATTTGTAACCTAGGAGAAAAGTTATTGTAAGCTTTTTTGTTTAAAATTTGATGCTTTAACAGAAAAAAATATAATATACAGGGGTTTCCATTTAAAAAAATGTTATTTTACTGAAAAAAATCAAAATAACGACTCTCAATTGTTTTTTTTTATTTCTCATTTTTACCAGCGTTAAAAATGCTACTAGTTTGCTAATTCAAACAACTTTGTATTTTCACTAATAACACAGTTACTAATGGTGGACACTTAATTTGGATAACCCTGTATACTCAGTTACATTAAAAGAGTTACACCCAGAAAAATAATTTCCTCAACTTGTTTTTTTGGCAATGAGGTAGTCTTACATCAAGAATTAAACGATAACATTCTCATGAAATTTTATTGATAATAGTAATAATAATAAATGGCCTTTATTCGTCACATGATTACAAAATAATTGGCTTAAAAAGGAATAGTGACGAAAAGGTGGAGTCTCAGCTTATGCTGTTTTTCAACCCGACCTAAAAAACATTGACACACACTATAAAGATTAGTGAGAAAAAAATTAAAAATGTCAAATGTCATATAAATGCCATATATTCCACTACTCGTCGAAATTAATTCATTAAATTAAACATTAGAAATTTTGTTAAAAAACGTTTATTAAAGAAGACATTTTCAATCTTAAAAAGACAAAATCTGAAATACAGTAATGGACAAAAGTATATAGACAAATATGAATATTTACCTAAATACCATTAGAAAACGAATTCATACTTCATTGCTCCATAAACAAATGCGTTATGAGTAGAAAAACTAAACTCCTTGTTTTTACATTATCTGCAATGAATACAATACAAGTCTGAATATAACCACTTTTTTATGAGGAAAAAAATATGTAGACAAATTCTTTTCAACATTAGTTTAGTACAGTTTCGTGTCAGAAGAGAATTAGCTTGTGTTCATCAAGTATTGTGGAATAAGTTGAGTGATTTTAAGACCATGCCGCGTGGTCCAGAAATTTCTTTCGATGTGAAAACTGAGATCATCGAGTTATACAAAGATGGTCAACGTCAAGTCGACATTTCCAAAAATTTGAAGCTGAAGCGTAAAGCAGTTTGGGCAATATTGAACAAATATAAACAAAGACGTATCTTGGAAGCCTCTAAGAAGTGGTCGGCCTAGAAAACTAAATGCTAGATCAGTTAGATTAATAAAAGTAATTTCGTCCAAAGATCCATTTAAAACCCCAAGACAAATAAAATCCGAAATCGAGACAAAAGGTATTGTCAGTGTTTCTACGAAAAGTATAAGTAGAAGATTAAATGATTTGAAGTTATTTGAAAGTCGCCCGAGTAAGAAGCCGCTAATCTCGAGAAAAACCCGTAAGGATAAATTACAATTAACAAGATTGCATCTTGATTGGAGCATCTGTGACTAGAAGAGGGTATGTTTCAGTGACGAATATGTTTAATATGTTTGGATCAGATGGTGTTCATTACTTTACATGCCCTAGTGGCCAAAGATTGAACCCCAAGTACACTTTGCCCACTGTCAAACATGGAAGGGGTCTGTTATGGTTTGGGGGTGCTTTTCAGGGTTTGGGATGGGACCTTTATAGAATAGATGGCATTATGGATAAGTTTGTATACACAGACATACTAAAGCATGTCATGTTACTCTATATGGAAGACAACATGCCCTTAAGATCAATCTTCCAGCAAGATAATGACCCGAAGCACACTTCAAATCTCGCAAAGAAATTCTTTCTGGATGAAAAAATACCAGTTCTCAAATGGCATTCACAGTCTCCCAATATAAACCCCATTGAAAATCTATGGGAATACGAGTAAAAAATTATTCAAACAAGGATGAACTTTTTGCCGCTTTAGAGCAAAAGTGGAGACTGATTGATGTTTCTTATATCAAGAAACTTCTATAATCTATGCCGAGACGATGCCAGGCGGTGATTGATAATAATGGTTATGCTACAAAATATATATTAACACAAACATGGTTGATTTTCTGTAATTCAATGAACTTTGCTTCTTTTTTCTATAATTGTTTTGCTTTGTCTATATATTTTTGTCCTTCATAGTTCCAGTTTTTTTCAATTAATTTTTTATTGAAGGGAGTCTAATGAATTTATTTATGTAAAAGTGAGTATTATGCTATAACGAATTATGTATACAGGTTGGTGTATTAATAAAACAAATTAAAAAAGAAATAAAGCAGAATATTAATTTGTCTATATACTTTTGTCCATTACTGTATAAATTCAAACAAAGAGCTACTTATGGATCACCCAAAGCCGTGGAACATCTTCAAAATTATAGCTTGCAGTAAAGTCAATTTTCAACAAACAAACTAACCAAATGAATCGTTTTATTTTTTGGAAATGGAATTCGTTAAACAGATCAAGTCGATTTTGGCGATAATAGTAAAGTGATTTCTTGACGAAAATATTTTGTAAATTCTTGTACATAAAGTGCAAAACTAAAATACCATGACCACATCGTAAACTAGCTTTTCTATCTTGCCATGTCCTTCAAGATTGAACATCTAACAAAATATACACTCTGATAATAGATGGAATCTAAAAGATATTTTAGAGTACCTAATCGGATACCACAAAAAAATGGCGCCCTTGTCCGTATATGCTAACGTTCCCTAGCACCGTTTGAAAAGTGTTTCAATTGTCCCAAAATTCTCTTTCCAAGATAGCAAAATTTGTCGTAAGTACAAGCGAATCTGGCCGAAACGGATTCTTTGTCGGACCCTAAACACTCACCAGTCTCGATTGTCCTTGGCACCGGCTACTAAAAAATATAGACTAGTTGATTCACTCATCAAATAAATAATAAATCGTTGCGCACATGTGTGAACTAAGCCTGAACAAAAAATGTAGCTGATTTACGAAAAAGGTCGGTTGGCAATTTTTGAAGAGGGCCCACTTGTTCGGTTCATCAATTAAATCAAGTGATAGATTGTTAGGTTAATTTGTTTTATTTGATACAATAAAACAGACAACTTCTCAATAAAGCATGGTGGTCAGTTTCAAGAGTTAGTAGTGAAAAATACATTATACAGGGTGTAAACGTTATGATAGTCATTATTTAAATGGGTGATAGAGGGGGTTCAAAGAAGCAAAAAGTTTCATATAACATGGGGGATCAAAACGGCATTTTTTTAGAGAAAAGCGACTTTAAAGTAAAATAAAATCTGACAACGCCGCAATGTCAGACGCAAATTACGACGGAACGCATTGTAAATAAAAATGAGTTTGTTATTTTGGGTCTTAGGTATTATTTCATTATTTGATAATGTACTCGTAAAATGCAAACAGTTAAAAAACGGACTTACCATTAACTGTCTCAACGCTTCACCTGGTGTGTGAAAGTTTATTGAACTTATTAAAAAAATCCACTTATAAATATGGAACAAAATTTTGATACATACATTGTTTTTCTTTTTAAAACCCACACTGCACTTTTTTGTATATAAAGGTGTTCAAAATGCCGTCCTCAACTTTCCACACAAGCTTCATTACGACGAACCCAGTTTCTTCTTAGTCTAGGTCCTCGAAGTTGTCCATTTATTATTTCAGCCGCATTAAATTTTTTTTCGCGAAGTTGTGTTTCAGTTGTTATTGAACCAGCACCATAAACCATCCCTTTAAGTTCTCCCCAAACCGGAAATCCATCGGATTGAGGTCAGGAGATCTTGCTGGCAATTTCCGAGGATCAGGAGCATTTCGACCGATCCAGCGATTTGGATAATGTTCATTCAAATATTGAATGACGCCTCTAAAAATCTGTGGTGGTGTCCCGTCATGAAGAAGCCACAAATTTTGTCTCCGTTGTAATGGCATGTTGTCTAAGGTCTGTTCCAAAAGTTCTGGTAGGTCGTTGGTTAGAAAGCTAAGGTATCCTTCTCCTGACAACTTTGGGGGTAACTCGAAAGGGCCATTTACCGGATCGTCAAGAATACCCGCCCAAATATTTATTTTAAAACGTTGTTGGAGCTCAAAATGAAAACGGATTCCCCAAAAATGAATTAAACTTGTATCTTGCAGCTACTACTGTAGAGTTCAAAAAAATCAGTGTCAAAAGGTATGAAGAGAAAATAAAATGTAGCACATTATGTTGCACAAAATATATGCATTGCATAAAAAATATGAAGTTTTAATTTGAGAAACGATGAAAAATAATATACCCATAACTTGGAATAACAAAAAAGGGGCACAAGATGCTGTCCATAAATAAAAAAAAATTACATGTATGAAGTGTCGAAAAGTATTAAAACATCCAACTTTGTATTAGGGAATAACAACCACGCCACGGGTAACCGAAAATAAAACAAACATAACCTATGCTTACCTAATGTTTCTCATCATGTCATGGAAGCTATATTACTAAGTAACTTTACCCGCTGTTAACTTATTAATAGGTACTGAATACCAACTATAGTTAGAAAGCATTTTGGGAGATTTAGTAGCTACCATTGAGGGACGTGCAACAAGGCAAATGTCCGATGAGACGTCTGCAAAATATAAATAATCAGGTCTATATTTTTTAGTAGTCGGTTGTCCTTATAGAGGTTGGCGAGGTATTTAACAAAAATATCCAAAATACTGTTTGTTCATACCTGCTATCGTCGTTGGTCGTTCGTTATCACAGTGATTATGGTGTTGATGGTGCGGCTGTTGTCGCCGCGTCTGCGCTTGTTGCTGCTGGGGCTGCGTAGGCGCTGGAGCGGGGACCGGCGACTGCACCCTTTGCTGAGGGGCAGGAGCAGGATATTGCTGCTCGGCGGGAGACACAGCCTGGACCACAGGTGACGCCGGAGCAGCAGCAGCCGCATTGCGCTGCAGGAAGTGCATCTGCTCGATGGTACGCACGTCCGGGATATTCGCCGGCAGCATCTGCGCATTGTGCTGGATCGAGTCCTTTTCGTTCGAATGAATTATCTGATGGATGAGAATGTGTGAGGTATGAAGATTATCAGGGTTGTTACACAAAATTTGAGGTGTTTTTTCGACAAACATTATCAGAAAACAAATTTCAGAAAAAACGCGGCGAAATACTTTCCATGTCACTTTCAGAATTACCGACTGTATGATAAGCTACAAAAATTTGAGACGTCAATAACTTAGCAATGAAAAATACTCAATCTCTCGTTATACGAGGTCTGTCAATCAAGTGATGTGACTGGCAACGTAGCGTTCGATCTGGCAACACAGGAGGCGCCGGGCTTGGAGGGGAGACAGGGGAACATGCGATCCGCCTTCTGTACAAGTTTGAACTCGCTCGAGTATTTGTTGTCCGTAGCGTTTTTCTATTGTTCTAAAAATGAGTGACCTCACTTTCGAGAAACGATAGACTATCAAGTTTTGCCACAGACTTGGGCACATTGCAACTGAAACTCTTGCTAAACTTCAGCAGGCCTATGGAGATAGTGTTTTGTCAAGGCATTTTCCGATGAAAATATCGTAAGAATCCGGGATCTTGTGGGTTCAGATCGTCGATTGACAGTTAGAATGGACGGGGGAAACGTTAAATTTGACTCACACCATCATTCATCAGATCAAGAACAACTGGGTGTTGCATTATGATAATGCTCCTTGACACACAGGAATGTCAATAAACGAGTTTTTGGCCAGTAAAGACAATCCTGTGGCTCCTCAGCCTTCCCCTAACATGAGTCCTTGTGACTTTGTTGTCTTCCAAAAACCGAAAAATCACCTCAAGGGAACTCATTTTGGGACAGTCGAAAATGTTCAAACAGCTGTAACCGACAGGCTGAAGGCTATTAAAGTATCAGAGTTTCAGCACTGCTATGAGGAGCGAGGCTTCAGAAGGAAGTTATTTTGAGGGTGAAAATATAAAATTGTAATTATATTTAGATAAAAAAATAAAAAATCAGTCTCATCACTTAATTTACAGACCTCGTACACCACCACTTTACCTCCTTATACAAGAAAAGCTTTTTCTACACTGCAGCCGTATGATAATCCACTGACTGAACATTGTAATTACAGTCTGGCAAATTTGAAGAAAAAATTGAATACAATGCTTCTTCTATCCACCTCCTCTGTTTGATAAAATAACATCATTTTGAAAAATTTTAGCTAGAATTAGACTGACTATAAAATATTTAGACATATGATTAAATATAAATGAGAAAATTTTAAAATGCATGGGTTTGAATATTATGTATTTGTTACAAATCATGTTACTTTATTTTTAATCATGATCATACATTTTGTTCTTGGCTGAGTTGAGAAATACCTTATGGTAGTGGTAACACTGCAGTGTCGAATCGTCGATTTTTAATTTTTGTAGCGTACCTTTCTTATGAAAAGATTTATTTGTGTAAGAATCTAATAAAGGTATATTATCATTATTAGTATTTCATTTTTTCATTAGCAATCAGACAATTATAGGTTCTCATAGCAGACAGAGCATAGTCAAGGAGTACGAGGCTCGTTTCCGCGTTTTCAATAACCATTTCAATTGATCATCATCAACAAGTATCAGGTTGACTTGACAATAAGTAATAGAAACTGGCCTCGTACGTCGAAAACAGAAATATTTGTGCAAAGACTCATTCAATTTCAATGACTTGTAACATCCCTGAATTATTAGTACACTAAATGAAGTTTATGTGATAATGATGCAATATTATAAACTCAGGGTAAAAACATAGTATGGCAACCCATAGACAGAAAACATGCCACAGATATGCAAATGTTATTGTACCTTTGAGAAGGTCCCCCCTTAATTATTTTTAAATGGGTCAAGTTAACAGCAGAAATTAGGGAAGGTGAAATTGATGCATGAACTTTATCATAAAAATAACACATATGGTGATCATACATTATGGTGTTATATCATTACTAAGGAATTTCTCAAATATCCTAGTGAGGAAGTAGCAAAAAACTACATGTCAGCTAAGGACCCACCTCTATAACACGAGACTGAGTAACACAGACTGATGTAGAGGTATCATATTTTATGACCACTATTCCATTTTTAAAAAGTTCTTAAATGGCGCCAAGCAGATATCAAGAAATTTTCATCTGTCACTTTCACGCTAAAATATAGTATCCATAAGACTTGTTAAAAAAATAAGTCGGGGCTTTTCCAAAAACTACTGAATCTCTGCAAACTATTGTTCTAATGAAAATAATATGACAAGGAGGAATGAAAACTAAAAAATATGACCATGCAATGTAAGCGCCTCTACATTTTTATCTGTACTATTGAATTTAAAAAAAGCAAATGAATGTTTTCATCCTAAAACTACCCACCCACTTTTACCAAACACTTACCGACAAATCATTCTGAATATCACATTGCACCACGCAAGTACTAACGGACACTGCACCGGCACCCTTGTTCACACTGTTCGTCGCACTTTTGACCGTCCCCGTCGTACTTGTAGCACCGCCCCCGACCCTAATCGCCGACGTATAAGCGTTTTTCGTTTTCACACTGGTACCACTAGCCATACTTCCACTACCGCTCTTACTTATTGCCGGGAAGCTCTTCGGATTGGAAAAGTCCGGTGGGGAGGCTGCGACAAGAGACGCAGGGGGTGACACGCCCCCTTTCGGGACATCACAGACCGAAGGCGGCGGTTGGGGTCCGTTCTTCGGCGGTTCCGCAATCGCAGGGAACGCTTTAGGACTATGTACGTCCGGTGGGGCCTTTGGATCGCTGGGGATGGCCGGGAACGCACGGGGGTTGTTCACGTCGGGCGGCGGTTGAGGTTTGGTGACCAACGGCACAATATCGACCTGAATATTAAAATACAATAGTTTTACTATATAATTATGACAAATGGGGAACAATAGCTCAAATCCATATAATATCAAGAAAGGGTTATATTGAAATCAGCAAAACAGAAGGTTCAAATCAAAAAAGAGCACAGGGGCTCAAAACACGTATACGGTGCCAATCAGTTACTGTTGAAGTCTGCCGAGTTTCAGTCTGTAGGAGAGACAAGCGTGATATATGTATATTAGAAAGGGTGTTGAGTGACTTTCCAGGCTGTCACCGGCAGGAAACTTATTGCTTACTTGTACGCGCACTGTTTCTAACATACGTGCACATTGAAACCCGGCCCGACCTCAACCGTAACTGATTCGCACGGTATGTTTGACGAATTTGATGGAAATGGGTGGCATATTTAAACAGAGATGAACGCAATAGCGACTCTCAGACATTCGCAACCTCCTTTATTTCTACTACATATTAGCTATCATTCACTTCCAGCAGTTGTATGTGCTGCCTAAACGTCAAGTATGTGCTGTCTGAGTGATGGGTTTGACTTGATGTAACATTTGCTTCAGAGGTGGAAAAAATTTGAGCAATGACGATCGTGACGCGGGATATCCAACTAGCAACTAGCTAGTGCGAGTTGTGTTCATCAGATCGCTATTATTATGATTTTTTTGCATTATCCAGCAAGCAGAAGACTCGTTGAACGACTTGGTGCCTAAAGATGCTGAACATGTTTGATAAGGGGCAATCTCGGTATGTGAACAGCAGCATGACAGTTGACGAGACTTGGCTCTATTGGCTAAAAAATGATAGCTGAATTTTTCAAATCGATCGGGATTGTGGAGCGTGTCGTTTGGGAAACACAGAAGACGCTCACAGCTAAGTGGTACACGGAACAGTGCCTGCCTAAAGTCATAGTCTATCAAAAATCTGTGACCAAAGTTAAGAATCGACATTTGGGAGCCTGCACCGAGTATTTGATCACTACTGGACTGAAACTTATTGAGCACCCTCCTTACAGCCCAGATCTTGCTCACTGTGACTTTGCACTGTTTCCGCATGTGAAAAAGAAGCTAAAAGGAAAACAGATTTCTAGTGATGAGGACGTCTCGACGGCTTGAGACAATGAGTGTGGCGCACTACCGGGTGAAACTTAGCAGAGCTGGTTTAAGGACTTGTTTTGGCGGATGGAGAAGTGTATTCAATGTTTTGGAACTTACTAGTCAATAAATAAAGCTGCATTGCAAAACTTTTATAGTACCCTTTGTACGGTGGTAAACATTACCATAAAATGGATTATGAATCGAAAAATGATAAATACATTGTGGATCGTGACAAAAACATAAATATATATATAACAGGATGTTCTGTTCTTAAAAATGCATTTCTTTTAGCGTAAGCCATAGAGGTATGGTTGTTTACATAAAGTCAAGTCATTTGTCGACAAATAGATGAATGACACAGCTTCACAGAGATTAGCCTTCAGTACTTGTCTTATGTCAGAAAGGACTATGCAAGATAAGGAGAGGATGTTAAGAGCTTATTAACAAGTGCCAGATGTTTCTCTAAATCAATCAGCACTTACGTAATTCTAGGTGGCTGCCTGTTCATTAAGGGCTGCAAATGCGCCAGAAAACGTAAAAATAGGGTTTATTTGTGTTTGAGATTTTGTCTTACAAGGAGGTGTTTGGATTGAATTTTTAAAATGGAACATAGAGTCTCAACATCGAAAATCGATGAGCTACTTGACTTCTTAGAAATTCATCTCAATTTAGCAAACGGCCGTGTTGGGCTAGGAGGAGCATCAAATGACACGATTGATAGAAAATGGGACAAATTAGTGATAAGTCTGAAAGCTCATGGATCTGTAGCTAAAAAGAATGGACAATGCTGGAGACGGGTGAGTTTATGTTAGGTTTTGTTATTCATCATTTTGTCATCTCTAATTCATCATTTTTATAATTGTGCTGCATCTTATTTTTTATCATAACATTACAACTTGCCTATCTCCACCATTACTACTTTAATTTACGTAACACCCAAATCTCCAATAGAAGTTTCTGATAATTGAAATTAAACACCAGAAAGGCATTATATGTTGGGGTTAGGACAGGTGGAGAAATATAAACAAAGATAATGACGTCAGTATATTTAAATGATATCCTGCAGGGTAACACATTTTTTGCTTTTTCCAAAATTATAAATTATGCGCAAGCAGGTGTAAATCTGACGGTCGCCACTTATCAATGGTTTGCAAAATTATAAACTGAATGACCAGGCATGTTACTTGAATAATGAAGGAATATGAAAGGGACTAACAAATTAGAATAGATTAGAAGGCCTATATGTTTACACTGCATTGTTTTTCGCAAAAATTGCGTAGTTTTAGTGCATACTTTTAACCTAAGTGACAATGTTGTATCAATATAATAATAATACCAGTGGAAACATCAACCTTTATTAGGCCCCCCCTCACCCCTTTATATTTAGTTGTATTACCTACCTTAACATTATTTATCACGGGTGTAAGGCCGATCTGTTTCTCTACGACGACCACTTTATTCTTCGCTACCGCCTGCCCACTGTACTTCAAGTCGCATTCCACCCTCGCCGCTGAAGCAACCGTCACCACCGTTTTCTCCTTGCCAGCTGCGCCCCCAATTTTCTCCTGCTTCTCAGGCGACAGCTTCTTCTCCCTGTTCTTGGCGATGTCCGCGTACGAGATCTGGTGATTCAGGCCGTCGATGGGTAGCGAATGCACTGAATCAGCGTCAGAGCTGTCGTTCGACCGTTCGCTGTGCGGCACCGAACAGGCGGATTTCCCGCGCAGATCGGGCGAAGGAGCCCTAAATACAAAATCATACAATTAAAAAAAATTAAACATCAACACACCATGCACAATTATAGGTCAAATCAAGTCAATAAGATTAACTTCTTTGCGTCTCTCTATCCATGACCAACTGCATACGACGTTGTTTCATGCTTTTTAGCAATCATCAGTATGACATACAGTAGCGGACATTAATTTGGAAACGCATATTAACATTATGAACTATTTGATATACCTAAATTAAAATTGTGAGAAACAGATATTAAAGTCTATCTTTGTCTCCCATACTAATACAAGGTTTATCTTATCAATATGCAAATTATCTGGAAATAAAAACACGCGTTTTTTTAAATACCACAAGTATGGAAAAATTTCAGTTTTGCCGAATTTATTCGTTCTGCGATGCTCTGATATTGCGTGCGGTAAATACTAACATCAGTGAAAATGGCAAAAGTAAAAGGATTTTCAAAAGATTTAGGAGAAAAATTATTTAGAAGTGGTGTCAGACATTTCTCAAAGATTCAAAATGAACAAAGGGATGATTTCGAAAATTATTAGCAAATATCAATAACACGGATCAACAGCAACGCGGCCCAGGTGCGGAAGACCGAAAAACACCGATTATGTTTTGGATCGCTACATTAAACGTTTGTCCCATGAAGATCCTCGAATGCCATCCACACGTAGCTCTTTTTTGAAAAATTGTGTTGCTCAGCTTGAATTTGCTGGAACTCATCTAACTTGGACAGAACAACAATGGAATACAGTTTTATGGAGCGATGAAGCAAATTTAACTTGTTTGGATCTGACGGTACGCCATATGTGAGACGTGCAATATGAAAAAGCCTCGACAAATCAGTTGCCAACAGTTAAGCACAGTGGAGGCAACATCATGGATTGGGCGCTGTTTTTCTAGTTCTGGAACGGGTCCGGTTGTTAAGATTGTTGGGAAAATGACTCAAAAACTTCACGAAGATATTCTTAGTGAACACATGGTCTCCTTTGCTGAAGACGAAATGCCTTTACGATGTACATTCCAGCAAGATAATCACCCCAAGCATTCCTCAAAGTTCGTAAAGGACTGGTTAAGACCAAAAAATGTTAATCTTACATGGCCTTCGCAATTCCCATCTCTGGGAGCATGTTAAAAGACAACTGACAAGAAAAACTTTTAAAAATAGGAACGATTCATTTATTTTGTAAAATATCCCAACAGACGTCTGTTAGAAATTGGTGTCTTCTATGAGCAGCAGATGTCAGGCAGTATTGAATGCTGGCTATGCTACCAAATATTAGCTAAACAGTATTTTTTAAATCTTTTTATAGTTATTGTATTTAATTTTGTAATAAAACATAAAATTATATGAAGATATTTTAATGCTAGTCTGTAGTACCACAGCAAAGACAAATTGTCATTGTATCAAGACTGTAAGCAAACTATATGAGAAAAGAGAAAAAAAATAGTCCTTGATAATAAAGAATAAAAAATTAGCGCATTTTTTGAAGATTACTAAGAATGTTTCCAAACTTTTGTCCGCTACTGTATGTATATATATATATATATATATATATACTAAGTGACATATAAATCCGAACACCCAGTTTAAATGGTTTTATTTTAATAAAATTTTGTATAAGTACTTAATGAAGCATAATAAGTAAATGATAGAAATTTCAAAATGATTGCATTGCTTTAAAGCCCTTTGACCTTTAATAATGTATGGATGCACCCTGATGTGCTACGCATTCTCCAACGCGCCTAGGCATGCTTCTGATCAGGTGGTCAATGTCCTCCTGTGGTATGTCATTCCAGGCAACCACCAACTCCTCTCGAAGTGCTTCTAGAGTCTGAGGAGGACGTTGCAAATTGAGCAATCCCCTACCCATCATAGGGGGAGATCTTGGTGGCCATGGTAACAATGTGACATCATTATGTTGAAAGAAGTCTATTGTGACTCTTGCAATATGTGGTCGGGCATTATCTTGTTGGAAAGTTAGATCTGCCAGGGTGTCAAGATAGGGTAAAATATGGGGTTCTAGAACTTCGTGGATATAACGCTGCGCGTTCATGTTACCTCTGATGAAGATTAAAGGTGACCTGGAACCATAAGCTATAGCACCCTAAACCATAACTCCAACAGTGTGATGAACATGTCTTTCAACAAAAAACTGTGGATTCCTCCTTTCACCACGTCGCCTTCTAACCCTGGCACGACCATCGTGCATGCCTAAACAAAATCGAGACTCGTCACTAAAGACAATACTGTTCCATTCCTGATCCCAGAGTGACCGTTGTCTGCACCACTCAAGGCGATTACGTCGGTGTTCTCGAGTTAAAGGGAGGACCCAGTGTGGCTGGTATGAAAACAAGCCAAAACTTCTCATTCGTCGGTAAACACTTCGCATGCCAATAGGTCTTCCGTGTTCTGCAAACCATTCATTTGCAATGGACCGACCTGGTAGTGGAGAAACGGTCCCTTAAGGCCAAAAATCTTAGGCGGTGATCTTCACGGTCTGTTGTTCTACGGCGGCGTCCAGTGCGCCTCTTTGCGTACGGCCTTCTCGAAGCCATGCCTGACAACACCTAACCACAGTGTCTACACTTCTTTGCACTCTAACTGCAATTGCCCGAAAAGAAAGTCCAGCTTCCCGAAGTCCCACTATACGGCCCCTATCAAACTCACTAAGTTGAAATCGTACAGGTCTCCGTACTCTAGACATCGTAACCGATCGTAAACGATGTCAAGAACCAAAATCCGCCAACGTTGATTCTTTACTGCGGCTGAAATATTCATTTTTAGAGCGTTAGTGAATTAAAAAAAAAGCAGTATAAAAACCGGAATGTCCAACTGATAAGGCTGAAAATTTTTTCACTTGTTATTTACAGTAAGATAAATACATTCACCAACTTTTATCAAAATAAAACCATTTAAACTGGGTGTTCGGATTTATATGTCTCTTAGTATATATATATAACAAAAACAGGAAAATAATGGGCAAAATCCGCAAAAAGTGGATTTGAGCAGAATAGGATAGGTAACCCGAGCGATACGTATTTCTGCTGGTTGGCTTCATCAGGCCCGATGTGAATGCACATATGCAACTACAAAAGTAGTGACACATGCATATATATATATATATATATATATATATATATAAACCAAATGCAAGTATCACTTTGACATTAGTATGTCACTCACCTGTTATGCTGTTTGGCAAACGAGTCCGAGGTAGAATTTTGTCTCCTATTGCTGCTGATGCTATTCCGACGTTTTTTGTTCTTTTTCTTTGGTTTAGTGACCTCCCAGTTATCAGACGTTTCCAGATTTTCTATCGAAGCGCTGTTCGACAAAATCTGGAACAGTGGAGGCTGAAATAAATGAACAAAATAAGAATAACAAACACGCACGTTGGAAAAGTTATTTCAGAGCAAACAATACTAATTACCTCTACATTGCCCCACGATCGCCTTTCCTTTGGTCTATCTGATTGAGTTTTATTAGGCCTAAGTACAACCTGATCCTCGTCCTTTTCATCTCTGGTAGAGAAAGCAAAATCGTCCAATTTGGAAGTGGATATTTCTCCCAATGAGTTACTTTTCTTCAACTCGGATCTAGAACAAAATATTGAACAGTTAAAAGATTGTTCAAATTGGATGAAACAATAAAGTCCATCCATAGATATTTGTCTGATGTTCACTCCGTTCTGCACCGTTTCTTAGTTATTTAGGTCCATTGCTATTTATTTGATACAGGGTGTTTCACAACTTATCCGACAAATTTCAAGCACATATGCACTGTTACGAAAGAAGTTGATTTCTCAAAAAAAAAAATGTAATAAATCAAGATAATAAAATAATACAGTTTGAAAGTAGCAACGCCTGGGCTCTCTGGACGTGATAAAGGTACAGTTAGGCTTCATGTCATATGCGCCACGCTGTTGCTAAACTAAATGTTTCGTGATGTGGTATGTGCTTATTCGGAAATCGGTGTGCATACACACGAGAAGCCGCTCGCGAATTTTGCCCTGCTTCTCCGTACGCTAAAACACTCCTCATTAGTGTACACATGTGCCATTTTTATTAATAAATAACTAAAAACATAAACCCGCAAAAAACTGTCTTATTTAACCTCACAAAAATTGACCGTTCTTCATTCAGATCACAAAAATTCCTGGTATTTTGTTTTCGTCAATTGTTTGGTACAATATCTGCTACAATAAATTATTAGTGCGTGTTCTAATATCACGACGATGAACGCAAAATACAGATATGTATTTTTCAATTTATTATTGAAACAGGTTTATAGCTTAAATTTGTCGGATAAGTTGTGAAACACCCTGTATATTAACGATATTCGTGATGTTTTACAACACATAAAGACGTTGAAACTGCAATAGGGCTGTTAAATAATGGTATAAAAACATAATTGTTTAAATAAACTGAAATTAAAAAACAAATGTATGTTTATACGAAAATATTTAGACGAAAACACGATGAATCTTACGATTAAGCATAAAAAAATCAAGTTAATCGAATCATTTAAATATTTTTTCATATATGTAGATAGTAAGTTAAAATTTGAAGGGCACTATGGATACAGTATTTCAAAAATATCCAAAAAGAAAAACTACTTTTATAGAATTTCACATAGCCCAACTATTTATTCTAAAGAAATTGTGTACAACACCATAAATCTTCCTCATTTGTTATATTGTTCGAGTATTTTGTTCACTGCAAACGAAACTGTGTTTTCAAAATTACAAATATTATGAGAATCATCTTAAAAATAAATATACTAGAATAAATTTCATGCTGACAGAACTACGATGGTTAAATATTAAAAATTGTTTTTCATTTTCATATTCAAGTTAAAAAATCATAAGTAGTAACATAGTTATTCTACAAGCGGAGGATAGACTTTCATTTACAAAATTGTATCAATATAAGAACAGTATTTCAAAAAGGATTGTACGAATTTAATTAATTAAGTCACGATATCAAGATGCGTGCCAGTTTGAAAATGCTCAAAAGGAAATCAAAAAAATATTTCACGGAAAACCAGTATTCACAGTAGTGAAATTTTGTATAGAAATATGTAGACTTGAGGACAAAATATTATGTGATATACTGTGTAACCTTGATACTGAAAAAAACTAAGTTAAGTGAATATTTTCAAATTTTTACCTGTGCATCGTGTACATGTAACTTTTACAATTAGTCAAAGAACAAGCAGTATTGCAGCGCCGTTTTTTGAAAATCGACTATTGCTTGTAAAAAAGGAGAACGAAAACAAACACAAAAACGACCAACACCTACAGCGATTTCCAGTAATATGTCGATAGGAATTCGCCTAACAATAAACAGACAGGACCGCATCTAGGACAATGGGGACACGTTTTATGTTTGGAAAACTAAGGAGGCACCTTTCAATGTTTGCATATCAACAAAGCCTACTGTTCTACAGCTTGTGAATCCAAAAAACACCGAAGAACGCAACTATGACGTATTTCTTGAAGAAACAAGCAAACTTAATAATGAACTACAAATGGAAGAAAAACACATTGCACAGTTAATATAAAAAGTAACACACACACACAACCAAAGGGAAAAGTGTGCAATCTACAGAAGGAATTAGTTGAAGCAAAGCAAAAGAATAAACACACCCATCATCAAATACAGCCCTTTAAATAATAGGGAAAATGAGATTTTACCTGCTTTCTTTCCCTTTGGAATGAGCCCTTTGTTTCTTGCTCCTAGGTCCGTCCTCAGTAGTGTGTTGCTTATGCAACTGCTTCGACTTGTGCACATTGTACCTTTTTCCGGACGAATCTTTTTCATCCTTATCACCGGCTATGTACTGGATGAGTTTATCGACATCATTAATGATATCACCACGATGTCCCTCTACCTGAAATCAAATCACATACTGCATAAAAACTTCAACATTTATTATTCTGCTGTAAACAGAAAAACTTGTAATAACTGCTTCTCCACTAGTCAATGCAATGTATTCTTGATTTTTCAATAATTTGAATAATTAAATAGTTTGACATTTTTCACTCTATCCCTAAATAACCAGTTTTCTAAAATAAAACTGCACAATCATTTTGACATACCTATTTGATGCTTTGGTTCTTAAAAATCAACGTATTTTTGATATGGATAAATTCAATTTGAGAAACATTATAACCTACCTTTTCAGCGGCCAATACAACCACATTTTTGTCCACTTGGATCTTCTTTTTCTTGGCCTTTGCACTGGAGCTCTGATGTAGTGCATTACCATTTTCATCAACTTTCTGTAAGTAACCGAACAGATAAGAATATTCAATTATATTTATAATTGATATGAATAGAGGTATTAGTATATCAGAAGTTCCTTTTTATTCTTTATATTTTAAAAACTATTTTTTCCACAATATACAACGAATACTATAAAAGTTTTGCAATATGACTTATCAAACGGACGCAGGAGGCTGCATGTTACTGCATGTTGAGACATATCCATGAGTGCACAGTAGTCGCCGACAGCTCTGTTGATTTAGCATAGCCCAATGCTAAGAAGAAATGATGCTTGCATTAATGAATGATTGTCCTTATCGTACGACTATATTCAGGTGGTACAGAGAATTCCAAAGGGGCAATTTCACTCTGGAGGACGCTGAGAGGGAAGGAAGGCCGCGAACGCCAGTAACAGAGGAAAACATTACTGCTGTGAGGAAAATGCTTGACGAAGACCGGAGAGAGACATACCAACAGATAGAGACCTTACACCTTCATGCACCAGCAATTCATTCATTCCGCAAGACCATTTACACGTAAGGAAACTTTGTTCTCTCAGAGTACTTCATAGTCTTACGGAAGAACACGAGTCTCGTCGTACGACTTGGTGCCGGAAGATCCTGAAAATGTTTGATAAGGGGCGATCTCGGTATGTGAACAGCATCGTGACAAGTGACGAGACTTGGTTCTATTATTACCATGTGCCGAGCAAGGGTCAAAGCAAAGTTTGGCTCTTTGATGATGAGGACACACCCAATCTGTTAAGAAAAACATCATAGCTGTATTTTTCAAATCGAGCGGCATTGTGGAGCGTGTCGTTTTGGACACACAGAAGACAGTCACAGCTAAGTAGTACACGGAACAGTGTCTGCCTAAGGTCATAGAGTCTATGAACAACCTGCGGCCAAAGTCAAGAATGGACACTTGGTACCTCCACCACGCTCCAGCTCATCGCGCCCAAGTCTCCACCGACTATTTGACCACTATTGGACTGAAACTTATTGAGCACCCTCCATACAGTCCAGATCTTCCTCCATGCGACTTTGCACTGTAAAATAAAGCTAAAAGGAAAACGGCTTTCTGGCGATGAGGACCTTCTGAAGGCTTGGGACAAAGAGAGTCGCACTCCCGGGTGAAACTTGGCAGAGCTAGTTTAAGGACTGGTTTTGTTGGATATAGAAGTGTATTGAATGTAGTGGAAATTACTTTGAACGAAGTCAATAAAGCTGTATTGCAAAGCTTTTATAGTACCCTTTGTACTTGCACTATCAAATAGTCACAACAATAGTTTAGCAATCTACCCAAGCATATGAAGACAAAAAATGTGCGATCGTGAATTTAGAATTCACCTGAAATTTCACTTGCCAAAAACAATGAGGAAGTCTAGTAACAACATTTGAAATGATGTTGTTTTTTTAATATTATCGATTCGTGTGTCTGTAATTACAATATGTACCGAAATAAGTTTACATCTATTCATAATGGTTTAATAGAACTTAGAAATACTACGTACAACAATGTACGAGGGGGATGTTTGGCAAAAAAAGAACGCGGTTTGACATTGAAAACAGTAACGTGATTTATCAAGTAATATTATTCAGATGCGACATTACATCTTATTTGTATTTTTGGTTAGTTGAAGCAGGGTGAACACGCCTGAACCAAAGAGCAGTTATATCAAGAGAAGACGCTGCTTCTTGGAATGCCTTTATAATCCTCCGTTCGGCCCCATTGACCTTGAAAGTGTCTGCATTGAGTTTTTAATATTCCATAAATACGCGATGAAACCAAAACTTTGGGTTCGGTTCTTGGACTATTACACGCAAGTGATACTCAATGAATTCCCCCAAAAAAGGATTATTCATCTGGCAACAACGCATTTATTTCCGACTAAATCAGAAGCCATGTTTAAATGCCATCAGCTGTTTTGTGGACGCCATGTTTTTGTATTCATCTCTCACTTCTCTCTGGTTTTATTCGCCTTAACTAACTGTCTTCTCTTTATATAACTACTCTTTGCCTGCACTATCAAAAATGACTAATAGAGAAGATAAAAACAAATTTTGTTGTATTTACACACGACTGTAACGAAACACCTTTACCTCCATACAATGACTGTGTTATGATTCTCAATGTAATCTATAATTTTCTTATTTATTTTTTTCTCGTTATATTGCTGAATCACCCTGTACAAAACTGTTTGCAAAAAGTCTATCAAATATGATCATCAAAGTACAAATACGTTTAAAATCAAGATATTGCACTAAATAGCAGAATTATTGTATAACTGATTAGATACAAAGATTATATAAAAGTTTTTAATGATATGCATACCCGTTATCAGCTATTCCACTTGATTTTATTTATATTTTTAACAATAAACATACGATAATACAATTCAATTTTCAGAGCCAAATGCTAAAAAACGAGAGTCTATGATCAGTTATGCAATAACGTCATTTCCAACTATTACCAATGTCAATTTAAAAATAATTCAACCAATGCTGGGTAACTTTCAAAAAGGCCTTACCTCCAACGGACTGGGGTCTACTTGTACTTGATGCTGTGGTAGCAGAAATTGATAAGGTTTGATAATCCAAATCGGACAACTACCATTATGCTCTTTCTCAATGATCATTGATGAGTATCAAGAGTACCCTCGTAACGAATAAGCAAACGAACCAGGCGGAAAAAATACACGAAAATCACAGCCGTATATAAAGACGTAAGTATAAATGTGCCATATACTGAAAACCTAACCTAAAACTATACGATGACGGTGCTCTATTCAACACATGCGATATCACTCGTAATTAAAGATAAGCTTCGCGAAACTAAGGCGGTGATAAAACGCATAAAGATACATTTAAAAAAACACATTCGGTGCGAAACCGTAAGGCACTAAGATATCCCTAAAAAAGTACAACTGCTAATGTTGCATGTACTGAACATCACTATGTTGACCTTTCCACTCTAACATTGAAATGCCACATATATGTTTATCATTAATAGTAATTACTGAAATCGCTCGCTATAGTTTTTATGATAATTTCAACGTAAAACGACAAAAAAGATTCTATTGTTAAGTGTTGGAACTTCCAAGGCAGTAACACAAAATGCACCACAAAAATTTTAAGGTAAGATAACATATTATGCATTATATAAAAATATGTCTGATATGAGATTTATCAGTAATATACTCGACGTTTCGCAGTATGATCTACAATTGTACGGTTGTTGATTAAAACATATAAACGTGTGTAAATTGTGATGCTGATCCCGTTGGTCCTTAATATTTCTACATAATACCAAGTTTAAATAAAAAATAAATCCTAGATTGCACGTAAATCATACGCGACATGAATATCAAACATGTCATTAACCACAGCTGATAATGCATTATATTAGACGTATAGATATTCAAATATAAATCAATAACTAAAAAGATATAATTACGCAAACTTCTAAGGAATAAAATAAACATTTTCTCATAGGAGATTCGAAAATGTTACAGAATGTAGGCCAAAATTTAATTTTTGTTTCTCGCATTGTGGGTACTGCCCATGCTGCACCTGACTATATGAAAATCAGTTTCCAGGGGGAAATGTTGCATACACTTTCAAATTTTCACAGCGTATCATTGAATTATCTAAGAAAAAAGTAAACAGTTTAAAATCAAATAACAACTGTGCCGAAATCACTACTAAAAAAGTGCTGAAAAACTGTTTCGAAATTTTGGGATATCATGTATTAAATTGGATCAATTGTTCACTGAGAAGCAGTTCTTTTCCTGAAAATTTGAAATGCTCTACAATAACACCAGTTCCCAAAATAAAAAATTCTAAAAGATGCAGCGATATGAGACCAGTAAATGTGTTACCAGACATTGAAAAATTATTAGAGTCCATAGTGCATGACCAATTAATGCAGATTATAGAAGAAAACAAAATTTTAGTGGAGGCGCAAGCAGGCTTTCGAAAAAAATATTCCACAGAAACGGCTTTCCAGTTGGTAACTGAGAATTGGAGAAGAGCCATAGGCTCAGAAGAAGTTGTCATAGCAGTATTTTTGGATTTGAAGAGGGCATTTGAAACGATTGATAGAGATATTTTGTTAGGTAAATTGAAGGCATATGGTATAACAGGAAGTGTTTTAGATTGGTTTAGAAATTATTTGTCTAAAAGGATGCAAGTTACAAAAGTTAATGACACTATTTCATCAAAAATTGAAAATATGTTGGGTGTTCCACAGGGCAGTATCCTGGGACCACTTCTTTTTATTTTATACATAAATGATTTACCTGCCATAGTCAAAAAATGCAAAATTCAGATTTTCGCCGATGACACTATGATTTATATAAGTACTAAAAATATTCAGTCTGGTATCTCTTATATAAATGAAGACTTGAAGCTTGTCTCAAAATGGTTAGCATCTAACAGACTAAAATTAAATGCAAGTAAAACGAAAGCCTTGTTAATCGGAAAAAAAATGTACAAATGTTCAACTGAATATTGATGGTGAAGATATTGAATTCGTAGAAAATTTTAAATACCTGGGGGTTTTTGTTGACTCTCGATCAATTTTTGATACTCATTATGAAAAAGTTATAAATAAGATTAGTAGTAAAGTGGGATATTTATCGAGAGTTTCTGGATGTCTGAGTTCATATAGCAGAAAAATTATCTATAATACCATCATTCTTCCAAATTTCTTGTACTGTTCGACTATTCTATATTTAGCAAATAATTCCATTTTTGAAAGATTGCAAATTTTACAAAATAAGTGCATGAGAATAATACTAAATAAAGATAAATATACTCCAATTAGGCAAATGCTTAGCAAATTAAAATGGCTCAATGTAAAAAAAATTATCAAATATCTTGTAATGATATTCATTTATAAAGTAAAAAATTATATATTTCCATCAAGTCTAACTAATTTAACATCATCAAATGTCGACCATCATTTACATAATACCAGAAATAAAGATGACTTCCATTTAATGACAAAAAAGTATAACATGCTACAAATCTGTATTCCATCAAGGGTTGATTGAATATAATAAATTATACTCGGAGATAAAAGACCAGAAAACTTTGACAAAATTTAAAGTAAAATTGAGAAATCACTTGTTAAATCTACAATTATAGGTTGCCCAGCATTTACATCATACACCATATGGCTTGAATTTACTAGTTCTAAGTTGTTTACAATTATTCTGTTTATGTAGCCAAATGTGCTAAATAAATATTTCTACTACTACTACATTCACAAGAGAATAAAACTTGATGTTGACATTTAGGTGATTTATTAATTAATTAAAATTATTCAAACAAGGATGAGCTTTTTGCCGCTTTAGAGCAAGAAACTTCTACAATCTGTGCCGAGACGATGTCAGGCGGTGATTGATAATGGTTATGCTACAAAATATTAACACAAACATGGTTGGTTTTCCATAGTTCAATGAACTTTGCTTCTTTTTTCTATAATTGTTTTGCTTTGTCTATAAATTTTTGTCCTTCATAGTTCCAGTTTTTTTCAATTAATTTTTTATTGAAGAGAGTCTAATGAATTTATTTATGTATAAGTGAGTATTATGCTATAACGAATTATGAATACAGGCTGGTGTATTAATAAAACAAGTTAAAAAAGAAATACACCACAACATTAATTTGTCCGTTACTGCATGTCTCCTTTCCCCAATAATTATAAATCTACTTTGAACAGGTTAGGGCATCATATGTGGCACCACACCCACCTGTATAGTCATACATGATCATATACTTGGGTACAGCGCCATCTATGAAACACTAACCGTAATTTACAATAATTATTGGTGAAATGAGAAACAAATCTGTGACAATTTCTCATAGGAACGCCAGGATAACTCATTTCATGTCGGAAAAATTAGGTGACGCCGAAAGACAGTACATAGTTGGATATTTTCAGGGAGAATTTAGTGATTGGAGGTCGAAGATAGTTCACTTCGGACCCCCTGGGTCCCAGCTTCAAATGGTTTTCATTTCTCCTGCCAGACCTGACTTCGGCGACGCCCGCTGCTTTGTCCCTAGAGTTTCGAGATTGTCGAACAATCTACAAGAGGAGGCTTTTCCCTTTACTAATCTTAGGCACTTCCAAAATCGAATTAACAAAGTTTTTTGAGATCCTCATAGCAGCCTTGACATTTTGGCTTTTGCCTGCGCGGCTGCTTCGGCATAAAAAAACAGATTTGCAGGTTTTTGCAAAAGGAAACCTCAAAATTTTACTGAACTTTCTAGTCTCGTCCCCAACTTTTCTCAAGCAATTGAAGCTTGATATGATTTGGAGCACTGAAATCTACTGGGGGGTGAACCTCATCTGGTACCTAGCATCAAATTGCCATAAGAATCACAATCTCGGATTTACCCTTCGTGACTTGCAGGTAAGCAGGTTTTTAAAAATCCTCTCATAGGAAAATTCAAAACATTGTTATCTTTTCGCCCCCTGTTGTTGTAAGCAAATGAAACTGTACTAAGGGTGATATGGGGCGAGCCAAAGAAGTATAAAGCAGTAGCATTAATATGAAAAAATCATTTTCGAAGGTAACAACAATAAAATCTTACCTTTTCTTCAGTCTTCGGATGATAAGTCGCAGTATATACATTGTACTCGCTGTGTGAAACTTTGTTCTGTAAAGACTCCAGATCGTATGGTTTCTTATCGACGGCGGTTTCTAGATCCAGTGGTATTGGATCATCAACAGGTGTGGCAGCTGTTAGAATAATTACAATTCAAACATAAATTCAAATAAACTTTATCGAAATAAGACAGCACAAAGTGCCATCTATTACCAGAACCGATCACTGTGAAAGAGAAAGCATCGAGCTGACTGTCATAACTGTGGCCGCTAGATACCACCGATTCTGGCCTATATAGACTTATTTCGATAAACCTTATACTCCGAATAGAGTAGAGTTGTTCAGCTTTCGTTCATGTCGACCAAGGCTAAACTTACATCATGCTGAGGAGTTGCGCCAAGTAGCATAAAACAGCTTCCCATGGTTGGCCGTCAATGTGACCCGACGAACGAAAGCTATATTACTAGTCTTTATTCAATTATGTTTCTATAAAAAACAATTGTTGTGGAACCTAATGATGTTAAATTTTTGGTGATGTCCAGTAGTGTTGAATGTTGAGAGATATCCAAGATAAGGATGGGACATCACTATGATCTTGAACAGGATCTTGTGACATTTCGAACAACGTTGGAAACAGGCTCTTGAATATTATTTTATATACTCTAACAATTTATAGGGTGTCAAAAACATGGGTTTTGCAAAAAAGAAGCTTTAGAAAAAATCAAACTTTCATCCATGGCATTCAAATATTCCAACTTGGCTTTAGTTGTCAAATAAAAAATGGATGCATGTTTTTCTTTAACCATTGATTTATTTGGTCTGTGTGAAGCTTCTTACATTCCTGTGAGGCTATGTTTTGAAAGAATCAGATCTTGACTAGTTCGATAGGTATTTATTACTTACATATCTGTAGAGTGGCCCTAGAGGTGTATCTAGGTGCAACTGTAACTTCTTCTTGCTGTGCTTCTTGGTAGTTCTGTGCTAATATATCATGATCTAGAAGACATTCAGTCTCCAAAGAATCAATATCTATGGAAGTGTACTCTCTATTCTTTAGGGCTTTGCTTTTCCTTGCTTCTTCCAGGAACTGACAGTCTCTAGCTGGCACACTTGAGTTGACATCACAAGGCAAGCTCCCTGTGTATAAAAAAAGCAATAAATCAATAATAAAGATGGCATATTTTTATGTTGTGACTTTAAAGGATTATGTATAGAATATGAGGGTTTATCCCTATGCTCCTACCCTGACCTGTTTGCTGATGCTCATTAGATGCATGTTGTTGACAGTAAAACAAGTCATCTTAATAGGCTACATATACAAAATATCAAGTTTATATGTTACCATGTAAAAAATTTTAGCGTTTTACACAAAATTTTAACGAGAAGATTCTTGATTAAGAGGAAAAACATGGAAAACATTAATAGTGAATGTATGCAGACTATTTGGGACAGCCCTTTTAGAGCCTGTAAGGGAGGAACATTTTTATTGTACAATCTGAAACTTATTCTGTAGTTTTCATGCTTGTAGGATTGGCGACTATATTGTCAATTGTACTTTTAAAAGCCACCATGGTGGCCAAAACATTGTCAGTAAAAGTAACACAAGCATTATGTGGTTCAATCCCTTTACAGAGCAATAAAAATAACATATGGTCCAACTAGTACCAGTAAAGAAATGAGAGGGAAAAAATGTAATAGAAAAACTGTACAACATTTTTTACCAAGAAACGAATACAGATTAGAGAACATTCCTAGCAGCTGACTTAAATTCATTATTGCTCCAATTGAACAGATGAACATGGCGTGAAATATCGTTAAAAAAACTATTCAGTTTTAGTTTACAAATTATTTCTCACGTTAAAACCCGCTTACTTGAGGGAAAAAATTTCACTTAATGGTGTTCAGAAAAAAGAATATTAGAATACCCCAGCATTCGTCTACATTTTCATCTTTTCTACAATGTTGGTATTATTTATAACAATCTTCCTAAAGTATATAAAGAGTTTTTCTTAGCTGTCTTTCAACAAAAAGTTAAATCAATATTACTTAAGCCCCCAAACATACAATTTACATGAGCATTTCTTTTTTCATTCCCTATTGTATTCAGGTTAATAAATTTTGGTGTACTTGAGTTTGGAAAGTGCCATACTAGAAATACTGCGATATGTTACTCTGTGTTAACCTATGAGCCCATAAGGCCTAGCTCAGCACCCTGGCTTGTTGGTGAGCCCTCAAATGGTCAAAAATCTGAATCTGTGTGTAGCCCCCTGCTTATCAAATTTCCCTTAAAATCAAAATAGGGCTGTGCTGAGCTTGATGTCTTGCTGTGCGCCAAGGGGCATTGTATTGCTAAATACACGTAATATATTTTCAAGAAAAGACATAAAAATTGTATAAATGTATAAAAACGTGTTTAGTGATTCCTTTCTGTCGCCATCATCTGGCACAATTCTAAAGATATTTTCATATAATGTGACAATTTCACAATTTGACCTTGATCAATGTGTCGCAAATCCTGACATGGTATCTGAAACTATTAAGATTTGGCCTACTAAAATCAGGATCATGTCAGTTGTTGACATTGGGTCGACAGATACCTTTTTGTCAGTTCTTCCAGTATTTGCCATGGTATGTATATCTTTGTGAATTTCAATGGTATATTACTGCAACTATGTAAAAAACAATGATTCTTAGATACCAGTCATGAAACAGTTAAAATAATACTATAATGCATCTTGGTTGTTTTCAAGGTCATGTACATTTTTGTCACTGCCCTGGCCCCACTTTTATGGCAGATTTCATGTCAATTTTTTTCCTACTCCCATCTTTTTATACTTTTTGTCATTTCTTTACAATAAAAATTATTATAAACAATGAAACCAATGGGTGCAACCAGCTATCAAAAAAATTTCTTTCAAATGCACCATTACCATAAGGGTCTGTTAGCTCTCAATCTATACAATTGTCTTTTTCCAAGATTAATGGAACTGAAGACTTGCTATTTTTTATAAATAACTATTGAATTTATTTAGATAATGGTTCAAATGTGACCCTCCTAGCCACACATATTCCCCAAATACCCATAACCGCTGTCAAATAAAATATCTGACAATGTCAAACATCATCGCATATAGTCTTGTGACATAATAAATATAACACTGAAAACCCAAATTCACTCATATAACAGATATTACAAAGTAGCAAGTACTGGAGTTTAATGATGAGAGATACAGTTTATTTCAAGTGCATTTCAGCATATAACACTGTTAACTTAGAGCCATATAATCATATCTATAGCTTATATAAATTACCAGATTAAACACTAATGTACGAAATGTAATCATACTAAAAACATATTTATCTCAATTTCGTGGATACTAGACACACAACGCCTTAGGGCGGATCACTCATAATGAACTAACTCTATTTGGGTTAAACTGATGAACTGATTGAAAATAATCGACCTATTTCACAAAATGCAAACGAAAACAGGCACAAGCGGACACTATTGCATAATTTGTTGCTAAAATTGCAACGTGCAACGGACATAACAAAAATCGATCTGTTAATAATAGACGGGTATCAAGAACACTCGTAGACCAAAAAAAAAATAGGAAAACTAGAAGTAACCCCCATTAGAGCAACTCACATTGAAAAGCATTCCCATTGAGAGATTTCAGGGTTTCCATCCTCTACAGAATTCCAAAGTTTCAACAAGTATTTCTTTGAGATGACGTCCTGCAGATTTCGGAAATGCACCACTCGTAAGTAAACGTGTTTTTGGTTGCAATTTCTGATAACCGATTAGTTTGTTCATCACCGAATACTCAGAGGCATCAGACACTGGTATCACTCAAAAAATCATTTCCAAATGCAATCAAATGAATTTTATTAACCGTGCTAGCATCGCCCGAAATGTCGATCCGTGGAAATAAAAAAAAGAAAGAATTGAGGTTATGTCGGACGAACAACGGCGCAGACGACAAAAAATCGCTTCAGTGTACAGGGCCGGACTCGGATCGGGTGTCAGCGCAACACTCCAAGATAACGTGTATAGGCCAGGAATAATAGATATGAGTAAAAATTCTAATAAATAATGGCGAGTAATCGGAAAAGTTAAACGCAGATGGCGCCAGTTAGGTTGGAAGTCATATCTAAGGTTATAAACTGACAAAGATATCAATTGCTGATCAGCTGTTCACGTCGATAGAGGTCAAAACGTTATGAAGTGAAAAATAAAACCTGGCTCCTGGCTTTTTATATAATGATATATGATTTTGACAGTTTGACCTCCAACTACACAAGCGCCGCCTATCGGTAGCAAAATTGACAATCGCTGACATTGGCAAATGTCACTGCATTATGCAGGACTCAGAGGTTGTAAGATGACATGTTATAGATAAGGAAAAGTAGATATAAGAGGACGCTGAAAATTGACAAAAAAACTCGCTTCAATATGCATTTTCAAACTCGAAACGGTTATCAGCGGTTGCGAAGTGACGCGTTACAGACCAGGAAGAATAGGTATGACGAAATGCACGAGTGATGAAAAGGCAAAATGAAGCGTGATGGAAAATATAACAAACCGTCAAAGAATTGTTTGTGACGACGTACTCTAATAGATTAAAATAAAAGTGACGAATTCACAACAATTCTAGTAAATTGTGTTGAATTTCGGAGCAAATTTCTACATCCTTCAGTGTGCAATCGTCTAGCGTGGCTGAAGCTGTACAGTGGTACACATTTTAAACAATCCATTCCACTCTGCAACCGACTAGCAGTATTTTTGACTATAGGAAACTCCCTAATTGTCAAAGCTGTAGTCAAAATTGATATATTTTTCAACTGGGTGTCTCTAATGAATGTGCTTTTTGAACTCACCAATTCACTATGAATTACGGAAACATTATCAATTACATAACTGTTGCTCGCGTCATGTGTTGAATGGCAAGTAATACAATGCCTTATTATAATTATGCAGACCTTCGACACTGCAATCCATTTGTCCACACCTCAACACAGCCGAACATTCTAAAACATTGCACTAATCGATTATACACTTTTTTGACAAGAGCATTTTTTGATTTTGACCTTTCATGCAGCGTGAATGCAATAGACATTCACTCAACTGTACCTCCAATTTAATGGACTTCGTTTTTTTTGTTCTTGGATGGGCGATAATCATCTACCCATTCTATAATCAGTTGACTACGACCTGCTCCCCAAGTTGGAAGAACATTTGACATGGAGATTCAGTCTTGACGACGAGGTGAAAGTTGAGGTTCAATGCTTCCTCATGGACCTGTCGGCAAGCTGGTATGACATAGCATACAGAAACTGCTACAAAATGTATGAAAATGCATCGATAGGAATGGCGATTGTATGGAAAATTAGACTATCGTTTAAGCTTAATAAATAATTGCTACATTATTGGGAATAAATGTCATATACTTTTGAAAAATAGGAGACAGTACTTTTGGGATTAACCTCGTATATAAAAACAAAGTTCTTAGCTATTTGTATCTTCTCTCAGAAAATAGCTTTATCTTCATTTAATTCATCAAAAAAAAAATGATGCTCTTGACCCAGCCAAATTCCTTGTGCCTTCTCATTTCTCCAGAATATTGTAATTAAAGTTCAACAATTACAGGCTTTCTAAATATTTGTTTGACAACATTAAATTGACTCTATAAGCAATGGGTCTATGAAAATTAACAGATTTTCGCCAACAAAATATTCACACTTGTTTCACTAAATGACGAAAAAAAGTTTACAGTAACATTGTTCTTAGATTTCAAGAGAGCATTTGACACTATTGACAGGGAGAAATTGTTAACGAAATTGCATTGCTAAGGATTTCAAGGTTCAGTATTCAACTTATTAGAAAATTATTTAATCAATAGAAGTCAAAGAACTAAAATTGGAAATACATTATCAAAAATTAAAAACATTTCCATTACTATTTATTTTATATATTAACGATATTCCTGATATTTTACAACAATGCAAAATTCAACTATTTGCTGATGATACATTAATATATATATATATATATATATATATATATATATCAAATAAAGACATTGAAACTGCAATAGAGCTGTTAAATAATGATATGAAAAACGTAATAAATTGGTTAAATGTAAATAAACTTAAACTAAACACAAACAAAACAAAATATATGCTAATAGGAAAATCTTTAGAACAAAATACGATAAATCTTACAATTAATCATGAAAAAATTGTCAATCGAATCATTTAAATATTTGGGCATATACGTAGACAGTAAATTAAAATTTGAAGGGCACTACGAATATATTATTTCAAAAATATCCAAGAAAATAAATTACTTTTACAGAAATTCGCATAGCCTAAGCGTTTATTCTAAAAAAATTATATACAACACTATCATTCTTCCTCATTTGTTATATTGTTCGACTATTTTGTTCACTGCAAATGAAACTGTATTTTCAAAATTACAAATATTACAAAATAAAGCTATGAGAATCATCTTAAATAAAAATAAATATACTAGAATAAATTTTATGCTGAATGAACTACAATGGTTAAATATCACAAATTTCATAGCCTACTTGGTTTTCATTTTCATATTCAAGTCGAAAAATCAACTTCTACCAAATCACTTAGAAAATTTTATTGTATTGAACAATGAGTGCCACAATTATTCTACTAGAGGAAGTATAGACTTTCATTTACAAAACTGCAGTAGCAATATAACGAGCAAGTCAGTATTTCAAAAGGGATTGTATGAATTTAATAAATTAAGTAATGCTATCAATATCTGTGTCAGTTTGAAAATGTTCAAAGGGAAATTGAAAAAATATCTCATGGAAAACAAGACTTCATAGTAGTGAAATTTTGTATAAAAATATGTAGTCTTGAAGACATAATATATTTTGTGGTATACTGTGTAATATGGATATTATGGACATTGTAGCATTAATGCTAAATAAATCTGAAACAAACATTCAAAACAAGAATACAAATTTAAATGATCTTTAAAGACGTGGATTCTAACAGTAATTATTTTCACGTGTTAAAATATCGCCAGAGCAAATTACTGTATATTATGATCTAACGTACAGTTTGTTTTTAGAATCGAGCGCGATTACAACCTTATAGAGAACTTGCACGACCTTGACCAATTTGAATAATTTTATAGAAGTGAAAACAGAAAATATTACTCACCTGTGAACTAATTTCGTTGTTTCTCGATGATCGATATTCTAATAATGATTATTGCCTTTGCAATCAGATGATTTTATTCGAAAATAGATGAATTTTAGGACAAAATATACAAACGCATAAATTAATGTCAGACACCCTGAAAACTACATCAACTCTTGATACCCAAAGTGCTTTTACAAATGACAGAAAAACCGATAATTCGAAAAAGGCATGTTAAAATATGTTATATGAAGACTCCAATACTAAATTAAAAAAAGCAAAACCCCAAATAATTTTCTTCTTATAGTTTTTAGTGCTATTGTTTTTCTGCTTCGTTATGACCATCCTTATTTCGATTTTGCGTAGTAGCAGGACACATCTTCATTATCCATTATCAAAATAAGAAGCTACGGAAAATAGGGCTCAATTCGTTATTGTCTAGTTCAGCACTGTTGCCGGAATTCGTAAAGCTGGATAAGCTTAATTAAAATAATTTCAAGTTAAAATCATACTGGTTAAAATATAATAGAAATATGAGTGTTCTAAATAAATTCTATTGTCTTGATTTTTGTTATACATGCAATATGGCAAGTCCTCCTTGGTCATGCTGGTTTTGGGGTCACTTATCCTTCCGAGGTTCTATGATCCTAAACCTATTCATTTCTAGTCTGGTTTGAACACAAATATGCATTGAATTCTATGAAAGAATTTAAAAAGGTTTGAAATTTTGGAGTTAGCTTGGCGTGGAAACAAAAAAAACAACCTGTCATGACTGTCAGTAGTCAGTACTGTCAAATTACCACGGTTTAATTCAGTGGACATAAATCAAATTCAAGCGGATAACCAAATGGAAATGGTATTTACCATTTTGAGTTGGTATTTACCAATCCGTTCAAGCGAGTGTAGTTATCAGTTTGGTTATAAGATCCGTGACGTCACGAATTAGCTGTTATATGTCATAGTTATCACCGCAAAATTGTGGTATTTACCCAACTCAAGAGTAGTTTTATATTTCTGGTTATTATTTGAAATGTGACAAGTTAGAATTTTGCCGGGTATTGGATATTGTTATTGTACTTCAGCTTCATTTTTGAGAAAAATGATACAGGCTGACTTCAGTTTTACCATAAAGTGGAGCACCTTATCAGTTATACTCATTACGGTTGTTGGGGGACACTTTAAATGTAGTTTCTATGCTTAACAAAGTATCCACAAAAATATTAAAATATGGCCATTTAAACTCACTAGATGATATCCACCTGTATACGGTTTTGCTAATTTCTTTTTTCATCATTTCTGCTGAATCAATAAATGTTTTTCTTTGACATGCGGAAAATTTAGAGAATTGAAAGTTATCATAGCTACAAAGCCATGGTTCCATCATTAAAAAAAAAATCTGAAAAAAACATTTCTCCCATGAATATTATGAAAGGTTTCTTATTTAAACTTTCCATATACAGTTGTAGACGAAAAAGCACCGATTATTAAGTGATAATAAAAATAATCAGAGATTATATACGCGCTTTTCTAAAATAAACAACTTGCAACAAAACCGCGGTTAAAACCAACGCGTTCAAGCGATTCGTGTAACTGACGTCATCAACCCATGTGTCATCTTGAACCATATTATAACCGCGGCACATAACAGAAATTTTGGTTATTCGCTTGGATTTATTATAAAAACTCTTGTCTCGTCGACATTCGTTATTTGCTGTCGCTGTCAAAAATCACCTAATGGAAGACATATTGTCGCATTAAAAATAAAAACTCTGTCATTTTAAGTCTGCCATTCGATATGAGAAGATCACTTCTTTGGATCCTAAATGTTGGAGAACGGTCGTTTTTTTATTGATCTCGACAGAGAATCGGAATTTACAACTGACTTCAATCAATCAAAATTTATTTATCTTACATAGTTAACATTATTCTCTGAAAGACAGTAATACTAATTTATTTGTGCCAGATATCTGACAGGAGTGATCTCAACATATTTGTGCGAGCATCCGATAGTCGTAAGCAGCTCTATAAGGCTAGAGGAATTTCACGCTTTTTGTGGAGCGTTGCAAGACATTCTGTTGTCGTCTCGCTCGATACCGTGGCTGCTGAGGGGCTAAGTGGATAGACAGATCTGTCATTGGTTGTTCCTATAGATTTTCTGTTGGAAATTTGCTACCCTGATATGGTAGGGATAGCATTTCTGAAAGTTGTTCCAACTGAAGACTACGCGGTAACCTTTGTGAAGCCGTACAGACGTTCCTCCAGTGAATTCAAGACTATCCGACTTACCCTTGGTAGAAAAGGCTTCCATGAAAAACTCATATACAAACACACACCTTATCCGACTGGCTCTTGCCTTTCAAAAGCGTGATGAAAATAATACACAAACGGAGAATAACATAATATGAACAGAAATTCATATTAATAATATAAAATGGCCGTTACAAAATGACGGACGAAATCCTTTCGAAAAACAGTGTTTTATAATTAATTTCTTTAACCATTTCAACACGCATTGCATTAATTAAGATTATGTACACCAAACTGAGCTCACTCATGTGATAAACGCACGATGCGGCCGTAAACTAATATTTTATATAATATTGTGAAAGTTGTATTTTTATTGCAACTCCGACAATGGGTAATCAACTGTCAAGGCATGTATCTCCTGGAATATCTCATAAAATGTAACAAGTTAGAAGGCAATATAGGTATTTTAAAGGCATTTGTCAGCTACGATCATTTACTTCTTAGACATATACTGTAAACATCAAGGGTGATTAAATACAGCACAAAAAATCATCCTCATAATTTAATTTGCCAAATAAGTTGCTGCACCTTGACTCTATAGTGTAGTCATAAAATGTTATCCAGGAGGTAGTAGAGCCCTATGAATTAGTCTTCAAAAACCAAGTATATCTCATACCTCTTAGAGTACGTAGTATATGAAGTAGTTCTAGTAGAGGTATATGTATGCTAGGAAGCTATCAAGCTCGTTGTTTTGAAACGTCTTTTGCTTATCAAAGTTTCTTTTGATTGAGTGTTTCAATTGAGTATTTGGGTAGGTTAAGTAGACTAGCCAAGAGCTAGACTTCGCCTACGTAGAGGTCACATTATGTGGTAGTGTATATAATGTGCCTAATAAAGACATTTTATTATTATTATTATTATTATTATTCAGGTATACAATATAGTACAAAAGCATCATTTTGTACAACATCTAGTGCATACATGTGCAAAATGACGTGGTATCTTTCTGCTACTTTTCAGGCTGTCAGCAAGGGGTCGCATCCATAATTCACCTACTCAAAAAATATACAGATGTTCAAAACGTATGGATGATGGATTTACCGTGTCCAAAGATGAGTAAAATATAATTTTGTTATTGTTTTTCTTTACTACACAATAAATGAAACCGCACTACAAATTGCTCTTCTGACATTAGGTCTTCTCTAGCAGTACGAAGTCCTTAAATATGTGTGGGTGGAGGGCAGCAATAACGTCAGTAAATCATTTTATTAAACATCTATGGTTTAGCCGCTGTATTGATTCCTTCAAGAAATATAAAGTTTATCTTTTTACAGTACTTCCATATGCCATGAATACCAGAGGTCTCGTCTAATAGATTTATGTTTCAACTCTGTTTATGGAAGTTTGCAACGACTATTTACTGATTTAAGGACGATTTACAGCTGCTACAGGATTATGAAACATCCCAAAATAATGGAAAAAATTAGCATTTGCGGAAAAAATGAATAAAAACGAGCAGTTGAAAAAACAATGAATAAAAATGAGAAACACAGTCTGTGGATACCCTGATGGAAAAAACAACTAAGACATTAGCTTGGTTCCTGATAAATGTATGGTCATCATGGAATTGATCTTAAACCGGACCTTCTAGACCATCTGATGGTCATGTCTATTTTTTTCAAATAGTCAAATGCGATGTGAAAATTCCTTGTTTGATGGTAGATCACCCATAAGTATCATTGGCGCATTGGCCAGTGCCAGGCTTAGGTCTAGGTTCTAGGTAGTCAGATATGATTTGACGCTCAGCTACCGCGTCATTTCGAAGTCTCGCGGGTTGGAATCCCGCACCCGCATTATGCAAAAGATGATCGTTGTGATAGCGATCTGATCGCCATACTGTGTGTACTATCTGGAAACGCGCACTCGCTATAAGCGTCACCTATGGGGACATGGCCCAAGGACTATAAAGGTTACAGGTTACACCATAGAAGATAAAAATGACCTTCGCTGGTGCCATCTCTGATGCAGATGTTACCATACATATAGCTCATGTATTTTGGCAATTAGACGACACACCCGTCTACTACAAGAGAATGCTAGCTGGTTCCAAAGTAATAATTATGAGGATCAGATCCCTATTCCTGTCATTATGCAGTTGCATAATAAGGAGGAGGAGGAGGAGGTTGTATTTGTCTATATACGACTATGTAAGCACCAGATCGGTGCAAGATCAAATAGGTTCTGACATAAACAATCAAAAGTTCGCGAGACAGCAGCTCAGCAGTGTCATTGATCGCCAAAAAATCACACTTGATGACAGCCCACTAATTTCTCGCCACGTTTTCTACGACCAATTTTTCATAATATACTAAGTGACATATAAATCCGAACACCCAGTTTAAATGGTTTTATTTTAATAAAAGTTGGTGAATGTATTTATCTTACTGTAAATAACAAGTGAAAAAATGTTCAGCCTTATCAGTTGGACATTCCGGTTTTTATACTGCTTTTTTTTAATTTACTAACGCTCTAAAAATGAATATTTCAGCCGCAGTAAAGAATCAACGTTGGCGGATTTTGGTTCTTGACATCCTTTACGATCGGTTACGATGCCTAGAGTACTGAGACCTGTTCGATTTCGTCCACTTAGTGAGTTTGATAGGGGCCGTATAGTGGGACTTCGGGAAGCTGGACTTTCTTTTCGGGCAATTGCAGTTAGAGTGCAAAGAAGTGTAGACACTGTGGTTAGGTGTTGTCAGGCATGGCTTCGAGAAGGCCGTACGTAAAGAGCAAGGGGCACTGGACGCCGCCGTAGAACAACAGACCGTGAAGATCGCCGCCTAAGATTATTGGCCTTAAGGGACCGTTTCTCCACTACCAGGTCCATTGCAAATGAATGGTTTGCAGAACACGGAAGACCTATTTGCATGCGAAGTGTTTACCGACGAATGAGAAGTTTTGGCTTGTTTTCATACCGGCCACACTGGGTCCTCCCTTTAACTCGAGAACACCGACGTAATCGCCTTGAGTGGTGCAGACAACGGTCACTCTGGGATCAGGAATGGAACAGTATTGCCTTTAGTGACGAGTCTCGATTTTGTTTAGACATGCACGATGGTCGTGCCAGGGTTAGAAGGCGACGTGGTGAAAGGGGGAATCCACAGTTTTTTTGTTGAAAGACATGTCCATCACACTGTTGGAGTTATGGTTTGGGGTGCTTATGGTTCCAGGTCACCTTTAATCTTCATTAGAGGTAACATGAACGCGCAGCGTTATATCCACGAAGTTCTAGAACCCCATCTTTTACCCTATCTTGACACCCTGGCAGATCCAACTTTCCAACAAGATAATGCCTGACCACATGTTGCAAGAGTCACAATAGACTTCTTTCAACATAATGATGTCACATTGTTACCATGGCCACCAAGATCTCCCAACTTATCCCCAATTGAGCACGTGTGGCATATGATGGGTAGGAGATTGCTCAATTTGCAACGTCCTCCTCAGACTCTAGAAGCACTTCGAGAGGAGTTGATGGTTGCCTGGAATGAGATACCACAGGAGGACATTGACCACCTGATCAGAAGCATGCCTAGGCGCGTTGGAGAATGCGTAGCACATCAGGGTGCCAGGGTGCATCCACACATTATTAAAGGTCAAAGGGCTTTAAAGCAGTGCAATCATTTTGAAATTTTTATCATTTACTTATGCGTCATTAAGTACTTATACAAAATTTTATTAAAATAAAACCATTTAAACTGGGTGTTCGGATTTATATGTCACTTAGTATAAGTGGTAGCCCATTCACTGTGAAAGATATATATTCTGCTTGTGTTGTGCTCTTTTTGATACCAAAATAAAGTAAGACATTGAAAAATAAGGATGACAAGTGATAACACTCTTATTCCCAAGGTGCTGAGCACGGGAGAAAAGTGCACTTTTAACCTTAAAGGATTACTCTGTTCTATTTCCCAACACACAGCACAGATACGTCAAACAATTGCGAACGCCAAAATCGTTACAGAGTAGTACAAAGTACTGTCCACAGCCCAGTGTTAGTACAATGGAATCAGCAAAGAGAATCAAAGGTGGCCTAGTTGCTAAACTTTGCCTCCCCACCACGACTACTACTACTACACACATCATCAAAAGCGTTGGACCCCCTGGCGAACTGGGAAACTATAGCCTTCTAATTTCAATCTTTGATATATTTTAAATTGGTGATATTTTTACTATATTTATTTAACACAACGTTAAATTAATTTCATTAATATGAAAAGAAAAAGAAAGTTGAACAAGTAAGTTACCAAAAATTTTATTTTTAAAAATCAAAATTAAAGAAAAATAGTTATTCTAAAGAAAAATAAAACATAATTAATAACCAGTTTGGCGTCCTCTAGATCTTAGCAGTGCGTTAACACGCCTTGGCATTCCTATTATTCGGTGGTTAATGTTTTCTTGGGGTAAATTATTCCACTCTTCATTTACTGCTGTAGCCAGCTCATTTAGGGTTGTAGATGGATCTATTCTGTTCCGTACGGCTCGAGCTATAGTGTCCCAAATGTTTTCAATGGGGTTCATGTCTGGGCTGTTCGCAGGCCACGGCAATCTCACTATTTGGCCCCTTTCTAGAGCCCGCTGGACCCTTCTCGCTCTATGTGGCCTTTCATTATCATCCATAAAAATGAAGTTGTTACCGAATTCATTTCGCAAAGGTTGAATAATGGGTTGTTTGACATTTTCTTCATAAATTTCTGCAGTCATTGTCCCCTGGATCTGGATTAAAGGACTCCGGTGGTTAAACATTATGCCTCCCCAAAACATTATTGATCCGCCCTGATATGGGACTACTTCTCGGGCCAAATTTAGTCGCTGTTGATGTCCTGGTTCTCTCCAAACCCTTATTCGACGGTCATCACTCACCAGTCCAAACCTGACCTCATCTGTAAATACCACATTTCGCCACTGTGGTAAAAGCCACTCCTGATGTTCTCTAGCCCACTGGAGACGAGCAGCAATTTGTCTACGAGTACGACGTGGAACCCTTAAAGGTCTTCTAGGGCGCAAATTTGCCATTCGCAATCTTCTTCTGATGGTAGAAGTGGTAATAGCTCTTCGAAAGGTATGTTGAATATATATATATCGATTCTCCCTATCATCTGTTACTCAAGCACGCCCACTGCGTGGCCAATTTTCAACTGAGCCAGTTTCTTGGAATCTTTGAATTGTTCGAATAACCGAACTTCTTGAGATACCCAAATCCAGTGCGATTCGGTGATTTAAAAATTCAGCTTGGAAGAGGGCTTCTATTCGTGTTCTATCAAAACCAGAAATTTCAGCTCGCGGCATTTTAAAAGTTACAGCATACAATTTTATTTTAATACTTTTTGCTCAAACACTTTCTATAAAAATCCAAACACATTTTTATCCTCAACGGTTTTTTGCTTGCTAAATATACAAAGATTTTTTGTTCACAAACAGAATGTAGATAACGTACCTCTAGATGGATTTATACAGAGCGTCCAACACTTTTGATGACGTGTGTACATCATTGGGCACTGAAAAGGAATGCCAGCTTACAGCTGAACAAAAACTAAAACAATTCACTTAAAACCAACGATCATTCCCTAACTATTTGTAGTAGCACTACTCACCGCCCTCCCTCTGCCTGGCCGACACCGTCCTCCTGTTCTGTTGGGCCTGCCTGCCTCCGGCCGCCCCCACTAACTGCCTGGCGGCCGATCGCACGTACAACTCCTCCTTGGCAAGGTCATCCAAGCTGCCCCCGTGCCGTTCAGCTGCCGACGCCCGTTTGCCGCTACCGCTACCGCCCGCTCCACCCGATCGCTGTCCGCCCCCGGTACTACCGCCACTCAGTCGGCCCGCGCCGCCCCCGGTGCTGCGCCTGCCGCGGCCGCCTGCCCCTCGCGCGGAAGGGTTACAGTGACGGACTAGTTCACTGCCGCCGGCGCTCGCAGCGCGCGCTATGCGCTCGGTTTCTTCAGCCTGGTGGAGGAGGTCCTGCAACAAAAATGTAGACTTAGTGTCCCTAAAGGGAACTGCAAACTGCACAGGCTTATCCATGTTGCAGCTGCTACTCGCTCTTGCACACACACAAAAATAGGGTGACTGTTGTTTTCACTCACTCACAATTTAACACGTTCGCTGCGACCTGCCTCGCGCCGCGCGCATGGTAGCGGCTAAACGATTTTAGGCGCTGCACAAGCGAAGCGCGGATTCGCGTCGTAAGCCTATTGGATGTGCGTTGTGTAATTGAAAACTATTTCATATATACATTTTATTCTTCTATGTCGTTTTTTTTCGTGCAGTAACACGAAACATGTCTTGAAACCCTATTAAAGATGTTTCTTTAATTAATTTCAGAACACCACAGTCTTGTGAGTTTATATCAGCCAGAAGCGCGGATCCGCGCCCGCCGCCTTTCGTTAAACATCGGTCGGACGCGGATCAGCGTCGTTCGCAGTGAACGTGTTAATAAAAATTGCAAACAATTTTTCATGCAAAATGATCACACATATGGTACAAGACCTCTGAATGTTTTGCTACCTCAGCATAGGCTGACAGTAACTGAAAAAAAAACTGTTTTCTTATGTGTGCAAAGTTGTATAATAAACTAACCAATCATTTAATAGCACTGGAACCAGGCTGATAACATTGTAGTTGTATCTCACATATTATGTTTTATATTATATAGAAGGTCAGTACCAGAACACACAAATCACACACCCATGAAAAGCAAGTTGTCATACTGACAGTGGCAAGCTGAAATTGTAGAAGACTCATATGTGAATGTGAAAATTTCCAGTGCAATGAGACAAAATGTCTATGGATAGAAATGAATTGTAATGTATGTGTGTGGGTGTGGATGTATGAAAGTAATTCCTATACAATGACCTGCCTCCAAAAACTGTGAAAGGAACTATAGATTAATTTATTGGTTTGGCAAAAAAATTATTCTGGTTTCTACCAACAGATTGCATTATGTCTGATTTGTTATTCTTTTGTCAATTTTAGGGTTTGGTGGTTGACACTTTCACATTACCACGAAGATGATTCAGTGTAATTTTGTATACCACAGTGCCAAAAAGATTCTTGGCTTGGAAGTCCAATCTCAAAAATTTTTCATTAGGTGGCAAAATGTTGATTTTTGATATATTTTTAACCTGGAAATGAAGTTACATTTTTTTATAAACACCTAAAATACCCAAAAATTTGTTTTATAAACACATCACTGGAGTCAACTTGATGCTCCTACAGGTGAAATACAAAAAATCAAAGAATCAACAAATATCACAAATATTTTTTTCTGATAACTTTATTTTGGAGATTTTCTGGCAAAAACCAAAATTATTTTCTTTAATCTTAAAGTGTGCACTACACTATTAATAATTTAATGTGTAGTTCTAGAAATTAACTGATAAATTAGTGAATTTTGATTATTTTAGATCTGGTTCTACCTACCTTGAACAACTTACTCTTTCCTTCTCTATCCTTGGGATTCTTATAATTCATAGCTTCATCTAACAAAGCTTTTAATTCTCCATCATTCAAATTAGATAAGCTCTGAAAAAAAATAAGAAACAATTTAGTTACTTTAAGTGATACTTATATAAGATGTTTTAAAAAACAATCAGCTTTTTTGTGGTTATTTGAAAATTATGATCCTCATGTATTCTGAACATCAAAAATGTCTTCATTGCAAAAAATAAGAAACAATTTAGTTACTTTAAGTGATACTTATATAAGATGTTTTAAAAAACAATCAGCTTTTTTGTGGTTATTTGAAAATTATGATCATCATGTATTCTGAACATCAAAAATGTCTTCATTGTAATTCAGAATACATTTCTTAATAAAAATGACTATCAGCTGCAAAATATAGTAATACAATATGAATATTATTTTAATAATATCTACTTCATTTTCAAGGTATCAATTCTCAGTTATGAAGGTATTTTCCTATGTTAGTGTAGAATTTACTTTTATTATTGTAATCATCTTACATGCCCTGATGTAAGTAATGTATTAATCAATAACAAAATATACCTGTGAAGTGAAATAATATGATACAGTTTAAGGAAAGAAACATTTACTTCACTTCTGGTATCATGTACAAAGGTTCTGGGAATATAATAAGTTACCAAATCAAATAAAAGATGCAGAGACTGTAGGTCATTCCAAGAAAGCACTTGTCATTCCTATGATGGCAATGCTTAAATTTAATATAATTGTGTTTCTCTTATTGTGAGCTGCTGTGAGCCACCAATTATCGCTTGTTGTTGAAAAAATTAGGATTTTCTAAATAAAGGTTGTTACTACTACCTCTGAAATTGGCTAATGGCATAATAAAATAATTTTGATATTGTAGCTTAAAAATTATAGTAATCTCATCATGCAACATTTACAAAACATCTACAAAATATTTTTGAATTATTGTATTATTTTTCAATAAAACAAATGGCATCAAGTAGGTTGACTCTGCGCTTCCATGCAACACTGCTATCATCATAAAGGATTATGTTCAGCGGAAAATAGGCCATTGGGGAAAAAATCAGTCAAACAGATCTAAACAATTATATCGCAATAATATTATTGAAATGTCAAAAAACAAAGTTTGATTGATTTTAATTTTTTTCATTTTTAGCCTGTTTCTCCTCTACTACTGGACCGATTTTCATAATCTACAAAACCTTTTCATCCTTGGCATAGGTAGTAGTAACGTTGTGTGAAAAATTCATAACATATACCATCAAAAAAACAATAACACATTTTTGGAAATTTTTGTGATTGCTAGATATACTTCACTAACAGTAAGCATGAGAAATAAAATGCCAACTTTGATGTTAACATCTAGCTGAAAAAATCTTTTTCTAATCAGGATAACATGAAAAATGAAGTAAAATAAGTTCAGTCACATGACCAATTGAATTATTATGAAGCTACATTTTATAATAGATAATCAAGCCAACAGAATTGCCAAAAAGTTACATATCAACTTAAAAAAAAAAGCTCAAATAAATTTAAGTGATAAAGAAATAGTAGGTTATTAAAGCAAGATATTTATGTATTCAAATATCTTATCAGTTGCACAGAGAAAACTATAGCAGATTAGTAGTTTAAATTATGTAATACTACTGCAAAAAGCAAGGTCATCAGAGGTTTGTTTATTTTATATTTTATAGAAAAGCAAGGTACTATAGGTTAGCCAAGAATGTGCAAATAACATCCAGTTTGATTTTTATGGAAAGTTGTAAATTAGGTCATACAAATGCTGTATGAATTTGGAACTTTTTCAACAATTTTAATTTAGGAAATAATGAGTCAGATCATAATATGAATTACAACAAAGACATTGAGAAGTACAAAGAGATATACATTAGGGGTAAATACGCCGAATATTTTGTACCACAATATACATACTAGAATAGATACAAAATTATACCACAAAACAAATTTGAACGAACCATTTTTATACAATGTGATAAAGGGTATTGCGGATGCAATTTAATTTGCAGAGAAAATAAGTTTGGGGCCCAAAATGCGAGCAAATCTTTGTGTTGGGGAAAAATCTGGATTTATTGATACTATTTTTAGAAAATGACAGCTGTATATTACCTTTTCATCCTTATCTTTTTCCTTAGCATTGTCAACTACATGAGACTTCTCACACTTAGTTTTTTCACTTTTATCGGGGGCTTTTGGGGCATTGTCATCTTCTGATGGGGCCATTTTTCAAGACCCGTCTAAACAAACTAAGACTGATCAACACAGGCACTTATTTTACGAAGCACATTTCTCCGTCTGTTAGGTTCAACACTCCACTAAGCAATATATACAGATTTGTTTGTACACAGTTTTATTTAAATCAAGTATTTTACGTCCAAACACCACATTTTCGCAGTCCGCCATTACCAAATTACCATTTACACACTTTGGAAATCATTTGTCAAAAATATGAAACATCAAGCAATGTTGCCGAACTGAAACAGGCGAAATCGGTAGACAATGTCCTGGAGAATCAGGGACAAAATCGGTAGAAAGAAAAAATCAGCGCCGTCACAAGATCAGCGATTGATCAAGGGACTTTACGTCACGTAGCTCCCTTTATGAAAAAAATAAATTTTTGTATCGCGCCCCTACACAGCACATGTTTTTTGAGAACATCTGTCCCTGAAAAAATATTAAGTTCTTTAATACAATTTGTTCAATGAGCATAGTAGTCGCTTTTCATACTCCTTTGCAACCATCATTGAAACTCCTTTTGCTATTCTTGTTTAAAAGATTCTGAATATTTTTCTGTCTTACCCTTAAGCCTTAAGGCGCAATTCCACTGAGGCAACAATGAACGACATGTGGCATGCTACTTGTTTCCTAGTGTTGCCTCTTATTGACGTTCGACACTGTTGCCCAAAATTCTATTAATGACGCATGCGGATTTTGTTCCCCTATGTGGCTTTGTGTTGCCTCTATGGAAAGACAGTGTGCCGTATGCGGCAATGCCGTATGCTACATGTTGCCCAAAAGTTGGCTCGGTGGAATTGCGCCTTTAGACATTTAAATTTAGTATTAAATTAAATACAGACAGATTTCCTTGTTGTTTGTTCGGTGATGCGGCAAATACGGTAGTCTACCAATCTAGTCTGAACCTGTTGTATGCACAATAGCACAATAACCAATATAAGGAAAGCAGAATAAGAGATGTGGGTACATAATTATAGGCAATCCAAATCTACGTCCCTCCGTGTCCCCAACTATCTAAGTGTACGCTACATGACTCGTATGGGGCAATAAATTAGTCCAGCTCTTTTTCGGTAAAAAATCTGGAAGTATTTGAATTATACTAAGTGACATATAAATCCGAAATGGTTTTATTTTAATAAAATTTTGTATAAGTACTTAATGAAGCATAATAAGTAAATGATAAAAATTCAAAATGATTGCACTGCTTTAAAGCCCTTTGAACTTTAATAATGTGTGGATGCACCCTGATGTGCTACGCATTCTCCAACGCGCCTAGGCATGCTTCTGATCAGGTGGTCAATGTCCTCCTGTGGTATCTCATTCCAGGCAACCACCAACTCCTCTCGAAGTGCTTCTAGAGTCTGAGGAGGACGTTGCAAATTGAGCAATCTCCTACCCATCATATCCCACACGTGCTCAATTGGGGATAAGTCGGAAGATCTTGGTGGCCATGGTAACAATGTGACATCATTATGTTGAAAGAAGTCTATTGTGACTCTTGCAACATGTGGTCGGGCATTATCTTGTTGGAAAGTTGGATCTGCCAGGGTGTCAAGATAGGGTAACAGATGGGGTTCTAGAACTTCGTGGATATAACGCTGCGCGTTCATGTTACCTCTGATGAAGATTAAAGGTGACCTGGAACCATAAGCTATAGCACCCCAAACCATAACTCCAACAGTGTGATGAACATGTCTTTCAACAAAAGCTGTGGATTCCTCCTTTCACCACGTCGCCTTCTAACCCTGGCACGACCATCGTGCATGCCTAAACAAAATCGAGACTCGTCACTAAAGACAATACTGTTCCATTCCTGATCCCAGAGTGACCGTTGTCTGCACCACTCAAGGCGATTACGTCGGTGTTCTCGAGTTAAAGGGAGGACCAGTGTGACCGGTATGAAAACAAGCCAAAACTTCTCATTCGTCGGTAAACACTTCGCATGCCAATAGGTCTTCCGTGTTCTGCAAACCATTCATTTGCAATGGACCTGGTAGTGGAGAAACGGTCCCTTAAGGCCAATAATCTTAGGGGGCGATCTTCACGGTCTGTTGTTCTACGGCGTCCAGTGCCCCTTGCTCTTTGCGTACGGTCTTCTCGAAGCCATGCCTGACAACACCTAACCATAGTGTCTACACTTCTTTGCACTCTAACTGCAATTGCCCGAAAAGAAAGTCCAGCTTTCCGAAGTCACACTATACGGCCCCTATCAAACTCACTAAGTTGACGAAATCGTACAGGTCTCCGTACTCTAGGCATCGTAACCGATCGTAAAGGATGTCAAGAACCAAAATCCGCCAACGTTGATTCTTTACTGCGGCTGAAATATTCATTTTTAGAGCGTTAGTGAATTAAAAAAAAAGCAGCATAAAAACCGGAATGTCCAACTGATAAGGCGGAAAATTTTTTCACTTGTTATTTACAGTAAGATAAATACATTCACCAACTTTTATTAAAATAAAACCATTTAAACTGGGTGTTCGGATTTATATGTCACTTAGTATATTTTAAAAAATCGTGTAAAATGTTTTCTATATTTGGGTCTCATTTCGGTAGAAATTCCAAAAAATTGGTAGATTTGGCAACACTGCACTCAATCAGATAAGCACAAAACTTACAAGTGTCAATGGGCAGAGAATCAAAATAGAAAGATAGAAAATATATATGCGAAACAGAGGAAAACAGGTATTGCTGTCTGTATCGGGAAACTTGCAAGCGAGCTATGCGAACATTCACCATACATAAACAAATGACTTCACACAGAATCATACCTGCGTTGATTGGTTATTAGCAAGCAAAAAATAATTTCTAATAAACTGGCAGATTAACGAACTGTTAATAAAATGATGTCATGTATCACTGATATTTACTGGAGAAACTTAATAAGAGAGACAGTTCCAAAGAAATGATTCTCAACAGCCTTGAGGCCATGACGAATTAATTTACTGACCAATCCCCCAAGCTTGACTGGCCGAATCAAGCCACATACTCTGAAAACCAAATTTGTCTTAAGGTTTGAGCTCAATGTGTACGAGAGAGAAGTGTGTATAGACACATATGTTAGAAAGAGATAGAAGCCGGCTGGTTTCCACCTCGACGATCATAGACGAGCGATTTTGGTTAGTACCCACTTAGCGCTCATTGGGGAGTGTCTTCCTGCTTCGAAATGGTTTTCATCTGCGTAATCGCAGGCAGTGATAATTTGTAATGCGTAATGGTATTTGTTACATTTTTCGTCCGCTCGCTGTCATAAAATGTAACAATAATTCAGGATGTGTTGATTTTGTCACCATTGCTGGAAATCAAAAATAATTCTAAAATAAATTCTCGCTCTTCTCTCTGGTACACATTGAACCAAGCCATCAAACAAACTTTGTTTTCTCTGTATATGTTAAAAATTCATCTTTATGTACGACGTTTCGGTGCCAAAACGTTCAAGTGACATTTGTGCAAATACATTTTGTTTATCTGTCTTCCAGGTGACACTTCGTTTATTTTTTCTTTCATTTACACATTAGGATCTATACAGGGTGTTACAAAGAAACTGTCACCTGAAAGACAGATACACCAAACATATTGTCAAAAGTGTTAATTGTAGTTGAAAAAAGCCACTGTTGGGACTGAAAGGTTGTAATCTGATTCAGTGGGACCGACAAGCGGAATTATCAGCATGAAAACCACAGGATACAATCTAGATGTTACATTGCTGATCAATATTACTCTTTCATACAATCTTAATATATGGTCGGACAAAAATCCAGTTCTATGTATTTCCCCACACAAATTTTCCATTCTACAAGTCTGTTAGTCTATGGACCTTTGCGTTTTATAGTTGGGATTGAAAGTTAGCGTAGGCAACCAGTTATACATCTGTGACGCAGTGGCAGATAAATACAAAATCAAAGCATCAATATTCTAACAGCTAATCTCATTTGATAGCATTTTATTTATGGAATTAGACTAATAAACTGGTAAAAGTCTATCAGTATAATCGTGCAGCAAAATCAGTATTTCGAACACGATGGCGGAGGAGAATATTTTTATGTTTGTGCCAAACATTATTGGTGAGTAATTTGTTGGGAATGTATGAATTTTATTTAACTTTCATCACTACAATGGAAAATTGTTTTTCCAGGATATGCAAGGATAATCCTGCTGATAATATCCTTTTATTTCATGCCAACTAATTATATTATTGCAACATCTTGCTATGTGGTCTCGGCTCTTCTTGACGCATTTGATGGCCATGCTGCTCGGTAAGATATCCAATAATAATAAATAATTTTAATTTAAGTACATACTCGACAAATAGCCCCACTGTGGACTTGAGCTACTCCTTGTGGTTCTCCCATAAATAAGGCAAAAACTGAGTTAAATGGATATGGAATCTCAGGAATAATATAATTGTAGCACAATGCAACATTATTTCAAAGACTGATAGGTCATATAATAATAATTCTTGCCACAGAAATTATTATTTTGTCAGAAATTATCATGCTTCAATTTTGTTCATGCACTTATTTGTTTCTATATTTGCCTAAAAGCCACTATAAGTACCCATGTGAATACCTGAAATAAAAATTACTTATCAATTATACGGGTTAACAAACCAGATTTCCTCTCATTTTTTTTATCCTCTTTCTACCTAATTTGTGTGTTATCTTCACAAAGATTATCAAGTAAAGATATATGGAATTTAGTTACAGTCAGATGTATTTTTCATTACTCCGTTGCCAGGACAGTTATTAACTGTAAAATAAATGCTGCCTTAGCTAAACCCTTTATCCTATGATATTTTTAATGACAACATATTTTCGACTATTACAGACTCAAGACTGGTATATTTTCAATTTGTCTTAAGCACATAACAGTGAATCTACTGCTACAAGATATTTTACAAGGTTTACTAACCAGTTTACAAAATACTCTTACAACGTAATAATTATTTTCCACATATAAAGATTTGACAATGTACCTATGACTACATTAATATAGTTAAAATTTTAATACACTTTTCTCTAGGATGTTTAATCAGAGCACAAAGTTTGGAGGTATGCTGGATCAATTAACTGATAGATGTGGTACAATGGGTTTGGTTGCTGTCTTAGCCCATTTTTATCCAAAGTACATGTTCCTTTATTTGATGTCTATGTCAATTGACATTGCATGTCATTGGATATATCTCCATACGTAAGTTTTCAGTTTAACAGCTAATACAGTATTTACCAAATATTTTCTCTTGAAACATATTTTAATTTTGATTCTGAATACAAAAGTGTATTTATTATATTTCCTGACATAATATTATATAGTAGAGCATATAGGCTTTAAGCAAGAGCTATTATAATCAGTTATCAAACATTGTTGATATGCAGTTTTACTCAGAGCGCCAACGAAATGAGGCTCCCTGAACTGATATGTTCATTGCTGCAGTCTGGGAAATATTTTTTCCATGAAAAGCTCGAATAGTGCATTACTGGTTCAGGCCAAACCTACATCATTTTGATGTCATTGCACTATATGGAAAATTGTAAAAGATGTTTTGAAGGCATGGGAAGCATAGAGTCAATCTACGTACACCATTTTTTAGCTAGCAGTTGTAATCTTATTGGTCAAATTCGTATTCAAAATAAGACCATTGATTATTATAACAAATACCTGTTTATTATACAGAATATTTGATCTGCAATTTATATGTTAATAAACATACTAGTGATGGTTGTTCAAATCAATGTATTATTATATTTTTTTTCAGCACTGTACTCCAAGGGAAAACAAGCCATAAGTTCATAGATATGTCAGAAAATCCAATAATGAGTATCTACTACACCAATAGGACGGTCCTTTTTTTGATGTGTTTTGGGAATGAAGCATTCTATGCAAGCTTATATTTACTGTACTTCACTGAAGGACCTATCAGTAAGATATATTGTTTTTATGTTAAACATGTTGTAAAGTATCTAGTCACTGGTTTTTAGTTTGGCAGATTTAACTTTGGTAGATTCTTAGTCAAAATGTTTGAGGTAACCCATTGAAAGTAAATAGATATCTTTTATCATAATAGATGTTTATGTCAAATTATGATTTATTGTGATATTGTGTATTTTTCAGTTGCTGGTCTATCTCTCTTCAGAATAATACTCTACCTCTCAGCTCCAGTGGCTATAGTAAAATCTGGAATAACCCTGCTCCATCTTGTGGTAGCATCCAAGAATTTGGGTATCATAGATGTCAATGAAAGGAAGGATGCTTTGAAAAAGGCCAATTAAATATATTTATCTTAACACCTACTATGTACTTCACCATGTGATCTTCCCTGTAGATTATAGTATCTCAGTGTTAGAAAAGCAGATAATATGTACTTCCAAATACCAAAAGTACTATTGATGTACCTGTGTCATTCCTCTGGCATTTTGTGCGAGTTCCAAACTTGATATTTATCTTATTTGAGGTTATTGAATCTTTTTTGTTTTTTTTTAATAGTTTTTATGGATAATTCAAACCAAAGAAAAATATAGCAGTGTATTTTGTTATAAAGAATATAATTTATGCCTATACATGATATTTGTTTTAACACAGATTGTAAGTATATGGATTATGAATGATTAAATAAAAGTGTCAAAAACATGGAACCTGTACATTTCTTTACAAACTTAGTTTTCCTGTTTTAATCATTGCGCTCAGATCCCAAATAATTCAATGATGTTAGCATTTTGATACCAAGCTATAATGAGACACAATATTTTTTTCTTTGTTCATGATGATAAAATCACATAACACTATGTTTCAAACAATTTTTATTTCAAGCAAAAACAAACAGTTCAACCAAATATACAATGCTTAAAATAACTGGTGATTTTTTTTGGCCTATTGAGTTGTACAGAACAATAAATTGGTAACTAAAAAAAGAACAATTTGGATTTTGATAAAACTATTTAAGTAATTTATTTCAAAAAAGTTCCTTGATAATTGTGATAAACATGATACAGTCAAGGGATACATGCAAGAGCTCAAAAATAAATAAATAAAAAAAGATATCCACCAAAAGTACAAAAATACCATGAACAAAATTTTAAATACTGAAAAAATAAAATCACACATATCCAATTCTAATGTCTATGGACTTTAATGTGTACACCCTTTTCAAAATTCAAATCAGTTTTGGAAGGGTACACGACTTTTGTCTGTCCATTTTGATCTTCTGTTCTGACTTGCTGTATATCCAAGTCCTTGTCTAAGATTACCACCATTTCTCTTAGTAATGTATCCAAAACTTTTTTGCAAGCATGCTGAGAAATGGAACTAGTAACTTCCACAAATATTTTTGTCGTATTGACGTCGATCTAAAAACACCATTATCAATCAACACCTGTCAAAACATGTAGAAAGAGATTATATCCAGTGGCAAAGTTCACTTTTTGATTTAAGAAAAAAATATAAATGTAATTGAAATGTGAACTTTCCACTGGAATTTTTTCGTTTGGGATTCTTACTTTCGAGATATCTGAATTTGTTAGGGGCGGGAATGAAATGACCTCATTGTTTCCATTCAACAAGCAAGGATACTGTACTTTTCCTTCAATCAAGTATAAGTACTTGTGGATTCCACTGTAGACATTTCTTTTTTTCTCCTTCCTCAGATTGTTAGCTTCTGTTTGGAGTTTTCCAAATAATTCTGCGCCAGTTACCATGCCATTTTTGTTCAATGGTTTTATAACTAGTTCATTTGGAGGAGAAGTTGTGTAAACAAGATTTCCTGGAGGCTAAAACAATTTTTTTTCTATAATGCAGAAGATAAAATTCAAGTAGCTGTATAGCTGTAGAACCAAAGTTTGTTGATATATGGTTAATTATTGTGAATTAAAATTACATAACAATACGTGAAAAATTACCAGTTTGTTGAAATCATGTGTTGCAATTGTTGCAAAATTTCTTTTTTCACAAACTGTGTCATGTAATTTGTTTTGTAGTTGTATGAATTTTTTGAAGGTATCCTCAGAGAAATTCACGCCATTCACTATACATGCTGCTATGTGGTCTCTAATGTTTGCAACAGAATCATTGATTACAATCTGAAAATATCAAGTATTTAAAAAAACTGTTGGTCAATAGTTTAATAGTAGTGAAATATGGGACATTCAGTTAAAAAAATGGACAGATTTTGAGATATTTTTAAATGAAATGTTTCATGTTATGAATATGCAATAAAATTCAACCAGTTTGAAAAAGTAAGACAGATTTTTTTCACCCTCATTCTGTTCAAAAACTGGCGCCCAGCTATCATCTTGAAATTTTCAACTGCCACTTTTAGGCTGAAATACTGCAATCATACATCAATTTCATCACCCCACATTCCAGCTTGCTTACTCGACCAATTAAAAAAATAAGCAGGTAGGAGAAATTTTTGAAAAGCATTTAGAATCTCCAGAGGCCATAGCATAAAGAAGTTTTTCTCTTACAAATCTGCCACAGTGACATGCAATTGCTGAGTTTTTCATACACCATTTTAGTTATTTTGTGCATGATATTACAAAAAAGAAATCATGGTTTCTTGTACACACTGCAGGCAATCTACTGTACATGCCAAGAAATCATCAGGCATAATGTTCCACAGGTAAGTATATTGTAAAAACGAAATAAAGCACCAATCTAGAACTTTCTCAATTGCTACATTGCTGTAATGTATACTTAAGCCAGACCTGTCAGTATGATATGTGTCATCTTTGGCTCTACCTATTGACACTTTTATATAGCCAAAAGAGATTCTAATGGTGTCTCTCCAGAATTATCTCAGTTCCCACATCAGATTAAAATATAAATATTGTTTGATACCTTGAAGGAGTTATCATATGATGTAACATTAATAGAATGCTTATATTCAACATGTGAGTCATCATCTTCCTCATCATCAGAACATTTCTTAGTGTTTTTCTTATCTTTAGCCTTTTTTTCTAAAATTGTTGTTTTTGGACAGTGCTGTTTGACATAATCCACTATTTGTTTAGTCCTGCACTGATCAATTAGTTTCAGCAGACGTCTGTCAGACACAGGGTTCGATTTCAGGTTGACTTCTGAAATTTTTAATTTTGTACGCACCTACCAGTCTTCAACAACTGCACAATATACAGTGAAATCGGTATACCTCTGATGACTAACTTAAAATGCAATATATTTTAACACAGTAATTGATTGGCAAAACATAGATCTAGCTGAACAACTCAAAGAATAGTTTATTTAGAAAAAGCTGTTAGGAGCCCCAGCTATTTGATGGTGACCTTGGCCTCCAAAGTCAAATCAATGCATTAACACAACCTTTACTACATTTAAATTAAAAATGTGTCCTTGATTACTAGCTAATCATATTAAAAGCTGCAAAAGTCAAAAACTAAAATGTTTAAAAATTGACACCCCACCATAAATTAAGAACTGAATAGGGGGATGATCCAAATTGACAGTGAAGTTATGGAAAAATAGGAATCTTACAGCGCTGCACATTAGAATGTCCAAATTGTAATAGAGATTGTATCAAAATTTATTCAAACACATTTGCCTCTAAATTTGGACCCATTGTTGGAAAATATGAATAACATTACAAGATGTAAATTATTATAAGGATGTTTGAAAAATTAATGAAAACAAGGAAACATGAAAAGATAGATTAGCCTTTATATTACCTGCAAAAGCTGTTTTTCAGAACCAGGTCTAAAAAACAATGAAAAAAGAAAAAACAATTTAACATGATCTTCAAATTATATTTAAGGTTAAACTCAAGGTGATATATAATTTTAACTGTGAGCGATAAATAAGCTGTTTTTTACTTCTTACTACAAAGTGACCCACCTTGTACACAGTGTGTAAAAGATAAAATACTTACCTTTCAGTTTCTGACAATCAACCAATTCTCCTGGGATTGATGTGATCTTATTTGTATTCAAATCCAACATTTTCAACTGATTTAGGTTACTGATAGTTACTGGTATTTCCTCAATTTCATTATGAGACAATTTTAGTTCAGATAAGTTACCAAAGTTCTCTGAGCAGATATTAGAAAAACTTTTCAACTTATTATTAGACAAATCTAACACTGTTAGCTTGGTAGTTTTTGTGAGACATGGAAAAGATTCTAACTTATTACCACTAAGATTTAATGTGACCAGCTGAGTGAGGCTATCAAGGCATTCTGGAGCAGTTTCAATGCAGTTCTGAGACAAGTCCAGAATTTTCAATTTTTCCAAACTTGAAATAGCTTCATTGATCTTTTCCAACTTGTTAGAATGCAGAAGCAGTGTCTGCAGGTTCTGCAAGCTTCCAAGTTTGTCAGGCAACTCAGAAAGGGTGGTTTCACTTATATTCAAGTAATTCAAATTTGTGAGCTCAAAAATAGCTCTGTCTAAGCCATCTTCATTGATTCTCTTGCTTATTTCTTTTCCTGTTAAGGCAAGTTCTCGTCTGTGTTCATTTTTAGCTTTTTCAACTTCTGGCCACATTTTTTAAACCGAGATAACGGTGACTCAAAGGAAGTAAAGACTATATCCGGATATGAGTACTCAATAATTTACAAAAAAATAAGTTTACAACACTGAAAAAGGTTCCAAAATATGATGCACACAAATAGTATGAGTATTGAAGAATCTTTACGAAGCGACAGTAAGTTTATAACGAAAATTTAAGAAAAATGGAATGTTTTAGCAGGCGTTTTTAAAAAGCACATTGGAAAATCAGTTATCACTGTCATACCAAACTGTCATAATACCAATCACAAAACTTGCCATTTGTCGTGTTCCTGTCAATTCCGTGAGTTTAGCCACCTGGTGGCTAATTAGACAACTAAAGTAATTAAAAAGTCCCTAACTTTTCTGGTGTCTTTTATTCTTTTGTCCCTAGAAATCAATGTTGGTAGCTGCTGAGGACTGTGGGAAATTGAATGGCGTTTAGCGTTTTTGGTGTGCGGTCTGTTTCCGACTAAAATTAAAATTATGCCGCGTTCGAAGAAAGTCGTAAGTCTATAATAGTGTCACTAAATATTTACAAGACGTAGACACTTTATTTTCGTTCGAATTAGTTGCCCTTTAGTTCTTGTGCATGCCTGTGAATGAATAAAAAAATGGTATGTCATTTTTTACATTAGCCCTTTACTTCTCCATTATCTGTTTATTTTTGCAATTTTCCTTGCTAATTCAACATAATATTGGTTGATTATACGCCTTAGAAGTAGATTCGGTACCAGAGATTATTGATTATATGCTTTTCTTGCTTTTTTCTTTTTTTTTGTGGGTGTGCAATCCGTTAAAAATTCATAACCAAAAAGTACAAAAAAACCACTTCTCGATTTTTGATTCAATGCTTAGTTAAGGGTTTACATTAGATCTTTGGCATTCTATAACGCTTCTAGAGCACGATCTACGGAATAAGGGCGTTGGTTTACGCCATTTTGCCTTAGAATAAAAAATTCAGGTCCCCATTGCTCAATCTTATGAATACTTTATGCTTCTTATTGACTTCAAAGTAAACACAGCTTCTTATCCTTAATCCCTATCTTGCACTTTTCACTGATTTCTAGTTTTAAGCCACTTGTGTCACACTATGGCCCCATTTTGCTCTTGTAGTGGGATCTGCCTCCTATTTTTATTTTGCTTTGTAGGAATTAACATATTTAAATTTATATTACAGAACTAAGATTTACTCTTACTATTTGTTGTTGCTAGTCTAAAAAAATGACGGACGAGGAAGAAAATATATCTGATAGTGATTTTGGCGAGGATGAAGATCCAGACAAAATTGAAGTCCCTGGTAAGCATTGTGAATAGGACCTTTACTGATTGTGTTTATAAGCATTTTGCTTCCTGAAGGATTACACAAACCGCAAAAAAAATTATCTCAAAACTCATTATTTTCGCCCAGATTCTATATTATTTTATACTCTCAACATATAATATTAAACATCTTTTTAAATAAAATTTTATAGGTGGTGGCAAAGATTTGGCAGCTGCTGCAGCAATCAAGGAGAATAAAGTAAAGCAAGAAATAGATGTAAAACCAGACTTGAAATTGCCTGGTCAGATGCCAATGAGTAGTTACAACACCAAATTGAGTGGCATGTATCCCAGTAGCTTTGATGCTATGATGAGGCAGCCACCAAGTAAGTAAATTATCACTTTTGTATAAGTGAAATTGAAATTGAATCTTTAATAAATAACATGTTTCTTAGAGGTATCATAATGGCATACCTATTTAGAAATAAAATAATCTAATAAAACTGACCATCTTGCAACCAAAAGGATTTGTGCTTCATCTATTGGTAAAATCCGATGTTTTTGGAATACTAATAAGAAAGTAAAGTTAATAAAAAAAGAACTGTGAAATCATTTTGCATATAATGATTCAATAGCAGGTGTTTATCTATGACCTATTCATTTTGTTTAGTATTATTGGGGCACTAGTTTAAAAGGGTTTAGTGTAAGGTGTGATCAACAGATGTATTTTAGAAATAATGGTTGTTATTTATACATTTATTTGATGTCAAAGACATTGGTCAGTAGGTGTTTTGGTTGACAAGTAAGGTAATGTTAGGATTATAATATTACTATTCTAGCTTAGAATCGTTTGATTTTTTGGGATCTCAGAACAAGGAACCTAGGAGGTTTATTATGAAAGGCTATGGGGTAGATTTGGAATTTGGTTATACTCATGTGTGTTTAAGAAAGCAATGTTAATGAAAAAAAAAAAAAAATTAATATCTTGGAGATAGGATGGAAAAATTATTTTATTTTTATTGGATACACCTTACAAACACCATTCAGTAATTACATGCAAGGAGGGGAGTACTGAACTAAATTCAAATCCCATTCACTCCATGTCAAAACAACAACCAGCATGCAAAGTTCAAATCTTGAAACTACACTACAAACAAAAGTTCCGTATGTGTTTTGTTGAAATATTTAACCATAAGTTTTTGTTGATATTGCCCTGTATTCAATGACAGGCTTATGTCCACCATATTTTCAATATATAGCTCCATCTCTAGGCTGTAGTAATCATAATAGCTGTAACTGCAAGTTTGATATGAATTAGGCCAATTAAACCATATTTGTCCAAACAATTGACCGACTAGAATGTTCAACATTTGCTGATCAGTAACACCACCATTCATTCATACACTGGAGCTGGTTTTTGTCAGTGCCACTGTATGTTCATGACATACAGTAATGGACAAAAGTATATAGACAAATATGAATATTTACCTAAATACCTTTAGAAAACAAATTCATATTTCATTGCTCCATAAACAAATGCATTATTAGTAGCAAAACTAAATTCCTGGTTTTTACATTATCTGCAATGAACACAAAACAAGTCTGAATATAAGCACTTTTTTATGAGGGACAAAAATATGTAGACAAATTCTTTTCAACATGTCAGAAGAGGATTAGTTTGTGTTCATCAAATATTGTGGAATCAGTGGAGTGATTTTAAGACCATGCCGCATGGTCCAGAAATTTCTTTTGATGTGAAAACTAAGATTATTGAGTTATACAAAGATGGTCAACATCAAGTCAACATTGCCAAAAATTTGAAGCTGAAGCGTAAAGCAGTTTGGGCAATATTGAACAAAAAGGTATCTTGGAAGCCTCCGAGAGAAGTAGTCGGCCTAGAAAGCTAAATGCTAGATCAGTTAGATTAATAAAAGTAATTTAGTTCAAAGATCCGTTTAAAACCCCAAGAAAAATGAAAGCCGAAATCGAGACAAAAGGTATTGTCAGTGTTTCTACGAAAACTATAAGTAGAAGATTAAATGATTTGAAGTTATTTGAACGTCGCCCGAGTAAGAAGCCGCTAATCTCGAGGAAAAACCGTAAGGACCGATTACAATTTGCACGGTTGCATCTTGATTGGAGCATCTGTGACTGGAAGAGGGTATGTTTCAGTGATGAATCCAAGTTCAATATGTTTGGATCAGATGGTGTTCATTACGTTAGACGTCCTAGTGGACAAAGATTGAACCCCAAGTACACTTTGCCCACTGTCAAACAGGGATGCAGGTCTGTTATGGTTTGGGGGTGCTTTTCGGGGTTTGGGACCTTTACATAGAATAGATGGCATTATGAATAAGTTTGTATACACAGACATACTAAAGCATGTCATGTTACCCTATATGGAAGACAACATGCCCTTAAGATCAATATTCCAGCAAGATAATGACCCGAAGCACACTTCAAATCTCGCAAAGAAATTCGTTCTGGATGAAAAAATACCAGTTCTCAAATGGCATTCACAGTCTCCCGATATAAACCCCATTGAAAATCTATGGGAATACTTAGATAAGCAAATACAAGATAAAAATTATTCAAACAAGGATGAACTTTTTGCTGCTTTAGAATAAAAGTGGAGACAGATTGATGAATCTTATATGAAGAAACTTCTACAATCTATGCCGAGACGATGCCAGGAGGTGATTGATAATAATTGTTATGCTACAAAATATTAACACAAACATGGTTGGTTTTCTATAATTCAATGAACTTTGCTTCTTTTTTCTATAATTGTTTTGCTTTGTCTATATATTTTTGTCCTTCATAGTTTCAGTTTTTTTCAATTAATTTTCTATTGAAGGGAGTCTAATGGATTTATTTATGTATAAATGAGTATTATGCTATAATGAAATATGTATACAGATTGGTGTATTAATAAAACAAGTTAAAAAAGAAATACAGCACAATATTAATTTGTCTATATACTTTTGTCCATTGATGTACATTTGATGTAGCTATTTTATTGGAGAATCCATGATGGGAAAGAAAGGAGAAAACAGGGTTACAATTACTTAAGCTAATGAGACAACTTTGTCTTGACATTTTCACATCACTTATATGTCATAGCCTACTAAGTGTTTCAAATGATTCTGAACACAGACTACTATTACACTACAGATAATGCACCTTGTATGCTTTTTAGTTCCATCTTTCGCAGCGCCATCTGAAGAAAGGGATCCTAACCAAGCCACCATAAGCCATAATTTCTATCCAGGAAATGACACTATTTTCAGTTTCATCTTCTCATACTCTTATTTCTTCTTCTATTCTCTAGTCAGTCTAGTCAGTCTTTTGATTTTGAGTACCTAAAAAGATAGATAAAAACTGCTGCTTATGAGCAAATGCTTTTTTGTGGCTTGCTGGACATGAAACATCATCATTTTGTGATGTAGCAGATAAATTTGATATATTATGTCCTTTATCCTATATAACAAGACGCTTAATCAAGTTTACAAACTTAATACATAAACATAGAATTTCATCTAGATGTCAAATACGATGCTGTCACTGTCAACTCATATGTATTCAGACAGAAAAGTGTGTTCTAGCAGAGTCATATTTGAAACTGTTTGAAACTAGTGTTTTGACAACGCATGCGCCTTGAAGGAGTTCACAATCGGGTGTCAAACCGTTGGAAATGTGATGCTAGAACATTACCTATATCCTAGTAAATGATACGTTTTTGCAATTTCAATACAGTTAGTATGGAACACTTTCTTCGGATGGCTCTCAAACGAGGGTATATAGTCATATGTATACTACTTGCACTCCTCCCTATACAACGGGTTAGTGAAATGTTAACAGTCAGCTGCAAGACCCAGCAGATTAATGTAGAGTTTATGAACTTTTGCCCTAACCGTCCGTAATTCTCAGTGGGCATGCCACCATACGGCGCAGGCGGCCCCGGTGGTGGTATGAACAGCATGGCCGCCATGGCGAGCATGCTGAGCAGCCTGGGTGCCGGCGGGGGCGGGCCGATGGGCGGCATGTTTGCGCCTCCCCAAGCGATGGGAGGCGGCGCTGCTGCAGCCGGAGGGCAGTCCGCCGCTGCCGCTTTCAACGCCGCGCAGTTCCTGCAGCAGAGTAAGTCTCCGCACTGCCAGCACGCACGCTATATAGCTACACTACACTCTGCCTCCTGTTTTTCGATGATTGTCCCGCTGTAAATTAACCTTTTCGTATGACAGCTTAAAAAAAAGTTTAATACAAAAGTTATAGGGTCTAATATAAGGCTACCATGCAATGCCTTTTGCTACAGGGCACCTCAGAAAAGCTCTACTGAATAAAGTTGTTCTTCAAATGGAAAGCCCTGTATATTTTCAGTAAATATGATAGCCAGTCTTTTACCAAACTAACTAAAATAAGTTTGATAAGAGGTCGAAATTAAAAAGGACATACTGGCCATCCAGGTGTGGTCTAAGAAATGGCACAAGTTACTCAATGCAAAAACATGCGCGATAGTTCATATTGGGAAGCGAAATCCTCATATAAACTATAGTATAGGGCAGGTAGAAATTGAAAATGTATAGTACCAGAAAGACCTAGGAGTTATAATAGTACTTAGTTTAAAATGGGAAGCTGACATTATTCTCATGCTGTGATAGAAAAACTATACAAGATGTACATTCGCCAAAAATTGAACATGCACAGAACCTAAGGAGTCCCTATTTTGTCAAAGACATTGAACTACTGGAAATATTGCAGCGTAAAATAACGCGAACTCAATTTGCCTTATCTACACTCACACTCACTGAGCCAAGATTACGAGGGAACCTGATTGAGACATTCAAAATCATAGTGACTGGTACTCAAGTACCCTTCAAATATTCAATATGAGTCAGAATCTTCATCTCCGAGGGAATACAAGAAAATTAGAAGAGAGGACATCTAAGCTGATAACGAGATATTTCGTTTCAAATCGTGTGATATACTCATGAAACTCTTTTATTGAAGAAAAGTGAGTGCAACAGCTGCCAATTTATTCAAAAATAAGCTGGATAAGGAACTAGAAGACAGCAGCATGTTTCGTGTATTATTCAACATAAAAAAGAGAATTTACACAACAGTGTCATCGCACTTTTCCGCTTACTGATGTAGTGCTAACAATGATGATAATAATAAACATCCTTAATATTGAAAATTTACACAGCGTATGGTCCATGTAAAAATAAACAAATTTTTCGTGTAACAGATATACCAAAACCTTGAGATAATCGAGATACTCATATGAAGTCCAGACAAAATATGAATGGGCTAGACCGGCCCAGCGTCCATCGTGAGATGGTATGAGGTATGACGGGCATTCCATTTAAAAATTTCATTACGAAAAAAATTATATTAGACCGTACAAATCTTGTATAATTTTTTTTCTAAATCATACAACGGCGTTAGACGCGTGATCAATTTATAGCGAGACACCCTATACGTTTTAAGCACAGTAATTAGCACTGAAGAGAAATTTTAATTCACAAGGAAAATCGAGTCCATCTACTTAACGCCAATTTTTCCACTTCTAAAGTTGGAGAAATTATTTATTATAACAGGGTTCCAATTATTATGTATCATCTGTCCAAGCTCAATCGTTTCGCCAAGGAGACTTTAGTTGTGTAGACGTTAAGAGAGAAATAATACAGGGTGTACCATGAATTCATTAACATTTATATTCGAATCTTTGTGTGGAGCTCTACAAAGCATGCGAAATGATGTTTCTGCTACCTTGATTTTGGAAAACTCTCACAACGTATCGCTTTACAGGCCGCAATCCGCGTTTTGTATGAAAAAAATTATGTAAACAATAACCGAGAGGCGGTTGCTTCGTGCAAAGTACGACTTGCACCGCGTAATTTTATCGCTGACTTTTCCTTCAATAAATAAATAGGTAAAGCAGTTCAAAAAGAATTGAGTCTCAAGAATTTTATTGAAAATTACGTTAGCAAAAAGATGTGAAAAAAAGTAAATTGCTGTTGTTTAACAAACATTGTACTGTAACAAAAGTATGAATATTTTCTAAATTTTGTCGACAACAGGAGGTCATACCCTGACTACTCATTTTGTGAGGCTGCTAAATATTTGTTAATATAGTAGCTAATGTAGCTAGTGCTATGAGAATGAGACCTTAATATGCAGTAGTTGCTTCCCACTACCCAGCATGATTTTTAGGCACAGAATTGAAGGATAAATTTCCGTAAATATGTTATAATAAGTTGACTATTATATTTCTGTAGGTACTAATGCCCGTTTAAACACCGGAGCATGTAGAATCTTAGTGATGTTATATCTCTAAAATCATGCTTTTTGTAAATAGAAGCATAGTATACGTATTTGCATGATTGCGAAAATGTGATCGATTCGATTAGGTTATTACTAGTGAGTAAATGCAATTTTCTACTAGTGGAAATGGCTGCTCTTGGTCTAAACAATCCATATGGAAACCCATTCATGCAAAATCTGGGATCGATGTTCTTCGGGATGCCTCCATGGGGTGGACAATTAAGCAACAAGGCTGTTCAGCAGATGTGGATGAATAACATGGATAGGCCTCATCAACATCAAGAGGAAGAAGAGGTATTACTGATAAAACAGTGTTTTTTCTTATACAGTGTCGGTATAAAAACTGAGTAGTTTTAACATACACAAGCTGAAAAAACTGTGTGTTCTCAAGGTATTAAGACTATTCAAATAGCATTTAAAGCTTAAACTGTATTACCAATAATTATTGATTATCCGAATTCGTGTGCTTCATAAACTATTAATGATGACCATATAGGTAGACGATGAAGAATTAGGTGTAGCAGAAACCTATGCAGACTACATGCCCAGCAAACTGAAGTTGGGCAAGAAACATCCTGATCCTGTGGTAGAAACAGCTTCTCTATCTTCAGTAGCGCCAGCTGACGTCTGGTACAAGTTGTCCATTCCAGATGACACAATCAAAGGTGGTCACTTGTCTGCCTTACAGTTAGAAAGTATTACTTATGCGTCGCAGGCGCACGAACATATCTTACCTGATGGATCTCGAGCTGGCTTCCTGATAGGTTAGTAGATGTACACAATGACGTATCTTTGATTTTCCTTGTAAAGCCACTGCCACTCAACTTATCCTAAGTAACAGTAGACGTATCAAAATATATTTTCACTAGTCTGTAGTTCTGATGAGTTGCTGACGAGCGCTATTTGCGGTTGGATATGGGTATAGAGATGGAAAGCAAATATGTTCATTTCAACTAGCAGATTCGCCAAATTTTGAACATGAATCGAGTATTCTCGGTCAGATGGTACTAACCGCGCTGTTACCAGATTTACCACTTTTGCGGAAACAACTCGTATTGTTTTAAATTTAAATCTAAAGGAACCGGCTGATCTGTCGCAACACGTGATTTTCTGACTCCCTTTCATTGGTTGAATCAGGAACGGCAACGGAAGAAATTTAGACAAAGATTACGGAATTCGTGTTTATAAATAGTTTAACTTCAAGCACTTGATTCAAGTGCTGCGTTACGGAAGGGGCACTAGAGAGTCAATATGCGCCAATAAAAAGTACAGCTCCAAAAATGGTGAATCTGGCAATAACACATTTACTGCTACCGCTAAAATTTTACAATGACATTACAGAAACTGTATAGCTACTACAAAATGAAATGTTGCGTCTCTTATTACCTCAACTATAGTAGTTTACCTCGGACCTTTTTTTTAATTTCATTTGGTAGATTGTAAAATTTTAAACACATGTAAATAGTGCTTTTTCCGTGGAAGATAAGCTATTATTGAATAATTAACATTGACTGTTCGAGTATCATAAACAGTTTGCACCTCAAGCTCAAAACATATGTTAATTAACGGTGCCACGTGATGTTTCAGGTGATGGAGCCGGAGTAGGAAAAGGTCGCACCATCGCCGGCATCATCTACGAAAACTACCTGAAAGGACGGAAGCGCGCCATCTGGGTGTCAGTCTCGAACGACTTGAAGTACGACGCCGAGCGCGACTTGCGAGACATCGGCGCCGGAAAGATCGAAGTGCACCCGCTGAACAAGTTCAAGTACGCCAAAATCTCATCCGCTGTGAATAATAATGTCAAGAAAGGCGTGATATTCAGCACGTATTCGGCGCTGATTGGAGAGAGTAATTCCGCTGGGGGGAAGTATAAGTCTAGGTTGAAGCAATTGTTGCAGTGGTGTGGACCTGACTTTGATGGGTTGATTGTTTTTGATGAATGTCACAGAGCGAAAAATTTGTGTCCTGTGGGGTCCTCGAAACCTACAAAGACAGGTAAGGACCCGGTTGCAATGGTATAACTTGTTTCGTTGTGAAGTAAGCTTCAAAGTCAAAATATAAAGCACTTTTGATGGCAAGATCAATTTTTTGATCGACACATAGCTTGCCAGAAATCTTGAATCACTATTTTACATTAAATACAGGGTGGCTGTATAATGTTATCCAAGATATCGAATGGTAGATTCAGCATGATAAAGTATAGAAAAATGTTCATATAAACATGTCCAGGAATTCGTTCCCATAATATATTTAAATTTTATCTTGATAGCTTTTGAAAACAGATTGAGATGTGTTTCAGCACAGTTTGCAAAAACCAGAAGTTCGCCAATTTTGGCCTAAAAAACGCGGTTAAAAATCGCTTCAAAACAAGGTTATTTCAAAATACTCTTCGGATTCTTCTGAAGCAAGGTTATAGCTTTTATTTAGATACTTGGCGACGTCAAAAAATATAATTGTTAACCGAGGTTTTGTGCACTGGATATACCAATTATTAAGGCTTTTCAGATACTAAATTGCTTATTACTCGAAAATGGTCAGCTTTAGAGAAAAATTAATGGATGCCTTTTATGTTCGGAATGATCCAAAAAATCCGAAAAAGATTTGGATGGGTAAAGAAATTGTAATTTATGCTTAAGAAATCGGTTGAAATTTCTAATTTTTGAGACTGCTACGTATCTAAATTAAAAGCTAAAACCTTACTCTACAAGACCTTGAAGAGTATTTTGAGATTAATTTATATTAAAGCGATGTAAACTTAAACTTTGCTTTTCTGGCCAAAACTGGCGACGTTTTGGTTTTCTCTGACTATACATGCGAATATACTATCGTGGTCACATTGTCATTATACAAAATTATTTTTTACAGCGCTTACATCAGTGCCGTTCGTACCGGCAAGTCCTTTGGCAAAAAATACTATACCACAGATTTCTACAAAAAAGGATAGTTGATCCGACACTGTTTTAACAAACGCACTGGAAAACTCCAAAAGATACTGCCCAGGCTCAGAATCAGTATGGCTTTGAGAAAACGGCAATTATTTTTGCTAAACTGGCGTACTCTTTGAAAAACGGATATGTTTAAACATCCCGAAAACGAGGATTTTTCAGGCCCATTTTTATATGAACTTTTTTTTTCATATTTTGACGTGCTGAATTTCTCTTTCAATCTTCTCGGCAACATTACGTAATAGTGATATTTATTCTCAGGTTTAACCGTTTTGGAATTGCAAAACAAGCTGCCAAAAGCTAGGGTTGTTTACGCGTCAGCGACGGGCGCTTCGGAGCCCAGAAATATGGCATATATGGTTAGGTTAGGGCTTTGGGGTGAAGGTACACCTTTCAAGGAGTTTGCGGACTTCATATCGGCTGTGGAAAAAAGGGGAGTAGGTGCAATGGAAATCGTTGCTATGGATATGAAATTAAGAGGTAACTATTGATTGAAGACATTCTAATTAGTTAACTTTGAAACTTAATTTTTACCAAAAGTTGGATATTTTGTAATCAACATCCTGAAAAATGATCATCAAACCAATTTCCTCATTATTAGCAACTTTTTCTGGAGGTTATTAGGCTTTTTTAAGAAGCGAGGAATCAAATACATCAAATTGAGTATGGAAGGTCTAATTTTACATCACTACTTCATAGTTTTTTTTAATATACGCGAATAAGTGAACCAGCAAATTTTTTTCAACCTGAGATGAAGGGACTTTTTGCCATCGAGAGTGAAAATTCAGTTGTAAAATCGTATCTATTATGCCAAGAACGAGAAAGCTTTGCCAGTGGCTGTGGAGAAAAAGGCTAAAAACTAAAAAAAAATCGCACAAACCTTGTTTTTTGGCGTTTCAGAGGAACCTGATCATTTTGGAAAGAAAATTTTTGTTAAAAAAAATGGTGGTGGGGGGCGGAGGGTATACATAAATTTGTTGATGTTAGTGCATTTATACGCTCCCAACTTTGGAATTCTACGCATCTATTACACATATTTAGCTGGCCTTGGTGAGTGTTCTGGTATTACACGTATTACTGCCGCGCCACAGCATAGTGTTTCCTGTGCTGCGACTGCGCTGCCACGTTTGATTGGGCTAGGTATCGGAGAGAACCGACGTTGCCAGATGGACTACCGGTAGAGCAGGGAAAGAATAAATGTGGAGTAATTTTATGGACCTGTTTGACTCACCTTTTCTCAGAGGGCCTAGTTTTTGCTGAACTGAATCCTTCATGATAACGCCGTTATTTTTTTGCTAGTTAGCCCGATGGGAAGTTAACCACTGATTTCATTTTTTCCTTAGGCATGTATATAGCGAGACAGTTAAGCTTCCATGGCGTGGCTTTCAAAATTGAAGAAGTTCCTTTATCCAAAGAATTCGAAAAAGTATACGATGCCAGCGTGCAGTTATGGGTAGAAGCTATGCAGAAGTTTCATGAAGCTGCCGAGCTAGTGGACGCTGAAAACCGGATGCGGAAAACCATGTGGGGACAGTTTTGGTCGGCGCATCAAAGGTTTGTGGACGTTTTAACATATTTCCTTAGTGCTCAAGCTGAAGTTTATCCATTAAAATTTTCAGAGTGATACTGAGTGTTTTTCGGGCAGCTGAAGCGCGTTAAAGTATGAAGAAACGTTCATACAAGGTGCGGCAGGATAACTTTCAGTCGATTGATGTAGCGGAGCGTTAGTGGTCTCGTTTGAGAGGCGGTAAAGTTTTGTACCACATAGTTCAGACGCCATCATTGTTGGAACAGTGAGTTGATCTTCAAAACTATGCAAACAAAACTTTTGGCATGCGTCTAAAAAACAAATAAAAATGTTCTTGTTAATACTATGGGCTTTATTAAGTTTTGAAAAAAAAGTAGTTATGTTGCCGCACCTTGTGAAATATAGATCTGGAAATACTTTGTTTCAATGAAGGTGACATTTAAACTTGCCTATCTTTGATCGTTCATGAAGGCAAATTGATATTCTGAGATGAATTTTGGGTACACTCAAAGTGATATCAGTTACAAAATTCTTCTACTATGCTGGGACTTTTTTTCTCCACGAGATATTCTTCAAGCAGAATCAATATAGTTTTAAGAAAACGACACCTGTGTATGGAACAAAAGGGGCGTACAATTTTTCGCTAAACAAAGTATTATGGACGGGGATTCTACGGACCCGATTTTTTTCATATTTCTACGCGCCGAGTTTGCCCTTTAATTCTCCATTCTGTAACACCTTGTATATACTTTCAGGTTTTTCAAGTATTTGTGTATAGCAGCCAAAGTACCACACGCTGTAGCTGTGGCGCGAGAGGCAATAAAGATGGGTAAATGTGTTGTAATAGGCTTACAAAGTACAGGAGAGGCCAGGACGTTGGAACAGCTTGAGAGGGATGACGGAGAATTATCAGATTTTGTATCGACAGCAAAAGGTAATGTTGCCAAAAAAATGGTTTCTGACAGTCCCTGATTTGTTCACAGTTATGTTTCTTCCTCTGCAATAATTAGAAATATGCTTTGAGAAGATTAGTGTCTCATAGATGGCGCTGCAGCCAACTATATACAGGATAGTTTACTGCGCACAAGCGACAACTTCAACAGTATATACAAACAAGACATATGACAGGGCAGTTCATGAAATCCCTTCCCAAATGAATCGTGAATATTTTTGTTCAATTCCTTTTTTACGTTTTCGGTACTGATTTATCGCAAATTAACTTTCAAACGTATTTGTCTCTAAAAAGGTAATCCCAACGTTCAGGAAACGTATTTACTCATATATGCTCTCGCGTTCCTTTTGACCAGCGAGCCAAAATGCCTGGGCAGGCAGCAACAAGCAGACAAAAGCGACGAGCGACTGCTCACGTATTTTTTTTTTGTCGGGGAGTTGAGTTTTTCATAGATTTAGGTTCAAAGAAACAGTGTATGCGTAGATCCGCAAAACAGTTGATTTTGTAACTTCCAGGTGTCTTCCAGACGTTGGTAGAAAAACATTTTCCAGCACCAGATAGAAATAGGATCCAGAGGTTATTAGGCCTAGAAAATCCATCAAATTCCAAGAAAACTGCTAACGGGAACGATGGTGCCGTCACATCTGGAAAACGAAAACCCGGTAAGATCAAAAAGTCTGCTGAACAAAACAATTTCTTTACTTTGAAAATAATCTCGAATACAAAAGATCTATGAAAGTTTTTTATGTCTATGCCATGTCATTTATGGCATATTCATTGCATAATTGAAAAAATATTTTCTGGCTATTTGGATTTACTTTTTAACATTTCGCCTACAAGAATGACCTTTGTTACTATGAACTTTAGCCACATCCAAGATTGCAACTAGGAAAGTTTCCCGGAACTTTTTTCTTTAATGATGGTTCCGGTGAAAATGGAAACAAGAATTGCAGAAAGTTTTTGTTGTATTTTCAGTAAGGCAGGCAGCTCAGAGGGCTGTAAAACGTAACAAATGGTCAACGTCAGACAGTGAAAATGACTCTATCAAAAGTGACGGTTCGACGTTCGAAATATCCGACAATGAAAGTGAGATTTCCGAAGAACATTCGGACTCGAACGCTAGCAGTGACTATAATCCATTTAATTCGGGTAGTGATTCGGACGACGATCCGTGGAATAGGAAAAAGAAAGGGAAGAAAAAGAAGAAGAGTCCCACCAAGCGTCCTTCCACGCAGGATAAGCTGTCTCTGTTGCTCTCTAAAAAGACAGGTAAAGTACTATAATTATTCTTCTTGAAATCACATGTTGATATAATAGCAGCAATCTAAGAAATGTTTTCCTATTATTATGATTGTATATATCTTTTGTTTACCTATTATTGGTACTGCCGTCATAAGCTAAATGAATATTTTAAAATACGGAGGCTTAGTTCATGATGGAGGTGTTATTGATATATCCAGGAATTTCAAAAACAAAGTATCAATAGGGATAAAAATCTTGGTTAGTATTTTATCCACTTGCTACTAAATTGTAAATTTTCAAATACTTCCAGTTTGCATCTCACTATATTTTCTCAAAATTTTTGCGTAATTACAATAATTGTTAGTTATTATCTTATTGCATACACATATTGCATCTTTTTTTTTTTTTTTTTTAGGAAAAATGAACGGCAATGGAAATCTGAAATCGACAGCACCGCCAATGGACGCGATAGAAAGAGCGTGCTGCATGAAGGAGGAACTACTAGCTGCGATAGAAAAATTAGGAGATAAATTACCACCAAATACATTAGATCAGTTGATTGACGAACTGGGAGGACCTGAAAATGTAGCTGAAATGACAGGTACTTCATTGGTACTTTCTCTGTGTGTTGTCAAAAATTTATTTTATTTAGAGGACATGTTTTTTATCTGGTCAGTCACATTTACGGATTTGCAGTATACAGAATTTTATCAGGAAGATTTCTCAGTGCGTAAAAATAAGGAAAAGTTCATCTAAGCAAGAGGCGAAAAGCCTATACTAACTAGGCCACCTTTGACCTTTTTGTCAACCGTTCTACAAACACACTGTACTATTCCAAACACTTATCTACTGGATTATTGAGTAAATCAGCTCCAGTGATGCAATATAGCTATTTGATCTTGCACCAATCTGACGCGTACATATATAGAAAAATATCCGGTTTTCCAATAGGGACTTGACAACTTTGAACTTTCACCGTGAACGCACCTTTAAATCAATTACCGAACTGTCAATGTCAACACATTCAGTAAAGAAATCACTTTCATCATGGCGAAGTACACGAACGAACAACGCTTACAAATAATTAAAATTTACCGAAATTTTGAGTCGGTGGCTGCAACTTTAAGAGCGTTACGCCAATTTTTGGTCGTAATTCTCGTCCCAGCAGACAAGCAATTCATAGTCTGGATGTTCCCATGCCAGTGAGACAACGGGTTGGTCGAACTGCCGAGAGTATTGCTGCAGTTCAAGCTTCCGTCGCAGATAAGATCAAGTTAACTCAAAAACTGAAGCCGTTCGATCATATGAACCGACGTACGTTCTCCAATTGGGCTCTAGAAATGTTGCAAGAAAATGACCAATTTCGTCGCAATCATCTTCAGTGATGTTGCGCATTTTTGGCTGAACGGCTTCGTTGTCCTACGAACGTGCCCGTGGTGGACATACGAATGATGTCGAATTCCTTACAAAATTGTTTTGAGTAGGCTTCAATCCAATGATAAAATTTTCGAGATATCTCAAACGGTTTGCGTTTTATTTAAAAAGAAAGTTGGCAAGTCCTTAACGGGAAACCCTAACCTACATCAACTGTTTTCAGGTCGAAAAGGTCGTGTAGTGTCAACAGAAGATGGCGGCATCCAATACGAAAGCCGATCCGAAGCGGACGTGCCCCTAGAAACGCTGAACCTGACTGAAAAACAGCGCTTCATGGACGGCGAAAAGGACGTAGCGATCATCTCAGAAGCGGCATCTAGCGGTATTTCGCTGCAGAGCGACCGAAGGGTGAAAAACCAGCGACGGAGGGTGCACATCACGCTGGAGTTGCCGTGGTCGGCAGACAGGGCGATACAACAGTTCGGCAGGACGCATAGGAGTAATCAAGTGAATGCGCCCGAGTATATCTTCTTGATATCGGATTTGGCGGGGGAGAGGAGATTCGCGTCCATCGTTGCTAAAAGGTTAGTGGATACTATTCTTAATGACAGAGATAACTTAAAACTAAAATGTAACGATTAAATATGTTTGTCTTAAGTATTTTGCAAAAAAGGATGGGTTACGTTTCTTCTAAACAAATTCAAACGTTTCGTATCTGTGAGTAAAAAGATGATAGACACATACGCTTTGTTTTAAAATGTGTATAGTAACGCATGTTTTTCAAATATGGTAGCGCATCATCAGTTAAATCACTCACGAATACGAATTTGTTTAGAAGAAAAATCGTAAATCTGTTTTTTGCATAGAAATAACATTCATCTTTCGGAATGGTTTGTGATTCATATCGGCAAAGTAAACACGTGTATGTATTTTTCTACTAAGTGGTCTTTGAATGAACCCTGTATATTGTTCAATAAAATACATAGTCGTGCCATAAGTTCTGTCCCATGATAATCTCATGATAAAAATGAAACAAGATAAGATATATTTATATGAAAGATATTATTTATTCGACAACATTTTTAGAATTCATAATCAAACAGTTTTATTCAAAATGTCCCCCCTTGGCCTTCACACACTGCTTCAATCTCGCGGGCCACTCATCTATCACTGCACGCACAGCTTCCAAAGGAATAGCTGCCGCTGATCGGATCAAATCCGCTTTCAGGGACTCGATATTACGGTGGGCTTTGGAGCAGGCCAACTGCTCTAGCAGGTCCCACAACTTGTAGTCTAAAGGATTGAGGTCCGGACTCCCTGAGGGCCAATCTTCCGCAGCAATGAACTCTGGCACATTGCTTTCCAGCCAGCGCTGCGTACTCTTAGCCTTGTGAGCGGGGGCGGAATCCTGCTGGTAGACCCAGTGTTGGTTGGCAAACAATGTACCACTTAAAGGCTTGACGATAGGATCCAGTATGTCGCTCTGATAGTTTGCCGCTTTTGTTTTCACGCCCTGTTTACAGAAATGGAGCTGAGTGACCCCTTCGTAGGACACCCCCCCACCAAACCATGACTGACGCAGGGTGGTGGCCTCTCTCAACTCTCGGAATGATCTCCGAAGCTTCCTGTGAACTCCTTGCATACACTTTGTCATTTTGTCGGTTGAATTTTTCTTCTATGGTGAAGATTTTCTCATCCGTGAACAAAATCTTTCGGAATCCCCCAGCTGCGTACCTCTCCAAGAGCTTCTTGGATCTTGTCGCCCTGATGTGTCGCAAGGTGGCCGTAAGTCGCTGGCCCGTACGTCTCCGGTAAGCCCCTAGCCCTAGGTCTTGTTTAATGATGCGCGACATCGTCCGGACAGGAATCTTCATTTCCCTGGATAGGATCTTCTGCTTCCGGAGTGGATTCCTTTGAATCCTGGCTTTTACGGCTTTGATGGCTGCTGGAGTCCTTACTTGACGAGGTCTTCCGCTTCTTGGCCTGTCATCAACAGAGGACGTCTCATTGTACCGCTGAATGGTCCTAGACACAAATTTACGCGATATTTGAAGGCCGCGTAAGAGTTCAAAAATCTGACTAGCACTGTGATTACACTTATGTAAAGCTATCACTGCAATACGGTTCTCTGCCTTGCCCCACTCCATCGTTATGCTTCGAGAGATCAATACAAACTGAGGTATATGGAATTACCCGAAAAGCGCTTAATCAACTGACACCACAATGTAAACAATCGGACAAGTATTAACAGGTCTACACTTGTTTGAAAACGTGGGACAGAACTTATGGCATGACTATGTAGTAATGATGGCCGGAAAACAGGTGTCTTGACCAATATAATTCAATTTTGTTGTTGTTATTTAGAAGTATGAATCCTACTGATTTGAAGAATTTCAAGGAGTTGCGAGAAAATTATCAACAAGTGCCAAAAACTGCATCTTGCCTCGTTTTTCGACCATAACATTTTTGCTATTAGTCGGATCTTTTGACGTGTGATCTCATTTTGTAGTTCTCATAAATCCCTAAAAATCTTATATGAAAAGTTTTTTCGTTCCTGTCAACACTTTCGATTGAATCCCAAAAAACACGTTTTCTCATTCTTTGTTGTCAAATAAAAAGTTTTCCCACAAAAATTGGTGTAGCCATTTTATGCGTCCATGTTTTGAATACCCCCTTGCACCAATAAAACCAGACTTTACAATTATTTCGGGGAAATTTGCTAATATGATTAGACTAGTAATGATTATTCAATTCTATGTAATGTGGCAAAAGATGATTTTTTATTTTAAACTAAATATCATATGAAATTCTTTATAGTCAACCACTGCAATTCTTGTAACATTGATTTTACTTTAGTGTACCTATTTTTATTCAATGTTCATCTACTAGCTTAACAAAAAAATATTTGGTTTTTACTTATTATAATCATTTCATTTCCAGACTGGAATCGCTGGGAGCCCTGACGCACGGCGACCGACGCGCCACAGAAACGCGCGACCTCAGCCAGTTCAACATAGACAACAAGTACGGCCGCAGCGCTTTGGAAGCGACCATGAAGGCCGTCATGGGGTACGAACAGCCGGTGGTACCGCCGCCCCGCGACTACAAGGGCGACTTTTTCAAGGACGTGGCGGGGGCGCTCGTCGGCGTAGGGTTGATCGTCAACAGCGAGTCGATGCCGGGTGTGCTGTCGCTGGATAAGGATTATAATAATATGTCCAAGTTTTTGAATAGGATACTCGGGATGCCGGTTGAGTTGCAGAATCGACTGTTTAGGTGAGTGAAGAAACAATAATTAAATTAGTCATTTTTTAAACCTCTCAAGTCATTTTCTGGCCGACTTGTTTTTTCTGCAAAGGTTTTTTAAAGTTATATGCGTATTCTGGATATAAACCATGCGAGTTATTATGTTCCTTCCTCTTCATATAATAGCGCGTATAAAAAACCATAGTAATTTTTCCTATTACTAATCTCAAGTTTTGTTTTTAGGTACTTCACTGATACTTTAGCTGCTATAATTACTTCAGCTAAGCGGTCAGGAAGGTTTGATTTAGGTAAGTGTTTCGCAAAAGTATTTCAATCTATGTTTTCATTATATTACAACATAGCAAAAAAACACTTGAATGTCTTGAAACATACACGTATCGTGGCCTTCACAGCTTTGAACAATCAGCTTTGTGATGCTGTAGTGTTCTCTAAAATGCAAATACATAAAAAAGAAGTGAAACCGTACTACTGGTAGTTCTTTTAATTTTCAGGCATTTTGGATCTCGGCGCTGGAGGCGAGGTCGTAAACAGAGTACGCACGGTAACGTTCCTTAGAAAGCACGCCACTGGCACAGCCCCTACAGAACTGCACACGGTACACGTGGAAAGGGGCATGGCGTGGCCGGAAGCTCTGGAAAAATTTGCGGATCTCGTTGGAGAGGATGAAGGATTTTGGTTGTCACACCAGGTTTGTTAATGTTCTCCCAAACACTTATTTATTTTTTTTGTTTGTTTGTTTAAGATTCATTTAGCATGATTGCTACAATTACATAACATACAGATATTTAGGACAAATAAAATTTGCACCTCTAAGAATTTTCACTGTCCATGAAATATTCCTTTAATTTTCTTCTAAAACTCTTTAAATTACAAGTAGACTTATTTAGTTTATTAAATTCAAGTAATATTTTCTAAAATATTGATTTGCTAGTTATTAATTACTATTGCAATTTTGTAAATCAGAATCTATATTCCCTCTTGTATAATAATTGTGGTAATAATTATTCTATTATTTGTAGTGTTCTATAAATGTAGTGGCGAAAGATGATGTTTTGTTTTAAATATAAAAATAAAAACCAATTATGATATGAATTTTTTTATATTCAACCACTACAATTCTTGTAACATAGATTTTGTTTTGGTGTACTTATTTTTATTCAATATCATTCTCATAGCTTTATTTTGCAGGACTTGTAATTTTGAGAATACAGCTTCATTGGCAGTGAACAATATAGTAAATGCGGTAGAATAATTGTATTATAAACTATTTTCTTGGAGTATGTACCAAGACTATGAGCAGTCCTTTAAAAGTAATGTTTTTTTTTGCAATTTTTGAAATAATGTATCCATAGTGATCATCAAACTATCAATATATATTTACCTAAATATTCAACATTTTCAATTATTTCACCATTTATCCTAACTGTGATAGTATTTTCATTTAGGTATTTCCCTATTAGCATACATTTTGTTTTAGAAGTATTTAATTTAAGCTTATTTACATTTAACCAATTTATGAGTTTTTCCAAGTCAGAATTTAGAATTTTTAAAGTAGTGTCTATATTTTCATCTGATATGTATATTAATGTATCATATGCAAATATCTGAATTTTACAATAATCTAAAATATTACAAATGTGATTTCCTTTTCAGAGTCGGACAATAATAAGCAAATTTTTACATATAACAAGGCCTTAAGATTAAGTTGCCAAAAAGTCTAAATGGGCCAGACTGACTAGAGCATGCAATTCGATAATCAGTTATTTGTCGATTAATTTTGAAAAACGATAAATATTTAGAGAAAAAACAGTATCGATAATCCGTCAAAAACATGATTTATTTTTCACGACGACTGTCATGTGAATTTCGAAATTTCCGAACGATGCCGTACACCACCCGCCGCATTCTCTTGTCTTTCTGTCATTTGTTCATTGCAATGTGCGTGCAACTTATAATAAAAAATCACTTGAAATTTATCACCATTAACCGTATAGCTAAAAAGGTTGTGTAGTAGGAAGAACAACACGTACTACACAGAAGTAACTGGAAGGCAAACGAATTCATGTTGTTAATAGTTGCTGCAAAAAATAGGATCAGAATTACTGATAAGGCGAACAATACTTTTAATTTCTAGAGATATGCTGTTGAAAAAGATATCAACAACCACAAATGCATAAAATATCGACGTTCTTATGTCCGTATAAATAATTAACGAATTTATTTGATTTTTTTTTCATTTTAGAAATGCAAAATGAATATAATGCATTTTTCAGTGTAATCGTGGTTTATTTTGGGCTGTAAATAGAACCCCTTTCCCAAGAGTATACGTAAAATGTCAGTATTTATAGAAAACCGATTTTAATAAAAATACATTTTTTTTAACTTCCTATGCCAAACTTTCGAAAATGATATATTACGGTTTTTGGATGTTATATGACATGTACATCACGAAAAACCATGTTACTAATTCCCGTCGGTCTATCTGTCAGTCTGTCTCTGTCTGGACCGCCTTAGGCACAGATTTGAATGATATATAAATTTTTTTTTGATGTTAGTTCATACGCTCTCAACTCTGTGCACCAATTAGCCACATTTCACACATCCTACATTTCCCCATACAATGTTACTTTTTAATAAAAAACTAAATATGGCAAATTGGTGATTATCTGGAATAAAAAATTAACCGCTTCGACATATTAAACATAAAAGGACTCATTTTCAAGGTATTTTCATTGACTACAATCTCCTTCTGAAGCAGTTTCACCAATACTTCATATGCATTTGACATAAATGAATATTTTAATGTAAAACAGTTTACATTATGTTTTTCTTATAGGTTAGGAACGGGAAGCATACATCCATATTGGCAGTGGCGGTAGATAGTGGAAGCAATACAGCGACGAAAAATAAGAAAGAAAGCAAAAAGGAGAAAATGTTTTCAGTATACAGACCAAACACAGGCTTGCAGTTTAGACAAGAAAGTTTGGCGGAATTGGAGAAAAAGTACAAAAAGGTAAGTTGAATGCATATTGGAAAACACCTGCGTAGTAGCTGTCCAATCATTCTAGTAGAGAAGTTTCTTGTTTAACATGAAATATTTTAATCAAAACTTTCCCAACACATTTTAAGAACGACATTTCTTCCTTAAAACTTACGTATTCTTTCCGGTATTGTATGCCTGACCCTTTCAGAAAAAACTTTCAAGTGGTAACGCAGAACGATTTTCGTTTGCTGAATAAGGAATATTCACGATCACTTGTATTTTCCCAAAATATCATAAAATGTACATATCTTGTTTTTTCTGAATTCAATTGTAGCTCACTTTTTTGAATTTGCTAATTATGTCCCCAGATGGAGTCATCAGCATATACAGTAGCGGATAAAAGATTGGAAACATTCTTAGTAATTTTTAAAAACTGCGCTAATCTTTCATTATTTATTATTGACTATTTTTTTTCTCATATAGTTTGCTTACAGTATGCTGTGGTACTACAGACTAGCATTGAAATACCTTCATATTATTTTATAACCAAAAATGCGACGACAAAAGTATAGAAACTTATTTTTTATTACAAAATTAAGTACAATAACTCTACAAAAAGATTTAAAAAATACTATTTAGCTAATATTTGGTAGCATAGCCTTTAGCATTCAACACTGCCTGACATCTGCTGCTCATAGAAGACACCAATTTTTTACAAACGCCTGTTGGGATATTTTGCCAAATATTTTTTACATAATCAAATAAATCGTTCCTATTCTACGAAATGTAAGAACAGTTTTGTCTTAACCAGTCCTTTACGAATTTTGAGGTATGTTTGGGGTCATTATCTTGCTGGAATGTGCATCGTAATGGCATTTCTTCTTCAACCAAAAAGGGCACTAATAATATCTTTGTTTTTGATCCATTTTCCCAACAATTTTAACAATTGGACCCGTTTCAGAACTAGAAAAACAGCCCCAAACCATGATGTTGCCTCCACCGTGCTTAACTCTTGGTAACTGATACTTTTTGGCGAACCTTTTAAAGAGGGTTTTTTAATATCCTGAAAATACTGAATATCTGACATTGGCTATTTTGAAAAAAAAACTTTCAGTTGATCTAGTAACGCATATTCTATAATTTTCGAGATCCCTGCATCATATATATTTGTCTAAAATTTTAAAGACTGTTCATATCTCCTAAAGAATCATATGAAAGATCCACTTCTTTGCCGAGCCATTCTATACTAAGTGACATATAAATCCGAACACCCAGTTTAAATGGTTTTATTTTAATAAAATTTTGTACTTAATGAAACATAATAAGTAAATGATAAAAATTTCAAAATGATTGCACTGCTTTAAAGCCCTTTGACCTTTAATAATGTGTGGATGCACCCTGATGTGCTACGCATTCTCCAACGCGCCTAGGCATGCTTCTGATCAGGTGGTCAATGTCCTCCTGTAGTATCTCATTCCAGGCAACCACCAACTCCTCTCGAAGTGCTTCTAGAGTCTGAGGAGGACGTTGCAAATTGAGCAATCTCCTACCCATCATATCCCACACGTGCTCAATTGGGGATAAGTCGGGAGATCTTGGTGGCCATGGTAACAATGTGACATCATTATGTTGAAAGAAGTCTATTGTGACTCTTGCAACATGTGGTCGGGCATTATCTTGTTGGAAAGTTGGATCTGCCAGGGTGTCAAGATAGGGTTCTAGAACTTCGTGGATATAACGCTGCGCGTTCATGTTACCTCTGATGAAGATTAAAGGTGACCTGGAACCATAAGCTATAGGACCCCAAACCATAACTCCAACAGTGTGATGAACATGTCTTTCAACAAAAAACTGTGGATTCCTCCTTTCACCACGTCGCCTTCTAACCCTGGCACGACCATCGTGCATGCCTAAACAAAATCGAGACTCGTCACTAAAGACAATACTGTTCCATTCCTGATCCCAGAGTGACCGTTGTCTGCACCACTCAAGGCGATTACGTCGGTGTTCTCGAGTTAAAGGGAGGACCCAGTGTGGCCGGTATGAAAACAAGCCAAAACTTCTCATTAGTCGGTAAACACTTCGCATGCCAATAGGTCTTCCGTGTTCTGCAAACCATTCATTTGCAGTGGACCTGGTAGTGGAGAAACGGTCCCGTAATGCCAATAATCTTAGGCGGCGATCTTCACGGTCTGTTGTTCTACGGCGGCGTCCACTGCTCCTTGCTCTTTGCGTACGGCCTTCTCGAAGCCATGCCTGACAACACCTAACCACAGTGTCTACACTTCTTTGCATTCTAACTGCAATTGCCCGAAAAGAAAGTCCAGCTTCCCGAAGTCCCACTATACGGCCCCTATCAAACTCACTAAGTTGACGAAATCGTACAGGTCTCCGTACTCTAGGCATCGTAACCGATCGTAAAGGATGTCAAGAACCAAAATCCGCCAACGTTGATTCTTTACTGCGGCTGAAATATTCATTTTTAGAGCGTTAGTGAATTAAAAAAAAGCAGTATAAAAACCGGAATGTCCAACTGATAAGGCTGAAAATTTTTTCACTTGTTATTTACAGTAAGATAAATACATTCACCAACTTTTATTAAAATAAAACCATTTAAACTGGGTGTTCGGATTTATATGTCACTTAGTATATCTATCTATCTATATTTTTCTTCCAGGTCGAGTCTTCGGAAGCCGAAGAATCGTGGACGCAACAATACGACGCGTCGGTGGCAACGTGTTCTCACGCGTATTGGCGCGGCAACTGCCGGAACGCTACGGCCGGTCACGAATGCGAAGTGGGACTACGCAGGCGCACGTACAACGTCGTTTCCGGTTCGGTGCTGTCCGTCTGGAGTCGCGTGGAGGGCGTGCTTGCGGCGCGAACCGGCGCGCACAACAAGATGCAGGTCGTTAGGTTGAGAACCAAGGACGACCTTAAGATTGTCGGTAAGATGATAGATAGGATAGATATGCTTCATTGTCTGAAGAACAAAGTCATTCTTAACGACAAAGCTAATTTTGCAATATAACAAACTAATGTGCATCTGAGGTAAATGTATTGTAGAACAAATACAAAGGGTACTATCAAAGTTTTGCAATACAGCTTTATTTATTGACTTCGTTGAAAGTAATTTCCACCACATTCAATGCACTTCCGTCAGACTATGCTGTACCCAGAGAGACCAAAGTTTCCTTCAGTGTGAATGGTCATGCAAAATTGAATGAATTGCTGGTGCATGAAGGTGTAAGGTCTCCTCTATCTGCTGGTATGTCACTGTCCGGTCTTCGTCAAGCGTTTTCCTCACAGCAGTATTTTCCTCTATTATTGACGTTCGTGGCATTCCTTCCCTCTCAGCGTCCTTCAGAGTGAAATTGCCCCTTTTTGATATCTCTGTACAACCTGAATATAGTCTTACGATCATTCTTTAATGCTGCTCTATGCTTAAACCCTTTGTACAAGGTTTAATATGCTTTATTTATTAGAACGTTTTTGAGTTCACGGTGGATTATCTTTTAATTGTTGACACTCTTAATAGCATTAAGGAGGCACATGTAAATTTCAGGTTCAGGTTTGCGCGGATTTTAGAGACGGCCATTTGTCTGATATTATTTCTCATACATAATTTCTAAGTTTCAATAAAAGATTAAGATGAAAAAAATGGGCGTATTTTATTTCATTTTACAAATATTCAAGACACAAACCAGTCAGTTATACATTTGGGCTACCCTGTACAATTGCATGTCTTAACTTACTTTTCACTATTTTCAGGTACACTTATTCCTAAAAATTGCGTAGAAGCCCTTGTAGAAGCGTTGTCGTCTGATGCCGAAAAGACAGAAGAGAAAACGTTTTAACCTGTAGAAAAAGTAGCTTGCAATGAGCTGAGGATATGAGATTATGGCGAAGAAGTTGACGACTTTTACCTCTTTTCATTGACCTTTTGTTATCTCTATTTTGTTTGAATGATTTTATGTCTTCAGTAGAAACAGATACAGGGCAAAATAGTATTGTACGGCATTTTTAAATGAGCGATGAAAATATCGTATTTGTGTAATTTACTACTGTAGAGAAAATTCCGAGTATTTTCTAAAAGAAAGGTCCGTGTAAAACACGCTCCCAGTATATACTTCAAAAAATCTGTGAAATAGTTATATTTAGGTATAATGTATTTATATATATACTTAAGTAGCAGTTTTAATCATTATTTCTTAAAGGTTTTTGTTGAAGTGTAAAGACCCGAGAGGAAAGACTTTGTCTTTTTTAAACTGGTTTGATTTATTTAAAACCATGTAATTATTTGATGTGTTCACAGTATAAAATAAAAAAAAATACAACCCAGTTATATCTTCTTCCTCAATTCCTAATCGCGTCTCGCTGTCCGCCTCATAAACGGATTCAAATTACCTAAATAATCGGAAGCAGAAGGTGGTGTCAAATGGAATCGTGTTGGATCAGGGATCAATCTTGGGTCCAGTACTAAATTGACCATTTCATGAAATGATCGAGCATTTCATGAAAGGTATCACCTGTTGGCTAGAACATGATGCGCCTTGACCAGATCACTGATAAATCATTTAACGATATGATCAATTAAACGCCCGGGGTGCTAAATGAAATGGTAGAGCATGTTCGATCAACATTTTTGTCTACATTTCAACAGGGTCGTTAATAACCAAGTGAAAATTCTAATAATCTTCTAAATGAGGAAGAAGTGAGATTGAGACCCGATTTTACTACTGACCCGCAAGAATAAAAAATTTGCGCCTTTGGTACTAATTGGTAAGGCATCTTTGAAGTAAGGGATCTAATGAATATGATCGATTTCTTGTAAAATGTCTCTCAAACTAGAGAAAAATATACGGCTTTAAATCAAGAAATACTTCATATATCTTAAGATTTAGTTACAAAAAAATATAATCATATTAGCAAATTTCCTCGAAATAATTTTAAAGTTCGTTCAAAGGCCATTTTATAGGGAAATATACGAATTTACCTTGCCGATATGTGGTATTCATGATTTGCCTTCGATGCTGCTTCAAGTAAAACTGTATGTGGAGCAAGTATTTAAGGATTGTATTAACATTACTTTTGACGAAGTAAGTAAAAGCCACACTATAATAATCACATATAAAGCACAACATTTCTAATTTTGTTCTAATTATACAAAATTCACTACACATTTTTTATGTATTTTATCACATTTTGTTCGGTTCTCAAGCTCGAGAACTGGTCCCTAATATCACACTTTTTTGGGGGCCAAATTTTTATCCTGAGGTTCCTTATCTTTCAAGGAGGATGCGACGTTTTTCACTAAGTACTCAACATCTTGTCTAAATTTCTCGGAGCAATTGAACTGTTGGGCGATTTCTTGCAACCTTTCCATTCCCTCTTTCATTTTTTGAATTTGATCCATCAAGGCGACAATATGGTCGCGATCTGTAAGTTAACAATTACATTTTTAGAAAAAAAAATCAACTGCAGTAACTGAAAAGAATTAACTTTTGGTTGTGCTATCAAGTGCCAAAAATCTACCGGGTGCGCCATCTTTTATGTAGGTATTGAAACATCGAATGATTGATATTTACCAACCGAGTGATTTGGGTATACGTGTTTCTGAAACGTCGATTTACTACAATTTTAGTCATGAATCGCTTTACACCGAAACAATGAGTTCGCTAAGAAAACGAATGTAGTTCACAAATTGGCTTTTTTATCTACCTACATACACTGAGAACCAAATTAGTCGGATGGCTTGTGTTCAATATGTTAGAAAGAGATAGAAGACGGCTGTATAGCGAAGCTCATGTCCACGTTGTCTGGCAACGCTGACGAGGCAATCTGCCGCGTCGCCAATATGTTACACCAATTCCTTGAATCAAGATGCATGTTGAAAACATGCGTTAGTTTATTATCTACGCCTAAATAATGGATTTAACTTGAGCGTACATATTTGCGAATTGTGTCGAATCTGTTTAGGATCGATTCCGCATCGGTCCTAATATCGCTCCATTTTAGGTCGAAATGAAAGGTCAGGATCGCCACAAATTCTGCAACATTGCATCATTGGTTGTCTTGGCAACACTACATCTCATACATTCCAATGCAAGGTTTCCACCTCCATGCTCATACATGAGTCACTACCCATCCAGCGCACATTGGTGAGTGTTGTTCTGGTTTGAAACGGTTTTCACCTGCGTACACGCAAGCAGTGATAATTTGTATTGCGTAATGATATACTAAGTGACATATAAATCCGAACACCCAGTTTAAATGGTTTTATTTTAATAAAATTTTGTATAAGTACTTAATGAAGCATAATAAGTAAATGATAAAAAGTTCAAAATGATTGCACTGCTTTAAAGCCCTTTGACCTTTAATAATGTGTGGATGCACCCTGATGTGCTACGCATTCTCCAACGCGCCTAGGCATGCTTCTGATCAGGTGGTCAATGTCCTCCTGTAGTATCTCATTCCAGGCAACCACCCATCATATCCCACACGTGCTCAATTGGGGATAAGTCGGGAGATCTTGGTGGCCATGGTAACAATGTGACAACATTATGTTGAAAGAAGTCTATTGTGACTTTTGCAACATGTGGTCGGGCATTATCTTGTTGGAAAGTTGGATCTGCCAGGGTGTCAAGATAGGGTAAAAGATGGGGTTCTAGAACTTCGTGGATATAACGCTGCGCGTTCATGTTACCTCTGATGAAGATTAAAGGTGACCTGGAACCATAAGCTATAGCACCCCAAACCATAACTCCAACAGTGTGATGAACATGTCTTTCAACAAAAAGCTGTGGATTCCTCCTTTCACCACGTCGCCTTCTAACCCTGGCACGACCATCGTGCATGCCTAAACAAAATCGAGACTCGTCACTAAAGACAATACTGTTCCATTCCTGATCCCAGAGTAACCGTTGTCTGCACCACTCAAGGCGATTACGTCGGTGTTCTCGAGTTAAAGGGAGGACCCAGTGTGGCCGGTATTAAAACAAGCCAAAACTTCTCATTCGTCGGTAAACACTTCGCATGCCAATAGGTCTTCCGTGTTCTGCAAACCATTCATTTGCAATGGACCTGGTAGTGGACAAACGGTCCCTTAAGGCCAATAATCTTTGGCGGCGATCTTCACGGTCTGTTGTTCTACGGCGGCGTCCAATGCCCCTTGCTCTTTGCGTACGGCCTTCTCGAAGCCATGCCTGACAACACCTAACCCAGTGTCTACACTTCTTTGCACTCTAACTGCAATTGCCCGAAAAGAAAGTCCAGCTTCCCGAAGTCCCACTATACGGCCCCTATCAAACTGACTAAGTTGACGAAATCGTACAGGTCTCCGTACTCTAGGCATCGTAACCGATCGTAAAGGATGTCAAGAACCAAAATCCGCCAACGTTGATTCTTTACTGCGGCTGAAATATTCATTTTTAGAGCGTTAGTGAATTAAAAAAAAGCAGTATAAAAACCGGAATTTCCAACTGATAAGGCTGAACATTTTTTCACTTGTTATTTACAGTAAGATAAATGCATCCACCAACTTTTATTAAAATAAAACCATTTAAACTGGGTGTTCGGATTTATATGTCACTTAGTATATTTGATATATTTTCCGATCGATCGCTGTCGTATTGTAGAATCCTGTGCGAACATTTTCTGGTGTAACATATTGGCAACACGGAACATTGCACGACCTTCAGCCAGCTTCTATCTCTTTCTAACATGTGTTGCTACACATTACTGGCGCTTCTCTCTCGTACACATTGAACTCAAGCCGTCAGACAAATTTAGTTTTCCCTGTATACCAACCCACACGCAAAAAACATAACCCTTTTTCTCAGGTAGTCGGGTAAAAAATGGCGACCTTATTAAAAAAAGAACTTTTTTATTATATAAATAGGTATGTGCACAACGTTACCTTTCTCCATCATTTTGGCATGTTTCTCCGGTAAACTAGACAGCAAGTCCTTAACGGTCATTCTATTATCTCCTTCTTCTCCTATCTTTTCTTCTGGAATTTGTTCCTCATTGGTAAAACTGGTACTCTCGCCAATCTTTCCGACCACTTGTTTGAATTCATCACTCATGTTCTCTTCATCTTTGCTCACTTTCGGTGCTATCTTTACGTCGGTTTTATGTTTACATGTTATTGTGTCACCTTTAAAAAACGTTGTGCTATCATTACCTATAACCTATACTATCGAAGAGTTGGTACATAACCGACACAAAAACTAAATGTGTCGAAGCGATGATTTACAAGATAAATGCTTTATCTGGATATATATCTGTTTAGACAACATAGGAGGGAGCCCCAAACATTTCATTTTTAGTCAAATTTGAATTTCGCGCCTCAAATTACGTTTTACACACGAAAAAGAAATGTTGCACTGAAAAGCCATGTAGTTATTTGACATATTATCATAAAACCCCACTTCCTCCCCGAGAGAATTTGCTACCCCCACTCCCCTTAACGTTTTTAAAATTATCCCTCGCCAATGATCGCCTCGCCTTAAAAATATTGTTGAGGGCGGCGTAAAAGCTAGAATAAATCCATATTATTCCATAGGCAGCAGCGGTGGCCGCAGTAGTAGGCTCTTCGGTCTCCTTATCAATCGCCGTGCGCTGTGCGGGTTCAAATCCCGTCCCAAGAGAAATTTTTCTCTTGGCTATGGATGTTGTGGTTGTCCGTAGGTGGTAGACGGTCTCTGACCGTCGAACGCAGAGGTACCACCCGGCGGGACCAGAATGTGTGCATGTTGCATGCACACGTGTTCCCTCGCCAGAGTCCGTGTGGCGTTACCCCTTTCCCCTGTATCACCCTATAGCCCCGCGGTACCTCATGGGTGTTTAGGACTTAGGCCTTTGTGGTGGTTGGAGTATAAAAAATAGGGGTTTCTGTGGCAGTGTTGGCAGTATTTACTAGTTTATACTTTTTACCTTGTTCTGTAGTGATTTGAAAGCTGCGAGACTCCGCAGGTTTTTCCTTCACTGATTTAATCTTCTCCCTAGCCTTCCCATCAATTTCGAGATCCATGTTGAGAGTGCTGTCGCGATTATCCACTAAGTAGATAACTGTGTTAGATTTTTTGTTGTTATATTCTCGGTCCGAGTCGATAATATTTTGTATGAGACTGAAAACACTGCGTAGCATTTCGTTTCAGAGCCCATGCATGGCCTAGTTTTTGACTTTATCAAAATGCTCCGTCGTTTCTTTTATTCTAGCCAGATGGTTAGCACATTTTAATTTTTGCAACACAAAATTTATTTTGGAGGGTTGCTGTCAAAGCAAAAGTCACTGGATGTTATATTATTGTAAAATATTTGTATACAGTGTGTTTCAAAGTTTAAAATTTTCTCGAGTTCAAAAAATATTTCTGTTTTGGGTCAAAGATTGTCTTTCAAGATATTTCTTATATCTTATTTTCAACAGTTTATGTGACACAAATTCAAAATTTTAACAGTTTTATTATAGTCTTGGTTTCACTAACATTTTACAAAATAATGCTTAAAATTGAACTATAGATGTTTTGGGAACTCAAAAATCAACCTTAAAATTCCTGTTTCACAGGAAACAGCTTGATGGGATATGACGTATGATGTGTTGCTGGATTCAAATTCAAAATACATTTATTTGCCAAAAAAAAAACATGATTTTACCGTATTATACAAAATTCACATTTTTGACAAAAAGGACATATTATCGATCAAAATGACCACATAAGTAGGGTAGGTGTAAATATGCCCTACTGTTCTACACTAATTTACACATATATTATAATATATAAACAATACTTAGGAATTTAATGATTTAATTTATTATTTCATTATGAGCATGAACCATTGATATCGCAGAAAAAAAATAATTTTCACACTTAAAATGTCAACGTTCCGACGGGAGGGGAGCACTGGAGAGGGAGGGCGAAGAGCGGCAGAAAGCATCAGACGCGAAGCTACTCCGACGAACCCGATTTAGCATATTCAGTATAGACAAAATGTTTAGGTAAGGGTGTTATATGGTTACGATAAGGTATGTTGAATGAAAATCGCATGCAGGCGTTCTGCACTTTTTGTATCGCATTTTTAGTAGTATACGCCAACGAGCTCCCATAAACTATATCTCCATAGTCGAAAAGCGACAGTATGAGATTCTGACAAAGGAAATACTTTTGCTTAGGCCGTAAAAAAAATTTTTAGTTTGGAGATATTTCTTAATCGTATGAAAGCTGCAGTCAATTTTTTCTTTATGTGTGGTTCTAATGGTAATGCATTATTGAAGACTACGAATAGATTCTTTGTTTCGTGAACAATGGGGACTATCTCATATTCAAACTAGACTCAATATTTCTCCTAAGTGTGAAATTAGATCCCAAAATTAAAGCTTTTGATTTAGAAGCATTAAGTTTTGATGGCGTATGGCAAAACTTTTTACCTCTAGCAGGTCTGAATTAATGTGATTTTTGGTTGAGCCTAAATTGTCGTTATTAATAGCAATACAAAGTTGCGAGTCATTGGCGTACTGATGAAGCTTTGCATAAGCAACAGCTTCAGACATATCTGCCACATAAATACTAAACAGGTTTAAATTCAGATTTGAGGCAAACCGATCCTTGAGAAATCATAACACAGCTTGATCGAGTACTTAGGTAGCTTTTTAAAAAACTTATTGCATTTTATTATAACAAAATGACGGATTTTAATAATAAAAATTTACCTTGAGATTCCTACTGATACTTTTGTTTGTTGTTTGTAGTCAAGTCGGATGTTTTAACAGATTTATTTCTGACTTTCATTGTCCAGAAAAACAATTGAGTTATATGATGTTTCAGTTGATCAGATTGTCACCTTCAGGTGAACCATGTATCAATCAAACCCTTTTGTAACTTAAAATTTATTCTAGTCAATGGAAGTCCAAAATAAATATTTTGGAACCTGATACCTTGATCAATCCATGATTTGACCGGTCACTTATTGGTTTAGCTATGTGTCAGACTTTGACTATAATATCTTCGTCATGTTAATTTGAAATTATCTAATATTGTGGAAGTGTTTTCAGAGAGAATAGAAAAAACCAATTGAAATTAATTTTTTATATTTTATCAAAAATTCTTACATGCTATATATCTTACATCTAAATTTGATGCATGCTAAGTATACTGTACACTGAGGCCCTGCAGAATGTTTGAAAAGCTTTTTTAATGGATGTGTTAAGTTGGAGCATTAGACTTCTTCTTCTCTTCAGCCTCTTTAGCTCTTTTAATCTGCATTTCTCTTTGTTGTTCAAGTACCCTCCTGAAGTTTTCAGCTTCCTTCTCATCATCGCCACCTAGAAATACACAAAATCACTACCTCTGATAACTGAAGTAAGGAGATGCTGTTCACACCGAGACTAAAGTCTTACCTCCAAAAGGCATCTCTTCACCTTCAGAGTCTGAACTGTCCTCATTGCCGGGATGGCGTAAATAAATATCAGACAGTTCCCTGCCTCTAGCAACTTCTGACACCAAATTAGAATCTGTGCTGTCTTTTCCTTCAAACTTCTTAGCTTCAGCTGCCTGGACTCTTATTTTTTCCCACTCTGCCCTGTAGTCTCTTCAATACAAAAAATATATATGTGGTGCATATGAAAATAACCTTTTAGTATAATGATATGATTCTTGAATTTTAAGTAACTAGGAACTAGGCTACAGTATACTATTATCTAACATATACTACTCAATAGGAAGTTTTGTTGGTTTTGACAAAAACTAAAAGTGAAGCGAAATTTTGGTTTCTGCTATAAAACTAGTTACAGTCAAACACTACTGGAAACCCTGAATGAAAGGCCATCACTTCAAAATTTTCGTGGCTAATTGTTTTCATTCTAAAGCACATATTTTCACCTTTTTATTCTAGATTTCCCTGACCCTCATTTTCAAAAGTCCACAATCCTGGAGGAGTAATATATTTTTTTACCTTTCATATTCATCAGCTGCCTCATCAATCAACTTGTGTAGCTCTTCGATTCCTTGACCTGTAGCTGCACTGACACCACAAACCTTCAAATTTCTATAAAATTCATCCAGAGCTAGAGCCATTGATCTGGTCAAACTACTGATATAACTTTCATCTGCTTCAAGAGCCTCTTGGAATGCCTCAAAGTCAGTCATCCAATCCTTTGCATATGAGCAGTCGACAATGTCAGTTTTGTTCATCACTACCACAAATGGTAGTCGAGTTTTGTATAAGATAGAACATGCATAAAGCATGTTTGACATAAAAGTTACAGGAGATGTACTTCTTACACAATCAACTACATAAAGTATAACTGTAGGAAATGATGATGCAAGTGTCTCTGTTATAATAGAACCTAAAGTGAAAAACATTTTAGAATCCATGGAGTGGTAAATAATTTGCACTTACCTGAGACAGACCACATGAACACTTCTATTTGTCCAGGTGTGTCCAAAATGCAATGTTTATTTGTAGCTTTTTCAATGAAACTAATTACTTCAGGGAATTTAGTGGAGAATAAATTCAGAGATGTTACAATTGCTCCATTTGGTCCTAGCTTATACTGTTTCATTACTTGTTTATAGTTGACAGTATCCCTCACATCTAAAATATAATAAACATTATACAGAATTGGGAATGAAAATATGGTATTCTGATATGTTTGTCATATATTATTGGCTTTGGGAGCAGTCAGATCCTGGAGAAGAGTAAAAAAATAACAGTTTTCCAACCATTTGTGACTAGCTCATAGAAAATTAGTTTTTGGGTAAGTACTCATAAATTACTTTGGTAGCAGTTAACTTTAAATTCTTACCGATATTAGCAAAGTAAGGTAGGTTTATACAGGCTGGATCCAAATTTAAAATGTAAGGTTTTGGTTCAGTAGTTGAAAGTCTTGTTACTAGAGATGTTTTTCCACTGCCCGCCATGCCCAGCACAATCAAACATATTGGCTTTTTACTTTCTTGCGGCGTAGCTTCTGCCATTCCGGAAATATGGCTTAAAATAAATAATGATATTTTCAAATTCCAAACAAAAGTTAAAATGACAGATTTTATAACCTTAAAATTCATATCACAGAACACACGTAGAGCAGAGACAGGTCTTCAAACAGAAGCGAAACTCGCCATTTATAATAAATCAATTGACACAGTATTCAAAAAGCAACCATTTTCGGCCCAAGTTAAGATAACATCGTCAGGCAAGACAACTATTGAAATATCTTCTACTAGACCCTAGAAAGCTATCCGTGGTGATTTTTTTCCCGAAATCGTTGCACAACACTTAAAAATGCAAATGAAAATTACTGCTTTGACGTTCTAAATAATGCTGTTAGTATCCCGGGATAGACATACGTTTTGACAGTTGACCTTGTCTACTCTTACTTGTGTTTTTAATCAAATCCAAGCGAATAACCAAAATTTCTGTGTTATGTGCCGCGGTTATAATATGGTTCAAGATGACACACGGGTTGATGACGTCAGTTACACGAATCGCTTGAACGCGTTGGTTTTAACCGCGGTTTTGTTGCAAGTTGTTTATTTTAGAAAAGCGCGTATATAATCTCTGATTATTTTTATTATCACTTAATAATCGGTGCTTTTTCGTCTACAACTGTATATGGAAAGTTTAAATAAGAAACCTTTCTTAATATTCATGGGAGAAATGTTTTTTTCACATTTTTTTTTAATGATGGACCCATGGCTTTGTAGCTGTGATAACTTTCAATTCTCTAAATTTTTCCGCATGTCAAAGAAAACATTTATTGATTCAGCAGAAATGATGAAAAAAGAAATTAGCAAAACCGTATACAGGTGGATATCATCTAGTGAGTTTATATGGCCATATTTTAATATCCTTGTGCTATATGGCTACAAATGATACTTTGTTAAGCATAGGAACTACATTTAAAGTGTCCCCAACAACCGTAATGAGTATAACTAATAAGGTGCTCCACTTTATGGTAAAACTGAAGTCAGCCTGTATCATTTTTCTCAAAAATGAAACTGAAGTACAATAACAATATTCAATACCCGGCAAAATTCTAACTTGTCACATTTCAAATAATAACCAGAAATATAAAACTACTCTTGAGTTGGGTAAATACCACAATTTTGCGGTGATAACTATGACATATAACAGCTGATTCGTGACGTCACGGATCTTATAACCAAACTGATACTGTTGGACCAGCGAAAGATTGCAAGCCGAAAGAATGCGGACAAAAAATTGCGAAGTTGTCAGATGTTCTACATAAAATGCGGTCCATACATATTAACATATTTAAGATATAGAATTGTTCCGCTGAATTTGGCAATGTAGCTGGAAAACCCAGGCCGCAGGTAAACATCCGGTCGCTGATTGGTCCAAAACTCTTATCTTATCTGAAACTAGAATAACGTGCCGATGGCACGGTCATTTATAAACCTACTCCCATAGGCGTAGGCAGTTGGCAAATACTTTGAAAATATAATTTACTGTTTAGTGGTGATAATGGAATTCAAGCATGGGAAAGTTATTCACAGCCAGGCAAGGGAAATAATAGCAAACGTGATACGTGCTTGCGATGCAGAAGCGGCTAACAATACTTTCGTTTATCCACTGGTAGCTAGAAATGCAAGGGCGGCATATTATACGGGTGTTAGTGAACGAACTATAAGTAAAATTAGAAAAGAAGATAAAGACAGGCAAAATGCAACCTCCACACAGCCTTTAGCTTCTCCCGGAAAAAAGAGATCACGCCCTTCTGTGATCCAAAAAATTGATGGAGTCGATTTTTCCATTATTCGGAGAATGATAGAAAAATTTTACTGTGATTTTAAAGTGGTACCTACTTGTAGTAAACTTCTAATCAAACTGAAGGAAGAAATGGAATTTCCATTTGGTAAAGAATCGTTGAGGCTGCTTTTAAAAGCAAAAGGATTTTACTGGCGTAAATGCCACAACAAAAGGAAATTACTAATGGAAAGACCCAGTATTTTACATTGGCGATACAAGTATCTTAGGTCTATTAAAAAGTTCCGGGAAGAAGGAAGGCATATTATTTATTTGGACGAAACTTGGGTTGATAATGACCTCACTTTCAAGAAATGCTGGCAAAGCGAAGAAATTATGGGTGTCCTGAGCAATATAAGTTCTACAGGTAATAAAGTTTCTTTCACCTCGATTTTGCTTATTATACATTTTTCTCAATTTTGGAATATTCTTAATAAGTGCTCATTTAATTTGTCTAATTGAATACATAATCCCTTGCAAGTATTTTTTTCTCAAAAATATGTTTTTTATACATAGTGATTCAAAAAGGTGTTGGCAAACTTAAAATAACACTAAAATGAGGCTATTTATTCATTTCCAGGACGACTTATAATTGTTCATGCGGGTTCGCAAGATGGTTTTGTTCCTGGAGCCTGTCTCATTTTCAAGGCTGGCTGTGCCACTGGTGATTATCACGGTCAAATGAACCAAGAAAATTTCACGAAGTGGCTTACTGAAAAACTATTTCCTAACATTCCTCCTAATAGTATTATAATAATGGATAATGCACCTTACCATTCAGCTTTGGAAGACAAGCCTCCAACTAGATCTTCTCTAAAAAGAGACATCATCACGTGGTTGAGCAAAAAAGGTATAGAGCATGATCCTAATGCTAAAAAAATGGAGCTTTATGAAATAGCTTGTCTACATAGGCCACCATCTGATGAGAAAAATTATAAGATAGATAATTTAATAAGAAGTTTCGGACACACCCCACTTCGAACGCCACCCTATATGTGTCAGTTTAATCCCATAGAGATGATTTGGGCACAAGTAAAATTTTTCATTAGAAGCCATAATACAAGCGGCGAATTTACTATAAAAAAACTAGATGAAATTTCTAATAAGGCCATCGCTTCAGTAAGTGCCAGTGACTGGCAAAAGGTTATTGGACATGTTATAAAAATTGAAGATGAATATTGGGAAAAAGACAGTCTCATTCAAGAAATACAGGAAGAAATAATAATCAACATAGGAGGTGAAAGTGATAGCAATGACAGTTCCTCAGACAGTGATCATGACTCTAATCAGGATTGAAACTATACTAGATTGGCTACCTTTTAGAATTTTTAGATATTCATTTATTATACTATTGGTTTGTGGCTTTTAGTATCTCAGTAGAAAGTCTAATTCTATGTGTTGTTTATGGGTTATTTCATCAAGAAATTACTTTTTGTTTTCCTATATTTTTCTATTCAGTCAGATATTTTTGACTTGTTGTATTCTATTTTAGAAGAATGCATAATTTGTTTTGCTGTTCAATCATAATGCGTACATAGGAATATTACTTGTTGCCTAAAAAATATATTTATTTTGTTCTCAATATTCAGTGTTTGTGTATATTTATTTCTTATAATGTATGTTTGGTATCACGTCATTATGAATCGCAAAAAAATATTAATACTACCAGTTGTAATAAAATATAAATTCAATTAATAATTCAAGTCTCTCCGATCTCCGCCTATGACTCCATATAAAATCGTCTAATGGTAAGGTTTTTTCATCGCATTTCCCCCTTTCGTCCCTAGCAATCTTTGGCTGGTCGATCTTTAACTACACTCGCTTGAACGGATTGGTAAATACCAACCCAAAATGGTAAATACCATTTCCATTTGGTTATCCGCTTGAATTTGATTTTTGATTTTGCCCAAAAATTGTCACAATAGGCGTATTTTTTAATTCACCGGTTGAGCCACCGGTGCATCCAACTATTCAGTTTTACTTCCTTTAATTTCCGTCTGAGCGACAAATTGTCTATAAACTATAAAGACAAGTTTGGTGTACAACCTGTCGCTCAGACAGAATTTAAAGGAAGTAAAATTGAATAATTGGTTGCAGCGGTGGCTCAACCGGTGAATTACAAAATACCCATAAAGTGCCACAATTAGTTAAAATACGGCCACTTACAGTCCAGTTCTATATGTGCAACTTATAAAACAGTAAATTCTATGCTTTACCTATATTGTGTTTTATGCTTTGTTTGTCATGTGTCAATGTCAACTTCAAGGTTATTTTTCAAGCGAGGTTAGTCGGGGACATTTACGTAATCCACAAATTTTCAATTTTTGTATCAGCGATTTAAATTCCTTGTGATATAGCCCCAAAAATGTTCAGAACAACCGCCGTACGAGCCCAGTCCATCTTCCGCAATGCTCTGACGCCCAAAAAAGCACAGGCAGCCACTGTTTCAAGGTAATCGATAATCCCACAAAGAAAAATCATTGTCTTATCAAGACTTCTTTTGTTTTTCCTTTAAACTAATGCTGGTGTATCTGATTATGGCCTTGGGAAATATTCTAATATTTATTTTTATCATTTAAGGTTCATGTCGAGTCACAGCACTGAAACTGATGAACAGTTCGACACTCGTTTCGAGAACTTCTTCAACCGCAAGGACATTGATGGATGGGAGATCCGCAGAGGCATCAACGACCTTTGGGGGCACGACTTGGTACCTGAACCTAAGATCCTCATTGCAGCTCTAAAGGCTTGCAGAAGGGTGAACGACTTTGCATTGGCTGTCAGGCTTCTGGAGGCTGTCAAGGACAAATGCGGCCCCAAAGTGGATGAAATTTACCCTTATATTATCCAGGAAATCAAGCCCACATTGACCGAACTGGGAATCAGCACACCTGAGGAGCTTGGCTTTGACAAGCCAGAGCTACATTTGGAATCTGTGTTCCACATTCATTAAGATATTTATTGTAATTTGTAGCAAATAGAGCAATGTAATAAAGTTTTGTTTCTATATTTTGGTTGCATTACTTCAAATGAGCAGAGTGTGCCCCAATTTTGTTGCTACTAGGTGTGTTACATGCAATCTCAAAGCCTAGGTTCCATAACATATAAAATAAACACTTGGTACTGAACTAGAAGTTTATTTTGTATTTGAGAAAAATAATGTTTCATTATAAATATATCTCATTCGCCTATGTCTACATATTAACATTCTCAATTTATTTTGGTAACAAAGGCACAAAATTTTGTTGGAATAAAGTACAGATTCTCTTTAGAAAATACACGGAAGGTCTCTAATAACTTAAATTAGGTACACATTCCTGTTACTGGGAATCTGTTTATTTAACTAAAAACATTGGTATTAAAACTATACCAAAACAATAATGACTATCAACTACAAGACAAAAAAATAATGAAAGAAAATAGTTATGAATATAATAAGTAACAAATCGTGCACTGAGGTACCATGCAACAAATTTGGTTAAAAATTACCAACACTTTAATAAGCTACTAGAATTGATATAGTAAAACTTTATATGTAAAAATAACTCTTCTTCAACTAGAATCCACAACTTAATAATAACTTGCAAAAAAGGTTTATCTTATCAAGTTTATAAAGACATTTCTTCAGTAAAAAATTACTGGATTAAATTCACTTTTTACCCATCACATTTTTCCTTAGACTCTCGGTTTTCACCTGTAATCTACTCCTTAACGCTTTGGTGTTTGCAAAAATCGACGAAACATTCTTCTCTGAAAAAAAAAATTAATAAATCCCCAGGAACAGACAACACTTCCGCAGAATTTTTAAAATCATTTACAGACAACCACGAAACTTCTGCTTCCTATAATCAGTGAGGTATGGGAAACAAACCAAATTCCAGTGAGCTGCAAAGAAGGTAATATTATTAAACGCCCTAAAGAGGGCGAACGAAGGATATGCACAAAACTTCTCAGCAGTATAAAAAAACTTCTCACCATCATCATACTACACAAATTAACGGACAACGTTGATCTTCGCCGAAACCAGGCAGGCTTTAGACCAGAATCCTACATAGATCATATTAACAATAATGGAACAATCAATTGATTGGAACACACCTCTATCTCGTCCCGGGCACTGATGTGGAAAATTGTGGAGTTAAGAAACATTAATCAAAAAATTATCTGATCAAGGCACTGTACCCTGAGACAAAATGTACAATAACACACAATGGGGTCAGCAGTAGTAGATTTAACATACTTTCTGGAGTGAGGCAAGGATGCGTGCTGTCGCCGTTCCTTTTCCATACAGGGTCTTTCCTAATTGAATGTCACTTTTTAAGAGGGCGATTATGGGTCCATTTTAAGAAGAAAACATGAACATATGTCCTGAGTATCTTGACTTTACGATTCTGGATATTTTAATTAAATTTGGCATACATGTAATGTACCTCAAGAAGCATTTTTTAATATACCACTTTTTTTTAAATCTCCACCAGTGGCGTTCGTACGGGATTTCACCTGCCTGTTTTGGCAAACGCTGATGATGCGCCATTTATTTCTTTTAAAACAATAATTATTCTTGAAATCCCTAATCATTTGTAGGCACTTTCGGATGCACGGTTTTCGCTTGAAAAAAGTAAGCGTTTCTCTGCATGATCATAACAACATTAATATGACAATATCACCTTGCAAAGAAATAGATTTTATATATTCACTCAAATTGTACTTAAGAACCTAGAATATTTTATTATCGCTGATTAACAAAATCGAAATTATTACCTGGACTTGATCTCTTCTTGGAAGTTTTCGTAGATTCACTCGAAGAACTACAGGTCTCACTTGAACCCCCTTGGTCTGTATTGGAACTTCCTTTTTCAAGCACGGAGCCTTTCGTTTTCACAGATTTGCTTCTAGTTTCTTTGGTTTCATTCTTGTCACTTTTGTTTCTTTGGTCATGCGGGACAGTGTTCCTCAAATTCTTCTGAAATCCCACCTTGGTTGCAATCACTTTTGGAAGCTTATGCGACTTCGCTTTGGTAGATTTTTGCTTTTCTATTATTGGTTCTTCATTCTCAATTGCTGGATCAGTTTTCTGTCGATTTTTCAACTTCTGCAACACCACTTGTACTTTGTTTTTTGTGATCGCCGTTTTCTTCAATATGCTTTTTTTCTTCATATCAATAGGCTTCGCTTTTAATATACTTTCTGAAGGTGTGAGTTTCTGCTTAGTTTTTTCTTCCAAATTCTCTTTGGTGGTGTCAGTGACCTTCTTCTGATGACCGTCTATCCTCAAGCTTTTCCTTGGTTGGGGAACCACATCAACATCTAGTTTTCTTTTCACGGGCTTGCCTTTTGAATCATCCTTAGAATTAGATAACTCTTCTCTTTCCTCACTTCTCGATTCCTTCTTTGTACTTCTCAGGTTATGCTTTGCACTTTTAATATTTGGTGTAGATTCATTTTCATCTTCAATGCTGTCCACTTCAATGTTGCTTGACGATACCTGAAAAGATGAATCCTTGAAGAAAGAATGAAGTACAAAGCTGAAAGAAAAGTCAAAAAGTTACTAGAAGACTGACTGAAGTTGTTAATTTTTTTCTGCTAAGCGTATTGCGTGTGTTTGTGTGCACCCGACGATTTGCGTGAAATTTTTTCAATTTCCTCTGAAAACTTACCTCATTGCACTGTATGGTATTGTCATCCACAGACGAGGGGGAACTCATGTTGGATTTCTGATTTTCTTTGCCATCATCAGGCGGTGAAAAGCATGGTGTCTGTTGTAAAGGGTCACGTGGATCGAAACTCGTGCTCTCCCTGGGCTTCGGTAAAAAATTGCGCTCTTTCAATGGAAAATTTGTTGAGTGACTGCAACTGAAAATAAACAAAATAATGTTTAGATGCAGGAAGGATTCAAACAATCCTTAGGTGACCATGTAACTATAGTAGGAATTTATAAAAGTGTTAGAAGCCATCACTGTTCAGTTTTGATTAACATCTTTTACCTGAAGATCGCCAAACAAATACTGTATACCGTTGCCAAAAAGGGATCAGAAAGATCCTAGAGCCATCTATGAGACAGTAGCAGAGTACACAAAATAATTTTTAAATCTACTATGAAAATATTAAGAATTTTTGGTTCTGGTTCTAGATCTTCAATTGCTTTCTGACCTCTCTAATCCCTACTTTAATTGGGTATCTTCAGGCATCAATCAAGAGGCACTCCACCTGAAGATAACGCAATTAAAATAGGCATTAGAGAGGCCAGAAAGGGATTGAAGATCCAGGCGCCATCTAAGAGACAATAGAAGAACCAAACATACGTAACCGTATGAGTCTTACACATTTATGCTACTTAGTATGACAACTTACTTGGCATAGAAGTATTGGTATTCGACATAAAACATAGCAATGCCTGAAGATACAAGTAGTGTCGGCAGTTCGTGTTAAATTTATTGGAGTATTTTAGAAAAGTGACTGAAAACAATGTTCTTCTATCATACAATTCATGTCTGTAGCAGAGCTAGTAGCAGCTGAACACAGTACATAATAATTTATTCACAATATTTACATGTTTTTAGAGAATAAATTAAAAAAAGCAACAGGGTAGTGTCTTTGTGCATGGCTGTAACTAACGTTAAAACCAAGGAGTACATATCTTAGATCTATTCAAAGGTAAAGGTGTATATGTGATGATCTTTTGAATTCCTTTATATTCTATACAATTCTGACTGGAATACAGTGGACTTCCGGTAATCCGACAAACATTATGCAGGGCAGTGTTGGACTATCGAATTTGTCGGATTATAGAGCACTGCCTAAGACTCCCTATAGTCCGGAATTTTTTACATTACCCTGTAATCCGACAAATTATATATCCAATGGTAAGGTTATATATGTTATGTATATGTATGTACTTTGAAGTACAAATCATACACAGTTTATGTATGTCGAATTTAGTAAATTAAATAACAATAGAGAGCTTACGTTTTATTATAAAATTAAGCATAAATGCACATACATATGTACCAAAATAATCAAGAATTATTAATCAAAATCATTAATGAATTTATCAAATTATGAAGCTTAGAAATATTCATCATTTTTTTTTTGTTTAAGGTTGTTCTAACGCGAGATCAGAGCTTTGTCCCTCAGTCTTCTCAAAAGTAAAAGTTCGTTGTAGGATGTACCATTCTCTTCAGCCCATTGTAAACGTCGTCGTTATTTTCCTGATTGTTTGTTGTCTAATTAGCAATCTCTTTTATAATCCCTTCGTCAGACATTTCATGAAAAACATTTTCCTCTTTATCCATTCCACGGCACCAGATTTCCAAATCTTCCCGACTTATATGTGTTTCAATAGCGACTTGTTCTATAACTTCCGAAGTAACACTGATTTGTGGAACGTTGCTAGGAGGACATAACTTTTTCCAAGACGATTTAATAGTTGATGACGGTAACGCATTCCACGACTGACAAAGAGCAAAAACCAAGTCTTTCATATTAAATTCTTTTAAAGTTTTTTCTATTGGTTGGTCTTTTGATACGGCTCTCAGAAGTAGGTTTTTCTTATAGTCTTGTTTTTCAAACTGAATAACATTCTGGTCCATTGGTTGAATCAATGCAGTGCAATTTGGCGGAAGAAATATCGCATTGATGCATTTATCCTCAGTTGTTAGTTCTTTTTCAGACGGATGACCGGGAGCGTTATCAAGAAGCAACAACGATATTTGAGGAAAATTATGATCTTTTAACCATTTTCTAACTTCAGGTACAAAGCATTCATCAAACCACTTTTTGAAAAGGTCTTTTGTCATCCATGCATTTTTTTGTCCGTAATAGTGTACAGGTAAATCAATGTTTTTGAATGCCCGTGGTTTATTAGATTTCCCAATGACCATCATCTTAAGCGCGTGTGTGCCCGCAGCGTTAGCACATGGTAGTATGGTTACACGCTCTTTACTTACTTTTCGTCCAGGTACGGATTTTTCGTTACAAGAAACGAAAGTTTTGTTAGGCATCACACGAAAAAAAAAGCCCTGATTCGTCTGCATTGTACACCTGTGACGGGTCAAGATTTAAATCGTTCACCTCTTGCTAAAATCTTAATTTAAAGGGCTCTATGCAGGTGGCATCATTATAAAGTTTCTCTCCTGTAATAGTCATTAAACGTATGCCATGACGACTTTTAAAACGTTCTAGCCATCCTTTGCTGGCCACAAAATCATCTTTTTTTGTTATATAAACTTGGGTTCTGAAATTGGTGCATGCCTATTTCTTTCCTGAAGAAACCACATGTACAAAGATTCTTCCACTTCTGGATGTTCAGCTTTCTTGAGTGTCTGTCTCTTGCCTGGCCCGCAGTCAGTAGTTGACACGAACTTCTTGATCTTCTCGTGGTTTCTTTTAATGTCATAAATTGTAGATCGGCCTACGCCGTATTCACTTGCTAAACTACTGAAAGTTTCATTGCGATTTAAGCGGTCTAAAATATCAGATTTTTCTTTAATTGTCAATGTTTTGTGCTTTCGCTTCTGAGTTTGTGATGACATTACTGGGTACTATACTTAATACACAATGAATAAATAGTAATAGCGGTGGCGGGTACAAGTTGTAACCTGTTCAAATCTGCGTGATCTACATTAGCGAAGATTGTCAAATACGTATGTATGTAATACATATTCAAAGACATGTCGGATTACAGGGGGCGCCGAATTATCGGGGGTCCACTGTATGTTAATTAATGCTTCAAGGGTGCATTTCCTCACCTGTTATTGCTGACATTAAGGTCACTTGTGGATACTGGAGCAGCATTCTCATTACTGGAAGCAGTGAGACACTCTTTGTTGCTGGACGCTGGAGATTCCGGCATGTCCAATTCGAGAGTCGTCACATCCTTGGGGGCTGCGTTCAATACTTCTGGCGTCACTGGTATGGGTGCTGGTACGACTTCGATCACAGGCTCCAGTATGGACTCCAGCCGTTCTGTGGACGATTTTGAGCATGATGCTGCATCTGCTGGAGCGGTATCACAGTCGCCGCTAGGAACCAGATTTGAGCAAGCAGTGCTGCACCCAGCTTCCTGTAGAGACATGAGATATTTATTTTTTAAAATTAGACTTGTTAAGATCTGTTCACACCACACGCAACCAGGCGGCAACTCGATTTCGAAAGAAAAGAATAGAGCATAGGAAATGAGTAAATCAGCTAAAATGGAACAGTTTAGGTTTGATTATTCGGATAATTTTGCTTTTCCAAAAAGAAGTTTTAATGCCATATGGTGGAGAAATAATTTTAGTTGTTGATAAAGCAGAAACAAAATCCATCATGTATATAAGTAACTTTCAGGTTTATGGAAATAATTGTAAATTGCTCAATTTTCTGAATCTGCTGAATATTAAGTTTCAGCTTAAAGTTTGACAATCCCTAAGTTAAGACCGAAAGCAGAAGAATTTTCCGACTATACAGAACCTTTTCCTTGATATTAAGAAAATAATCCTCAAATTACCTTTGTGTCATCCCTTTGGCTGCCATCAAAACGAGTCATGATCTTAAGTCCCCTTTCAGGCAGGTTCTTCTTGCGATCAATAAGCACCTGAGCACGCGGGGGTCCCGGGGGGTCCAGCATCAATGTGACCACGGAGGTGTTGTCAGCACGCATTTTGGTTGCATGCCACCTTTCCATCGCTTTCTCCACAAGGAGTTTGCTCGGGTTCATCCAGGTTTTGTACGTAGAGTCACTTAGGGCGGCCGTCTCGTTGTGGCGCTCCGCCTATGAAAATAGCGTCAAGTAGATTGACTAGATGCTGTTGTGTGCGCTTTTCAGATCCGTCATGCAAAATGACATGGATAGCGATCTCGACCCGTATTCTTGGAAACGAGGGAGTAGAATCACTGAAAGTGGGCGTGGTTCTTTTAGCTGAGGAATGATCTCAAATCGACATTGGTCGAACAAATTTGTGAATGCATCCATTAGAGGCAAAATAATACGTTCTTGAAATCCTCATATCATTAAATGTTCCTGCCACAAAGTTCACTTAGTCTCTTAGATGAGAAGACAGGATTTCAGCACTTTTTGTCTCGAGAATAATTCGATCTGCGCCCAGAAATACAGTTTCAAGAAAAGTAATAGAACCACGCCCACATCGTTATTATAGTGATTATTTTACAATACAGGTACTGGCTACACATAGGGCGTCTAAATAGTTACGTTGGATTTAGTTTTTAAATTAAACTAAAAATAAACTATATACATGGTGACGGGAAAATAGATGCGGAGCCGGTGGGGGGGAGATAGTACAAGCCTATCTGAGTCGATTTTACTATAGGAACTACTGTCCGAAAATTAGCCGATTTCGAATTATACTAATTTTTAAGATTCATTAAAATAAACGTCCTTTATACATTAACTAAGTCATAAAACTTGAAAATTGGGTGCTTCATTTGATTTTTTTTGGTTTTAGAATAAAAATATTCTATAATACGAAAATTGATACTCAAATGTACATAATGACGTTATCTCATGCAGTAAGCTTCAAAATAGTTCGATTTTTGTTAAAAAAATTTTCGTTCATCTCAAAAGCTTCAGTTTACTAGAAAAAGTCGCATACAAATTTTTCGTACAAAATAATTAGAAAACATCTACGTTTCCTTACCTTTCAAATGAGGTATAAGAATCACAAATCGATTAAGAATTGGCAAAAATATGACTATTATAAGAGAAGGAAGGAAAAAGCAATAAAAATACCACACTTACAAAATCATACCTTAATACAGGATAATTTGTTTGAAACTACATTTTTTTCTTCTATTCTGGATACAGGATGATCAGAGTATACTAAAGTTTTCATGCGACCCCACACAAAAAAGTCCATAGGTGTGAGATCGGGACTGTGTGCTGGCCATGGGATTGGTCCGCCTCTACCGATCCATGGATTCGGAAACTGCTCATTTAACACTTAGGCCCGTATCGTCAGTCGACCCTACAATTGTAGGGTGCGTTTATGGCCTCCTTGATAGTCATACTCCTTTCTCTCCTTCAAAAATTTCTAGATTACACTTGCCCCGTGTCAGCGTCAGCGCTCTCCTATTGTGAAGATTTGTTTTCCTTTTAAATTGTAGGAAATTTCAGGCTGATAAAACATGATATAACTCAAAACCAAGCACAATTTGATGCAAATTGATGTTTGTGACATAACCTCAAAATAGAGCGCTGACACGGAGAAGTAGAAAACTATGACAATCAAGGAGGCCATAAAGGCGCCCTACAATTGTAGGGGCGACTGACGATACGGGCCTTAGTCTGAAATGTGTTGGGCATCCGTCATGGTGAAAAATCATTCTGTGTCTTGTGTGTAGCTGCACGTCTTCAAGTAATTCAAATGGAACATTTCTAATTTTCGTATAATAGAAGACCTCAGAAACAGGATAATACATGCAGCACAAGAAATTCAAGCCTCTTTTAGGAATTCGGCGGTAGTAAAATCAACTGTCATAAGAAGAGCACGTGTGTGCATTAGAAATAGAGGGCGCCATATTGAAAATGTATTATAAAAATAAAACAATGTAATTTCAAACAAATTATCCTGTATTAAGGTATGATTTTGTAAGTGTAGTATTTTTATTGCTTTTTCCTTCCTCCTTTTATAATAGTCATATTGTTGCCAATTCTTAATTGATTTGTGACTTTGATACCTCATTTTAAAGGTAATGAAACGTAGATATTTTAAAAATGTTTTGCACGAAAAATTTGTAGGTGATGTGTGTGATGAACGAAGAATTTTTTTAACAAAAATTGAACTATTTTGAAGCTTACTGCATGAGATAACGTTAATAATGTACATTTGAGTATCAATTTTCGTATTTTAGAATATTTTTATTCTAAAAAACAAAGAAATCAAATGAAACACCCAATTTTCAAGTTTTATGACTTGGTTAACGTATAAAGGACGTTAATTTTATAGAATCCTAAAAATTAGTATAATTCGAAAACGGCTAATTTTCGGACAGTAGTTCCTATATTAAATTCGACTCAGATTGGCTTGTACTATCTCCCCCCACCAGCTCCGCATATATTTTCCCGTCACCCTGTATATATATATGTACAGTTCTGATGCATTTCTCCGTCATATAATGATCCATAATTAAATGTCTAAAGTCGCTGGAAAATAAAGCCAAGTTTAAATCCCCAGGTACCTATTGGTATCTTTGGTAACAAAGACATCTGTAACAACCAAGAACTATTTTCTACTAAGGTTAGTCTATAAAATCGACCATTTATACATGTGCAACTTCACCGAAATATATTTCAACTGGCCATTTTTTGTTTGTCTTAAAACGAGCTATGTGATATCATATTCACCTGTTGCACAATATGTACAGCGGTAGTGGGACTCAGCATATTGTAGAGCCCATCAGTTCCAAAAATGAGGCATCTGTGCACGTCCGTATCTATCTTGAGCACAGAACAATCGGGGTCCGGAGAGACGATAAATCTGTCAATTTGGGAGTTGTATGACCAGAGATCGCCAAGGCTGCGCGCCACTGCCAAAAATGGGATCTCGTCGATAGGCGTGGATCGACGGACCGGGCCTTGGTGGCCGATTTTCGGACGGTTCCATACCACACGCGGCACTCCTGCACGAATTAAAAAAAAAAACATGACAAAACATCAACTCACCTTATACAAGAATCTCATAGTATCGTTGAATGCATATTGGTTAAAAACTACCGTTTTTCCATGACTTGAGTGTAATTTTCAAACAAGTCAGCAATACTACCAATATTTTGCCTCAAAAAAAAAAAAAAAAAATCCGATAGGGTTGCCAGGTCATTTAGCCCTATTTCCCCAGCCGAAATGTAAAAATCCCCTAAATTCAAGACATCAAAAAACATCCTCAAAAAATAGCATTTATTGTTTGTTACCATAGGTTTATGATTTGTTTGGTATTCTTGGATGGTAAAGTATTTTTTTGAGTGACATTTTTTTGTCGCGAAATACCTCAAAACATTATTTAATGCCATTAATAAAATTTTACATAACAATACCTCCCCAGTAAACTATTTTTCCCCAAAAGAAATCCCCAGAAAAAAAAACCCTAAAATCTTCCACATTGAAATAAAAAGGAAGGAAACAAAAAAGAAAGGTAATCTGAAATTAGTCATTCCTTCTGACACAGTCCAGATCGAAGTGTGAAAAAAAATATTGATCCAAAATATCAGGTATTGGAAGCAAAAGTATCGATACTTCTTAGTATCGAATCATATCAAACATCAATAAAATATATGCAATACAAAGTTTACTGTTTTTATCCTGAAACAGGTTTTCATTTTGCCATGCTCCTTGAAAGGGTGAATTTTGGCATTCTATTCTTACTGAGATATCTTATATGTCTGTTTTAATTATGATTTTTATTTGTGTTCTTGTTTAAAAAACTGTTACGGTATTCTTTATTATTATTCCTGTGCAAATCTGTCAGAATAAGTATTATTATTACTATGATCACTCCCCAAACATTTTTAAAGCGTGAAGGGTAGTAAATCTTCTCAAAGGGTGGGGAGGGTAACATCTTAAATATAGCAAGCAAAAATATGGCAAATATACAAATTTCAGGAGGCAACCAGATTCTCACGGAGGGCCTCAGTCCCCCTCTGGCTCTGCCATGTCATCTAGGTAGGCAATATCCCATTGGACTATAGACATTAAACAATGATAATGCTTACTTCTCAACCAAATAAACTGATAAAGTAGACATAAATAATAAAAAATCAGAATGATAAAAACATGCCGAGGTATGTGTAAGCAAAACGCTTTCAATACAAGATTGATAAGAGAGCCACACCTGATTTGCACATAACTTTGCCACCACACTTAACAATTCTTGACATTTCCTCTGCATTTTCAGGTTTGTGATCTCTGGTCAGAGGTTTGGCTTTCCATTCAGAGCTGCCTGGTTCTTGATAACCTACAGAAGAATATAATATCGTAATTATATTGTCAAATATAACAAGGAACATGTTTTGAAATTAAAGAATGTTTTCCTACCTAGAACTATCCCAGAATCTCCTACATGTCCTATGTAAATTTTCCCTCTTCTTATAAATGCGACACTTGCAGTTGTGCCAGCTGTGCTAGGTAATCCTGATGCTGTACATGGCCATTTTTCTACAGAAAATATTCAGATTCAAATTAATTTGTTAAACATTAATCATTTAACATATTTCATACATAAATATTCTTTTAATTTTACAGATATAGGAACTCACTGTCTAAAAGAGCAACAATATGTAAATAAGGAAAATCCTTTGACTTTTGTGGATTTCATGTTGAAAACAGAATTTTGCTATTTATTATAATGCAAAATACTTCTGAGGAACATCCAAGTTTTTGAAATCTGTGATAGTTTTTCAATTACTTCTTATCTATCTATCTATAATATCTTAATTAATTATGGGATTTCAAAACGTTCAGAAAAACAAAGTATAGTTTAAAATGGACCCGGTAATGATCTGGTGATGGAGCCATATGGCAGTCTTATCTGACACACTTTAATCTTAATTTCCTGATATAATTTTGTGCTTTTAAAATTTGACTGACAATTCTTCACTTGAAGAATGATGAAAACAATGGTTCATTATATATAAAACACCATAGCTTCAGTTTCTAGTGTCTACACTCCAAGGTCTTAGCAATTATGCATTGTTTCACAATAGAATTACTCTTATTCTATCGATTCTACATATGCAAGCCTACCTCTTTCTCTCCACATAGCATAGTGGGTAGCAATGTACCCATCTTTAATAGCTCGTAACACATCTTCATCACAGTCTGACCAAAAACTTTTATGCTTGATTATAGTCTCCATCAGGTGTTCTTTGGCGAATGCTGCAGCTTCAGCTCCACCGTGTCCATCGTAAATGCCGAAAAATGCATATTCCAAGTCCTTTTCGTCTTCAGTTTGCTGGTATGCCACAGAGAAAAAGTCCTCCATGTATTTTCTACCACCTTGGCGACAATGGCCTGTTACACGCAAATTTACGCCGATAGACGCGGGCATTTTGGCTGTTGTTATACATACACGATCAAATTGTTAATTGAAATCCAATTCTCTTCAATAATTTGTACTTTTTCGAGATGTTTTTATTTATTCAAATTGCTTGGTATGGCGTAACTGACGTTCTGCTGACATTTATGACTTTTAAAGTGTGTCACGGCGATCTTTCGCATCCTGTTTTTTGCTATCTCTCTCGTTTACTGCAGAAGGTGAGATAGAAGCATGCGCCGTATGTCCTATTCAGTTTTTGCCTTTTTGATGGCAACGTCATCTGAAAGCAAGTTACGTAAGCTTTTTGTTAAAGAAATCCTTTGTAGTCTGCGCAGCGTGACGTGGCGCTGTTGTCGGGCGGGAGATTGGAAATTTATATTTATTTTTATAGCCCAGGGATACTAGATAGAAAGCTACCGGTCATTAAATCGCGGATTTAATGATGACGCACGTCCTCCTTTGCGAAGTTACCAAATCCTGTCACTATTATTCTGTCTGGACATTGCAAAAGTTCAAAAAAATACAAAATCCAGCATTTATTTCCATATTTTATTTTTTTGTAATAAGCATTATTAGATACCTATATCTTTTGGTTTGTATTTCTAGATATTGAATATTTTTAGCTATCAGTACTTGAAAAATAACATTTTAGAGTTTCACACTCTGCACCTTTGAGATGTGCACTATCCCAAATCCAAACACCAATCTAGCTCTCCATAATAAAATTTATTGAACCTTTCTAAATACATTATTAAGCTATATAATATGCTAATCCACTTCTAATTTCTTGAACGTTCCTTCCATTCCAAAAACGTCACTGATGCTTTTGGGTTTTCCGGGTCTCTTTGATTCATCGGCCAGTTGAGTTTCTTGAAATTTGAATAGGTCTTCAGATTCTGCCATCAGCTTCAAGAACTTATCTGTAAAGGTTACGTTAGATAATTAATAAATTAGCACCGCTACAACTTTGTGGTCAATTTTTAGTTGTTGAAACGACCGAAACACTGAAATAATACTTCTTTGGATAATTAAATACACGTATTTTAAACGTCAGAACTGACGATACCATCACTGTTGTGTATTTTCGCATGGTATCGCGTTCTGAATTTTGGGTAAAAAATAGGGACAATTTCATTATGGATTCAAACCCTACTCTACAAACAGTTTGAGGATTCTAAAAAATATTTTACTGCTTGCTCACCATGTAAGTTCTTTAAAGATTCACACGAGCCACCATACTCTTGCGGTAAGATGTCCTTGGGAACTTGTGCGTAAAGACTTTCCATAGTTGTATGAATTTGTATCTGCAACGATAAGAGATAGCTTAATTTCATTGTAGTTGAAATTAGAACATACGTACGGAATCATACAGTTCTTTTTTCATGAATGGTTTCATGAGGGCTAGAATCTTGTCCATGAATGAAGGAATGTTGAAATACTGCAAACTCTTCAGTCTGATCGGCATACCTTCCTGAAAATGATCTGGTATTGTACTTAAAATATACGCAGTGACAATGAAACTGTGACAAATTCTCATAGATGGCGCTAAGGTATCTCGTTTTGTCTAGGATAATTTTTTAGATGCGGCAATGTAGCATTAGGTTTTCTATCTTCAGGTAGAATACGTTAATCAATCGTATAACACTGCTTTAACGATAATTTCACACTTCATCTTGCTTATGTCTAACTGTCTCATTCAAATAAAATCATTTTAATGGATGTATTTATCCTTTACATACTCATAGTTTTTCAATATATTTAGATGATTCATCCATTTCAATTCTGTTTTTTCTCATATGCGCTATTGAAGACATAGAAGTAATAATAAGTGACTTAAAACTTGGCAGTTCTATGCATCACTCGACTACTCTCGACTTAAACTGAGCTTTACATTTACAGTATCAATAAGACACCTACCAGCGAATGAATACTTAAAAAATGCCAACTAGTATACAGGGTGTCCCACGTAGAGCTGCAAGCTCAAACTTTGTGTTCATAGTTAAAAGGATGGGATGAATTCCGCTGAAATATTTTCAAAGTGGTGGCACATCCGGTTGTACCGGGCGAGATACCAACTTGTTTATTTTAAATATAACATCTGTATTTTATTAAATTTCAGAATTCCATGTACTATATATTATTCTATATATAATTCTAACCGTTTTTGAGATATTTCAAATTTTGCGTAAAAAATGACAAATGCAGGAAAATGAATTATAGTATTTTTTTTCGTTACCATATAACTTGTAAAGAGTTTCTTATAGCAGACATACTTTGGTGGATTTTATTCCAGATTTACGGTAAAATTATTAAAAAGATAGTTTGCAAAAAAATTTTATATGTATTTTATAAATCTAATTTTCATTTTCTGTTCTTGACCACTATGTCCTATTTGCTATTTAAATCCGGGACAAAATTCACCAAAATAGATCCCCGTTAAAAATCGTATGATAAAGGAAAATACAAGAAAAACTGTTTTAATTCACAATTCATCGCCCTGCATTTGGTGTTTTCACGCATAATTTGAAATACCGCAAAAACGGTTAGACTCGCGTAGAATCCAAAAGTTGAACAACATATAGGATATTCCATTCAAAATAAGCATGTTGGTATCTACTTCTGGTACTACAACACTTCGAGAATATTTTAGCTCGCTTCAGTTATGCTATGACCTGAAATTTTCAGAATTTCTTACGTCCACCTTTTTAAAAATTAATCGCTGCAGTTCTACGTGAGTCACCCTGTATATTTTATTTGTTCTTTTTTCCTGTCAACTAAATTCTTGTTTCTGCCTTTCTGCCTACCTGCAAATAATACAGCAGTTTCTTCATGATAACGACACTGAGTTTGAGAAAATGACCAAAAACGATTCCTTGCATGTCAAATAATATCGTGATACCGTTTTGAGGCCCTTCACGATGGTGATGTGACAACGTGATCATGTCAAAGCATCGAATTTGGAGTGCGAAGTTGAAGTTATCGGGATTGTTGTCCATCAGCTTGAAAAAAATTACTGTGTCACCGTTTGGAGTTCGTTTCGGCAAAATAGATGCCAGCCTGAAAATATGTAGATACCATATGAAACGTATAGAGAAAATACAATAAACAATTATTATTGTTATTACAGCATATCAGTTATTGAAAACAGGGGTCTACAATAATATTGTTATCATATGAAGCTTCTTTATCCACAATTACCTTTTTTGAAACTTCGGTTAATTACACTGGACTAACAGTTGTCACTAGACCTCACAGCGGTATTTAAGGGGTTATAGGGTCGCTGAACTCAGTGCTGTGGTCGGCTGATCGCTAGCACGTAAGGTCACTTCAAGGTGAAATTCAGATTCAAACATTTTTACACACGATGACCACGGATAACCTTAATTTGGACATGAAATAAGTGTTTGATCAAGACATTCTCATGGATCACCTATAATGAGTCCTTCAAATAACTTCTAGATGACCTCGCTAGATAAAACAAAAACCATATTTGAATTTAGAGATCAAACATCTTGAGAGTAGAGGCAGAGAGAAATAGCTTTAAATTTGACATTGAAGCAACCCCTGGCTGACCTTGCTAGCTGCACCAGATTTCGATAAATCAACTCCAAAGCCTACTTTTTTCCTACTTTAGTCCTTTTTTTAAAATTCGACCTTGAAATGTCTTTGCGCTTGATATGACAGAGGTCAACCGACCTCAGCATTGCGATCGCCGACACTAAAAATTCTTAGATACGCCTATGGGGTCCGATGATAACTCTTTAGGCCCGTATTGTCAGTCGTCCCTACAATTGTAGGGCGCGTTTATGGCCTCCTTGATGTCATACTCTTTTCTCTCCTTCAACAATTTCTAGATTACACTCGTCCCGTGTCAGCGTCAGCGCTCTCCTATTGTTAAGATATGTTTTCCTTTTAAATTGTAGGAAATTTCAGGCTGATAAAACTCAAATGCAAGCACAATTTGATGCAAATAGATGTTTGTGACATAACCTCAAAATAGGACACGGAGAAGTATACAACTATGACAATCAAGGAGGCCATAAAGGCGCCCTACAATTGTAGGGACGACTGACGATACGGGCCTTAGATCAAATTTTAACCTGTGATATTGCATCAAAAGAACAACAGCAACTTAGCTGATAGATATCAGCCCAGGGAGATCAAGAAAACGAAACATTTCCATATCTGTATTTGTCATTTTTGTCTTGAGTATAAACTATGCAGTCATTAGACAGTGACTAATGGGCAAAGGTCCTACGGACCGCTCAGAGAAACAAATGACAAATAGTTACTATGAATACTATAAATATAACTTACATAGTCGTGGCTGCAAGTTTCACGGCTGGGTCTTTGATGGAACGGTTAGCAAATATGTCTGGACATAGAGTTTTCACCGTGAAATAGATGTCGATTGTGGTTTTAGCTAACTCGTTGCTGTAGTAGCAACTTTGCAGAAATAAGATCAGCTGTAGCTCTGGAGACAAAAAGAAATGGAACGATAACGAAACCAGAGAAAGTATCAATAAAAAGCATTTCTATAGTTTATACTATACTACAATTGAAAATAAACAAAAAACCTCGCAAAAATGGTTTCATTTGAATGAAATTTTGTACATAACGTGACCAAGATAAAATAGTGATTTACAGGACAATCCTAAGAAAAGATAAATCAAACTAACAGAAATACAAAATATGCAAAATGCAGGTGATTTTATCTGAAGGAAAACGCAAACAAGAAAAAGAAGCACAAAACATAATTCACTCAAGTGAGGAACATATCATAAATTGCTTAATTCCTAGCTACTCCCAGAATGCTGTTCAAACTGTCAGCAGCAACAATAATTAGATATAGCATTGAAAGTTTCACATATTACGTATTTGGATGCTTTCAAAAATAAATTTGTGCGAGCGCTGTCACAATAAAAGGTTTTAACTGTACGAGTTCGAATAGATGAACTTTCAGAGCTTTTACATATACTAAGTGACATATAAATCCGAACACCCAGTTTAAATGGTTTTATTTTAATAAAATTTTGTATAAGTACTTAATGAAGCATAATAAGTAAATGATAAAAATTTCAAAATGATTGCACTGCTTTAAAGCCCTTTGACCTTTAATAATGTGTGGATGCACCCTGATGTGCTACGCATTCTCCAACGCGCCTAGGTATGCTTCTGATCAGGTGGTCAATGTCCTCCTGTGGTATCTCATTCCAGGCAACCACCAACTCCTCTCGAAGTGCTTCTAGAATCTGAGGAGGACGTTGCAAATTGAGCAAACTCCTACCCATCATATCCCACAGGTGCGCAATTGGGGATAAGTCGGGAGATCTTGGTGGCCATGGTAACAATGTGACATCATTATGTTGAAAGAAGTCTATTGTGACTCTTGCAACATGTGGTCGGGCATTATCTTGTTGGAAAGTTGGATCTGCCAGGGTGTCAAGATAGGGTAAAAGATGGGGTTCTAGAACTTCGAGGATATAACGCTGCACGTTCATGTTACCTCTGATGAAGATTAAAGGTGACCTGGAACCATAAGCTATAGCACCCCAAACCATAACTCCAACAGTGTGATGAACATGTCTTTCAACAAAAAACTGTGGATTCCTCCTTTCACCACGTCGCCTTCTAACCCTGGCACGACCATCGTGCATGCCTAAACAAAATCGAGACTCGTCACTAAAGACAATACTGTTTCATTCCTGATCCCAGAGTGACCGTTGTCTGCACCACTCAAGGCGATTACGTCGGTGTTCTCGAGTTAAAGGGAGGACCCAGTGTGGCCGGTATGAAAACAAGCCAAAACTTCTCATTCGTCGGTAAACACTTCGCATGCCAATAGGTCTTCCGTGTTCTGCAAACCATTCATGTGCAATGGACCTGGTAGTGGAGAAACGGTCCCTTAAGGCCAATAATCTTAGGCGGCGATCTTCACGGTCTGTTGTTCTACGGCGGCGTCCAGTGCCCTTGCTCTTTGCGTACGGCCTTCTCGAAGCCATGCCTGACAACACCTAACCACAGTGTCTACACTTCTTTGCACTCTAACTGGAATTGCCCGAAAAGACAGTCCAGCTTCCCGAAGTCCCACTATACGGCCCCTATCAAACTCACTAAGTTGACGAAATCGTACAGGTCTCTGTACTCTAGGCATCGTAAGTAACCGATCGTAAAGGATGTCAAGAACCAAAATCCGCCAACGTTGATTCTTTACTGCGGCTGAAATATTCATTTTTAGAGCATTAGTGAATTAAAAAAAAGCAGTATAAAAACCGGAATGTCCAACTGATAAGGCTGAAAATTTTTTCACTTGTTATTTACAATAAGATAAATACATTCACCAACTTTTATTAAAATAAAACCATTTAAACTGGGTGTTCGGATTTATATGTCACTTAGTATATATCCTGCTCAGCTATGCATCGTCAACCTTGAAAAATAAAAATTTGAAAAACTTATTGTGGACAAGATCAAGAGAATAAATGTAGCAGTTGTGAATGGCTTATTCAACAGTATGCAATGGTCTACCCTGTCGAACGCTTTAGTAAATACAGTACTATATATACATCTAGTTGACCTTGCTGATTAGTACACCTATACGCCACCGCTCTGCTAGTTGGAAACTTTGACATGAAAACCCTATTTTGTAACAAGATAATGCGTCTAACCATATTGCTCCGCTCTGCTAGCTGGAAACTTTGACATGAAAACCCTATTTTCTAACAAGATAATGCGTCTAACCATATTGCTGGAGCTAAAATACCTAAATAACGCTTAAGTCCGCCTTTTTCCTTGGCCTCCTAGATCTTGATACCCTTCACCCGTTAACATGTATGCGGTATGATGGGAAGAAAAGTGGTCTCTCTTTACCTCATCATCAAAAAAACATGATCTGAAGAAATAAAATAAACATTTTCAAAAGTTCGACCAAGACAAAAAATCACATTTTTTCTAGCCTGCCTTTTTGGGTTTGGCTTCATAGCCGAGAATGAGGATTTATGTCTAGCGATACACAAAATTTCATTCAAGTGAAATCATTTTTACTGGGTGTTCTATTTTTTTCATAATTTTTCTAGATGAAAAGTAACTCTGTCTGGACGATCTTTTCCTTGCCTGTCAGAGCAGTTCGTAAGAGCTCCGATCTTGGTTCAGTAGATGAGCCAAGTTTGATAGCCTAAGTAGCAGGCAAAGTCAGAAATAAAGAATAGTCTAATCATATTAGCAAATTTTCCAGAAATAATTGTACAGTCTGGTTTTATTGGTGGCAGTTGTCCAAGGGGGTATTAAAACACGGACGCATAAAATGGGCATACAAATTTTTGTGGAAAAACTTTTTATTCGACACATCCAATCGAAATTGTTGACAGGAACAAAAAAGCTTTTCAAATAAGATTTTTAGGTATTTATGAGACCTACAAAATCAAATGACACGTGAAAGGATCCGACTAATAGCAAAAATGTTATGGCCGAAAAACAAGGCCAAATGCAGGTTTTGGCACTTGTTGGTAATGCGAGGATAATTTCACGCAACTACTTGAAATTCTTCAAATCCGTAGGATTCATACTGCTAAGTAACAACAAAATTGGAGTATGTTGGTCAAGTAGTTTTTGAGAATTTATAATTCTTTATCCCAAAACACCTGTCTTCCTGCCATCACTACTAGTTTATTGAGTAATATACAGGGTGTCCGCAAAGTTGGGGTTTTCCTTTACACGACGTGTAGATCTTGAAAACATAAGCAATTTTTCTTAGTACCATATACACCAATGTCTTAAGGGAACCGAGATAAAGGGCCCTGCAACATCAAAAATATCTGAATACCGTCCTGTAGCCGCGACATCCCCCAGTGGTACTAGGACACTAGCTCAACCCGACGACAGAACTGGGTCGGGGTCAGTGTGTCAGGTCAGTATGCAACCTTCAACCGACGGTTACGGTCACGCGTGTAGAGATAATTGCGTAGACGTGAATCCCTCAACAAGCGCTAGAGACGTGGCTAGAGAAGTGCAAGTATCAAAAACTAAAGTATGGCAAACGCTGCGTGAAGAGGGGCTGTATCCGTTTCACGTCCAACGTGTACAAGCCCTTCAACCTGACGCTTTTCCAGCAAGAGTGCGGTTTTGTGAGTGGTTGTTGCATCAACATGACAATAATCCGGACTTTTTGAAGTGCATATTGGTGATAGACGAATCTACGTTCACGCGTAATGGGGTGAATAACTTTCGCAACACTCATGTTTGGTCAGTAGAAAATCCGCACGCTGTCCGTCGGGCACATTTTCAACAAACATTTTCGGTGAATGTTTGGGCTGGCATGGTGAACCTAGACCTAGACTTTTTACGCAACATTTTGCCTTCCTTGTTTGCCTGCGTCTGCTCGGTAGCGCATCAGCTGATTTCATTTTCTGTTGGAGCGGTATGATTTCGGGCAGAGACGTACTTAGCCCTTATCGTCAACTGGAGAGTGAGTACTTTTTCCTTTATTTTTTTTACTTGGTCGCCCTCGTTTCACTACACATTACCTTTGTTATTTCAAGGGTAGTTGTTTCTGAAAAGGAAAACCCCAACTTTGCGGACACCCTGTATAGGGTTCGTTCGAAGAGCATTCAATATCAAAACACACGTGTTTACCTTGCCGATATGAATCACAAACCGTTCCGAAAAATAAATATATACGAAATTAATTTGTGCAGAAAAAAAAACGTAACCCATACTTTTTTTCATAAAAATAACATATATGTTCCGGAATGGTTTGCGATTCATATCGGCAAGGTAATCTAGTGTATTTTGCTATAAAATGCCCTTTGAACTAACCCTGTATATTGGTCAATACACTAGTAGTGATGGCCGGCAAACAGATGTTTTGGGATAAACAAAAACTACTTGAGCAATCTACTCTACACTTTACAATTATTTCGCGAACCAGGGGTATTTTCGTCTATGATTAGACTAGAAGGGACAGAGAACGAAAGGAAGTGAGGAGGAAGACTTTGGTGTTAGCTCATCTAATTTTTTTGTTGTTTATCTCAGCTGCCATTACGCTTGCAGTGTGCTTTTCGTCATCTTCTAGAACATTGAACCTCGAATACAATTGTACGATTGATTTTTAATAATTATTCCAATAAAAAACAAGTGCTTTCCGAGAGTTGCATTCCACTAACAGAAAATATAGTAAGCTGCAAAATGTTAACAAGTATCTTATTGCATCTAGAAAATGCAGTCTTGTGGAAATGTAAATGAAAAAAAAAATAAAAGTTTGATTAATCATAAATTGTAATGGGTGATTTTTTTGCTAGTATCTTTTTGGCAACACTGTCTTTAACAGATGACGCGTGAATCGCGTCTTGTGTCATTGTCAAACTTGTTCAGTTTGGTCTATAATTTAACCATGAATCGACTTACGAACGAACAACTCTTGCAAATTATTGAATTTTACTATCAAAATTCATGCTCGGTTAAGAGAGTGCATCGAGCACTGCTTCCAATTTATGGGCAATTTGGTCGGCCTACTGAGGGAGCTATTCGGAAGCTTGTGACTAAATTTCGAACCCAGTTTACATTATTGGACATTAAACCACCAACACGCAGGCGTAGAGTGAGGACTGAAGAAAATATTGCGGCTGTATCCGGCAGTGTTAGTGATGACCGTGAAATGTCGATTCGCCGCCGTTCTCAGCAATTGGGCCTCTGTTACTCCACTACGTGGAAAATTTTGAGACGGGACTTGGGTGTAAAACCTTATAAGATACAGCTGGTGCAAGGATTGAAGCCACACGACCTCCCACAACGTTTCCAATTTGGTGAATGTGCGCTGACAAAGTTGGAGGAAGATCCACATTTTTATCGAAAAATTGTGGTCAGCGACGAAGCTCATTTCTGGTTGAATGGGTACGTTAACAAGCAAAACTCCCGCATCTGGAGTGAAGGCCAGCCAGAAGCATTGCAAAAGCTACCAATGCATCCCGAAAAAATCACTGTTTGGTGTGGATTATGGGCCGGTGGCATCATCGGGCCGTACTTCTTCAAAGACGACAATGGCCGGAACGTAACTGTGAATGGCGAGCGCTACCGTGCGATGATAACAAACTTTTTTTTGCCCAAAATGGAAGCGCTGGACTTGACTGACATGTGGTTTCAACAAGACGGTGCCATATACCACACCCCACACGAAACAATGGCCCTATTGAGAGGCGAGTTCGGTGAACAGTTTATCTCACGTTTGGGGCCCGTCAATTGGCCGCCTAGATCGTGTGATTTAACGCCGTTGGACTATTTCTTGTGGGGCCATGTTAAGGCGAATGTCTACAGGGATAAACCAGCAATGATTGATGCAATATTGAAGCATTTATTCGTGAGATACCGGCCGATATGTTGGAGAGAGTGTGCCAAAATTGGACCTTGCGCATGGGCCATCTAAAGCGGAGCCGCGGCCAACACTTACATGAAATAATCTTTAAATATTAAATTATATCGACCGTTCTATCAAGTCAAATAAAAATTTAATCATTACTCAGATTTTTTGTGTTTTTTTGAAAATCAAATCCTATACCTCTTAAAAAATCACCCGTTATTAATGACCGCCCCAAAAAGTGGAATGGGTAACTCGAACGTGACGTGAGACTACGAGTTACTAACGCAGAATCGGTCATTCGTTGAGCCATTTTGAGATTTTATCCATTCAAGACCTAACACCAAGCGTTCTGACAAAGTTTTGTGAACCATCTTTTTAGCATCCCCGATATCCAAACAAAATTTTTAGCTTTTACTTCCCTTATGTTTTCGAAACGAACTAGGTACTCACCAGTCATTTTAGGGAGATGAGGTTGCATCTCAGCCCATTCCTTCAAATTCTTGATATCCTCTTTCTTTAGCTGAGGATCACCCTTGTACACAGTATCCACGTCAATTTCCTTGAACGGCATATCGAACCAACTCGCTCACTTGATCCAATCTTGAAAAATATTCGTGTGAAATATAGAGGATGCTGCTAATAATGGATTATGTTTTAGGCTTTGGTCAAAGAATACTCTTTTTCTCTTATGAATATATAATTATGATTCTAGTATGAGGAAATTCACAAAAAACGTACTGCTAAATCCTCAAAACTGACACATCGTCTTGAAAATATCTGTTGCGTAAAAGTTTGTTCATATGATAAAAAGAATTTCCTTGTTCAATGTCTGAAATATAATCGTTTATTTGCAGCATCTTCACTCTTTCGCATGTTAAGCTTCAAATAGTGTGTCAAAACAATCAACCACTTTCTTAAACAAAAAAAAAATGTTGTTTTCAACGAACTTGTTCACTAGATCGAATCTTAAAAGTAACAACAACAGAGCCACTCATTTGATAAATTCTAAAAGACAAATGATATTTTAAACAAATTCGCTCACTTGATCCAGTCTTAAAAACAAATGATGTTAAATTCACGATTGATACAACGAAAATGATAGAATATTGTTTTAGATGTTATTCAATGGCTACTTAAACAGTTAATTGCACGGGACACAGTGCGTTCAAATTTAATTGAGGGGAAAAAACTGGTAATTTGGTATCGAAAATGATAGTTCGGGATTTCATGCGACATGACGGTAGCGGAATATGCACTATCGGAATAGACTATCAACCTTGGATTTGAGATTTTCAGATTACGCTACATCGATTTTAAGTGTATGTACTTATACAGGATCATCCATTTTTACGTCAAAAAGTAACACGAAACATTTCTGAATCGATACACCTTAGAGATGCGAAAGAATTTCATATTTATCATGTATTATAGTTCATAATAAATTCTGTTGGGCACAAGCTAGCTCCTCTGAGAAAACGGTAGCTACGAACATGTATAACAAAAGAATTGAATGGATCAAGCCAGTCAAATAGACCTACACAATTAGCCTACAGTCCCCGCACACTTGACGACGTTGCGACCTAGAAATTTCTGCCCTGCCTTACAGACAGTGCGGACCATCTGGCAACGCTGCTGTGACTAATCACGGCATTCGCCAACCTATCACGGCGTTCGGTGTTACTGGCACCCATCGGTCAGATATCGGTCAGCTCTAGAAGCAGATTTATGTACGTTCGACCAGTTGAGTATATGTCTAATAGGTGCGTAGAATCTGTGTCAGAATTACCATGGTTGGAACTGTTTAAATACGAGCCCCTTCCCACTTCAGTTGGCCCACTTCAAGATTTGTACCAAAATATGCCTTTATAAACTAAACATGACGAAACTATTTACTTTTAAAACAATTTATTTTCTCAAAAACATTTTAGATACACTCTAGTTGTAAAAAATACATATTTGAAATCACTTAGACCTATAACTAATAGAACATCTGAACAAATAAATAATGTGCGAATAAATGCGCGAAGTTAACAAAGCAACAATTGAAAGATTGCCATTGGGTAACATCACCTTTATTTTTTATTACGGCTGAAATTCTTTGGGGCATAGTGTTAACCAAGTTTTGGCAAAAATTTGGTGTAAAATAATCCCATATTTTTTGAAGCTTTTGTCTCAGTTCGGTGATTGTACGAGCAGGATGTTGTCGTAGAACCTTTTTCATCTCGTGCCACAAAGTTTCAATAGGTTACAGATCCGGACTGCTAGAAACCCATTTCAAAGTGGTACATTATTTTCTTCCATTCATTTTATAGCCTTTTTTGAGGTATGGCACGCTGCACCATCTTGCTGAAACACAAAATCTTGGCTGGATGTCAAACATTCTTTCATCACTGGTAAAAGCGATTCTTCTAAAATTGACAAATATTTGTTTGTATCCACATTTCCATCAATAAAATGAAGTTTTCCTACCCCTTTTGATGACATACTGCCCCAGACGATAATGGATGCTAGAAATTTCACTTTTCTGTACAGACATTCAACATGGAATGCTTCATTTTTTTAGCGAATAACTCTACTGCGACTGTCACCAACACAAACTTCGAATCGGACCTCATCACTCCATTGTATTGCACACCATTGTTGAGGTGTCCATTGTCTATGTTCTTTAGCCCATCTAAGCCGATTTTTCTTTTGCAGTGGAGTTAATAGTGGCTTTTCTTTGGCCTATAAACAAGTTGTGCAACTTTAGGGTTTTTAGTTCACTTTTTTTTATAAGAAAACATACCTGGCAAGTGCTAAATCCCAGTTTGTGGGCCTCTCTATGAGTTGTGGACCCCGAAATCGTCCTTCCAACAGCGTCACTCTACAGAGCACTTAATTGTAGATAATTGGCACGCCTGTTTTTCACGATTATTCTTCTTAATGCTCTTCGGTCGGCATTTGTGATATTACTTTTTTCACATATCGTGGCTTAATATTAACTGAACCGGTTACGTGATATCTTCTAACAATATTTCTCACACTGTACCGCGATAAGTCTGACAAAGTTGCAATTTCTGAGTTTGATTTCCCAGAATTAAAAAATTTAATTATCAGTAACCGAATTTTCTCACTAATAACCTTTCCTCTACCCATTTTGAAAACCTTAACTACCCAAAACTATTTTAAACGTATTTTGACAGCTGTGATTAATAAAAACAATTGTCATGGCTTTTATTTTTCACAGCCACCTATGCGTTATAGACTTATTTTGCATTGAAATGAAAATAGTTTGATATGCTGTAATTGCAACGTGTTATTTTTATGCTGCAAATTTGATTAGTGAGTGATAAATTTGGTGTTTTCTACTATATATTATCAAAATATTCATTGTTAATATTTTAAACCTATAACACCCTGCTACATTTTTATTACTTGTGTTGTGTTTGATAAGAAAAAAACTTAGATTTCAATAGTTGGGCCAACTGAAGTGGGAAGGGGCTCATATACTAACGCCAAAAAAATTGAGATACATCATTCTGCACATCTACAACTTCTTACGACCAATTTTTAAGTCCTACAGACATTTTTTTGGAAAATTGATCGATTTTCATTTTTTTGCGTTTAGCTTCGTCACTACTGGTCCGACTTTCAAAAACTACCGAGCCTTTTCGTTCTTGCCATACATAGTACATCCTTTTGTGTGGAAATTGCATCAAAACTTAAGCGGTGCTTTTGAAGGTACAGACGGAGCAAGGATTAGCGGACAGACAGACCAACAGGCAGACAGATAGATAGACCGTCGAAAATTTTCAAAAATTTTCGCGATCACAGTACTTTATCGTCAGTGGCGTAGGGAGTAAAGGTATTAAATCATAACTAAATTCAAAGTTGTATTAATTAATTTCGCGATCCATACAAAACTTCTTAATGCCGCAGAACACTACAACTTATGTATCATAGTTTGATATAAATGCCTATGATTGACCGATAAGGGTGACTTTTGGGGAAAATGTGATTTTTCGTTTTCTACCCTTTATTTTGAAAAGGGTAATCTTACTTCTTGTTTGTATCAATGCCGTAGCTGTTGAAACAGAGAACAAGCAATCGTTGTTACATGAATTACGTCAAAGGTTGGAGATGTTGAGTTTTGCAGTTATACCTTTCAAATGATTTAGTTACGTGGGCTGTAGTTGGGGAGCACTAAAAATTGCTTGAAGGTATGATGGTCTATCGAGACTTTGAGCCGTATTCATAAAACAAAGGATATCCTTGTACTTGCAAATTTTAAAGGAAATCCTCCAGATGGTATTAATAATAATTTGAAGTAAATGCTTTTGATTTTCGAGTATAAGCATATCCTTCAAAGTAAGTAAAAGGACATAAGTAAAAGGATATTCATAATCTTCACCTTATACTTGGCATAAGAAGCATATCTTTAAGAAATTCTGAGTGTGGTCAGTAGCTGACTCAACTTCGTAACGAAAGGTGGTCAAACGAAGATGGCGGAAATTAGGGATGTTAAAACGTACAAACCTCGTTTACCTTCACTTGGTCATGACTTCAAAAAATTATACCGGTTCGACGAAGCAAATGTACAATGGCTTGCGAACAGATTTTTAGTTGAGAATGAGGAGACTCGAGGAGGAGCACCTTCATGTATTCATAAAATGAAGATATGCTTACGCTATCTCGGTGACCCTGGATATCAACAAGGCATTGGTCAGGAACTTGGTGTTAGTCAAGCAACGGTATCTCGGAGTTGCACAGTCGAACGAATGGATCAAGTTTCCAACTACCAACCATGAACTGATGGAGGCCAAGCGGATATGGCAAAGCATGTATAAATTTCCGACAGCAATTGGTGTAATTGATTGTACACATATAGGAATCCTGAAACCTAATCGCCATGGAGATGAGTATATCAACCGAAAAGGGAAACCTACTTTAAATGTGCAAGCCACTTGTGATGCCAGAGAGATGTTCACAAGTGTTGCTGTCAGTTGGCCTGGATCAGTGCATGATTCCAGATTATGGAGAAATTCACAGACTAGAACACAACTAATAAATAAAGCAAATGTCGTACTACCTGGCGATGACGGTTATGGTCTTGAGCCATGCCTTATGACTCCCTCCACAAATTCTACTCCAGGTGCAGAAATAAATTATAATAAGCTTTTAAAACAAGAAAGAGTTATAATTGAACGCTGTTTCGGCCAACTGAAACGCCGGTTTCCTATCCTACACTATGTTTGCCGCGTAAAGTTGAAAAATGTGCCGAAAATAATTATTGCTTGTATTATACTCCATAATGTTGCGAAGAGCTTGGGCGATCCTGACTTTGAGTTAGTTGAACAAAACCCAGATGAAGATGAAGGAAATCATGAGAACGACGAACTTCCTCTCCGCCAACTAACTGTACAAATAAGAAGAAACTTGAGTATTATAATAAATAGTTTTACTGATTAAAGTGTATTTATAAGTTATAATAAGTTTTATTTTCGTGAACATCATGAGTTGCAGGTGGCTTCTGACGCTGCATCATTTATATTTTCGTTTTATAATACTCTTGTTGAAGAATACTTGTTTGGTACTGCTGTAATAGCACTAGACGTTTCAGTTCTTTTGTAGTTAACCCTTTCGTTTCCTCAGTTTCGTATTTCTCTGCTGCTAATTTTCTTTTTGGTGGCAATGTCTTCTGAATTGCTGGCGCTGTTATACTAACTGGTTGCTCACTGAGCTCGGTATATAGTTCACTTCCTTCTTCTTGAACACTACCAACCTGAATGGCACCTCTAATTTTCCCAATTGTAGGATTTCAGTCACCTTCCATAGCTTTCAGCAACTTTCTTTTCCAATCTAAAAATGTAATTGCTTTATTACCAGTTTTTTTAGATCTGCTTTTTTCTTCAATCTTGATTTCATGTTGTTGATTTTGTTTCAGTAGGCCTTTGGTATCTAATGGTTTACCGAATGTTGATTCGTATTTCTTCCAGGCATCGTCTTTTCGCATTTTTATTTTTGGAACTTGTGACTTTTGCAAAATAATGGGAGCAATGACAATTTCATCTGCGATGAACTGCAGGTCGTTGCCATTATTTTCTATAGTTTCCTCATCACTTGAGGATGACATGCTTATTAA